GGTATGGTGTTCTTTGGATGCAACTCAGCATTCTTTGTCCTCCAAACACGACGAGTTGAGTTTTTACCAAAAAGTTCTATTTTGGTTTCATCTGACCATATGACATTCTCCCAATCCTCTTCTGGATCATCCAAATGCACTCTAGCAAACTTCAGACGGGCCTGGACATGTACTGGCTTAAGCAGGGGGGACACGTCTGGCACTGCAGTATTTGAGTTCCTGGCGGCGTAGTGTGTTACTGATGGTAGGCTTTGTTACTTTGGTCCCAGCTCTCTGCAGGTCATTCACTAGGTCCCCCCGTGTGGTTCTGGGATTTTTGCTCACCGTTCTTGTGATCATTTTGACCCCACGAGGTGAGATCTTGCGTGGAGCCCCAGATCGAGGGAGATTATCAGTGGTCTTGTATGTCTTCCATTTCCTAATAATTGCTCCCACAGTTGATTTCTTCAAACCAAGCTGCTTACCTATTGCAGATTCAGTCTTCCCAGCCTGGTGCAGGTCTACAATTTTGTTTCTGGTGTCCTTTGACAGCTCTTTGGTCTTGGCCATAGTGGAGTTTGGAGTGTGACTGTTTGAGGTTGTGGACAGGTGTCTTTTATACTGATAACAAGTTCAAACAGGTGCCATTAATACAGGTAACGAGTGGAGGACAGAAGAGCCTCTTAAAGAAGAAGTTACAGGTCTGTGAGAGCCAGAAATCTTGCTTGTTTGTAGGTGACCAAATACTTATTTTCCACCATAATTTGCAAGTAAATTCATTAAAAATCCTACAATGTGATTTTCTGGAGAAAAAAAATCTCAATTTGTCTGTCATAGTTGACGTGTACCTATGATGAAAATTACAGGCCTCTCTCATATTTTTAAGTGGGAGAACTTGCACAATTGGTGGCTGACTAAATACTTTTTTTCCCCCACAGTATTTGACCCCTCTGCAAAACATGACTTAGTACTTGGTGGCAAAACCCTTGTTGGCAATCACAGAGGTCAGACGTTTCTTGTAGTTGGCCACCAGGTTTGAACACATCTCAGGAGGGATTTTGTTCCACTCCTCTTTGCAGATCTTCTCCAAGTCATTAAGGTTGAGGCTGACGTTTGGCAACTCGAACCTTCAGCTCCCTCCACAGATTTTCTATGGAATTAAGGTCTGGAGACTGGCTAGGCCACTCCAGGACCTTAATGTGCTTCTTCTTGAGCCACTCCTTTGTTGCCTTGGCCGTGTGTTTTGGGTCATTGTCATGCTGGAATACCCATCCACGACCCATTTTCAATGCCCTGGCTGAGGGAAGGAGGTTCTCACCCAAGATTTGACGGTACATGGCCCCGTCCATCGTCTCTTTGATGCAGTGAAGTTGTGCTGTCCCCTTAGCAGAAAAACACCCCCAAAGCATAATGTTTCCACCTCCATGTTTGACGGTGGGGATGGTGTTCTTGGGGTCATAGGCAGCATTCCTCCTCCTCCAAACACGGCGAGTTGAGTTGATGCCAAAGAGCTCCATTTTGGTCTCATCTGACCACAACACTTTCACCCAGTTCTCCTCTGAATCATTCAGATGTTCATTGGCAAACTTCAGACGGGCATGTATATGCGCTTTCTTGAGCAGGGGGACCTTGCGGGCGCTGCAGGATTTCAGTCCTTCACAGCGTAGTGTGTTACCAATTGTTTTCTTGGTGACTATGGTCCCAGCTGCCTTGAGATCATTGACAAGATCCTCCCGTGTAGTTCTGGGCTGATTCCTCACTGTTCTCATGATCATTGCAACTCCACGAGGTGAGATCTTGCATGGAGCCCAAGGCCGAGGGAGATTGACAGTTATTTTGTGTTTCTTCCATTTGTGAATAATTGCACCAACTGTTGTCACCTTCTCACCAAGCTGCTCGGCGATGGTCTTGTAGCCCATTCCAGCCTTGTGTAGGTCTACAATCTTGTCCCTGACATCCTTGGAGAGCTCTTTGGTCTTGGCCATGGTGGGGAGTTTGGAATCTGATTGATTGATTGCTTCTATAGACAGGTGTCTTTTATACAGGTAACAAGCTGAGATTAGGAGCACTCCCTTTAAGAGTGTGCTCCTAATCTCAGCTCGTTACCTATATAAAAGACACCTGGGAGCCAGAAATCTTTCTGATTGAGAGGGGGTCAAATACTTATTTCCCTCATTAAAATGCAAATCAATTTATAACATTTTTGACATGCGTTTTTCAGTCTCTCACTGTTCAAATAAACCTACCATTAAAATTATAGACTGATCATTTCTTTGTCAGTGGGCAAACGTACAAAATCAGCAGGGGATCAAATACTTTTTTCCCTCACTGTATATATACAGTGGGGAAAAAAAGTATTTAGTCAGCCACCAATTGTGCAAGTTCTCCCACTTAAAAAGATGAGAGAGGCCTGTAATTTTCATCATAGGTACACATCAACTATGACAGACAAAATGAGAAAAAAAAATCCAGAAAATCAAATTGTAGGATTTTTAATGAATTTATTTGCAAATTATGGTGGAAAATAAGTATTTGGTCAATAACAAAAGTTTCTCAATACTTTGTTATATACCCTTTGTTGGCAATGACACAGGTCAAACGTTTTCTGTAAGTCTTCACAAGGTTTTCACACACTGTTGCTGGTATTTTGGCCCATTCCTCCATGCAGATCTCCTCTAGAGCAGTGATATTTTGGGGCTGTCGCTGGGCAACACGGACTTTCAACTCCCTCCAAAGATTTTCTATGGGGTTGAGATCTGGAGACTGGCTAGGCCACTCCAGGACCTTGAAATGCTTCTTACGAAGCCACTCCTTCGTTGCCCGGGCGGTGTGTTTGGGATCATTGTCATGCTGAAAGACCCAGCCACGTTTCATCTTCAATGCCCTTGCTGATGGAAGGAGGTTTTCACTCAAAATCTCACGATACATGGCCCCATTCATTCTTTCCTTTACACGGATCAGTCGTCCTGGTCCCTTTGCAGAAAAACAGCCCCAAAGCATGATGTTTCCACCCCCATGCTTCACAGTAGGTATGGTGTTCTTTGGATGCAACTCAGCATTCTTTGTCCTCCAAACACGACGAGTTGAGTTTTTACCAAAAAGTTCTATTTTGGTTTCATCTGACCATATGACATTCTCCCAATCCTCTTCTGGATCATCCAAATGCACTCTAGCAAACTTCAGACGGGCCTGGACATGTACTGGCTTAAGCAGGGGGACACGTCTGGCACTGCAGGATTTGAGTCTCTGGCGGCGTAGTGTGTTACTGATGGTAGGCTTTGTTACTTTGGTCCCAGCTCTCTGCAGGTCATTCCCCAGGTCCCCCCGTGTGGTTCTGGGATTTTTGCTCACCGTTCTTGGGATCATTTTGACCCTACGGGGTGAGATCTTGTGTGGAGCCCCAGATCGAGGGAGATTATCAGTGGTCTTGTATGTCTTCCATTTCCTAATAATTGCTCCCACAGTTGATTTCTTCAAACCAAGCTGCTTACCTATTGCAGATTCAGTCTTCCCAGCCTGGTGCAGGTCTACAATTTTGTTTCTGGTGTCCTTTGACAGCTCTTTGGTCTTGGCCATAGTGGAGTTTGGAGTGTGACTGTTTGAGGTTGTGGACAGGTGTCTTTTATACTGATAACAAGTTCAAACAGGTGCCATTAATACAGGTAACGAGTGGAGGACAGAGGAGCCTCTTAAAGAAGAAGTTACAGGTCTGTGAGAGCCAGAAATCTTGCTTGTTTGTAGGTGACCAAATACTTATTTTCCACCATAATTTGCAAATAAATTCATTACAAATCCTACAATGTGATGTTCTGGATTTTTTTTTCTCAATTTGTCTGTCATAGTTGACGTGTACCTATGATGAAATTTACAGGCCTCTCTCATCTTTTTAAGTGGGAGAACTTGCACAATTGGTGGCTGACTAAATACTTTTTTCCCCCCACATATATATATATATATATATATATCCACAGTAAAACGAGTCCTATATCGACATAACCTGAAAGGCCGCTCAGCAAGGAAGAAGCCACTGCTCCAAAACCGCCATAAAAAAGCCAGACTACGGTTTGCAACTCCACATGGGGACAAAGATTGTAGTTTTTGGAGAAATGTCCTCTGGTCTGATGAAACAAAAATAGAACTGTTTGGCCATAATGACCATCGTTATGTTTGGAGGAAAAAGCAGGAACTTGCAAGCCGAAGAACACCATCCCAACCTTGAAGCACGGGGTGGCAGCATCATGCTGTGGGGGTGCTTTGCTGCAGGAGGGACTGGTGCACTTCACAAAATAGATGGCATCATGAGGAAGGAAAAGTATATGGATATATTGAAGCAACATCTCAAGACATCAGTCAGGAAGTTAAAGCTTGGTCGCAAATGGGTCTTCCAAATGGACAATGACCCCAAGCATACTTCCAAATTTGTGGCAAAATGGCTTAAGGACAACAAAGTCAAGGTATTGGAGTGGCCATCACAAAGCCCCTTTGTGGGCAGAACTGGAAAAGTGTGTGCGAGCAAGGATGCCTACAAACCTGACTCAGTTACACCAGCTCTGTCAGGAGGAATAGGCCAAAATTCACCCAACTTATTGTGGGAAGCTTGTGGAATGCTACCCAAAATGTTTGACCCAAGTTAAACAATTTAAAGGCAATGCTACCAAATGCTAAATTAGTGTATGTAAACTTCTGACCCACTGGGAATGTGATGAAATAAATAAAAACTGAAATAAATCAATCATTCTCTCTACTATTATTCTGACATTTCACATTCTTAAAATAAAGTGGTGATCCTAACTGACCTAAGACAGGGAAGCTTTACTAGGATTAAATGTCAGGAATTGTGAAAAACTGAGTTTTAATGCATTTGGCTAAGGTGTAGCGCAGTTGATAGAGCATGGCGCTTGCAACGCCAGGGTTGTGGGTTCGATTCCCACGGGGGGCCAGTATGAAAAAAAAAAGAAGACAAAAAATTTAAAATGTGTATGTAAACTTCCGACTTCAATTGTATATATAACACAACTCACCCCAGTGACCAGCTCCTCCTTCTGCTGTTTCTTAGAGGCTAGGTCCAGTGCCACCATCTCCAGCTCAAATTGTGTCAACTCATGCTTCCTGCATACTGCCCTGCAGAAACAGAGGCCTTTGCTGATCATCATGGTTGCTACTGGATGTACTGATGCCTAGCTGCTTATTATGGTTGCTACTGTACTATGTATGATCATTATGCACCATACAAACAGGGTCAGAGGGCTGTTCTATAGATTCAATGAGGGGGCTCAATGAGTACAGTATGACTGCCATTGGAATTTAGTCTGCCATTGGCAAAAGTCAACAGAGGTCCACACACGTCTTCGGCAAGGTAACGTGAGGATGTGAAGCTACCTACATAACACATACAACCCAGGGCACACTGACTAGTGATTTGGCATGATGATCTTCAGGGGTGTCAAACCGATTTTGCCACGGGGGCCGCATTCCATCTTCAACGAGGTCTGGAGGGCCGCATAAAAATTGGATGTACTGCCTCGCCGTCAAAATTAGCAAAAAAATAGTCCTCTGTCCGTCATTTTTTGAATTTGACGCTCCCCGACTGTCTAGCTTTCATGACGGTGCTTATTAGCAAGATGGACAGTCAAGAAACTGCATGAATGTAGGTCCATTATCATTTCTACACATTTTGATTTTAATCATTATAAAGTATCTTGAGTTTGTCCCCCACCCCCAAAACAATATAGATTTTAAATGTTTTAACTCAAACCACCCGCGGGCCAGATTGGACCGATCACGGGCCATATGTTTGACACCCCCGGTTTATATAGTGATATGTACTTGGCCTACAGCAGCAGTCCCAGTGTACAGTGGGCATACTGTAGTAAATACCTAAGTGCATCAGTATAGAACAGGTACTCCTTCAGCTGATCAGCATAGTGCTCCTCCTCCTCCAGAATATCATCTACAGAGGCAGCATACCTGTAGACAAGAGGGGAGTCCATATGAATACACTTGCTTTACAACAAACACATATTTAACAGAGGGATGGGGAAACTACATATGCTCACTGAAGTAAGACTAAAGCACAGAGGTATCATACCTGCAGACAAGAGACGGGAGTATGAATACACTTCCTTTAATCCATCACACCCTCTACAGATGGACAGGAAACCATAAATACCATGAGGCAAGGAGACACCCAAAATATATCTATTCCAGTCAGTGACTTAAAGTTGAACTATAATCAGATTTTGACCAAATACTTTAACAAAAATTATTTATTAAGAACCTTTCTGCGTTAAGGATACATTTGCTTCATTCCATCTGTCAAGGGATAGCGAAACCTCTCTCTCTCTCAATAAATAGGGAGCCATTTGGGACTCAACCGTTGACAGAAAAAAATGCTGTCTTTCCTTGATAAACCTCAGCTGTCCAAGCTCTGTGACCCCTGACCTCTAGAATTGAGCCCTGCAATCTGGTAACCATCAGTAAAGGGGTAGGGGCTAATCATGTTATCACTCCATGGTGTGTGTATGTTGCTACTCCAAGGTCAGGGTTGAGACCACTCAAGAGAACTATACACAGCACCCAAGTTGAAAGTAAAAGTCTCTGGCTATGTGCCAGACAGTTCTCAGTTTGAACCCAGAACCTTCACAACACAAATCTCCCCAGTCCTCATGGTCAGCTACCTGCTACAGCAGACTCTGTGCTTCAAATTTGAACTGCTTTCAAATCAAACACGGCAAATGTGTTGTATAGCTTAACTAGGAACTATGTAATATGTACAGCGTTGCTGGGGGGAAGTGGGGTTGTGCATATCAGCTCCTTTAGTGAGCCTGTATGAGGTCTCAGAAGGTAACAAGAGAGGTTGGATGCGTCTGAAATGCCACCCTAGTCACTATATAGTGCCTTTAATTTTATTTATTATTTTACATACAATCCTGTTGTAATCCAATAAAATTGTTATGGATTAATATGGGAGATTATTGTGTGGTTACAACTCACTAATAAAGACATAGATATGTGCATTTAAAGATATATGTGCATTTTCCCACCAGTGGAATGCGTCCACCAAATGGACTTGTTCCGGATAAAAATCAGTGTGTGATGACGTAGTGCACACAAAATGTACTTTTTCACTTACATTTTCATGTACTGAATAAAAATCTAAAGTTCAACGGGTTTCCATCGCATTTTCAACTCTACCGTAAATTTTATGGGAGGACCACACAACGCGTGACTCCAGATTTACTTCGATATGATGGTTATTATATCAATATTTGCACATAAAGGCATTTCCACTGACATTTTCCGCATATTTAATTTTCTGGATACAAAAAGAACTCACCATGTCGAACGAACAAATGATCTGTAGGCATTTATAAAATTACACTGAAACTTCCTGTTTCCATCACAGCTGTCATGTTTTGTTTTTTTTTGCCGATATGACTGTGGATGGAAACGTGGTTTTTGAAAACAAACACTTACGCATCCATGTGATGGCCAGCACTTTGTAGTCCATCTCCCATCTCTTTCTCTATGGCACTCCACTCACTGTCCAACACAAGCACAGAGAACATATTTCACAAAAAAAACACACTTATTTAGTCATTACATAGTACATAATCCAGGCTCTGCTGTAGCCGGCCGCAACCGGGAGACCAATGGGGCGGCGCAGGCAGGGAGGTAGCTCAGTTGATAGAGCATGGCGTTTGCAACGCCAGGGTTGTGGGTTCGTTTCCCACGGGGGGCCAGTATGAAAATAATAATGTATGCACTAACTAAGTCGCTCTGGATAAGAGCGTCAGCTAAATGACGTAAATGTAAAAAATAATGCAACAGCTTTATACACACGTCACACTTTTGTCCAAACACACTACTCTTACCTGAAGACTCGTCCATAGTTTCCATGCACTTTGTACACCCCATACAGTCGATCTGCTACCCTCTGAGTGGATGAAGAAGGTCAAGTTCTAGGTCAAATTTTGCATAGTTTTTTGATACCGCTGCTTCCATGTTATGTTACATATGGTGTTATGAAACACAGAGACAATAGTGAGGTACAGTGTTGCAGACAGCTGCTTTATTGAGGAATGTTCTACTTACACTACCGTTCAAAAGTTTGGGTCACTTAGAAATGTCCTCGTTTTCAAAAGAAAAGCAATTTCTTTGTCCATTAAAATAACATCAAATTGATCAGAAATACAGTGTAGACATTGTTAATGTTGTAAATGGCTATTGTAGCTGGAAACGGCTGATTTTTTATGGAATATCTACATAGGTGTACAGAGGCCCATTATCAGCAACCATCAGTCCTGTGTTCCAATGGCACGTTGTGTTTGCTAATCCAAGTTTATCATTTTAAAAGGCTAATTGATCATTAGAAAACCCTTTTGCAATTATGTTAGCACAGCTGAAAACTGTTATGTGCTGATTAAAGAAGCAATAAAACTGGCCTTCTTGATACTAGTTCAGTATCTGGAGCATCAGCAATTGCGGGTTCGATTACAGGATCAAAATGGCCAGAAACAAATAACTTTCTTCTGCAACTCGTCAGTCTATTCTTGTTCTGAGAAATGAAGGCTATTCCATGCGAGAAATTGCCAAAAAATGTAAGATCTCGTACAACGCTGTGTACTACTCCCTTCACAGAACAGCGCAAACTGGCTCTAACCAGAATAGAAAGAGGAGTGTGAGGACCCGGTGCACAACTGAGCAAGAGGTCAAATACTTTAGAGTGTCTAGTTTGAGAAACAGACGCCTCACAGGTCCTCAACTGGCAGCTTCATTAAATAGTACCCGCAAAACACCAGTCTCAATGTCAACAGTGAAGAGGCGACTCCGGGATGCTGACCTTCTAGGCAGAGTTGTAAAGAAAAAGCCATATCTCAGACTGGCCAATAAAAATAAAAGATTAAGATGGGCAAAAGAACACAGACACTGGACAGAGGAAGATTGGAAAAAAGTGTTATGGACAGACAAATCAAAGTTTGAGGTGTTCAGATCACAAAGAAGAACATTTGTGAGACGCAGACCAAATGAAAAGATGCTGGAGGAGTGCTTGATGCCATCTGTCAAGCATGCTGGAGGCAATGTGATGGTCTGGGGGTGCTTTGGTGGTGGTAAAGTGGGAGATTTGTACAGGGTAAAAGGGATCTTGAAGAAGGAAGGCTATCACTCCATTTTGCAACGCCATGCCATATCCTGTGGACGGCACTTGATTGGAGCCAATTTCCTCCTACAACAGGACAATGACCCAAAGTAAAGCTCCAAACTATGCAAGAACTATTTAGGGAAGAAGCAGTCAGCTGGTATTCTGTCTATAATGGAGTGGCCAGCACGGTCACCGGATCTCAACCCTATTGAGCTGTTGTGGGAGCAGCTTGACCGTATGGTACGTAAGAAATGCCAATCCAACTTGTGGGAGGTGCTTCAGGAAGCATGGGGTGAAATCTCTTCAGATTACCTCAACAAATTGACAACTAGAATGCCAAAGGTCTGCAAGGCTGTAATTGCCGCAAAGGAGGATTCTTTGACGAAAGCAAAGTTTGAAGGACACAATTATTATTTATATTAAAAATCATTATTTCTAACCTTGTCAATGACTACATTTCCTATGCATTTTGCTACATTTCCTATTCAAACTCATTTCATGTATGTTTTCATGGAAAACAAGGACATTTCTAAGTGACCCCAAACTTTTGAACGGTAGTGTACTATGACTGTGATATGTGGTTGTTGAACCTAGCTACCATAAGTTGAATGCATCATAGCCCCCTTGTTCAGTTATGGTAAAGCAGCTATGCGTTACTGTTTTCTCAAATCAAGTGTAAATCCACTTTTATCAGATAGACCAGCTATATGTTTTATCTGCGGAATGTATGTGAATTTCCACACTGAAGGGAATAGGGTGGCATTTAGGACGCAAGCCTTAGTTGTATGTTACAGCGTGCAGTGTGCTGGTGTAGTCAGTCTAATTGTGGCCATCTTATGTGTTACAACCGGCTGGCTGTAGGTCTAGTCCCAGTCTAGTCATTAAGTTGTGTGTTACAGCAGCAAATCCACTTTTATCAGACAGACCACTTGTGCGTTTTATCCTTCTAATGTATGTCAACTTCCAGGCCAGCTCATCTGTGTTAGCGCTAGCTGTATGTCTAGTCTAGTCAGTAAAATGTATGTTACAGCTGGCAGAATGGGAGTATAGTAAACAGACCAGGGTTCAAATACTATTTGAAATCATTTAAAATACTTTGTCTTTGCTCGATTTAGCTTCCCTGGCTCAATGGAACAATTGAATAGTTCCAAAACTCCAAACCTCGCCCATCTGGCATTCCAGGCAGGCTAGACACTCAAAGTATTTGAAAGATATCAAATAGTATTTGAACCCAGGTCCGGTTGTCAGTCTAGTCAGTAAGATGTGTGAATATGCCGACAGCTGCCTGTACTTACCGCCCGTACTCTCAGCAGATGGGAGAGCACAGTCTGTAGCTCGTCACTGTAGTGTTTCAACTCTGTAAACCGTCTGCAGACGCCAGAGCCAGAGAAGAACAAGAATTCACCCAATCACTACTTAAATCAAGACTTTCTTCCCAGCAAGGCAGATAAACAAGACAAGAGTCAATATTGGAATTGACATTGACCTGATCCTACTGTACTTACCACACAGTCCCAGAACCAAGTATGTAAGTACATCAAATAAAGGGGAATGGGATGGATAGTAGAGACAGAGTCCACATTATTCATGTTACAACATGGAGATGGAAGTGCATTGCTGGCTCCACACAAAATAAAACTGTGACAAGAAAACAATGGATGCATCCCAAATGGCACCCTATTCTCCCTATAAAGTGTACAACTTTTGACCAGAGTTCAAAGCACTATATACACTAGGGCCGGGACGATACCAGTATTGCGATACTCATTAGTATTGTGGAAACAAAACACAAAGCAGATTTAACTTCAGGAAAACAGCCCTAATGTTGGGCGGCAGGTAGCTTAGTGGGTAAGAGCATTGTGCCAGTAACTGAAAGGTCGCTGGTTCTAATCCCGGAGCCGACTAGGTGAAAAATCTGTCGATGTGCCATTAAGCAAGGCACTTAACCCTAATTGCTCCTGTAAGTCGCTCTGGATAAGAGCGTCTGCTAAAATGTAAATGTAAAATGGACACAAACATCATTATGGTGTCATCCAGAGTCACATGTATTTATTTTCCAAGCTATAGCACACAATATTTTACATACAGCAGGTTTTTAAAAGGACCAAAGAGTATGGTCTGCTTTGTGTCTTCATTTTTGCGATACTGGTATTGTGACAGCCCTAATATACAGTTGACCCTTTAGGGTGTCATTTGGGATGGATCATTTCTATGACCTACCCATCTGGATTCTTCACCCGGAATGCTGCATTCATAGCTTTCAACCTGGAATCAGCCTGTAAAAAACAGACAGATAAATTAGATATCAACAAATGGATTCCTATGTTTGTTTGTTCAGAAGTTGCTATTGAGGACCTGAATAATTTTTGACAACACTGTACCATTGAGACCTAAAACATGCTGTATCAGATTTATTTTTAATAAATATATATATATCAACCTTTACAATATACTTTATTGCACAGCTATGGTTTGCAAAGTCACCCGGTAAGGTATTATCCAAAAAGGTTGACAGGACAATGCAACCATGAAGTGCTGAAGGAGTACCTTTGCTTGAAATCCTGTCTCGTACACCATTTCCTTCCAATCTTTTTCCTGCTGGACAGAGAGAGGATGCCATGTGACTTTGACAAAGATCATCAGAGATAGGAGAGCCTGATGCATGGGGGCACACTGTCAACTCAATAGGTCAAAGGTGTTCCTTTGGTCATTGTCACACATGACAATGGAGTAGGCAAAACAGCACAAACAGATCTGGGATCAGGCTAGTTTCACTCTGTTAAGGTGTGTGTCTATAGTAGCTTGGCTACAAATGTAGGATCGTCATTTGATCACTGTAGTTGCTGAGAATTTTCCTGCGCCTCAGGATTTACATAAATTCACTGAAAACCTGCACTAACACAGTTATATTAACAGTAATGCACTTTTCATGCAGCCTAATTTTGGCCAGCTAATAGCATGACCACCGATCAAGCAACATTACATCAGCGGAAAAGTGTGAATGGAAGAATTGTTCAAATACTGCTGTTGCAGGATTATTTTGCTGCGACAATACTGGTCAAATTAAGATACTACATCTGTAACTGACCTCAGTGAGGAAGATGTAGAAGATCTTGTCATTGCAGAGAACTGGGTGGGAGGCGACTCGGAGCAGGAAGTTTTCCAGTCCAACCCTCCTCCTCTCCACAAAGTCTGGGTCCATGTTGTCCGCCGACAGCTTATGCCACACAATCTCTGCCTGTGAGAAACCGACAAAGAATTACTACTATATTGATAAGGAGATGGAACACCATTATGTTAGCTTCAGGAATGTCTTCAACATAAAACTGGATGTTGTACAGAGCATTACAGGTACTGTAGTAAGTACATCATGCTACACATATCACTTCCTAAACTACACAGCACTGCACTAATTTCATCCAAGGCATCCTCCTTGTTCTCACGTACCCTCTTCTCAGGTAACGGGGCAACAACGACAAAGGGATAGGTGACCAACAGGTAGTTTCTGAGAAGCTCAAACTCGCTGTATCTCCGCCATAAGGAGTCTGGGGTTATACCTTCTGTCACAGCATCAACCGGCCTGTCAGAAGAGAGGGAAGGACTTAAGTCATACAACTGGACTTGAATAAGAGTACCACCTAAACATTTGATACGTTACAGTATATAAGCCATCTTTCAAGGTACCAAATACAGTATTATCCAACATTCTATGAATTTTTGATGCCAACACTATGATATAAAACCAGAGGAGAGAGAGAAACTCCTGACAGAGAAGAAAGAGAGAGAGAGAAAGGGGAAGGGGAGACTTCAACTTTAGAAGTATATGTGGATCCAGCAGCAAAGACTAGGGAGAAAAGGAGAGGAGAGCAGAGAAAGAAAGAAGTAGCTGGGTGGCATTCTCCAGTCTAACTGCACTGAGAGCCTGGTTACAATACCCTCCCTTTTCAATGGCCCACTGGTAAACAAAGGCCCAGTGTGCGTGTACAGTATGTATAGCTTGTGTCCTTACATGATTTGTGTGTGTGCACGTTTATTGTGTGTGATTGCATGAAATGAAACCAGTGAATAGTATAGCTAGCTAGATAAAAGTAAGAAATAAAGCTGGTGTGATGTGCAATTCTTGAACAAACAACACATCTTCTCAATGAATGGAGTGTGCCCAAGTCACTTTTCTAAAAGAGTCAGATGTTTGAATCATCATCATGGCCAGACCACCTGTAATGAATGAGTGTGGAATTATGAGCAGACAAGGAGGTGTAGGAGTGATTGTGGAAGTAGCTGTTCATGGCAGTGTCACAAAATGGTAGTACTGGTCTGGAAGATGTATGTAGGCTATCAAAAATTGTTTGAGAGCATTCACACAGATGATTAAAAGCTGATGAGGCATAATTACCGTGTTTCAATTAGGTAAACGGTGTATATCTCCTGCATGTTGACTGTATTCTTCCCAGTCCTTTTCTCTGCCTCTGCAACACTGATCTCCATCTTTCTTAGAAGACTAGTCCCTTTTTCAATCTCAACCATCTAGAAGAGGACAATGCACATCATAACATGGTAACAATAACATAATGCAGTATAATTTGATGTATGTTTGCAATTATGGGCATCAATAATTGGTCAAGCTGGTCCTAGTACTGTAACGTAAGCAAAGTCCCTTTAAACCGCTGGCCCCTCCTGTCAAATGTGCAACTTTGTAGCATAAAAAAGTTGTTGGCTAGCAAGCTAGCTAGTTCCTGGTAAAATGGTCAAGCCAACCATTTTAATAAGAACGATCTAGCTAACTTTACTTTGTGTCGACGTGAACATTACAATGAGTTGTTGAACTTTTTGCGGTCATTTCCTGCACATGCCGCTACCTACAGCTGCTGCTGGCTCAGTGGAGCTCACTGCGAAACTCCGTGGATTGATCAGGCCTAGAAAACCCAACTCATTCAACAGGCTCCATAACAGCTTCGTACATCCAAATGCCTCGCTTTTTGACAATACGAATATGTTTGAAGCTATACCGTGTTTTTAATGTTGTTATCTAGTTCTGCCGAGGTGAGGTCGGTGTTCCCGATCACCGCTACTTCCTTGGGTCCGGAGTCTGCCATCATATCTTCCTGACTTGTGTGTTGTTGTTAGCCGTATAGCAGGCAGGCATAAACTCGCATGCGCACTTTTAACGCTTTTCTTTTCCCAACCTCAACCAGAGATCTGTTACGAGATGCTCATGTATCCGCCCTAACAATGGGAGTCGTTGTGCCAAAGGCGGGAAGGCAGGAGACAAGCTTAGGTCCAAATTAAGCCAATATTTTTGACATATTTTGGCGAGAGTGAAACCTCTCGCTTCGCCTCCTCTTCTCTGCCTCAACTCACCTGAGTGTCATGAGAAAGATCAACTGCTGTCCGCCCTGCGCTGTATCCATAGCAAAATAGATAATAGATGGAATATACTTGCATAATAACAGTAATGTCAATATTTGACAACAACCAAAATAACAATCACATAAACTTTGTGTTATTATATCTGCTTATTACAGAATTATCTATAAACTAAAACCCCTTTATAAGCCATGTGTAAGGTGTAACCAAAATAACAATATGTTGCATTATAATGCATAGTGAACGTGTAAATTAGGCTGTTATTGCTAGCTCAAGGTGAATAGAATAGAATAACTTTTTCCCGGAATAAACTTCGGTTGTGGCATTAAAGACAATAAATAGCCTAAAGATGCACAATAAACTACACACAGCAAAACACACATGGCAGATACAAATACTAGGCTATAGCCTACAACATCTAAACACAAAGACAATTGCACCCTCAATTTTCAAGAATAATTGTTCTGAGGTATTATTGTTGTTATTATTATTATTATTATTATTATTATTTATATTATTCTACTACACATCTCAGTTCATCCTGTCACCCCACATTCTACGGGTTTTGGATCCGATTTTTATGAAGTTCAGTTCCTGGGCGGGTCCCGTAACACAGCTGGATGAAAAACATCTGGATCTGCCTACACCTAACTCCAGCCAAAAGCCCCGAGCCCAACCAGTTGTTTCACTGAATACGGCTTCAATAAGCTCACTACTCACATTCCCAAATACATAGAAAGATACAGTGCGACCACGACGTTTTGACCGGGTGTACATTTTTATGTTAAGATTATGGGGTGCTGGAGATTCTCGGCAGTGAATCTTGTTCTTCTGTCTTTCTGTAAGTATTGTTTTATTTGCTACTCACTCCGTATTCACTTTTAAGTGTTCAGTGTCCATTGTTTCTTCAATTTCGTGATGTTGTGAAGGGGGAGGAGGAGCAAATGTTTATTCAAAGGAGGTTCTGGTCATGTAAAACAGACTCTCAAAACTACTCTATTTATGAAATACGACAAGAATACGTTTCTTCAGTGGAAAAGTGGCGAAGGTGTTATTTTCTCAATATCATATATGTGATGGAATAGCAGACCTAATGAAAATAAACTGTCACGTCATATATTATTTCTTCCTTTCCCTCTATTTGTTTAAATCTATTTTTTGTATTTACTTTAGCTGTGTGATTTATTAAACCAGTAGTTTTACCACATGTAACATATCATTTGTATGTGCTTAACCAGGTACTGTCCTGGCAGTCACCTAAACTAAATCAATAGGAAGAGTCCTCGGAACCTCTGGAGGCACATAATCAAATTGAAATGACTGCATTGTAAACCATGATCCAAGTCACCCAATCTGGTGAAAAATATTTCTGACACTTGACAGTCCTTTAGCTATGCCTGTTTTATTTATTATCAGCAGACTTTGAATGTTTAATGGTATTTCACTTGAAATCATGTATTGTTTACTTGGATGTTCAATGTGTTGCCACTATTAACAGAATCTGAAGTAAACTAAACTAACTCTAACATTTGTCTCAAACAATTTCCCACAATCATTTCAGATTTTATTTTAATATGAAGTCAATAAGCTACACCAACAACTCACAAACATTATTTATTATTTATTTAATTATATAAAAATAAACAATCATGGCTTGAACATTACATCAATGTAAATGTGAATCAAAATCCAAAACAAGTTTATTAGACCCGGTCTCAGTAGCTGTGATAGTGAAAAGATACAATAGAACTGTGATGTGATGCGACCACATCAATTTTTTAAACTGCTGCCATCTGTAAAGAAAATGTCCAAACAGGAAATTGATTCTGAGTCTCAATTATCCCTGCTGCATGCAAACAGAGCTACTTCTCCTCAGGGAATACAAGATTGGAAACACTGATATAGATTGAGGAGGAGATTGTAGCTCATGTACAGTCTGTAGGCATTGTTACTGTAGAAGTAGCAGGGAAACTCCTCACTTGACCCATTTTCAGTGTGTCCTTTTGATGACTTAAAAAATTGCACACTTACTGCTTACAAGTGACTAGAGGCTGAGGAGGCTGAGGAGGAGTTCGGAGGTCATGTAGCCTACTGTAAGTACTTTAGAGGAAATGGTGAACTTCTCGCATGTTATGAAGAAGATTACTCCTGGGCTATAGCACCAACTTAAAACTCATTGATATTCACGCTACAGAACTTAGTAAGAGTTGAGTATATCTTCTTGTGAAATATGTATCTTCTCACATGACCTACAGTACCAGTCAAAAGTTTGGACACACCTACTTATTCAAGGGTTTTTCTTTATTTTTACTATTTTCTACATTGTAGAATAATAGCGAAGACATCAAAACTATGAAATAACACACATGGAATCATGTAGTAACCAAACAAAGTGTTAAATAAATCAAAATATATTTTATATTTGAGATTCTTCAAATAGCCACCCTTTGCCTTGATGTCAGCTTTGCACACTCTTGGCATTCTCTCAACCAGCTTCACCTGGAATGCTTTTCCAACAGTCTTGAAGGAGTTCCCACATATGCTTAGCACTTGTTGGCTGCTTTTCCTTCACTCTGCTGTCCGACTCATCCCAAACCATCTCAATTTGGTTGAGGTCGGGGGATTGTGGAGGCCAGGTCATCTGATGCAGCACTCCATCACTCTCCTTCTTGGTAAAATAGCCCTTACACAGCCTGGAGGTGTGTTGGGTCATTGTCCTGTTGAAAATCAAATGATAGTCTCACTAAGCCCAAACCAGATGGGATGGCGTATTGCTGCAGAATGCTGTTGTAGCCATGCTGGTTAAGTGTGCCTTGAATTCTAAATAAATCACAGACAGTGTCACCAGCAAAGCACCCCCACACCATAACACCTTCTCCTCCATGCTTTACGGTGGGAACTACACATGCGGAGATCATCCGTTCACCCACACTGCGTCTCACAAAGACACAGCGGTTGGAACCAAAAATCTCAAATTTGGACTCCAGACCAAAGGACACATTTCCACCAGTCTAATGTACATTGCTCGTGTTTCTTGGCCCAAGCAGGTCTCTTCTTCTTATTGGTGTCCTTTAGTAGTGGTTTCTTTGCAGCAATTCGACCATGAAGGCCTGATTCACACAGTTCCCTCTGAACAGTTGATGTTGAGATGTGTCTGTGACTTGAACTCTGTGAAGCATTTATTTGGGCTGCAAATTCTGAGGCTGGTAACTCTAATGAACTTATCCTCTGCAGCAGAGGTAACTCTGGGTCTTCCATTCCTGTGGCGGTCCTCATGAGAGCCAGTTTCATCATAGCGCTTGATTGTTTTTGCGACTGCAAAAGTTCTTGAATGTTCCGTATTGACTGACCTTTGTGTCTTAAAGTAATGATGGACTGTCGTTTCTCTTTGCTTATTTGAGCTGTTCTTGCCATAATATGGACTTGGTCTTTTACCAAATAGGGGTATCTTCAATAATATAATAATACTTTTAGCAAAAATGTTTATTTTTAATTCACAATCTGTAGAAGCAATGAGAATAGAAAGGTTCAGAACCTTTGTAAAACATCACAGTACGGTTGAAATATATATGGCAAATAGAAATCCTATATGGATGGTGTTAAGAGATAGATGGGAGGTATTGAATAGAGTTGAAGGATGGGACTAATAACAAATAACAACAAATAATAACAAAGATAGCTAATAATGTAAGCATACTGTGTCCATAATAAGTATATAGGTTGTATATTGGGAGCTTTTGGGAAAGAGCACAGTTAGAAAGATATGGCATATAGAAGCAAACCGGATGGACATCATGAGAATGATCGGAGAGGTTGAGAGTAGAAGAAGTTCAGGAGCAATAAAAAATAAAATAAATAAAAATATATATAATAGAATTATTGTAAAATTAACTCTGTCCATAAGGTGTAGATAGTAAGTATAGACCGGAAGTAGAGGCCTGGGCTTTGTTGTTCACTAATTTACTCCAAGTAGGGAAAGGATGGTGGGGTTGAAAAGTAACAAAGGGGAGTATATATATAAAAAATAAAAAAAACATGGGGGATTGGAAGTGATGCAGACAATTACATTGATAGAAGATACAATCTATCTGCAATATTAAGCTGATCCATTCCCCCCCAATTTTTTTTAAATAAAAAATTAATAAAAAATTAAAAAATAGGGGTATCTTCTGTATACTCCCCCTACCTTGTCACAACACAACTGATTGGCTCAAACGCATTAAGAAGGAAATAAATTCCACAAATTAACTTTTAAGAAGGCACACCTGTTAATTGAAATACATTCCAGGTGACTACCTCATTTTTTTTATTTTATTTTTTATTTAACTAGGCAAGTCAGTTAAGAACAAATTCTTATTTACAATGACGGCCTACACCGGCCAAACCCGGACGACGCTGGGCCAATTGTGCGCCGCCCTATGGGACTCCCAATCACGGCCGGTTGTGATACAGCCTGGAATCGAACCAGGGGGTCTTTAGTGATGCCTCAAGCACTGAGATGCAGTGCCTTAGACTGCTGCACCACTCATGAAGCTGGTTGAGAGAATTCCAAGTGTGTGCAAAGCTGTCATCAAGGCAAAGGGTGGCTATTTGAAGAATCTGAAATATAAAATATATTTTGATTTGTTTAACACTTATTTTGGTTACTACATGATTCCATATGTGTTATTTCATAGTTTTGATGTCTTCAATATTATTCTACAATGTAACAATTAGTCAAAACAAAGAAAAACCCTTGAATGAGTAGGTGTGTCCAAACATCTGACTGGTAGTGTATTTTCAGGGTTTGCCTTCTTGGGCACATAAGTTGCAGACTTACAACTTACAAGTGATATTCAGTGATATGAAGGGAGCGAAGTGACACAGAGCACAATGAGTGCCATGACATGATGAGCTTTGTGTTGTGTTCTCTGGCCTGACCTTCCATCATCCCACATCAGCCCACAATGACAAGACTGTGATGACCTAAGCAGGCAAAAATAAGATGCAGAAATCCCCCTTCTTCTCCTCCTACCCCCTCCTCCTTCTCTATGTGCCCAGCTTGCGATGTCCACTGGGGACACACACTGACCCCTGTGTGGTCTGTTAGCCTCTGTATGTGTCCCAAATGGCACCCTATTCCTTATATAGTGCACAACTTTTAACCAGAGCCCCATGCGCCCTGGTCAAAAGCAGTGCACTACATAGTGAATAGGGTGTCATTTAGGACGAAACCTTTTTCTACTTTGGTTGGCAAGGGTGGCATTGCACTCATGGAGGAGCAAAGAACGATTCAACCGATTCACAACAGATACAGTGGCTTTTCATTGTTGAGTATGAGATAATAGCCTGTAGCTATAACAACAGTGAATACTATGCCCCCAATTTGACCTCTGGTCACTCCTCTTAGTTTAGTGGCTTATTCTCATCCTTTGGCTAACCTTTAGGCTACAATAAGATGATTCACTTGGACTTGTAGGTCAAAGAAATGTACAGTGCATTCGGAAAGTATTCAGACCCCTTGACTTTTTCCACATTTTGTTACGTTACGTCACCTATCCTTATTCTAAAATTGATTAATTGTTTTTTTCCTCATCAATCTACGCACAATACCCCATAATGTCAAAGCAAAACTGGTTTTTAGAGTATTTTTTTGCAAAAATACAAAATAAAAATATCACATTTACATAAGTATTCAGACCCTTTACTCAGTACTTTGTTGAAGCACCTAGTGGCAGTGATTACAGCCTCAAGTGTTCTTGGGTATGACACTACAAGCTTGGCACACCTGTATTTGGGGAGTTTCTCCTATTCTTCTCTGCAAATCCTCTCAAGCTCTGTCAGGTTGGATGTTCGATGATGTTCGATCGGGTTCAAGTCTGGGCTCTGGCTGGGCCACTCAAGGACATTCAGAGACTTGTCCCGAAGCCACTCCTGCGTTGTCTTGGCTGTGTGCTTAGGGTTGTTGTCCTGTTGGAAGGTGAACCTTCGCCCCAGTCTGAGGTCCTGAGCGGTCTGGTGCACGTTTTCATCAAGGATCTCTCTGTACTTTGCTCCGTTCACTTTTCCCTCAATCCTTGCTAGTCTCCCAGTTCCTGCCACTGAAAGACATCCCCACAGCATGATGCTGCCACCACAATGCTTCACCGTAGGGATGGTGCCAGATTTCCTCCAGCTGTGACGCTTGGCATTCAGGCCAAAGAGTTCAATCTTGGTTTCATCAGACCAGAGAATCTTGTTTCTCATGGTCTGAGAGTCCTTTAGGTGCCTTTTGGCAAACTCCAAGCGGGCTGTCATGTGCCTTTTACTGAGGAGTGGCTTCCGTCTGGCCACTCTACCATAAAGGCCTGATTGGTGGAGTGCTGCAGAGATGGTTGTCCTTCTGGAAGGTTCTCCCATTTCCACAGAGGAACTTTGGAGCTCTGTCAGAGTGACCATCGGGTTCTTGGTCACCTCCCTGACCAATGCCCTTCTCCCCCGATTGCTCAGTTTGGCCAGATAGCCAGCTCTAGGAAGAGTCTTGGTTGTTCCAAACTTCTTCCATTTAAGAATGATGGAGGCCACTGAGTTCTTGGGGACCTTCAATGCTGCATAAATGTTTTGGTACCCTTCCCCATATCTGTGTCTCAACACAATCCTGTCTCGGAGCTCTATGGACAATTCCTTCGACCTCATGGCTTGGTTTTTGCTCTGACATACACTGTCAACTGTGGGACCTCATATTGACAGGTGTGTGCCTTTGCAAATCATGTCCAATCAATTTAATTTACCACAGGTGGACTACAATCAAGTTGTAGAAACATCTCAAGTATGATCATTGGAAACAAGATGCACCTGAGCTCAATTTCGAGTCTCATAGCAAAGGGTCTGAATACTTATGTAAATAAGGTATTTCTGTTTTTTATTTTAATACATTTGGAAAAAAAATAATCTAAAAACGTGTTTTTGCTTTGTCATTATGGGGTAGTGTGTGTAGATTGATGAGGAATTATTTTTATTTTTTCAATTTTAGAATAAGGCTGTAACGTAACAAAATGTGGCAAAGGTCAAGGGGTCTGAATACTTTCCGAATGCACTGTATCTAATGCAATTTTCATATCTCATGTTTTTTTTTTTATGTTATGAATATTGACAAATTGATTGTGTTATGCTTAAGGTCCAGCTTTAAGACTGTACTAAATTACATAATTTGATGTTAGAACTAGTATCTGGTTGTGTAAAGTTCATTTACATTTGTTTAAAACATGTTTTAGTCATTTAGTAGATGCTCTTATCCAGAGCGACTTACAGGAGCAATTAGGGTTAAGTGCCTTGCTCAAAGGCACGTCAACAGATTTTTCACCTAGTCGGCTTGGGGATTCAAACCAACGAACTTTCGGTTACTGGCCTAACGCTCTTAACTACTAGGTGGCCTGCCGCCCCTATTTATTGTTGAAGACTAGGCGGGATCGCTCAAAGGGATATATGTGCAGTACGCCTGGGTAATTTAATTGTGCTCTTATCTATTCAATCAGGAAATGCTATCCTTTTGAGTCCTGTGGAGAGGGATTTCAGCATTCTGCATTAATAATGGGGAGATTGGTTGGTGTTGAACGGGCCAACTAGTGGCCTGGTTTGGTTACTACGCTCGGTGTGGGGATCAGTGAGTCTGTCACTTCTACTGTAAAACCATACAGTAGAGTAGACTGCTTGAACTAAGATTTTTTTCAAGTAAAGTTAACTTTGCACAAACATGGACTTTACAACGACATCAGAACGGTTCTCTGTCCAAAAGTACAAAAGGAATGAGAGTGCAGATGAGAAAAATAACACATTTGGGAGATTTCTTGTCTTATTTACCCATATTAGGCAAACTAACTTCAACAATAACAACATCAACATCAACACATAATGGAGAGGATGTTGTATGTTCTGGTGTTGTCTTTAACAAGTCTTCTAAAAGCGAGATCCAGACAGAATTCAATAAACATTTGAACCTACTAAGCTTAGACTACATTACATTTGTACAGCACTGATTAGATTTAAAGACCTAGCTACTTCCTTAGATGTTTCCTCAAAACCCACATTAATTGAGAGGGTAAATATACATGTACATATACATACATGTATTACAGTATGTACTTGATCTTTTTAGAAACAGTAACCTTTCAGCTCTTCCACTGTGTTGGTGTTTTTTTGTATGTGTGAGTATAGTCAGTGTAGTTATAAAAATATAATCACAGATCCTACCAATTACGACCCATTTCAGACCAACTTGTATCGGGATGCCGTTGTAGTGATTCTATTTCTATGGGTAAACTGATGGGGAACCAGGGAGAGTTAGTTGAGACTTGAGGCTGAAACTGAAAAGCAAATAAATGCAGCCAACATCCCCGGGCCTCCCGGCTGTAAGCATGCAACAGAGCGGTTGGATTTCCCATAAGACACAAAGGGGCCAAGCTTCAAAATTGGCTCAGGCCGAAACTTCTGGCTTCAATTTATTTCTGGAGCAGTCACTGCTGATTTTAATTAGTTGAACGTTTGTGGCAGGGGCTTTTTTTTGTTGCTTACCCTTTTTAGTTGTATTCTTTCTCTATTTCTCCCTCCCCTCATTGGTCTTTGTGTGTGTGTGTGTGTGTGTGTGTGTGTGTGTGTGTGTGTGTGTGTGTGTGTGTGTGTGTGTGTGTATTTTGATGGTTGGCATTGGCCAACATCTGGAAGCCTTTGTGAAATATGTGTACAGCTTCTTTTAATGTTTGCGTAGTTTTGTTAGATCACCATCCCTCTCAGAGTGATAAAAATCCCTCATCTGGCTTGAATCAGCCATTAATATTGTTGTGATGTGGAAACACAAGCAGGGAGGGAACGGCAGATAACATGTGTGGGAAGAAACACTCACAATGCCTTCTAGAGCCTGTGTCAAACCACGGCACCACAGGCATCTCTCTCTCTCCCCCCCACACCCTTCAAACCAGGCCTGGGCCAAATACATATTCACTGTGTTTCATTTACAATCAAAAACTTATTTGAAAAAGGTTTGGAATCTATTATATACTTTATACATAAGTGAAATTGTATAATAAAATGTAAGTATGTTGAATAACATCCAGTGACTACTAAAGCTTCCATGTATGTAAGTATACAATTGTCTCTACCAAGAGGTCTGGACCGTTATGGCAGAGGAATGGGAATGCCCTACTCTGGCTGTTCATGGTAGACCCACTGCTGGTGGGGAATAAATAATGTATTTCAATGTCATGCATTTTGGTTTGGAAGCACCCTCAAAGGCCTATAGTATGAGGCACAGAGTAAAATTGGGACAATGTCTGCAGACCTTCACACATTATGGATATCCTATCCCAGTCCTTTCCTTATCTAGATGAACCAGGGGTGCGTCCCAAATGGAATCCTATTCCCTTCATAGTGCACTACTTTTGTCCAGTTTTGATCAGGACCCATAGGGCTGTGGTCAAAAGTAGTGCACTATACAGAGAATAGGGTGCCATTTGGGATACAGCCCAGGGCTGTGCCTGCAACTTATCTGATGTGGCTTTTCACAATCCAAAGGGTGTGCTCTAAACAGCAGAACATTTGGCAGTTTGGTGTGATAACGATATCGTTTTGGAGATATATCAAAACTTGATTTGAAAGTTAACATTGTGTTCTCTCGAAGAATGATTTGATAACCTGTTTAACCTATTGTCACAGAGCCATGTAAAGTAGTATAGCCTGGTCCTATGGTTCTGTTTTGTGCCAGCCATTCTATACAAAGCCTGAACTGCTTTCCTCTGGTTATTGTGCGTGTGTGTGTGTGTGCGTGCGCGTGCCAGCACGTGTGAACGCGCTTACATGTGTGCATGTGTGTGTATTCCACAGGCCTTCCCATCCTCTCCTTCAAACACATCAAGACCAGCCTGTGTAAGTGGTGTGACTACTCCAGCCCTATCTGTGAGGACAGTGTGTGTTACACCAACTGTTCCCTCTCCTCCTTCTGTAATCTGAGTGAAGAGATCTGCGTTGCAATATGGTAAGTGTGAAGGTTTCCCAAGTTCAAGTTTATTTGCCATAGGCTATATAATGAATGAGCCTCTCACATTTAAAACAGCAAGAACGTTCAGGACAAATACATACAAATATGCATACAACAACTAGTAATGTTGATCTGGTATAGCTTATAGCTTCCTATTCAAGGTACAGTATATTTATGCAATAAGGCCGAAGGAGTATATTTATGCAATAAGGCCCGAGGAGTTGTGGTATATGGCCAATATTCCACGGCTAAGAGCTGTTCTTATGCATAATGCAACACGGAGTGCCTACATACAGCCCTTAGCAGTGGTATATTGGTCAAATACCACAAACCCCGAGGTGCCTTATTGCTATTATAAACTGGTTACCAACGTAATTGGAGCAGTAAAAATAAATGTTTTGTCATTACCGTGGTATACCACGGCTGTCAGCCAATCAGCATTCAGGGCTCGACCCACCCAGTATATAATGTCTGATATTCCACAGCTTTCAGGCAATCAGCATCCAGGACCCAAACTACCCAGTTTATAATTCCCAATATACCCCCTCACTGGACTCTTATGCTGCTCTACTACAATAAGTATCCTCATCATGCCAATGATGTGTATCATCAGCATCATACATAATTAAAAAATGCAAGAAATACTTGAAAAGAGTAAACTATTTATTGAATGAGAGACAAAAAAAGAAAACACCCTGTAAACAGGATATACAGTAGTTCATTTGTGTATCCTAGACTTTAAATGAATTGGCCAGTATGTTTTTTTATTGAACGATTCTGATCAGAAATTATGAGGGATGGTGAGGAGTGGGGCATTTTTATGCTATTGTCATGATCATTGAGAGACGGGTCAGACCAAGGTGCAGCGTGGTATGCGAACAAAAAACAACAAAAGGCAACGAAACGTGATGTCGGAAGGCTATACACAAACACACCAAAACACAAACAAGATCCCACAACCCAGGCAGGAAAACTGGCTGCCTAAGTATGATCCCCAATCAGAGACAACGAGCGACAGCTGCCTCTGATTGGGAATCATACCCGGCCAAACATAGAAATATAACAACTAGAATCTAAACATAGATATACAACAACATAGAACTAAACATGCACACCCTGACCAAACTAACTAGAGTTCTAGAGGTCAGGGCGTGACAGCTATGTTTGCAATGAGGAGGACAAAGTCAATTGTGGCTCTATTTGATTGTTGCTCTCAGTCTGGTATGCTGGGCCCTGGTGGTCAAACCTCTACAGTAATAAAGATATAGTTCCCTATGGGCCCTTGTCAAAAGTGGTTCATGTTATAGGAAATAGTGTGCCACTGTATCATTTGGTACGCATTCTTGGTCTTAGTTCTTCCCCTCCTAGCCCAGGGTGGTTGTTTCTGTGAAGTTTATTGGCTGTTCCAATGGCACCCTATGGGCCCTGGTCAACAGTAGTGCACTACATAGGGAAATGGTGCCATTTGGGATGCATACGGATTGAAAGAGACTGGTGTTATTGAGACTGGTGTGTTGGCAGGCAGGATACGAAAGCAGATTGGATTGACCATTTGTAAAATAAAAACGTACAATCCACTCTAGCAAATCATGCATAACAATTCCACACAAAACCACAAAAGTAAAAAGGCAACTTCCCAGACACATTATTCCTATTATACACTGCTCAAAAAAATAAAGGGAACACTAAAATAACGCATCCTAGATCTGAATGAATGAAATCATCTTATTAAATACTTTTTTCTTTACATAGTTGAATGTGCTGACAACAAAATCACACAAAAATTATCAATGGAAATCAAATGTATCAACCCATGGAGGTCTGGATTTGGAGTCACCCTCAAAATTAAAGTGGAAAACCACACTACAGGCTGATCCAACTTTGATGTAATGTCCTTAAAACAAGTCAAAATGAGGCTCAGTAGTGTGTGTGGCTTCCACGTGCCTGTATGACCTCCCTACAACGCCTGGGCATGCTCCTGATGAGGTGGCGGATGGTCTCCTGAGGGATCTCCTCCCAGACCTGGACTAAAGCATCCGCCAACTCCTGGACAGTCTGTGGTGCAACGTGGCGTTGGTGGATGGAGCGAGACATGATGTCCCAGATGTGCTCAATTGGATTCAGGTCTGGGGAACGGGCGGGCCAGTCGATAGCATCAATGCCTTCCTCTTGCAGGAACTGCTGACACACTCCAGCCACATGAGGTCTAGCATTGTCTTGCATTAGGAGGAACCCAGGGCCAACCGCACCAGCATATGGTCTCATAAGGGGTCTGAGGATCTCATCTCGGTACCTAATGGCAGTCAGGCTACCTCTGGCGAGCACATGGAGGGCTGTGCGGCCCCCCAAAGAAATGCCACCCCACACCATGACTGACTCACCACCAAACCGGTCATGCTGGAGGATGTTGCAGGCAGCAGAACGTTCTCCACGGCGTCTCCAGACTCTGTCACATCTGTCACATGTGCTCAGTGTGAACCTGCTTTCATCTGTGAAGAGCACAGGGCGCCAGTGGCGAATTTGCCAATCTTGGTGTTCTCTGGCAAATGCCAAACGTCCTGCACGGTGTTGGGCTGTAAGCACAACCCCCACCTGTGGACGTTGGGCCCTCATACCACCCTCATGGAGTCTGTTTCTGACCGTTTGAGCAGACACATGCACATTTGTGGCCTGCTGGAGGTCATTTTGCAGGGCTCTGGCAGTGCTCCTCCTGCTCCTCCTTGCACAAAGGCGAAGATAGCAGGCCTGCTGCTGGGTTGTTGCCCTCCTATGGCCTCCTCCACGTCTCCTGATGTACTGGCCTGTCTCCTGGTAGCGCCTCCATGCTCTGGATACTACGCTAACAGACACAGCAAACCTTCTTGCCACAGCTCGCATTGATGTGCCATCCTGGATGAGCTGCACTACCTGAGCCACTTGTGTGGGTTGTAGACTCCATCTCATGCTACCACTAGAGTGAAAGCACCGCCAGCATTCAAAAGTGACCAAAACATCAGCCAGGAAGCATAGGAACTGAGAAGTGGTCTGTGGTCACCACCTGCAAAACCAGTCCTTTATTGGGGGGTGTCTTGCTAATTGCCTATAATTTCCACCTGTTGTCTATTCCTTTTGCACAACAGCATGTGACATTTATTGTCAATCAGTGTTGCTTCCTAAGTGGACAGTTTGATTTCACAGAAGTGTAATTGACTTGGAGTTACATTGTGTTGTTTAAGTGTTCCCTTTATTTTTTTGATCAGTGTATATAGTTCAGCCATTTCAGTTTACTAGTTTGATAAATAACTTCTAAATAATTTGTGTGTGTGTGTGTGTGTGTGCGCCTGCATGTGTGTTTGCCTGCGCGTATGTGTGCGCCTGTACACGTGTGTGTACGTCTGCCTGCTCACCTGCCTGCCTCCCTCTCTGCCTGCCTGATTTTGTGGGTTTCCATGTGTCCCAGGCGGAAGGACAACCAGAGTATGAGTGTGAAGACGTTATGCCACCAGCCCCAGCAGCCCCTGGAGAACATCATGTTGTCCAACTACTCCTCCAGCGAGTGTGTGATGGCTCCTCAGCCCTCTGAGGACGGGGTCCTGTTCATCTGTGGCTGCCTGGGAGAACATGAGTGCAACGATAAGCTCATATTTGACAAGGGCTCCAATGGTAACAGCACTATTTTTTACTCTGGAACCAGGCGCAGTGTACATGATGCAACCAGACAAATTTTAAACTGAAAAGTATTTCATTATGATTATGTAAGTATTTGATGATTAATTAGGATTATTAGAAGTTAGTCTATCAATAAAAAATGCAACGTGAGGAAAAAGGAGAAACATGTATAGTGCCTTCAGAAAGTATTCATACCCCTTGACTTATTCCACATTTTGTTACAGCCTGAATTCGAAATGGATTCAATATAAAAAAAAATCACCCATCTACACACAATACCCCATAATGACAAAGTGAAAACATGTTTTTAGAAATGTTTGCAAATTTATTGAAAATGAAATACAGAAATATCTTATTTACATAAGTATTCACACCCCTGAGTCAATACTATGTAGAAGCACCTTTGGTGCAAATGTAACTCTTTTCCACAGATTTTCAATGGGATTCAAGTCTGGGCTTTGACCGGGCCACTCAAGGACTTTCACATTCTTGTTCTGAAGCCATTCTAGCATTGCTTTGGCTGTATGCTTGGGGTCATTGTCCTGTTGGAACGTAAATCTTCGCCCCAGTCTAAGGCAGTTTGCACTCTGAAGCAGGTTCTCCTCAAGGAGTTGCCTGTATTTGGCTCCATTCATTGTTCCCTCATCCTTACCAGTCTCCCAGTCCCTGCCGCTGAAAAGCATCCCTATAGCATGATGCTGCCACAACCATGCTTCACGGTAGGGATGGTGTTAGACGGGTGATGAGCTGTGTCTTGCTTGCTCCAGACATTGCTCTTTGCATTCAGGCCAAAGAGTTACATTTGTCTCATCAGACCACAGAATATTTTGCTCTGAGTCTTTCACATGCCTTTTTGCAAACTCCAGGCGTACTGTCATGTGCCTTTTTCTCAGGAGTGGATTCCGTCTGGCCACTCTCCCATAAAGCCCAGATTGGTGAAGTGCTGTAGAGACTGTTGTCCTTCTGGCAGGTTCTGTCATATCAGCTAAGGAACTCTGTCGTTCTCTCAGATTGGTCATTGGTTTCTTGGTCACCTCCTTGACCAAGGTCCTTTTTGCCAGGTTGCGCAGTTTGGTCAGACGGCCAGCTCTAGGCAGAGTGGGTAGTTCCATATTTTTTCAATTTCCCAATGATGGAGACCACTGTGCTCTTGGAAACTTTCAACACTCTAGAAATTGTTTTATACCCTTCCCCAGATATATGCCTCATCACAATTCTAACTCGGAGATCTACGGACAGTTCCTTGTACTTCATGGTATAGTTTCTGTTCTGACATGCACTGTCAACTGTGGGACCTTATATAGACAGGTGTGTTTCTTTCTAAATCATGTCCAAACAATTGAATTGTCCACAGGTGGACTCCAATCAAGTTGCAGCGACATCTCAAGGATGATCAAAGGAAATTGGATGCACCTGAGCTCAATTTTGAGTGTCATAGCAAAGGGGTGTGAATGCTTATGTAAATGAGATAATTTTGTATTTCATTTTCAATAAATTTGCACAAATTTCTAAAAACATGTTTTCGCTTTGTCATTATGGGGTATTCTGTGTAGATGGGTGAGAAAAAAAAAAAATTCATCGATTTTGAATTCAGGCTGTAAAACAACAAGATGTGGAATAAGTCAAGGGGTATGAATACTTTCTGAAGGCACTTTAAATGTAAATACAAAATGTAGTAGTAGTAATGTTGTATACTTACCTATGATCAGATTCCATGTTGTCTTCACTGTGTTTTTAACTGTGTCCTCAGGTTTTTCCAAGCCCAAGAGTAAAGATGTGATCCCAGTGGTAGTGATCAGCCTGGTTCCTCCCTTCTTAGTGGCTATCATCGCTTCCATGGCTTTCTACCTGTACCGCACCAAACAGCCCGGCAAGCAGCCCAAAGACTGGGCTCCCAAACACACACACTACCAGGTGGGTGGAACACTGAAAAATATAATAGCTTCCAGTTGGTTATGTCTGTGTTCCAACTGGCACCCTATTCCCTACAACATAGGTCCCTGGTCAAAAGTAGTGCAGTATATAGAGAATAGGGTGCTATTTGGGACACAGACAAAACCAACTAGAAGCAATTCATAAAAAGCTGTCAACTAAAATTCCCCATTGGATGGGTTGCTAAAGGCGACTTGATACATAACTACAAATATAGATAATTCATTCATTCATTCACCAGGCCTTGGACATCCCAGAGGGCCTTAGTGGGGACGCCATCACCGGCGGTGAGGACTGCCATGGCAAGCTGTCAGCCATCAATGGCGACATCACCTCTGACATGTGTCCTGTCCGGGCCAATAACTTCAACCACAACATGGAGCAGCTGCCTATCCAGCTGGAAGCCTTGGTGGGGAAGGGTCGCTTCGCTGAGGTGTGGCGGGCCAAGCTCCACCACCAGGCTGCTGGTTCTCTGTACGAGACAGTGGCAGTGAAGGTGAGGGTTTTTACCTCTCCCCTGTTTTGTTTCCCTTCTCCCCTTTTTTGACTGAGTCCTAAATGGCACCATATTCCCTATATAACTCACTGCTTTTGACCAGGGCCCATTGGGCTCTGGTCAAAATTAGTACACTATGTAGGAAAAAGGTTGTCATTCGGTACACAGTCTTTGTTTTCCCTCTCTCCTTTAATTTATTAGTATTTTTCTGTAAAGTGTTTTGAATGAATGAATACCTTATTGTCCCTTTAGGGGAAATTTGTCTAGCAACAAATCGTAGCCCTAGGCATACACATACACAAAAACACAGGACATACAACACTTCACTTATGTGCAACACATATCACAGGACATACTTCAGACAGACATACACTGTAGATGAATACTGTAAGTGTGGGGTTGGTTTATAGTCCGTCTGTGTTTAGGAATCTGATGCTGGTTGGAGTGAATGACTTGCGTGCCCGGTTTGTTCTGCAGAGTGGGGTTTTGAGTCTTCGGCCGGACTGTAACATGTTATATTGGTCGTACAGAGGGTGTGTGATGTCTTTATTGATGTGATTTTCATGTGATATAACACTTTGAATACATTTTTATTTGAAGATCTTCCCGTCTGTGGAGTACGTGTCCTGGAGTAAGGAGAGGACCATCTTCTCTGACGCCAACCTGGAGCACGACAATGTGGTTAAATTCCTGACAGCAGAGGAGCGAGGGCCCTCCGGCTCCCCTCAGAGGCAGTACTGGCTGGTCATGGCCTATTACAGCCTTGGGAACCTGCAGGTATGTTTGTCTTTGTTTTTTTTTTGGTTATTGCTTGGTTGATTGAGGCCTGGATCCAATCGAAGTGACGTTGTCGACAAGCGTATTGCATTTGAATTCTAAAGGTAATTAACGCTTAAGCCAACATCCGCAGCGTTTACCGTGAATGTGGTCTCTGTGAACGTTGGAGAAATTGCCTTTAAAAGGCTAAAGGGCGACTAGACACGAAAATTGATTTAATTTGTTCATTCATTCAACCATCCATCCATTCATTTCAGGACTTCCTGGCGGGCCACGTGTTGAGCTGGGCTGAGTTTTGTGCTATGGCTGGGTCGGTGGCTCAAGGATTGGCCCACCTTCACAGTGATACCACCCCCTGTGGGATCCCCAAGGTGCCCGTGGCCCACCGCGATCTGAAGAGCAGCAACATCGTGGTGAAGAGCAGAAGAGAGTGTGCCCTCTGTGACTTTGGTCTGGCTCTGAGGCTGGACCTCTCCCTCACCGTGGATGACTTTGCCAACAGTGGCCAGGTAAGGTGGAACAGGTGTAATACCCAACGTAGTCGCTAAGGGAACCTGGTATCAGAGTTCCACTCTAGCTACAGCAACTATGAAGTAGGCCTATGCATGCTGCCTTCTGACACAATTACTGTATCTGTGAAAATGTCTTACAGAAAATAACAACATATTAAATTGTAGAGTCCTGGTTGAATGCCACCTTAAATAAAAAATATGCTATATGAATGAAATTGTATTATAAAGCAGTGCTAAAACCAGAATGAACCAGCAGGCCCCTCATATATTGTTTCTTTGTTTAATGTACAGATGTAGGATCTTAATTTGAGCCAGTTTGTTACAGCAGGATAATTATTATGTGGATTATAATTAATGAACCCTGTATGGGTTGATCAATTTTTCAAATGGGAAAATCAAGTCTGAAATTTCACAGTGGAAATTACAAACTTCAAAAGCGTTTTTAAACCTCAAATAAACTACAAGTTTAAAAAGGACAGTTCTCCTGCAACAGGGTGATCAAATGTATATCTACAGCTGTACTGTCACTGTCCCTTGTTGTCCAGGTGGGTACAGCTCGCTACATGGCCCCTGAGGTGTTGGAGTCCAGGGTGAATCTGGAGGATCTGGAGGCCTTTAAACAGATGGATGTCTACTCCATGTCCCTGGTCCTCTGGGAAATGGTGTCCCGCTGCGAAGTCATAGGCGGTACATTAAGCTATTCTACTACGGGCTGATTCAGGGGTAACATAGACTGTGATGAAAGGGCACTGTAAATGTAGAATAGATGATGAATAACAAAGGATTTACAGTGTGTTTCCTGTATTTTCATAGAGGTGAAGAGTTATGAGCAGCCCTTTGGCTCTAAGGTGTGTGACCAGCCGTGTGTGGACAGCATGAGGGACCTTGTCCTGAGGGACAGGGGCAGACCTGAGATACCCACCAGCTGGAAAACACATCAGGTACACTGTGTTGTGTGTGTGTGTGTTTGAGTGCATGGTGAGGGAACTGGGTAGTCAGCACTTCTCAGCCCATTGAGGCCGGTATTCAATACGAGCGCTCTAGTCGACAATGTGGCTGTTGAAGGAAATGTTACCGCGTTCATGGAGATTGCATTTAAGGTAAACGCTGCAGATGTCAGCTCAATTGGAAATTACCTTTAAATGTGAAGCGTGCTATAGCGAGGTTTCCGATTGAATCCCGGCCTGCATGATAACCTATGATAACAATTTACAATCACATCACCTATAATTCACATTGGTTGTCAACAGGTTTGGGGTCAATTATATTCCAATTCAACCAATACAGAAAGTAAACTGATGGAAGTATATATACATACAGTACCAGTCAAAGGTTTGGACACATCTACTCATTCCAGGGTTTTGTAGAATAATAGTGAAGACATCAAAACTATGAAATAACACATATGGAATCATGCAGTAACCAAAAAAGTGTTTAACAAATCCAAATATATTTTATATTTGAGATTCTTCTCATAGCCACCCTTTGCCTTGATGACAGCTTTGCACACTCTTGGCATTCTCTCAACCAGCTTCACCTGGAATGCGGCCTCCGACCGCAAGGCACTACAGAGGGTAGTGCGTACGGCCCAGTACATCACTGGGGCCAAGCTTCCTGCCATCCAGGACCTCTATACCAGGCGGTGTCAGAGGAAGGCCCTTAAAATTGTCAGACTCTAGCCACCCTAGTCATAGACTGTTCTCTCTGCTACCGCACGGCAAGCGGTACCGGAGTGCCAAGTCTAGGTCCAAAAGACTTCTCAACAGCTTCTACCCCCAAGCCATAAGACTCCTGAACAGCTAATCATGGCTACCCAGACTATTTGCACTGCTCCCCCCCACCCCCACCCCCACCCCATCTATTTACGCTGCTGCTACTCTGTTAATTATTTATGCATAGTCACTTTAACTCTACCCACATGTATATATTACCTCAACTACCTCAACTAGCCGGTGCCCCCGCACATTGACTCTGCACCGGGTCCCCCTGTATTTAGCCTCCCTACTGTTATTTAATTTGACTTCTGCTCTTTTTTTCTCAACACTTTTTTGTTGTTGTTTTATTTTACTTTGTTATTAAAAAATAAATGCATTGTTGGTTAAGGGCTGTAAGTAAGCATTTCACGGTAATGTCTACACCTGTTGTATTCGGCGCATGTGGCCAATAAAATTTTACTTTATTTGATTTGATTTTCCAACAGTCTTGAAGAAGTTCCCACATATGCTTAGCATTTGTTGTCCGCTTTTCCTTCACTCTGCCGTTGACTCATCCCAAACCATCTCAATTGGGTTGAGGTCGGGGGATTGTGGAGGCCAGGTCATCTCCATCACTCTCCTTCTTCGTAAAATAGCCCTTACATAGCCTGGAGGTGTGTTCGGTCATTGTCCTGTTAAAAATCTAATGATAGTCCCACTAAGCCCAAACCAGATGGGATGGCGAATCGCTGCAGAATGCTGTGGTAGCCATGCTGGTTAAGTGAGACTTGAATTCTAAATAAATCACAGACAGTGTGACCAGCAAAGCACTCCCACACCATATCATCTCCTCCTCCATGCTTTATGGTGGGAACTACACGAGGAGAGACATGGCAGTTGTAACCAAAAATCTCAAATTTGGACTCCAGACCAAAGGACACATTTCCACCAGTCTAATGTCCATTGCTTGTGTTTCTTGGCCCAAGCAGGTCTCTTCTTATTATTTTTGTCCTTTAGTAGTGGTTTCTTTGCAGCAATTCGACCATGAAGGCCTGATTCACACAGTCCCCTCTGAACAGTTGATGTTGAGATGTGTCTGTTACTTGAACTTTGTGAAGCATTTATTTGGGCTGCAATTTCTGAGGCTGGTAACTCTAATGAACTTATCCTCTGCAGCAGAGGTAACACTGGGTCTTCCATTCCTGTGCCGGTCCTCATGAGAGCCAGATTCATCATAGCGCTTGATGGTTTTTGCGACTGCAAACCCTTGAATGAGTAGGTGTGTCCAAACTTTTGACTGGTACTGTATATATATACAGGTAACAAACTGAGATTAGGAGCACTCCCTTTAAGAGTTTTTCTTGATTTTTTTTGTTGTTATTCTGTCTCTCACTGTTCAAATAAACCTACCATTAAAATTATAGACTGATCATTTCTTTGTCAGTGGGCAAACATACAAAATCAGCAGGGGATCAAATACTTTTTTCCCTCACTGTATATATATATTTTAACTTTCTGTATTGACTAAATATAGTCAATGAATCAAACCTTCCTGGTCCTACTCTTCCCTACTGTAGGGTATGGATCTGCTGTGCGCCACCATCAATGAGTGTTGGGACCACGACCCAGAGGCCAGGCTCACAGCCCACTGTGTGGTGGAGCGCATTGGAAGTCTAGTAAAGGAGATGGAGCAGAGGGGGTGAGACACCGTCAACAACAGCCTCCACTGACTGTGACGTGGACACTTTGGCCCCTGAAACAGACACAGAAGGACCCTCATCCCTGGGCCGCCGACTGAGATAGTACAAGGATCACCAAAAATAGACATTTCTGTATGATAGATTGAAGTCACTCTACCCTACGAACAAAAGAAAAGGGACTCATTTTTGTATGATATATTGTTTCATTTGAAGGAGCTGGTCTCCTGATCGAGTTGTGTAATATAGCCTTTATGAAGTGTCTTATGAATGCACTTTTGAACTTGTGACACTGACGAGATTTTCTTTGTGCCCCTTGGAAAGTTTTGTGCACAGGATTCAGGGAAGAGAGCAAACTAGCATACCACTAATTATCATCCCAACTTAACTATTACACTGTAACATCATGTCAATTTGACCAATAACTAAAAAAGTGGATCAGTTTCCAAATCTGAAGTACATAAATCCTGTAGTGAATGATGACATGGATGCATCACGAATGGCACCCTGTTCCCTACTACTGTTGACCAGAGCCCTATTGCTTTGCTATATACATTGACTAGGGTGCCGTTTGGGAGGCAACAATGGTTGTTATTTGCTACAGTACAGAAAGCACTGTGTGTGGTGTACCAGCTATTTAAATTGGTCCTTGTTCCTATTGGAGATAATTTACCTTACAAGAATGATTCCTTACCACTTTTATTTTTCTTCTCAAATGAACTGTTCCATTGCCTTCTCACAGTGTGTAGCCTCAAAAGCCCCATTTATACCTGCCGCTTACAAGCGTTCTTCGTCCTGATCTTGCCAGTTTACACTTCTAAGATCTGATCAAAATCAGTTCACAACAAGTCTTTTAATCGTCTACACCTGTCTAAAAATGTGGGCACAATCAGAATGAGTCACGATTTGGACGAAGGGTGCAAGTTAGAACCAGGTATAAAGTGGCTAAAGAGCAGTGTGGTCCTTGTCCTCCCAGGTAGCGTCCCAACTGCCATTATGGGCCCTGGTCAAAAGTAGTGCACTATATAGGGAATAGGATGCAATTTGTGACGCAAACCCAGAGTTAGCTCAGAGCTGAGAGGTTTGCATTTTTCTTAGGGTTTCACTCTGATTACCACAAGCTGCTGCTACTGTGAATGGTGAATGTTATCTAGACTAGAGACCACAACACACAAACAAGCATGGAGAAATGCCCTTTTTAAAATGAAAGAAAACGAAAAAGCATTTAATGATTCCTTTGAACTGATAGCTGCATATATATATATATATATACACATTGAGGGAAAAAAGTATTTGATCCCCTGCTGATTTTGTACGTTTGCCCACTGACAAAGAAATGATCAGTCTATAACTTTAATGGTAGGTTTATTTGAACAGTGAGAATCAGAATAACAACAAAAAAATCCAGAAAAACGCATGTCAAAAATGTTATAAATCAATTTGCATTTTAATGAGGGAAAAAAGTATTTGACCCCTCTGCAAAACATGACTTAGTACTTGGTGGCAAAACCCTTGTTGGCAATCACAGAGGTCAGACGTTTCTTGTAGTTGGCCACCAGGTTTGCACACATCTCAGGATGGATTTTGTCCCACTCCTCTTTGCAGATCTTCTCCAAGTCATTAAGGTTTCGAGGCTGATGTTTGGCAACTCGAACCTTCAGCTCCCTCCACAGATTTTCTATGGGATTAAGGTCTGGAGACTGGCTAGGCCACTCCAGGACCTTAATGTGCTTCTTCTTGAGCCACTTTTTTGTTGCAATGGCCGTGTGTTTTGGGTCATTGTCATGCTGGAATACCCATCCACGACCCATTTTCAATGCCCTGGCTGAGGGAAGGAGGTTCTCACCCAAGATTTGACGGTACATGGCCCTGTCCATCATCCCTTTGATGCGTCCCCTTAGCAGAAAAACACCCCCAAAGCATAATGTTTCCACCTCCATGTTTGACGGTGGGGATGGTGTTCTTGGGGTCATAGGCAGCATTCCTCCTCCTCCAAACACGGCGAGTTGAGTTGATGCCAAAGAGCTCCATTTTGGTCTCATCTGACCACAACACTTTCAGCCAGTTCTCCTCTGAATCATTCAGATGTTCATTGGCAAACTTCAGACAGCCCTGTATATATGCTTTCTTGAGCAGGGGGACCTTGCGGGCGCTGCAGGATTTCAGTCCTTCACGGCGTAGTGTGTTACCAATTGTTTTCTTGGTGTCTATGGTCCCAGCTGCCTTGAGATCATTGACAAGATCCTCCCGTGTAGTTCTGGGCGGATTCCTCACCGTTCTCATGATCATTGCAACTCCACGAGGTGAGATCTTGCATGGAGCCCAAGGCCGAGGGAGATTGACAGTTATTTTGTGTTTCTTCCATTTGCGAATAATCGCACCAACTGTTGTCACCTTCTCACCAAGCTGCTTGGCGATGGTCTTGTAGCCCATTCCAGCCTTGTGTAGGTCTACAATCTTGTACCTGACATCCTTGGAGAGCTCTTTGGTCTTGACCATGGTGGAGAGTTTGGAATCTGATTGATTGATTGCTTCTGTGGACAGGTGTCTTTTATACAGGTAACAAACTGAGATTAGGAGCACTCCCTTTAAGAGTGTGCTCCTAATCTCAGCTCGTTACCTGTATAAAAGACACCTGGGAGCCAGAAATCTTTCTGATTGAGAGGGGGTCAAATACTTATTTCCCTCATTCAAATGCAAATCAATTTATAACATTTTTTTGTTGTTATTCTGTCTCTTACTGTTCAAATAAACCTACCATTAAAATTATAGACTGATCATTTCTTTGTCAGTGGGCAAACGTACAAAATCAGCAGGGGATCAAATACTTTTTTCCCTCACTGTATATATATTTAAAGCTATTGCATACAACTGCATTGATTGTGAAGATATGTTTTTCCCACCATGTGAAGTACTTGATGCCTTCATCCATTTACGAAGACAAAAAGTGTATTTGTTTTAGTCAAATCCTATGTCTGACCATTAAGAGGAGGGCATGATCTGTCTTAATATACATCAGAGAACTCACACTGAGGGACTGCTCTCCCAGACAGCCTGGTCTGAGACTCTCAGATTTACACCAATTCAATAATTCACTGACTCTCTTGCTTCAAAGGTAACATTAAAGTCTTCCATCGCACTAACCATGCGGACTCAATTAACAGGAGTTGGTGTAGATTTGATTAAGCCATTAAGAAGATCAATAGATTTTCCTCTGAGAACCAATGTCTGGGAAAGCAGCTCTCTCTAATTGTGAGGCATGACATGGACTTCCTCTTCGAATCATGAGCTGGGTCGTGTTCAATAGGCACAAAATGGAAGACAATTGAGTTAAATGTGGAAATACTATCTTAGACTTGTCCAATAAGAAGGGCTTGTTTTTGCTTTCTGTTCTAAAAACGTTTTGCTACGGTGTGACTTAATGAACACAACCCAGGTTAACCCTCTTCCCTCGGGAATGGACAAGTTTGGGGATGCACAGAGTAAGAACAAGGCCTTAACTATATGGAGAAATGTGTCTGTATAATATTAATGATCTATGCAGAAGATGGAAGAATTATGTTATTTGACCACAGATAAATACCAAATGATTGTGAACTGGTTCTACTATCCAACATGTTGCCTATTTGTCTTATAAAAGAGTTTATGTATCAATCTTTTTATTTTCTTCCAATTTGTGAGAAAAACACCACAAAACTGTCATAAAAACACACATGAAAAAGAACATCAAACATTACACTGTCAAGTGGCTTTATTGGTTTGTTGTTCCGGATCCCTTATTTTAAGAGGTTGACTTTGTACACATGTCACAATATTTCAGCAAGGAGCGCAGATTTAGGCCAGGATTCAATCCGATTGTGCTTTGTCAGCTATGCACCATTTAAAAGGCAGATTGAGCCAACATATGCAGCATTAACCGTGAATGCGGTCTCTCGCGAACCTGGGAACATTGCCTTTAAAAAGGTGCATAGCCGACAAATTGTGATCAGATTGAATCCCGGTCCCAGAGAGCAGCAATAGTAATAATATGGTGTATCAAGAACTAATGACATGAACAGATGTACGAATACATCAACGTTTGTCATAATTTCTTCTGATTGTTTTAATAGTTTTGTTGATTAAATTGCCAAAGCAGCCCTTTTAGTGAGAAATAAGAAACTACAGCAATAAAAACAAAGTAAATTATATTTGATGAGGATTTTTTTTGTTGCAATCTTTTAATTTATGTACAATAGAAAACCTTACATTTCTGTATAGAAATATCTTTGGTCAAGCAAAGATTTCAGGTATATGCATGTTCTCCCTTTTTGTACTGTTTCAAACAAACATCATACATTTCTTCATGTTGAGAAGAATTACTTATCATATAAATGCCATATATGTTTAATATTCGCTCACAATGACCATCAGAAGAGTGCCACCAGTGAGCTGTAAAACATACCATCTTTTTTTCAGCTAGGGAAAAATCAACACATTTTCTACATACACACACTACACAATTGACTCTCGTACAACACTAAACATGATCACAAATAAAAGCACTGCCATCCTTCACTTCGCTCTGGAATGTAACACAAAACTAAAGGACATAACACAAAAACAAACAAGACATTCTAATGCAGACAATTGCATGGGTACAAACAAAAACGTAATAATCTAACATGTCTTTTCCATAAAATATATTAAACTATCCCCTTAGGCAGCATTCTAGTAATCGTCTCAATTAACAGGTAGACACTCTCAGCCATGTTGTGGTCTCAATCCATCTCAATCCACCTCATCAACACATTAGTTTTGTGTTCCTCATGATAAAATACAAATGTCCCGTAATTGATGTAGGCCCTGTTTGCAATCATACAGAAAACAAATCATCTACAAGCAGCTGCAAAATGACAAACAAAACACATACAACTGGATCCAAAATGAAACTTCAAAAACAACAAGTTTCCAAAGATCTAATACATAGGAAATTAATTAATATCTTTTAAACTAGTGTGCCAAAATGTTTTGTTTATCACAGTTATTGCTATCTCTTTGTCATGTCTCCAGAAACAGCAGTTGCATAAAAACCATAATGCCGCCCCTACTCATCTAACAATCACCAGTTCTTATACACTGTAAACCCCAAGGCATTTTAAACTCAAATACTTCTAGCAAGTTGAACTCAAAGTCAATGAAACGTCATTATTACTTAAAATGTTTATGTGTTACTGACTCAAAACTAAATGAGAAGTCACATACATAAAAATAAAAAAAGTGATGCTAACTTTTTCCCAACATGCTCTACTGGAGGTTGGTTTTTTGGAATAGTTTTTAATATCTGTTTTTGTATGTACATTGAGTGATTGATTGATTAATCTTAGGCTACACAAAGATAAATAACATACATTTTCCTAAACTAATCCAATCATTTAGTTAGATTTTTTGCACCCATTACTAAAATAGTTGTTCTAGTTTAAATGGCTTAGGTAGTTTGGGACAGTTACCCCTACTTGCAGGACTGATGTGGCCTGTAAACCATGAGTTTCAGGCGCTTGTATTAGGGTAAAGGTACGCCTCAAAATAAGGCCTTATGAGATATGTAATGTATTGTCATAAAGAGTTTAATTTTAATGATAACATGCGCCTATTAACTCACATGGTGAAGGCCACAGGACTGAAAATGAATGAATTCAACAACCATGTCTCTGTCACTAACGAATCTAGTCATGGGTGGTAACGCTACATTTCACTCGAAAAGGCAAGGGACACTGGGAAATAATATTGGAGGCGTGGCTTAGTCAGGGCGTTACTCAACATTTTCAAGCTGATACAACTCAAGTCTGGACAGCACAGTGACTATTGGTTTGAGTAATGACTACAAAATCACTTTAAGTAACTGTACTCGGATACATTAAGTGCAAAGGGTTTCCTCAAAATATTTGAAGTAATGACTGCACATTGGGGTTTACAGTGTACATAGGACCATAGACAATATAAAACAGCATGTCAATGGCACATCTTTAATTGCAGTGAAATAAGGTATTTAGTTCATACTCCTGTGTACACTGTACTGAGTACAGTTTGTTGCATTTGATTTTATGTTAAACTACACGTATGACAGACATGGCATTATTAGGATTTATTGTCCTGTCATCTTGTAAATCTCTTGTGATTGTTTTGATAATGCCATTTTCTATGTACAGTATGTAAAGATCCAACCTCAGGCACATAACATAAACCAATAATGTAAGATTGCCAAATTGTTTCATACCAAATTGTGGTCAAAAGTTTTGAGAATGACACAAGTATTGGTCTTCACAAAGTTCACTGCTTCAGTGTTATGAGATACAGTGGGGGAAAAAAGTATTTAGTCAGCCACCAATTGTGCAAGTTCTCCCACTTAAAAAGATGAGAGGCCTGTAATTTTCATCATAGGTACACGTCAACTATGACAGACAAAATGAGAAAAAAAAAATCAAAAAATTACATTGTAGGATTTTTAAGTCGTCACCAAACTGTTCTTGGATGGTTGGGAGAAGTTGCTCTCGGAGGATGTGTTGGTACCATTCTTTATTCATGGCTGTGTTCTTAGGCAAAATTGTGAGTGAGCCCACTCCCTTGGCTGAGAAGCAACCCCACACATGAATGGTCTCAGGATGCTTTACTGTTGGCATGACACAGGACTGATGGTAGCGCACACCTTGTCTTCTCCGGACAAGGTGTTTTCCAGATGCCCCAAACAATCGGAAAGGGGATTCATCAGAGAAAATGACTTTACCCCAGTCCTCAGCAGTCCAATCCCTGTACCTTTTGCAGAATATCAGTCTGTCCCTGATGTTTTTCCTGGAGAGAAGTGGCTTCTTTGCTGCCCTTCTTGACACCAGGCCATCCTCCAAAAGTCTTTGCCTCACTGTGCGTGCAGATGCACTCACACCTGCCTGCTGCCATTCCTGAGCAAGCTCTGCACTGGTGGTGCCCCGATCCCCCGGCTGAATCAACTTTAGGAGATGGTCCTGGCGCTTGCTGGACTTTCTTGGGCGCCCTGACGCCTTCTTCACAACAATTGAACCTCTCTCCTTGATGATCTGAAAAATGGTTGATTTAGGTGCAATCTTACTAGCAGCAATATCCTTGCCTGTGAAACCCTTTTTGTGCAAAGCAATGATGACAGCACGTGTTTCCTTGCAGGTAACCATGGTTAACAGAGTAAGAACAATGATTTCAAGCACCACCCTCCTTTTAAAGCTTCCAGTCTGTTATTCTAACTCAATCAGCATGACAGAGTGATCTCCAGCCTTGTCCTCGTCAACACTCTCACCTGTGTTAACGAGAGAATCACTGACATGATGGCAGCTGGTCCTTTTGTGGCAGGGCTGAAATGCAGTGGAAATGTTTTTTCATTTTCATGGCTAAGAGGGACTTTGCAATTAATTGCAATTCATCGGATCACTCTTCATGACATTCTGGAGTATACGCAAATTGCCATCATCAAAATTGAGGCAGCAGACTTTGTGAAAATTAGTATTTGTGTCATTCTCAAAACGTTTGACCACGACTGTATGGTCAAATGAATTAGTAATTATTCTGTATAGTGCTTAGAGAAGAGGGACAATATGAATGCTGCTAATTGTGCTGTATTTATAAAAGCCATACCCTGCACCATGAAACTTACAAGAGTCAAGTTAAATAGCAAAATTAACTGATGTTACTTCACTTTACTAATCAAGATATGTTGTATAGTCCAGTGCATTTAAGAGAGGAACATTAAAATATGGTAATAGTATACCATATCAACTGAAATAAATAAGACAAAATAACAAGTCACTCGAGTCATATATGCCAACATTACAATACAGTAGGCTTACACCAGAGTCAATGGAATGCTAGAGGTATAACACCATCATATAGTACTTGTTGTTTGTTATCCCTTTAACTTTAAATTGAATATACTGCAGTAAGTACTACTGTATAACTGTGTGTAAGTACTATATAATTGCATTACTAAATCTATTCCATTATAGTTACTAAGGAATAATGCCCTGACCAACATTGAAGCTAAGAGAGTTTCTGAAACTGAGAAGTCCTATTCACTTCAGCAGGTGTACATTATGGCTGTTCACAATTATTTTTTCCACCTTGGACAGACACACAACATTTACAGTAGGTATCAAGGGGAATTCAACATAATCTCTGGCTCGTCACAGGGGATTTAAAGGCATTAAACTTCATAATAAATTCAACCAAAACATGTTTTTACTTTAAATGTTATATTCATATTCACTGAGACAAACAATCTTGTTCCCTCCCTCACCAGTAAAATGTAATTTTTTAGATAATATATTAGTCCTTACTAAAATAATAATTATGAAAATCATCAAAAAAGTTTCAACTACAGGTTCAACTACAATCTACATCAAGCATTGTCACTACTAGGCTGCCTGTCTTAGAGGCATTTTCATTTCAGCCACACCTCATCTACAAAATGATCAACAACATCTAATATCCTCCCCAAAATTAACGGAGACAAAAACTTTTAGAGCATCTTCCCAGTTTACTAGATATGGAGCTTTCACCAGGAAAGAACTACACGTTAACAACAACCTGCTGTAAAAAAATAATTTAAATACTGCATTGTTACATTGAGTGGTGCTGAATCATCGGACAACTTGTCATAAAAACGGTAACTGAAAAAGGGGTTGATGAAAATGTAGATGTTTCATATACTGTAAGGTCTAAGAATGTTGCAAACCTTGTACGACAACACTAGGAAACTGAACATCCCCATTTTACAGTCCCGGTGAGGGGAATAAACTATTAGTGTTAGAATAGGGGGTCATTCATAAAGTAGCACTGGCACCTCACCGTGATCATCTAGCTACTCTTGAGGTATGGCTTCTTCCGACTTTGCTTACAGCTTACTGGCATCTCATTCATTAATTTGATAAAGAGAAGTGCAATCAATGGCTTATTTTTCCCCTTTTCTGATAGTAGCCTTACTTGGCACACACCTTTCCAGTGTTCTGATGGTACTGTCTGGAGTACAGTGGCCCTAAGGGGCAAAGTAGTGTGTCAGGAGGACATCAAGAACATGAACTCTTGAGTTCTCCGTGTGTGCATCCCAAATGGCACCCTATTCCCTTTATAGTGCACTACTGCCCTTTGGGCCCTAGTCAAAAGTAGTGCACTAAATATGATGCCATTTGGGACAGTTAATATTCTCTATAGGTTCTTTCTCTCCTCTCTCTGAACAGTCTCCAATCCCAGTCATGGCACGGTTTCCACTCAATTGCAATTCCAATTTCCATGCCTTTCCTATCCTCAGACTTTTCCAGGACGAAGGTTAGTATTGTTTTTACTGATTATATCTAGCAATTTCATGAACAGTCATTGACAATGGGCCACGGTCTTGTCTGTTCCAAAACTGTAACATTAAAATAAGTTCTAGGTTGTAGAAATATGTCTAAACTGGACAGATAAGGTATTGTGGTAGAAATGTGTCTAAACTGGACAGATAAGGTATTGTGGTAGAAATGTGTCTAAACTGGACAGATAAGGTATTGTGGTAGAAATGTGTCTAAACTGGACAGATAAGGTATTGTGGTAGAAATGTGTCTAAACTGGACAGATAAGGTATTGTGGTTCAAATCCTTCTTTCAGACATTTACAACAGACATTTTTCACTGCATTTTGTTTTACAAATCAACACAACACTTGTTCAAAAGTATAACATTTCCCTGACTTTGATGGGGTTAACGTGATTGTTTCCTAAACAACTTTCCTGACTTTTCTTTGATGATTTTCCAAGGATAAAATCCTATTCTGTCAGTCAGCCACCCACCCACCCAGTCAGTCAGCCACCCACCCAGTCAGTCAGTCAGTCACCTACCCACCCACCCAGTCAGTCAGTCAGCCAACCACCCACCCACCCACCCAGTCAGTCAGTCAGTCAGTCAGTCAGCCACCCACCCAGTCAGTCAGTCAGTCAGTCAATAGGCCCATCACAGGTAGTGCACTATGTAGGGAATAGGGTGTCATCTGGGACACAGCCCCAGGCAGAGAACCTTTCAGTCAGTCAGTCAGTCAGCCCGTCAGCCACCCACCCAGTCAGTCAGTCAGTCAGTCAGTCAACCACCCACCCACCCAGTCAGTCAGTCAGTCAGTCAGTCAGTCAGTCAGTCAGTCAGTCAGTCAACCACCCACCCACCCAGTCAGTCAGTCAGTCAACCACCCACCCACCCAGTCAGTCAGTCAGTCAGTCAGTCAGTCAGTCAACCACCCACCCAGTCAGTCAGTCAGTCAGTTCTGCACACACAGGATAAATCCAGCTAGCAGAGGGATGAGGTTGAACAGTAGAAGCCTCAGAGTTACCACTAAGCTGGAGGAACTGGAGCACGGATCTAGAAGAGAGCCAAAACACTTCCTTAGTACCAAAAGGTCTATAGAATGTATCTAGTTATATAAATTATCTCTGTGTGTGCCCATTATGTGTGTGCATGTATATGGAAGGTAGGAAAGACAGGCAGGGGAACTCACCAATAGAAACTCTCCTGGTACTATTGAGGGGCGGGAGCTGTTGTGGTAGAGGGCAGGCGCTACATAAGTCTGAGCAGGCAGGACAGACGAGAACCCCGTTGTAGACCCAGTCATTAACACGCACGCTGACGCTCAGCAGCTGACCGGTACGCACACACTGAAACGCAGTGTCCTGCACCCATACTGTCAGACCCTGGGTAGAGCAAGACATCTGGAACAACCACAATATAACATTCATATGGGTCACTTTACATATCTGCCTGTCACACATCTATAATAGGCTTACTTGTTAACCCAAAACTCATAAATTAGACTGAGCTGAATTTGTGATTCTGTAAGATCATATGAGAAAAGGATGAGACTTAAAGGTGGTAAACATTAAGAAGACTCCCACAGTACATAGCTTGCATAATATGGAAAAGTTAAGTGACAAAATATAGATTGCAGAGATGCTGAAATGGAGATAACTATTTTATTTGTTTACTTATTCTGCATTACCTTATAACAGCCACTTCCCCAGTCAGGGTAGGTCATGCGCCTGGTACACTGCTCCATGACGAAGGCTGTCTTCTGGTACAGACACACGGAGTCTGGACCATACTGCTCAGCTCCGTAGTTCCTCCACGAATCTGGAAACAATGTGTCAGGTAGCCTACTAGCAAGTAGGGTTACAAAATGACAAACTTTCCGGAAACACAATTTTCATGTTTTCCAGAAATCCCAGTTGGAAGATTACCAGAATTGGGAGGGAATAAGCAGAGAGGGAACATGGAACACTCCAACAGGGAATCATCCAACTGTGATTTCTGGAAAACCTGGGAATGTTTCCGGAATTTTGCAGACCTTCTAGTGAGTCAACATTAACTAAGGCCCAGTGGTCTGAGGCACCAAGAGGCAAGAACAATGCAAGAAGGGAAGGGATATTACCAGGCTGGTTCTCCTGGACCCTGCAGTAGGAGTTGCGTTGGTACTCTCCGCTCAGGTGCCAGCTGAACTCCTGGCTGAAGGGACAGTAGTCAGCGATCTCCACAGCTCCACCGTAGGAGGCAACGTCCCTCACAGAGACATCAGGGATATGGTCAAAGTACTGCAGGAGGGGAAGTGGACAAGAATTACTGTATGGGGTGTACTATGCAGGTCACAACTGGTCAACAACATCTTAAATAAAGACCATTTCATATGTGTTTTTTGTTTGTTTTTGTAGCCTTTTTTGTCTTATAGGTACAAACTTTGCTTGGGTGCAAGTGTTTAGTAAATTGTTGTGTCATACACTTACAATATTTTTGTTTGTCTTCTAATCCTCTGTAGTGGTCCAATAGGTTTCTGACACAGACTCTTGCTAGCATCATGTGGTTATCACTGGGTGTGTTGTCATAGCCTCGATTTCTAGGCTTCGTGACTTTGAAGGACGGCATTGTGAGACTAGTATTTTACCTGGTAGTCCAGGGGTAGGTCCTGAGGGTACTTCTGCAGGTTGCAGACGGCCACAGCCAGCTGGTCCTGCCTGCAGGTGAGCTGGAGGGGTGTGGCCCGCACCGTGTCACAGTAAGGGGTCACCACTTTACGACTGAAAAACAATAACACACAGAGGGTTGGATCAGGTAGAGCCACCATTTCTCATTTAAATGTTTTTATTGTTGTTTGTTACAATTAATTTCTAATAGAGTTTCTAAGATGTTTGTGTGCACAGAAATGTTGACATATGAGACAGGGTGCGTCGGCTGGTTCTACTTTAAATTCGTTTAGGGGCATGCCATGTGCCTAGACGTTTAGATGTTTCAGCCTGTTGTGTACAATAAGAAACCTTAACTCTGATTAGATACCTCCTTACCTCTGACGTTGCCTTTCAATCCAGAATTTACAGCTCTTCATCACAAAGTCACAGCCCAGGCCCTTGCCCCAGTCCAGCCTCTCTGCCATGCTGTAGTTGGCTCTGTACCAACTACATAGAGAAAGAGATGACCCGAACACATTGTACATCAAGTCAGGTAAACTCTTGAACTTCAATACAAATCATGTCAAAGTCAAGTACTTTCAATCACACCAATGCACACTAAGGCTCAAGAAAAAATAGCCAAGTTGTTTAATAGTCAAAGCTCTTGAAATTACATAAAATGTAAGTCATTATTTTCTTGTATTCCATATTTTCTTGAAACAGTCAGCAACCTTACCCTGTGTCTTCCATGATGGCCAAGGTGATCCTAGAAAACACCCTGTTTTGTGTGTGCGATCCAGTCATAGCTTCATTCTGTTATTAATACAAACAGGAGAATCATCCTTGTATCATATATAGATTAATAATGAACCTATATGAGCATATAAGTGCTGATGATGAGCAGTGAACTGTAGTTAAATAAGAAATGCAGAATTCACAATAGATATACAGACTATGAAACGGAGTGAAAGGCTATGGTGTGGTTAGGTCTATATCAGGAATTCCAGTACAGACATCAGTTCTAGTAGGCTAAGTAAAGATATAACGTAGGCTACACATATTGTACAGAAAGGAATCATTTCAGATAACAGTAAAAACGAAGCACAGTACAATGCCATCAAACTTCAGCCCTCCTGTTATCTCTACCTCCCTTTTCTCCCAGTGGTTCAGCTCAGTACCCAACCCTCCCTGGTTCTCCAGCTCCATACCCTCCTGTTACCTCTAGTAGCCTCTTCTCCCAGTGGCTCAGCTCAGTACCCAACCCTCCCTGGTTCTCCAGCTCCATACCCTCCTGTTACCTCTAGTAGCCTCTTCTCCCAGTGGCTCAGCTCAGTACCCAACCCTCCCTGGTTCTCCAGCTCCATACCCTCCTGTTACCTCTAGTAGCCTCTTCTCCCAGTGGTTCAGCTCAGTACCCAACCCTCCCTGGTTCTCCAGCTCCATACCCTCCTGTTACCTCTAGTAGCCTCTTCTCCCAGTGGCTCAGCTCTGTCCCCAACCCTCCCTGGTTCTCCAGCTCCATACCCTCCTGTTACCTCTAGTAGCCTCTTCTCCCAGTGGTTCAGCTCAGTACCCAACCCTCCCTGGTTCTCCAGCTCCATACCCTCCAGAATGGGACAGCCAAAGTGTCTCCTCGCCTCCTCCTGCCAACACATGCAAGGGTACAGGACACAAACATTAACCACATTACAGGACAGTACAGAGCAGCGCAGCACAACACAACATAACACCACGCAGAACAGCCCAGCATTGCCTCTACAAAGGGACATACTGTATCTACCCATGAGTGGTGCAGCGGTATAAGGCACTGCATCTCAGTGCTAGAGGCGTCACTACAGACCCTGGTTCGATCCCGGGCTGTATCACAACCGGCCGTGATCGGGAGTCACATAGGGCGGCGCACAATTCTCCCAGCGTCGTCCAGGTTAGGGGAGGGTTTGGCCGGGGTAGGCCGTCATTGTAAATGTGTTCTTAACTGACTTGCCTAGTTAAATAAAGGTTACATTTCGAAAATCAACAAAAAGAAATTCATGTAAATACATGATTCAATGAGGAGCTTAAAATAAGGATTCTTACCACAACACGCGGTGTCACTAGAAGATGCACTTCATGACGGACCATCACGCCACCACGGATGTCCCATAATCGAGTCACTCTACGTATCACTGCATCACTCCATTGATACAGGCCTAAACTATAATAGAAAGCAAGAGCAGTCTTAACTGTTAACAGAATGAATGGGAAAATACAATGCACAACAGAAAAACAATTATATTATTGTCTAGGCCTACTGGTTATTACAAACGGCACAATTATAAAAACATGATCAAGTATACATACCTCTCGTTGAATGCTGGTAGTCCACTTGCAAACCGAGGTGTCAATGGCTTGCCATTATAATCATGATAAAATGCAAACAGCCCTGCTGAAAAACCCTTTTGGACAAATACGTTAAACAAAATAATAAAACCACATTACTCAATCAATAATGAAATCTGTGTTGGACAGGTTCGATTCATTATGTTATTTATTTAAGTCATTCATGACTAGCTTCACCCCAATAGGAATAGAATGTAAATTGTTTCCAATGCACCCACCAGGGCATGTATGATTTCGTGTTTGACGGTTGACAGCATGCTCTCAAACTCCTGAGGTTGGGTGGATATCATATTGGGGCACAGGTTGGCATATCCAGCAATGGGTCTGAAAATGTAAAGAGAGTGAAACTGACATTATTATGATGTTATTGGGTTAAAATACCTATTCAGGGGCCAATAGCTACCATGTCACCTACCAAACCCAATCACTACCTAAGGCATTCTGGAATAGCCTAAAATGCTGCCATAAACCTCTAAAAGGGTATGTATAACTAGGTATGTATAAAGAGTAGGGGTGTAACGGTTCACCAAACCCACGGTTCGGTACGTATTGCGATTTTGGGGTCAAGGTTCAGAATCGGTACAGCGGGAACATGAAATGCCATTCACAATGTTCAGCACTCAAAATGTTCCTTGCATTGTCTGTTGTGACCAGATTGTTATGTTGGGCCTCTCAAGTTTTGACTCTGATGCTGTGTTTGTAACCATGTGGGAGGTGGGAATTTACCAGTTGTGAAGTCGTAAATACTAGTTGGATGCATTCATGTGATTTGAACTCATGAAGAAACGCTGATTGGCTAATGGCCAACAAGCTGTGTCAACCATAAACTAAAAGTACAGCTATCATGTAAACAAATGACAGAGTTCAAAAACCACATGAATAGATTGTTTTTTTTAAATGTTGTTTTCTTGTTGCATTTACAGTAATGGCTGAAAATGCTGTTATAGAGGCCATTTCCTTAGTAGGTGACCTCAGAGGTCACCATGTGGGAGAAGTAGGTGCTCAGGATGATAGACAAGTTTTCCACTAGTAATTACCAGTGAGGGGCGTTGAGTGGATTTTTCCCAGTCATATGTGGTAAATTCCCACTTCACACTTGGATGGGAATGCACCATGGCACTGCCTCCTTCAGTGCGAGATGCGCACTTCTGACTCTCATAAAAGGGGCGTGTCTGTAGCACGGTACACCTCCCACTCCGGGGTAATGTGATGGGCTGTCACTGTTAAGTAAGCGCAACACAGGGTGCATTGGCCAATTCACTGAAAACTTCTGCTTTGGTTGGCTTATATAGAGCAAGTACTACCTGTTTGCTGAAATGGGTGCAAGAAGGAAGTTCGTAACGTGGCTCAAGCACTTTCACGAGGTGCTGAAAGAAAACCCCTATTCTCAACCACGAAGAATGGGCGCATATCCGCGGCTATAAACCAAAGACTGTAACAAAATATATAAACATAGCCTACCTATCGCTCTAAGAATCAGCTGCGAAGGGCTGCTTGAATGCAGAGCGAGACGATGTTGTGTTGTTGTTTCATTGCGTTTCCATCTTGCTCCGGTATACTGGGGTGATGTCGGTGTTAATGTGTCAACATTTTTGAGGTGTTGGCAGCTGCATAGGCTATTGTCGTTGAGCTTTGGGACATACTGCTAACGTTTTATCCACAACTCTCTGTCCATCGCCATTGTAATCTACTTTGAAGCCAAAATGTTACCAAACTTGAGATTTAAACGATGATGGAGGATCCTCCAATTCTGGTGTATCGACCCCACCACTCGCCATCATACAGAACTACTTCCCGGCTCCGCCTCACAAAAGGACAGTTTGACATGCGACAATTAAGATGTTAATTTTGATAATGTGTGCATAAGCTCTAGTCGTTTTAATAGAATAGCCTCATGTATTTTTTTCAGCTCAAATTTACTCATGAGGCATAGGCCTACAACAAAAATTAGGGCATAGCCTATAGGACTAGGGTTTTATTTTGTAAATAATGTTTTTTTTAACCCATGAATCTAAGCCCTGTCTAAGCAGGGGGAGGAGGGTGGTGTTATACTAAACTATATGGAATTATTTTAAGAACGTCATACCAAGGAACATTTAGCTATTTGATTTATAATTTTAAGACCCCTTGAAGTATCAAAAACATATATAAAAAAGTGTCATGAAAAAATACTTTGGGCCTTACTGCTATTAGTCCATACAAACGCATTGAATTACAGATTCACCACATGGAACAACAGTCCCAATTAACAGGTGTGCCTTATTAAAAGTTAATTTGTGGAATTTATTTCCTTCTTAATGCGGTTGAGCCAATCAGCTGTGTTGTGACAAGGTAGGGGGGGTATACAGAAGATAGCCCTATTTGGTAAAATACCAAGTCCATATTATGGCAAGAACAGCTCAAATAAGCATAGAGAAACGACAGTCCATCATTACTTTAAGACATGAAGGTCAGTCAATACGGAACATTTCAAGAACTTTGAAGGTTTTTCAAGTGCAGTCGCAAAACCCATCAAGCGCTATGATGAAACTGGCTCTCATGAGGACCACCACAGGAATGGAAGACCCAGAGTTACCTCTGCTGCAGAGGATAAGTTCATTAGAGTTACCAGCCTCAGAATTTGCAGCCCAAATAAATGCTTCACAGAGTTCAAGTCACAGATGCATCTCAACATGAACTGTTCAGAGGGGACTGTGTGGATCAGGCCTTCATGGTCGAATTGCTGCAAAGAAACCACTACTAAAGGACACCAATAAGAAGAAGAGACCTGCTTGGGCCAAGAAACACGAGCAATGGACATTAGACCGGTGGAAATTTGTCCTTTGGTCTGGAGTCCAAATTTGAGATTTTTGGTTCCAACCGCCATGTCTTTGTGAGACGCGGTGTGGGTGAATGGATGATCTCCGCAAGTGTAGTTCCCACGATAAAGCATGGAGGAGGGGGTGTTATAGTGTGGGGGTGCTTTGCTGGTGACACTGTCTGTGATTTATTTAGAATTCAAGGCACACTTAACCAGCATGGCTACCACAGTATTCTGCAGCGATACGCCATCCCATCTGGTTTGGGCTTAGTGGGACTATCATTTGTTTTTCAACAGGACAATGACCCAACACGCCTCCAGGCTGTGTAAGGGCTATTTTACCAAGAAGGAGAGTGATGCAGTGCTGCATCAGATGACCTGGCCTCCACTATCTCCCGACCTCCACTATCTCCCGACCTCAACCCAACTGAGATGGTTTGGGATAAGTCGGACCGCAGAGTGAAGGAAAAGCAGCCAACAAGTGCTCAGCATATGTGGGAACTCCTTTAAGACTGTTGGAAAAGCATTCCAGGTGAAGCTGGTTGAGAGAATGCCAAGAGTGTGCAAAGCTGTCATCAAGGCAAAGGGTGGCTATTTGAAGAATCTCAAATATAAAATATATTTTGATTTGTTTAACACTTTTTTGGTTACTACATGATTCCATATGTGTTATTTCATAGTTTTGATGTCTTCACTATTATTCTACAATGTAGAAAATAGTAAAAATAAAGAAAAACCCTTGAATGAGTAGGTGAATCCAAACTTTTGACTTGTACTGTATATACATATATTTTTTTAAACATGTATTTAACTCCTTATTGTTGTCACTAAACAGTCTCCATATGTACTTGACTGGTACTGGGGGACCTTCAGACGAGCAAAACAACCGACATGTACGTGTTTGGAAGAGTCTCACCTTTACACAGAGGGGTCATATTAGTGTGTAGCCCAAACTGTTCGGACGCTACAGACAGAAGTTGGCAGATTGTCTGTACAGACTTCAGACGAGTCCCAAGACACTTGTGGGGGTCGTAGAGCAAAACGTGTTTGTGAGAGTCTCATCTTTCCATAGAGGGGTCATAATATTTTGTAGGCAAAACCGCTCGGATGCTACAGACAATTTTGTGAGAAGACTGATTTATGGGATGTCTCATGATCTGACAAACACCGCTCTAGCTCTGTCACCGCAGATATGAAAGTGTTACATAGGCGGATGCAGTGGATTGAGACGCATCCAATGCAAAAAAAACGGATATCTCTAGTTTAAACTGACAGATTAGATTTACGCGGGGGCACGGACATCGACCTTAGGAGGTTAATGTATTCATTCAGGTTCACAGTGTGGACCGAACTGAGGTCCCCATACCGAACAGTTCTGTACGAATACCTGTACCATTACACCCCTAATAAAAGTGTATAGGGTTGCAGGCTTACCTGTCCAGCTCAGACTCCAGTTGACAGTATGCAGCGTAGGCCACAATATTCTCCTGTCCACAGCGTTCTGTAGTCACCCCGCTGACATAGAGGACAAAGTCAGCCCCCTCCACCCCCTTCCCATCCAGAGGCCCTGCCGAGCCACACGACCTCCCTGTCTCGCTGCACACCTTGCATTGCTGGAAATCACATACATAGAATAGCATTTTTATTTCATTTTAGTTAATTAACCTTTATTTAAACAGGAAAGTCACATTAAAGACCCATGTCTCTTTTACAGGTGAGCCCTGAATCTACAAGTAAGACCTGAAATACCTTGCATTACTGAAAATCACATGATGGACATAATAACAATCAAACTACAGTACTCAAGACCAACATCAGCCAACCTTTCTATAGGCCTACCAGTTGAGCATCTTTTTTTAAATACATATTTTATTGATAGGGATACATGGAATAAGCAGGGAGAGAGAGGGAAGACAGAGGGAAGAGAGTGTAAAGACCGGTGTGGCCGGAATCCGATCCCACGCAGGCATGTGGTACGCATATCATTCCATTTAACCTTGGTTAGTGTCATTGAGATAATCGCTTTTGCAAGAGAGACCTGTTCAACATAGCAGCAGAAGGCAATGATTGAAAGCCAGGTGAGTAGATATCCTATAGAGGAAATCCAGTTGAGCATGAAAACAGAGGTTTTAAGTATTAATTGCTTCAGGCCAAGTCAAATAAAACTGTATTTAAAGTACTTAAAATGAACACTACCAGTCAAAAGTTTGGACACACCTACTCATTCCAGGGTTTTTCTTTATTTGTACTATTTTCTATATTGTAGAATAATAGTGAAGACATCAAAACTATGAAATAACACATACAGTGAGGGAAAAAAGTATTTGATCCCCTGCTGATTTTGTACGTTTGCCCACTGACAAATAAATTATCAGTCTATAGTTTTAATGGTAGGTTTATTAAATCCAGAAAAAAGCATGTCAAAAACGTTATAAATTGATTTGCATTTTAATGAGGGAATTAAGTATTTGACCCCCTCTCAATCAGAAAGATTTCTGGCTCCCAGGTGTCTTTTATACAGGTAACGAGCTGAGATTAGGAGCACACTCTTAAAGGGAGTGCTCCTAATCTCAGCTTGTTACCTGTATAAAAGACACCTGTCCACAGAAGCAATCAATCAATCAGATTCCAAACTCTCCACCATTGCCAATACCAAAGAGCTCTCCAAGGATGTCAGGGACAAGATTGTAGACCTACACAAGGCTAGAATGGGCTACAAGACCATCGCCAAGCAGCTTGGTGAGAAGGTGACAACAGTTGGTGCGATTATTCGCAAATGGAAGAAACACAAAATAACTGTCAATCTCCCTCGGCCTGGGGCTCCATGCAAGAAAAAATATGTATTTGACCCCTCTGCAAAACATGACTTAGTACTTGGTGGCAAAACCCTTGTTGGCAATCACAGAGGTCAGACGTTTCTTGTAGTTGGCCACCAGGTTTGCACACATCTCAGGAGGGATTTTGTCCCACTCCTCTTTGCAGATCTTCTCCAAGTCATTAAGGTTTTGAGGCTGACGTTTGGCAACTCGAACCCTCAGCTCCCTCCACAGATTTTCTATGGGATTAAGGTCTGGGGACTGGCTAGGCCACTCCAGGACCTTAATGTGCTTCTTCTTGAGCCACTCCTTTGTTGCCTTGGCCGTGTGTTTTGGGTCATTGTCATGCTGGAATACCCATCCACGACCCATTTTCAATGCCTTGGCTGAGGGAAGGAGGTTCTCACCCAAGATTTGACGGTACATGGCCCCGTCCATCATCCCTTTGATGCGGTAAAGTTGTCCTGTCCCCTTAGCATAAAAACACCCCCAAAGCATAATGTTTCCACCTCCATGTTTTAGGGTGGGGATGGTGTTCTTGGGGTCATAGGCAGCATTTCTCCTCCTCCAAACACGGCGAGTTGAGTTGATGCCAAAGAGCTTGATTTTGGTCTCATCTGACAACAACACTTTCACTCAGTTCTCCTCTGAATCATTCAGATGTTCATTGGCAAACTTCAGACGGGCCTGTATATGTCCTTTCTTGAGCAGGGGGACCGTGCGGGCGCTGCAGGATTTCAGTCCTTCACGGCGTAGTGTGTTACCAATTGTTTTCTTGGTGACTATGGTCCCAGCTGCCTTGAGATTATTTACAAGATCCTCCCGTGTAGTTCTGGGCTGATTCCTCACCGTTCTCATGCGCATCGCAACTCTACGAGGTGAGATCTTGCATGGAGCCCTAGGCAGAGGAAGATTGACAGTTCTTTTGTGTTTCTTCCATTTGCGAATAATCGCACCAACTGTTGTCACCTTCTCACCAAGCTGCTTGGCGATGGTCTTGTAGCCCATTCCAGCCTTGTGTAGGTCTACAATCTTGTCCCTGACATCCTTGGAGAGCTCTTTGGTCTTGGCAATGGTGGAGAGTTTGGAATCTGATTGATTGATTGCTTCTGTGGACAGGTGTCTTTTATACAGGTAACAAACTGAGATTAGGAGCACTCCCTTTAAGAGTGTGCTCCTAATCTCAGCTCGTTACCTGTATAAAAGACACCTGGGAGCCAGAAATCTTTGACGGAGAGGGGGTCAAATACTTATTTCCCTCATTAAAATGCAAATCAATTTATAACATTTTTGACATGCGTTTTTCTGGATTTCTTTGTTGTTATTCTGTCTCTCGCTGTTCAAATAAACCTACCATTAAAATTATAGACTGATCATTTTTGTCAGTGGGCAAACGTACAAAATCAGCAGGGGATCAAATACTTTTTTTCCCTCACTGTATGGAATCATGTAGTAACCAAATCAAAATATATTTATGTATAAAAACATGTTTTCGCTTTGTCATTATGTGGTATTGTGTGTAGATTGATGAGGGGAAAAAATTATTAAATCAATTTTAGAATTGTGGAAAAGGTCAAGGGGTCTGAATACTTTCCGAATGCACTGTATATAGCATTCTGTTGGTGTCAAGAATTTTGTATAATAATTTAAATTGAAAAACTCGAAGAGTGAATCAAGTGTTGTTTTTTGTATCAGTTCATATATCATGTGCCATGGAATCGGTACATCGAAAATCTCTTCCCATTTATTTTGCAACCTGTGTTTCTGTCCTCAAATGAAACTGGTATATTTTTCTATTTATGCCAATCCTTTTCAGCCAATTTGTATCTTTAATATATGGCAGACAAACAAGTTCCCTACCTTCTCCCTCTTCCACTTTGCGGTAATTTTGCAATCAGTTGGTTGTACATTTGGATTGAGCAAACATACCCATATATTTGATAGCTGCATGTGACATAACTTCACAATTTCTATTCATAATATCATTAATAAATCTAACACAATTCAAAAAAATAATCATAAAGAACGTTTTTTATTTTATTTTTATCAAATCAGTATATTTGAGTTTAACCATAATATTTGTTGCATCTTTTCTGGAGGATGAAATTGAAATTGTAACCAGCTTTGTATGGCTTGTTTAAGAAGGGCGATACTTGAAACAAAGTTTCATTTTCAATTAGTCGGAAATCAGAATTTGTAAAGGCAAAAATGCAATTTTTGAACAAAGGATGAGCCTTTCTTAATAATCTACTGGAGAACCAGTTCAGGTTTAAGTATAACTTACAGTGCCTTGCAAAAGTATTCATCCCCCTTGATGTTTTTCTTATTTTGTTGCATTACAACCTGTAATTTAAATGGATTTTTTAATTTGCATTTCATGTAATGGACATTCACAAAATAGTCCTAATTGGTGAAGTGGAATGAAAAAAATAACTTGTTTCAAAGAATTCTAAAGAATTAATAACGGAAAAGTGGTGCATGCATATGTATTCACCCCCTTTGCTATGAAGTCCCTAAATAAGATCTGGTGCAACCAATTATCTTCAGAAGTCACATAATTAGTTAAATAAAGTCCACCTGTGTGCAATCTAAGTGTCACATGATCTGTCACATGATCTCAGTATATATACACCTGTTCTGAAAGGCCCCAGAGTCTGCAACACCACTAAGCAAGGGGCACCACCAAGCAAGCGGCAACATGGAGCTCTCCAAACAGGCCAGGGACAAAGTTGTGGAGAAGTACAGATCAGGGTTGGGTTATAAAAAAATATCAGAAACTTTGAACATCCCACGGAGCACCATTAAATCCATTATATAAAAATGGAAATAATATGGCACCACAACAAACCTGCCAAGAGAGGGCCGCCCACCAAAACTCACGGACCAGGCAAGGAGGGCATTAATCAGAGAGGCAACAAAGAGACCAAAGATAACTCTGAAGGAGCTGCAAAGCTCCACAGTGGAGATTGGAGTATCTGTCCATAGGACCACTTTAAGCCGTACACTCCACAGAGCTGTGGATCAATGTGATTATTCCATAAATAGACAAGTATTTACCTCTCCATGGTTGCAGAATCGTATCTATTTTTGCAAACTTTCTATCGAAATTGGTTGTGGTAAATTCATATATATTTTTTTTAGATATGAATCCCAAGTATGTCTACTTCACCATCCGCCCATGTTATTGGTCAACTACAAGGTAGTGTATACATTGTGTCTTTTAACGATCCAATACATAATATGGTACTCTTGTCATAATTCAGTTTTAGTCCAGAGAGGTTAAAAAGTGATCAAGATCTTCAATGTGACCATGCAGGGATCCAGATTGCGGACTTTTAAAAGAACTCAGTCATCGGCATACATTGACACTTTTGTTTTTAACCCACGGGTTTCTAACCCTTTGATGTTTTTGTTGGATCTGACTTTAATAGCTAGCATTTCGATGGCCATAATAAATAGATATGGAGACAACGGACAGCCTTGTTTTACTCCTCTTAACAGCTCAATACTTTCTGAGAAGTAACCATTATTTACTATTTTACACCTGGGGTTGCTGTACATAACTTTAACTCATTGTAGAAGAGATTAACCTAAATTAAAGTAGGCCAGGCATTTATATATAAATTCTAGTCGTACTTTATCAAACGCCTTTTCAAAATCTGCTATGAATACCAGGCCTGGTATCTTTGATGTTGCATAATGTTCAATTGTTTCAAGTAATTGTCGTATATTATCTCCAATATATTGTCCATGTAAAAAACCTGTCTGATCAGGATGAACAATATCTGGTAAAACCTTTTTTATTCTATGTGCGTATGAGTTGTCTGTATGGGTAGTGGATGTGGATAGTAGTGGGCAATGTATGAGTTATCTGTATTGGTAGTGGATAGTAGTGGGCAATGTATGCGGACAAAATACATGATTGTGGAAGACAGCGGAAGGACAGGCATCCCTAATGACAATGTACATGCCATTTTTCATCAATAACAAATCATCACCAGAAATCACATGGTAATAACGGTGACCAATAACAGTGACCAACACTGACTAATTAGGTTGGTTGATAGAATAGGTATTACTAATAACTAGTCTATCAACCAACCTACCTGGTCACTACACCTCAGTGGCGTAGACTGACCTGCAGATGATGCTCAGGAACAATGACGGGTCCACACTTTGTGATGTCTGCACATGATCCCTGGCAGTAGCGGTGAGGGTCATCTTTCTTCCTCAGATACTGATTGGTCACACATTGTCTGAACAGAAACACACAATTTTATAATGCAAGAGAAAGATACATCAACTGAACCTCTGACTGATCGAGCCTTGTGTAAACTTAGTGTGCTCTTTTTGATATTCAATATATGAAAAGCATGCTATGTTTAAGGCCAATTCAATAAAATAGATTATCTTGAACATCTTAAAATGCTACACTACCCCAATTTAATTACAAACTTGAAACTATTGTATTGTCTACTTGAGATTAGGACATGTTATTGGACTGTGTTGGATGGTGATGGGAGGTGAGCTCTCGACCTGCTGAGTAGTATAGGCCCTGCTTTCCGGCGAACCTGAAAAACCTTCTGTAAATAATCAATTGCTTGTGGAAAAAGTTTATCCTGTAGAAAACAAAAAGGCAGTACTTGTTAAACCAGCAGCTAGCTAGAATGCACATAACATAATATTAGCCTGGTGCAACAAAACTTAACATAGGTAAGATTATCATGTAGATGTGATAGACATGACACACATACAGTGGGGAAAAAAGTATTTAGTCAGCCACCAATTGTGCAAGTTCTCCCACTTAAAAAGATGAGAGAGGCCTGTAATTTTCATTATAGGTACACGTCAACTATGACAGACAATTTTTTTTCAAAATCCAGAAAATCACATTGTAGGATTTTTAATTAATTTATTTGCAAATTATGGTGGAAAATAAGTATTTGGTCAATAACAAAAGTTTCTCAATACTTTGTTATATACCCTTTGTTGGTAATGACACAGGTCAAACGTTTTCTGTAAGTCTTCACAAGGTTTTCACACACTGTTGCTGGTATTTTGGCCCATTCCTCCATGTAGAGCTCCTCTAGAGCAGTGATGTTTTGGGGCTGTCGCTGGGCAACACAGACTTTCAACTCCCTCCAAAGATTTTCTATGGGGTTGAGATCTGGAGACTGGCTAGGCCACTCCAGGACCTTGAAATGCTTCTTACGAAGCCACTCCTTCGTTGCCCGGGCGGTGTGTTTGGGATCATTGTCATGCTGAAAGACCCAGCCACGTTTCATCTTCAATGCCCTTGCTGATGGAAGGAGGTTTTCACTCAAAATCTCACGATACATGGCCCCATTCATTCTTTCCTTTACACGGATCAGTCGTCCTGGTCCCTTTGCAGAAAAACAGCCCCAAAGCATGATGTTTCCACCCCCATGCTTCACAGTAGGTATGGTGTTCTTTGGATGCAACTCAGCATTCTTTGTCCTCCAAACACAACGAGTTGAGTTTTTACCAAAAAGTTATATTTTGGTTTCATCTGACATTCTCCCAATCCTCTTCTGGATCATCCAAATGCACTCTAGCAAACTTCAGACGGGCCTGGACATGTACTGGCTTAAGCAGGGGGACACGTCTGGCACTGCAGGATTTGAGTCCCTGGCGGCGTAGTGTGTTACTGATGGTAGGCTTTGTTACTTTGGTCCCAGCTCTCTGCAGGTCATTCACTAGGTCCCCCCGTGTGGTTCTGGGATTTTTGCTCACCGTTCTTGTGATCATTTTGACCCCACGGGGTGAGATCTTGCGTGGAGCCCCAGATCGAGGGAGATTATCAGTGGTCTTGTATGTCTTCCATTTCCTAATAATTGCTCCCACAGTTAATTTCTTCAAACCAAGCTGCTTACCTATTGCAGATTCAGTCTTCCCAGCCTGGTGCAGGTCTACAATTTTGTTTCTGGTGTCCTTTGACAGCTCTTTGGTCTTGGCCATAGTGGAGTTTGGAGTGTGACTGTTTGAGGTTGTGGACAGGTGTCTTTTATACTGATAACAAGTTCAAACAGGTGCCATTAATACAGGTAACGAGTGGAGGACAGAGGAGCCTCTTAAAGAAGAAGTTACAGGTCTGTGAGAGCCAGAAATCCTGCTTGTTTGTAGGTGACCAAATACTTATTTTCCACCATAATTTGCAAATAAATTCATTAAAAATCCTACAAAGTGATTTTCTGGAGAAAAAAAATCTCAATTTGTCTGTCATAGTTGACGTGTACCTATGATGAAAATTACAGGCCTCTCTCATCTTTTTAAGTGGGAGAACTTGCACAATTGGTGGCTGACTAAATACTTTTTTCCCCCACTGTATATATACACACACAGTACCAGTTAAAAGTTTGGACACACCTACTCATTCCAGGGTTTTTCTTTATTTTTACTATTTTCTAAGTTTTAGAATAATAGTGAAGACATCAAAACTATGAAATAACACATATGGAATCATGTAGTAACCAAAAAAGTGTTAAACAAATCAAAATATATTTTATATTTGAGATTGTTCAAATAGCCACCCTTTGCTTTGGTGACAGCTTTAAACACTTTTGGCATTCCCTCAACCAGCTTCATGAGGTAGTCACCTGGAATGCATTTCAATTAACAGGAGTGCCTTCTAAAAAGTTAATTTGTGGAATTGATTTCCTTCTTAATGCGTTTGAACCAATCAGCTGTGTTGTGAAAAGGTAGGGTGGGTATACAGAAGATAGCCCTATTTGGTCAAATACCAAGTCCATATTATGGCAAGAACAGCTCAAATAAGCAAAGAGAAATGACAGTCCATCATTACTTTAAGACATAAAGGTCAGTCAACACGAAACATTTCAAGAACTTTGAAAGTTTCTTCAAGTGCAGTCGCAAAAAACATCAAGCTCTATGATGAAACTGGCTCTCATGAGGATGACAGGAATAAAAGACCCAGAGTTACCTCTTTTGCAGAGGATAAGTTCATTAGAGTTACCAGCCGCAGAAATTGCAGCCCAAATAAATGCTTTACAGAGTTCAAGTCACAGACACATCTCAACATCGACTGTGTGAATCAGGCCTTCATGGTCGAATTGCTGCAAAGAAACCACTACTAAAGGACACCAATAAGAAGAAGAGACCTGCTTGGGCCAAGAAACACGAGCAATGGACATTAGACCGGTGGAAATCTATCCTTTGGTCTGGAGTCAAATGTGAGATTTTTGGTTCAAACCGCTGTGTCTTTGTGAGACACGGTGTGGGTGAACGGATGATCTCTGCATGTGTATTTCCCACCGTAAAGCATGGAGGAGGTGGTGTTATGGTGTGGGGGTGCTTTACTGGTGACACTGTCTGTGATTTATTTAGAATTCAAGGTACACTTAACAAGCATGGCTACCACAGCATTCTACATCGATACACCATCCCATCTGGTTTGGGCTTAGTGCGACTATCATTTGTTTTTCAACAGGACAATGACCCAACACACTTCCAGGCTGTGTAAAAGCTATTTTACCAAGAAGGAGAGTGATTGAGTGCTGTATCAGATGACCTGGCCTCCACAATCCCCCGACGTCAACCCAATTGAGATGGTTTGGGATGAGTCGGACCGCAGAGTTAAGGAAAAGCAGCCAACAAGTGCTCAGCATATGTGGGAACTCCTTCAAGACTGTTGGAAAAGCATTCTAGGTTAAGCTGGTTGAGGGAATGCCAAGAGTTTGCAAAGCTGTCATCAAGACAAAGGGTGGCTATTTGAAGAATCTCAAATATAACATATATTTTGATTTGTTTAAAACTTTTTGTTTCCTACATGATTCCATGTGTTATTTCATAGTTTTGCTGTCTTCACTATTATTCTACAATGTAAAAAATAGTAAAAATAAAGAAAAACCCTTGAATGAGTAGGTGTGTCCAAACTTTTGACTGGTAGTGTGTGTGTATATATATATATATATATATATATATATATTGTCCTGCATGTCAATGGGAAAGAGCTCTGACCTCATTCACACAAACATACCTTCACAAGTCTTCTTTTATCTGAGGTTAACCTTTGGAAGAAGACATAACATGTATTTACAATATCAATGAGATTGGCTTACACTAAGGCCAGGAACACACTTATATACTCTGAGAATAGTAGGATAGAAATAATCTTACTTGTCCACACTTGAATCATAAATTATTTGTATCTTTAATTGTTGATCAGAGCTTCTTTTGGTTAATCTTTCCGACTTCAGATATACTTTATGGACAACCTACAAGAAGAAACATTGTTGAAAGCAAAGTAGCTACTGTATTATCATGTAGAAACACCTTGCGATGAGTGAACCACATGATTAGCATCATTTTGATACAGTGCTCTCCATGTAAAGAATACATTGAATTGCATGCATTAAATGAAACGTTTAATAATGTAATTTTACGAGAGGAAATAGCTACAATTTTAAGATAGTGACAGTCGACCTGTAACGCCCCTATTGACATGGCTCGAGCGTCTTCCTTGCAAAGTGGCTCATTGATTCCTTACGAGAAAACAACTGGTAAGCAAGCGATAAACTACACTTACCTCCGACAGAGATGGGACTTGATGTTTACACGTATGACAATGCACAAACAAAAATAGAAGAGAGAAAGTGTAAATATGTCTCAGTGACCCAAACAGCTTCCAAAAGCCTCTCAGCTCCGTCGCCATCATATGTCCAGCGACAGTCGTGATTCAACTCGTTTCATTCATCGCTGTCTACATAATCACAACTCACAGACGGAACTATTCCGCTCCACCACTATGTTATTGATAGGTATACATCTTATTATTCCACATTAGGCCGGCGAAACCCACCCAATGCAATTTACCCGTTTATTACTTGCTAGCTTTAGCCTTTAGTTTAGCCCAATATTTTTTATAACTAACCCTGCCAAAGATCATTGTTCTATCTGTGACCCTGCTTACATCGCCACTTCCGGGTCGTCAGATTTTCCTGAAAAAAGCTTCACAACAAAAGTCTTCCATCTGAGCAATACAGGGGCTGCATGCTAAATGGTAAACAATATTTCTAACCACACCGGTACTGTCTCCAAAAAGCTTATGCCCTAAAACTGACATGTCATGTGTGTATGTGTAAAAATTTAACAAAAATGTCCATGAAATCTTATATATTTTATGAACATTTTCATTACATGGTGTGGACATTCAGTGCACTGAGTTGGACAGACAGAACATAGAAATTAGAATGTGATTTTTATTTTTATTTTATTACACAGTAGCCTATAGTGAAAGACATGCCATAACACTTTTGAATTTAAAGCAGAAGGTAGGGGCTTCTTCATTTGTTGTGGGTATTTTTGTGTGTTTTATTAGGATCCCCTTTAGCTGATGCAAAAGCAGCAGCTACTCTTCCTGGGGTCCACACAACACATGAAACATTACATAATACAGAACATTAATAAACAATAGCTCAAGGACAGAACTACATACTACATGGGGGTGCTTCTTGCAGGAGGGTGGTCACAGAGCAGATGCAGTGGGTTGTTTGTTCTGTCGCCAACACCAAGAGTGTGTTCAATAGGAAAACAATGAGATTAGACAAAACATTGTGAAAAAACAGGGGTGTAGCTCAAATGGCACCCTATTCCCTATATTGCACTACTTTTGACTAGAACCCTATGGGGTAGTAGTCCTAGTGTCACAACACATAAGTGCCCTGGTCAAAAGTAGTACACTATAGGAAATAGGGTGCCATTTGGGATGCAGACATGGACACTTTTCCAAATGTAGCCTAAGCGTGTCATACGTACTAAAACATCAGTGCATGTTTACCTGAGCCATAACATCAATCCATTCAGAGCCACTGTAGACGAACAGCATGCGAGTATCTCTCCTCAGGACCATTACATTTTCAGATCTTAACTCCGACATCTCGCTCTCACCATTCACAATGTAAATCTATTGTTCAAGAATAAAAAGGTTAAAAAAGGTATTCAACGGAAGGTTCAAAGAGGTTAAAAAAGTGATCACATTATTAAATGATTAAGATGTTTGATATCACCCAAACATCATGATGTTATTCAAGCATAGAAAAGTGATTTTCTTACTATACACTTACAGATACGGCCTTATCATCATTATATCTTCCTGTGCCAGGGTTTGGCTTGAAGGAATTTGCTGAAGAACAGTTACAAAAGACAGAAGGTCCTTTATGACCTTTCTCTCCTCTGTGTCCTGGAAAAACATATACTAGAAAAAAAACACAATAACGTTTTTTAATCATATACAACTGGCTAAAATCAGCTACATCAGTAGCTGTTGACATAATATCTCATAATATATAATTTATACTCAGAATATTGTATATATAGTGCCGTGAAAAAGTATTTGCACCCTTTCTAATTTTCTCCACTTTTGCATATGTATGATACTGAATGTTATCAAATCTTTATCCAAAACCTAATATTAGATAATAGGAACCTGAGTGATCAAATAACACAACAATTACATACTTATTTCATAAACAAAGTTATGCAACAGCCAATGCCCCTGTGTGAAAAAGTAATTTCCCCCTTACACTCAATAACAGGAACCCAAGTTATACTTTTGACTCATCTGTCCATAGAACATTCTTCCAAAAGTCTTGATGATCATCTAGGTGCTTCCAGGTGCTTTTTGGCAAACTTGAGTCAACTTTTTGGACGACATGGGTCCCGTTATGCCTGGCAAAAACCAAACACTGCATTCCACAGTAAGAACCTCATACCAACGGTCAAGCTTGGTGGTGGAAGTGTGATGGTTTGGGGATGCTTTTCTGCCCCAGGACCTGGATGACTTGCCTTAATAGAAGGAACCATGAATTCTGCTCTGTATCAGAGAATTCTACAGGAGAATGTCAGGCCATCCGTCTGTGAGCTGAAGCTGAAGCGCAGCTGGGTCATGCAGCAAGACAATGATCTAAAACACACAATCAAGTCTACATGAAAATGGCTAAAAAGCAGCAAATCTGAAGTTTTGGAATGGCCTAGTTAAAGTCCAGACCTAATCCCAATTGAGATGTTGTGGCAGGACTTGAAATGAGCAGTTCATGCTTGAAAACACACAAATGTCGCTGAGTTAAAGCAGCTCTGCATGCAAGAGTGGGCCAAAATTCGTCCACAGCGATGTGAGAGACTGATCAACAACTACAGGAAGCATTTGGTGACACAACCAGCTATTGAGTGTAAGGGGGCATTTACTTTTTCACACAGGGGAATTGGGTGTTGCATAACTTTGCTAATTAAATAAATAAAATAAGTATACTTTTTTTTTTGTTATTTGTCAACTCAGGTTCCCTTTATCTAATATTAGGTTTTGGTTGAAAATCTGATAACATTCAGTATAAAAAATATGCAAAAATAGAGAAAATCAGAAAGGGGGCAAATGCTTTTTCACGGCACTGTAGGCCTACATAATAATGTATTGATATACACTTAGTATACCAAACATTAGGAACACCTTCCTAATATTGAGTTGCAGTCTCTGTCATGGAAAGAGCAGGTGTTCTTAATGTTTTGTATATTCAGGGTACATACGATACATGATATCAATAATATACTTAACCTTCCCCTGGAGCACCAGTTTCTCCTGTTGTGCCCTGTTTGCCCACAACTCCATGATATCCAGCTAACCCATGCGGTCCACGACTACCTTTTATTCCCTAAATACAATATGGAGTAGTGCAGAACAACATCAAAGGAAGTTTGTTTAGTCTAACCTTTGAAAATGAAAGATAGTTCATCATTATTGCCAAATTAATTATTTTCAGAGAAAGCTGTAGGCTACAGAGGCACTTTACCATTGTCCCTCTATGCCCGGGAGCTCCCCTAGGTCCATCCAGTCCTTGCAATCCAGTGTATCCTTTTAGTCCTCGGTCACCCTAAACCATTAAGCATACAAATATATAATCAAAAATGTAATCATTAAAATTGGCCACAAAATGCTTCTTCAATTAGATGTTTTCAATGATTGCTGTTCATTGGCATTTCTCCAAATTCCAAGTTTGCTGGCTAAGGGGTTTGTTTCAGCATCTTTAGTACTTAATGTAAGAGAATGCCGGCTATTCTGTAGGCCTCCTGTAGCTCAGTTGGTAGAGCATGGCGCTTGCAACGCCAGGGTTGTGGGTTCGATTCCCACGGGGGGCCAGTATGAAAAATGTATGCACTCACTAACTGTAAGTCGCTCTGGATAAGAGCGTCTGCTAAATTACTAAAATGTAAATGTATTCATTCACCTTCTGTCCATGGAGACCAGGCTTTCCAGTGGAACCCTGTTAAATAACACACAGGTTGAGGGTTGAGTAAAAGTACATGTGACGTTGTGATTGAAACTTGATTGACAACTCACCTTTCTACCTTTTTGTCCTGGGTCACCTTTCAGTCCCTTCTCGCCCTGTTTATATCATAAACATCACATTTTCATGTGTCATTTTAGTTTGCGTGCCGCTAGACATACACCATTATTGTGTTAAGTATATTATTTGTTATACAATGAATTATTATAGCAGTAAAAGCTTACTTTTGAACCAGTGCGTCCTTGAGTACCCTGTAAAAACATACATGTACATTTGTTGTAAAAGCAGCGTGAAATATACCGGTAGAACACAGCATTAGTTATTATGTGGATAATTTACCTCATGTGTTCCAGGTGTGCCAATGTCACCGAATAAACCACGCCAGCCTCTGTCCCCCTTCTCTCCCTAGCGACAAGTAAAGACGAACTAAAACTTATTTTGGATACCTGTAGCACTCTCTATACCGATCCATTAAACAAACCACAACTTATATACCAGAAATGGAGCCCAATTTCATTTGAGATTGTGTCACTGACCTTTTGGCCTATGGGTCCTATCACACCAGGGGAACCTTGGGTTGCCTCTTCTCCCTTTTGACCGGGTCGACCCTGCAAGACAATGTCCAGTCACATAACTGCCCCACTCCTGAGTGTGTCTTTCTGATGCATTCTAGTGTCATTATAAAAAGTCTCATATAAATCATATGTATTCTTTTTTATTATAATGTATATATTCGTACCATCTGACCCTTTGGTCCTTTGCAGCCCTTTAAAGAGAAACCGTGAAAATTAACTGCATAAATAATAACTTAATAAAAATGATGATTATTATTATTATCAGTTGCAGTATATAGAAATCAAGCCAGTACTACCTTTTCACCCTTTGGTCCCCTGAGATGTTCAGTTATATCAACCTGAAACAACAGTCAGCAAGAACATATGACAGACATCTAACTTGCATGTTACACTGTAAACCAACATAGTCTTAATTGTTTATGTGCTGTTTGCTATGTCCATTACCAGTAGGGCAGATGTCCGTGTCGATGGAGGAAACGGAGGAGGTGGAGGAGGAGGAGACAGAAATGTTGTGCATTTCAGAACCAACCAGATATTCTTCTTACCTGAATAAGGTAAGAAAAATAATCAAGTGAACAAGGTAAGCCCTTTTTTATTTTCTCTATTTTTTAAAGTTATTAATCTCATAGTTCCTTATTCGTCTCAGTCCAGCATATTTGTATCATCTTTTTATATTAAAAACACTACCAATTATCACTACAAACCTGATCGGAAGGATGGTGTAGCTTCTGTGAGTATGACAGTACTGCCCATGATAAGATGGAGTATGAAAGCATATTGTTTTGGCATGTTACCTCAAGATCTGAAAGCAAACACTTGCCAGTTAGTTAAAGGTAGACTCGTCAATATGACTACTGTATATCATGCACTGTGGGGCAAAGCCCAACCTTAATATGGCTAGTTTTCATGATATCTAGCCTCCAATAATTTGTAGCATAACCATTAGCCAGCTATTCAGAGCATCAACACAGGAGTACTGCCAAAGACTGCGAACCCCCCTACATCATTAACATAGCCTAAGATTTATATCTTATAACTACTTTCAAATGTAAATATTTCCATAAATTTTTTAAAATAACGTCTACTGAATGTCTTACCTCTGTAAACTCTGTTCCCACCGTAGCTGTACTGTAGCTTCTCTGATATTCCTGATTGCAGGAGCCAATACTGTAGTTGGATCTCAAATTGCAAGCTTGCACCATATATCCACTTATCTCAATAAGAATGGAAGTGCAACTCTGGCAGTAGTCGAATACAAATAATTAAATAATGACAAATACTGTTGCAGTGCCAAAGAGATGCAGTTTTTTTTGCCTTCAGTTCATCGGGCTACATTTTCAGAATCTCAAAATGTGTCAGGTTGATGCATTTACTACATGGCTGAAATAGTGGAACAATTGTAATTTATGATTTTTTAAAAATGTCATAACCTTTTTCTTTAAAAAAACCTTGAAGTGTATTCCTACATCTCTAATAGTATATGCTATTTCTGCATCTGCAAATACAATCTGCAGTTCCTACATCCATTTTGACTGTTAAATTAAAGATATATAGCCATTGATTCTTGAAGAATATAACTTATGTCTTGTGAGCTTAGTTCAACTGTCATACCCCATCAGAACCCCAAATACAAGCTTGTTTTACTCCAATGTTTGTAAACAATGTCAATGTAAACATACACTGTATAGCTTCAAAACATGGTTAAAACTATAATTTGAATCTCTTGGATGGTCAGTCCTTGCATCCATAGCTCTTGTCTATGAATTTGAGAGCGGTAACATTTCTCAAGCCCCATCCCTCAGCTGTTTACCAAAACAAGTGGCGGGGTTACGGCTTCGTTATTATTTGAATGGTGGATTGCCCCTTTAACCTGGTCAGTCTGTGTTCAGATATTTGGCTCAAAGCCCAACAGGCTGTAAGGTCACTGAAGTTGTGTGTGTATGAAACAATCAATCACAGTTGTATATGACATTGACCTTTATACCTTGGTACATTTAGATGTCATGTCATGCTGTGTTGAAGGAATACTACAACCAAAAACGACCTTTAAGTATTTTATCCATTAGTCCACTGTTAATACAATCCCACCAAATAATTAATGTCAGCAATCAAATTTTCAAGAAATCCCTGTCAGTAGATACTTTTTTTAATGCCTCATATGTCGCAAAACGCCAAGTTGTCTGGATGAAACTGTCACGTTCGTTGAATGACGGGTCAGACCAAGGCGCAGTGTGATATGCGTACATGTTTATTAACTTATAAACACAACGACAAAACAACAAACGAAACGTGAAGTCCAAGGTAGAACACACAACATACCTTACACGGAACAAGATCCCACAACATGACAGTGCCAATAGGCTGCCTAAGTATGGACCCCAATCAGAGACAACAAGCGACAGCTGCCTCTGATTGGGAACCACACCGGCCAACATAGATCTATACATACTAGAATACAACATAGAATATATACAACAAGGAATATACACACCCTGACTCAACATATACGAGTCAGGGCGTGACAGTACCCCCCCCCCCCCCCCCCCCCCCAAAGGTGCGGACTCCGACCGCACAACATAAACATAACAGGGTAGGGGCCGGGTGGGCATTCCGCCTCGGAGGCGGATCCGGCTCCGGGCGTGACGACCTCTTACTCTCCGCCTCCCTGTTGCGCCCCTGGTCTGGTCTGGACCTCGGCGCGCTGCTTCCCCTCTCCTTCCTCCCACGATACGCCAGGCCCTGTCTGGACCCTGGTGTGGGAGACCCCGAACCTGGAGAGGGGCTGACATCATGGTCTGGACTGGAGCCGCTGACCGGAGCTGGACTGGGCACCGGTGGAGCAGACTGCTCTGGCTCCGGAGTGGAGTCGCTGACCGGAGCTGGATCAGGCACCGGTGGAGTGGACTGCTCTGGCTCCGGAGTGGAGCCGCTGACCGGAGCTGAATCAGGCACCGGTGGAGCGGACTGCTCTGGCTCCGGAGTGGAGCCGCTGACCGGAGCTGGATCAGGCACCGGTGGAGCGGACTGCTCTGGCTCCGGAGTGGAGCAGCTGACCGGAGCTGGATCAGGCACCAGTGGAGCGGACTGCTCTGGCACCGGAGTGGAGCCGCTGACCGGAGCTGGATCAGGCACCGGTGGAGCGGACTGCTCTGGCTCCGGAGTGGAGCAGCTGACCGAAGCTGGATCAGGCACCAGTGGAGCGGACTGCTCTGGCTCCGGAGTGGAGCAGCTGACCGGAGCTGGATCAGGCACCGGTGGAGCGGACTGCTCTGGCTCCGGAGTGGAGCCGCTGGCCGGAGCTGGACCCCGGTGGAGCGGACTACTCTGGCTCCGGAGTGGAGCCGCCGACCGGTGCCGGACCAGGCACCGGTGGAACGGGCACAGGCCGTGCCGGACTGGACACACGCACCACAATCTTGGTGCGAGGAGCAGGAACAGGCCGGGCCGGACTGGCGACGCGCACCACTGGCTTGGTGCGAGGAGCAGGAACGGGCCGGGCCGGACTGGCGACGCGCACCACAGGCTTGGTGCGAGGAGCAGGAACGGGCCGGGCCGGACTGGCGACGCGCACCACTGGCTTGGTGCGAGGAGCAGGAACGTGCCGGGCCGGACTGGCGACGCGCACCACTGGCTTGGTGCGAGGAGCAGGAACGGGCCGGGCCGGACTGGGAACGCGCACCACTGGCTTGGTGCGAGGAGCAGGAACGGGCCGGACTGGGAACACGCACCACTGTCTTGGTGCGAGGAGCAGGAACAGGCCGGACTGGCAACGCGCACCACAGGCTTGGTGCGAGGAGCAGGAACGGGCCGGGCCGGACTGGGAACGCGCACCACTGGCTTGGTGCGAGGAGCAGGAACGGGCCGGACTGGGAACACGCACCACTGTCTTGGTGCGAGGACCAGGAACAGGCTGGGCCGGACTGGGAACGCGCACCACTGGCTTGGTGCGAGGAGCAGGAACGGGCCGGACTGGGAACACGCACCACTGTCTTGGTGCGAGGACCAGGAACAGGCCGGACTGGCAACGCGCACCACTGGCTTGGTGTGAGGAGCAGGAACAGGCCGGGCCAGACTGTGGAGGCGGACTGGAGGTCTGGAGCGGAGAGCTGGCACAACCCGTCCTGGCTGAATGCCTACTTCCGCACAGTATGTGTGAGGCATCAGCACAGGATGCACTGGGCTATGCACGTGCACTGGCGATACAGTTCGTAGAACTGCCGCAGGATATGCGGGACCAAGGAGGCATACTGGAGACCAGGAGCGTTGAGCCGGCACACCCCGTCCTGGCTGGATGCCCATCTTCGCACGGCACGTGCGTGGTGCAAGCATAGGACGTACAGGACTGTGCCGGCGTACTGGCGACACAGTACGTAGCTCCGCATAACACGGAGCCTGCCCAGTCATACGCTTCCTCGCGTGAGTACGGGGAGTTGGCTCTGCTCTGACACTAGGCTCCGCCAACCACACTGTGTGCCCCCCAAAATAATTATCTTGGGGCTGCTTCTCGGGCTTCCTCCTCGACCGGCCTCCTCCGTGTTGCCGTTGCACCTCTCCTGCCTGGGCATCTACCTTAGCCCATGGTCCTCTCCCCGCAAATATCTCTTCCCATGACCACAAATTGCCCACCTGTGACCTGGCTATTCGCTCCGTCTGGGCACGCTGCTTGGTCCTCGTTTGGTGGGATCTTCTGTCACATTCGTTGAATGACGGGTCAGACCAAGGCGTAGCGTGATATGCGTACATGTTTATTAACTTATAAACACAACGACAAAACAACAAACGAAACGAAACGTGAAGTCCAAGGTAGAACACACAACATACCTTACACGGAACAAGATCCCACAACATGACAGTGCCAATAGGCTGCCTAAGTATGGTCCCCAATCAGAGACAACGAGCGACAGCTGCCTCTGATTGGGAACCACACCGGCCAACATAGATCTATACATACTAGAATAAAACATAGAATATATGCAACAAGGAATATACACACCCTGACTCAACATATACGAGTCCCCTGAGTCAGGGCGTGACAGAAACAATCAATCACAGTTGTATATTGACGCATATACATTGTTAGATTAAGATGTCATGTCATGCTGTGATAAGATAAATAGGGAGATAAAGGGCCAGCTTCATGGACACAGATGTAGTCTATCTACCCCAGGACTACATTGGATTGAATGAATTCTATGATGATAACTTGACTTCATAGACATGGCCTAAATTATTCCTGAACTATGGTTAATAATCTTCAACAAAAAATATTGAATCATAGACCATAGGGGCGTAATCTGAGGTTTTTAGTTCTTAGTTCTTGGTTTATAAACCAGAGTTAGACCTACACCTGGATTGATTTAAACTGGGTCTGTGAATAAATTCATTAGGCCCTAATCTATGGATTTCACATGACTGGGAATACAGATATGCATCTGTTGGTCACAGATAACATTTAAAAAAAAGTAGGGGTGTGGATCAGAAAATTAGTCTGTATCTGGTGTGAACACCATTTGCCTCATACAGCGCGACACATCTCCTTTGCATAGAGTTGATCAGGCTGTTGATTGTGGCCTATGGAATGTTGTCCCACTCCTCTTCAATGGCTGTGCAAAATTGCTGGATATTGGCGGGAACTGGAATACGCTGTCGTACACGTCGATCCAGCGCATCCCAAACATGCTCAATGGGTGACATGTCTGGTGAGTGTGCAGGCCTTGGAAGAACTGGGACATTTTCAGCTTCCAGGAATTGTGTACAGATCCTTGCGACATGGGGCCGTGCATTATCATGCTGAAACATGAGGTGATGGCGGCGGATGAATGGCATGACAATGGGCCTCAGGATCTCGTCATGGTATCTCTGTGCATTCAAACTGCCATCGATAAAATGCAATTGTGTTAGTTGTCCGTACCTTATGCCTGCCCATACCATAACCCCACCGCCACCATGGGGCAGTCTGTTCACAATGTTGACATCAGCAAACCGCTCGCCCACACAACGTTTGGTGGAGGAGGAATAATGGTCTGGGGCTGTTTTTCATGGTTCGGGCTAGGCCCCTTAGTTCCAGTGAAGGGAAATCATAATGCTACAGCATACAATGACATTCTAGACGATTCTGTGCTTCCAACTTTGTGGCAACAGTTTGGGGAAGGCCCTTTCCTGTTTCAGCATGACAATGCCCCCATGCACAAAGCAAGGTCCATTCAGAAATGGTTTGTTGAGATTGTTGTGGAAGAACATGACTGGCCTGCACAGAGCTCTGACCTCAACCCCATCGAACACCTTTGGCATGATTTGGAACGCCGACTGCGAGCCAGGCCTAATCGTCCAACATCAGCGCCCGACCTCACTAATGCTCTTGTGGCTGAATGAAAGCAAGTCCCCGCAGCAATGTTCCAACATTTAGTAGAAAGCCTTCCCAGAAGAGTGGAGGCTGTTATAGCAGCAAAGGGGGGACCAACTCCATATTAATGGCCATGATCTTGGAATGAGATGTTCAACATACTTTTGGTCATGTGGTGTATGTAGGCCTACAAAATGTTGAAGAACGCAGTTATAGACTTAGACTTTTGACTTTCAAAATAACAAACTATAAGCTATATAACTTCGACAAAACGTGGGACAATATGTACTCCAGCCTAAGCTCTCCTGAAATGAGCTACCTAAACAGGTTAATATTCTGTACTGTTCTGTAATATTCTGTAGAATCAAATTGTGACTTGTGATTGTGGTATCCATTTAGTTCTTATTTTCCCTTCTACCTTTGTGTTGCATTTGAAAATGTGAAAGTGGTGGAATCATTGATAAGTAAAGGAAACTGAACATCAACACAAGGTTCTTGAGGCGAATAAAGAAACACAGAGTTGTTCACTAGTGCTGAAATCATGCTTTATTAAATCAGTAAAATAAAACTCAAGGAGGATGAATATAGTAGTAATTCTACATCAATAGACTCAGTTAAATCAAAGTGCAGGGCATCATTATTCATGCTTTTTGCTTTCTTTGTTTCACGGTAGATGGTATCACTGTGGTACATTCACTTGATGGCTACCCTGACTACTGGCAAGGTGAAATTCTAAAACTAAAACACACTCACACACACAAAATATTACCTAACAATCCTCCAAGAGGTGGCACTGTTTCTGCAATGAAGTATTTGAATTGACTTTTGTTTTTTAATGGCCAGGTGATGTTACGTTTTAAAAAGCCAATTCAACTGTCCAATGCCAGAAACAGAGCACATAAAAATAGAGCTCAAAGTGCAGGCCGCTCGCACTTTTAGCATGTCATTAAAATGGTGGTATGACATAGTCAGTCTGAACACAAGACCTAGTTGTGCTGCTTACATGAGGGTATATGCAAACAGCACTCAGGGTCTTATGATCATGTTACAATTCATATGAGTATTTGTAATATTGCACGCACAGATGCACGGTGCATAACATTGTCTTTCTCTGATTTAGTATAAACTTCAACAGGGAGCCTCTCTACCTGTTGAGGAAATCTTAAGACTTCAACTTTTTGTTGAGGCACAGAGTTTAGTTTCAGGTTTTTCAGGGTATTCGTTTATGTGAAACTTTCTCCTGTTAAACATTTCGTTCCTTTTGTTTCAGTTAATATTGTCATAAATAACAATTCATACATTTTCCATAACCGTTAAATTCGGCTATATACATTATGTACATGTCACAGAAAAGTGGTTCAAAAATCCTAGTCATAATTATCCAATATGGCACATTTTATAACAACTTTAGACTTTAGTCTAGTTTGGCATAAATTTATGTCAAGTTTGGTATAAAAATAGTTCATATTTACAAGAACAGAAATCCAGGTCTTTATCAAGTAAAGATTATTTTTTGCTAATTCAATAAATAAAAAGGTACTGGAGGAGGGAAAATGGGGGATAGAAATGATTAGTTTACGTGTTTTTTTTTTTTTTTTACATGGATCGAACATGAATGTTGACAGTTGCCATGGCAGATCCAAGCTCGTTGGACAGTTTGAGGGTGTACGCTCCGGCATCGTCTTCCTTCACACAGGGGATTACAAGGGTGGTGAGGTCCTCCGTGGTTTCGATGTGGAACCGGTCACTGTCTTCATCACACTGTTTCCCTGAGCGGGCCCACTCAATCTCAGGTGTTGGGTCTCCAGAGAAAGCACAGGACACGCTCAAAGGCTTTCCTGACTCAATGCTGATATCCTCTGGGAGAGATTCTATTTTGGGAGCTACAGGGCAATGAGAAGAAAAAAAAAGGAATTAATGAACATGTCAACTTCTTATTGAGAGCAGAGGAACAACATACGGTAGTCACTCAGACTATACTACTAATAGATTTATAGGTAAGGTTAATTCATCTCACCTTTACCGCCACCATGAGTAAGAGCGGTCATTAAGGATCCATGAGTTGACATTGAAATAGCATGACTTGACATCATTTCACTTGACATTTTCATCATACTGCTGGAGCTCATGGACACCATTGATTCAGATGTCATGGCGGACATGCTAGCAGCAGACATGCTTTCAAATTGGCGTTGATAAGAGCCTTCCTGCGTCATTGATGCTTTAGCCATTGATGCTCCAGCCATATGGACTGATGTGGCTGAGAAACTGTCACTGTGCAAGCTGGCAGCAGCAGCACTTTGCTCCAATATAACCATTTTGGCAGGTTCTTCAACAAGAGCTGTGAGAATAACGCAAATTATGAGGTGCATGGCTAAATGGGGATTTCTCGATGGAGATGCTGAAGTCCATCTGTGTATATTTCTATATGAATATAAACAAAATGGCGTGTCCATTTTGTTAACATTCTATGGAAAATACTGGTAAGGAAAATGAAAGGTTAGTCTATAATTTAGGCTATTAGTAAAATGTAGCGACTCAAGTTTCATTTTTCAAAGAACTTGGGAAAGCTTTGCATTATCACAATGTACTGTAAGCTTTTAATTAAACAATGGTTGATGAAGCAATGATAACTTACTGATGATGTTGAGAGATGATGTTGCAGAGCACTGTCCATGTTTGTTTTTGGCTTTGATGGTGTATTTGCCGCTGTCTGCAACTGTAGCCTCAATCATCTCCAGAGTGTATACATTTTTGGAACGGCTCAGTTTTATGTTTGAGGTCATAGATACCTGTAGAGAGAGAGACAAAATAATAACATATTAGTTTGTGTTTTGTATTATTCAAGTACCTATTCAAGTGATGTTTGTAACCTGACTTGCCTTTTCTGATTGCTCCTGATGGGATGAGTACAATTAAATGTAATTTAATTGCAGAAATCAAATCAAACATTATTTACAACTCTTTGTAGCCTACTCACCATTATGTTGTCCTTAAGCCACTCGATTTCAGGGGCAGGCTCTCCTGCAATCTCACATATGAACTTGACGTTCTGTCCTTCATTGACATTCTGAGAGCGTGGCTGCACAAGGAATGATGGTGCATCTGATCGTGCTTCAGTGACAGTAGTGTCGAACTGGCACTTGACAAGGCCATGCTCGGTTTTGGCTTCACATGTGATGATCCCCTGCTCGTATTGGCTGACCTTCTTGATGGTCATAGTATGGTTGTTTCCAGACACACCGTATCTGTAGTCCTCTGAGTTGGCCAGTTCCATTCCGTTCAGGAGCCATCTGATATCTGAAGCTCTGGGGATGTTGGCTCTCAGGGTGAGAGACTGACCTTCAGTCATGGCCATCTGAGTATGGGATGCCTTGATTTCTGTGTAAGACTCAACCTCCCCGTAGACAATTTCCTTTTTCATAACTTGCTCTGAAATTTCTGTTTTTGTTGCAAGTGCTTTGGTTTTGTTTGAGGCTAAGACAGAGAAAAAGAGATACATTGATTAGATATTAGGCCATGTGCAGAATTATAAGGTTTATAGATACTGGACTTATCAAGAGATAAGTTGATCGAATACATAATATAAAGATAACACTATCACCAGAACGGGGCCTTAATTATGATAAATAATTCCTACATTGGCAGGTAGCTTAGCGGTTAGAGCATTGGGCCAGTAAGCGAAAGGTTTCTGTTTTGAATACCGAAGCTGACAAGGTGAAAAATCTGTCAATGTGCCCTTGAGCCAGGCACTTAAACCTAATTTGCTCCAGGGGCGCTGTACTACTATGACCGACCCTGTAAAACAACACATTTCATTGCACCTATCCGGTGTGTGACAATAAAACATTATTTTTTAATATACAGTATAGAGTAATCATACCTTGAATAGAGACAATGCAGCTTGTGGATGATGACCCAGCACTATTGGTGACTGTGCATTTGTAAACTCCACTGTCAGAGGCCTCAGATTCATAGATTTCAAGGTGTGCCGAATCATGCTCTTCACACATTTCATATTTTCCACCGTGAATGAGAGTCTGCAAATGAAAAAAATGAAAGAAAGTAAAAAGCTTATATTTCAACCTATATTTATTTCCTTTGAAATGTCAATTCAAGTGTGACTATTAAATCAAATGTGACTAAATTACCTTTCCATCCTTCATCCATGAGATCTCAGCTTTAGGATCTCCAGTCATTTTCAATGTCAGCTTGACGATGGAATCTGCAGATGCAGTCATGTCCTGAAGGCCAGATGAGATGGAGGGCTTGGTTTTGAGGGTGACTTTCTCAGTGGGTGATTTAGGTGTAGGGCTGGTAGGGGACTTAACTCTCTTTGGAGAGCTGATTGATTCAGGAGACTTCATTCTTGGTGGAGACGTGACTGGACTAGGGGAATGCATTGTGGGCTCTTCGTCTGAGTATTTCACTGTAGAAGAGGCCTCCTCTTTGGCTTCCGATCGGCGGATGGTTAGACTGAAGTGCGCCTCTTGGCTGCCCTCAGAGTTTTCTACCACGATTGAGTAGCTGCCTTCATCTGACATCTCAACAGAGGTGATTTCAAAAGTAGACTTGTACTGTTCTGTAGTGACATGGTGGCGAACAGATGATCCGATAATTTGTCCCTCACGCATCCAGGTTACAGTTGGCACTGGTTCACCGTCAACATCACATGCAAATCTGGCAGTCTCTCCCTCATTTAAGGTGATGGACTGTGGTTTTGTCAGGATAGACGCGGGTAGAGTAGTCTTCTTTCCTTTAAAGGTGCTGGACTCCTCCATGTGTGTTTCGTGTGTTTCAACTGTCTTCACTGTCTTGGAGGAGGATATTTGGTAAGCACCTTTCTTGGTTGCCACAGGAAGAGCTGGGGGTTCCTCGTCTTCGCGAGGTGCCATATAGCTAGAATACTCTCCCATGCCTGCGACATCCAGAGTGGCGTAGTCTGAGCATTCTCCCACTGCGTTAGTGCAGACGACACGGTAAGTGCCACTGTCCTCTGTGGTGCAGTCAAGAATTTGAAGATACAGAACTCCACTCAGGTTGGACATACGGTACCTCCTGCTCTCGGTTATCAGTTGTCCGTTATGGTACCACTTCACCTCAGCGGTTGGCTTTGATTGGACGTTCAGTGTAAATTTGGTGTGCTGACCGTATGGCACACGGTGGGAACGCATCCTCACAGTGACTCGTGGGGTATGGTCGAGGCTGAAGGGCTGCATACTTACAACCTCCTTCCTTTCTACTGATGTCCTCTCGGATCGCAGAACGGCTTTTCTTGACTCATATCTTGCCAGGTGGTCAACTTTGGCCACCTGTACAGTCTCCACCTTGGATCTGGAGGCTGATCTGGCAATAGCAATAGGACTAGGGGAACGTGGACGAGTTCTTTCGGGGGTGGGTGACCTTCTCCCCTCAGTTTTAGTTGCTATATATGTTGACACATGGGAAGTTGTAGTTCTGTCTTTCTTCACGGTTCTAGTTTTTTCTTCAAACTCCATGCGTTTCAGTTCACTCTTGTAACTGGTTATTCTTTGAGTTGTTTTCACATTTCTCAGCATTTCTCGATCCTCCCTCTCCTCAAACACTCTCTGGTTTTGTCTTGGCGGTCTGAATGTAGCCTTGTCATGGCGCAGGCGAAGGTCAACATAGCTTGGACCAGCCTCATACTTAGAAGGAATACGATAGTTGTCATATAATGGAACCTCTTCACCCTCTTCCTCTCCTTCATAGACCGTGCGTCTTGGTGATGTGTGGCGCAGTGCACCTAATTCAAAGCGCAGAGGGCTAAGGCTTGGTGGGGATGCAGAGTAGCCAAGTTCAAGTTCTTCCTCAAGTTGAAGTCTCTCCTCCTCAGTTCTCTTCATTGCCAGATATTCATTAATTGGCAGGAGAAGCTCCTCGTCTGAGAGATCACCAAGAGACCTTCTTCTAATTCTGTGATATGCTTCTATTTCAGGAGACGGAGTGCGCTGCCTTGAAGGTCTGACAGTCTCCAAATCATCCTGTGAAACTTGTGGAAGACGCCACTTTGGCTTGTAAGATTCCTTGATTCTTGGCAGAGGGACTTCGTAGAACTGATCCCACCTGGAGAGACGGATGCGTTTCAGTCTCTTCTGTGAAATCTTGTCCATTGGTTCAGGGAACTCATATTGATCGCGGAGTTTCTTGTACCATTTCATGTCGGAGCAAGGTTTGTAGTGTTTGATTTCCATGTCTTCCAAAAGAGCAGTTGGGCCACGTTCACGAGGTTGGGGAACATCATAAGGCATACGCAGTCTCTTCTCCTCTGCTCTCTTTGCCCTTTCTTCTTTCCGTTTCTTATCTTCAGCTTCAGTCTTGTCCTTCTTGGTTGCCTCTACTGGTTGGCACAACAATGTAGCTTCTCTCAAAGCTTGTTGTGCCAAAGCAGGAAGTGGCATGACATCAGTTCCAGACATGATTTGAGATAATCTGACCTTCTTCTCAATTTGTTCTTTCTCGGTTTGTTTCTTTTTGTCTCTTTCACTCTCGTAAACCTTCTTCACATGGGTGACGCGGGCCACCTTGAGAATGGCTTGACAACTGGCAGATCCAGCTGAGTTGGTTGCAGTAACTCTGTAACAGCCAGAATCATCAAGTAGAGTATCTTTCACATGCAGGACAAAGTAATCCAGGCCCTCATGGACCACTTCAATTTGTGGACCAAATGCCAATGGCATGCCATCCTTCTCCCACTTCAGAGTTGGGAGTCCTGACACTCTGATTTCAAAGCGTGCATTCTGGCCTTCCCTACACTCCACGTTTGCCAGGAGACGTTTGAACATGGGCCTCAAGGTATTGTCTGCTGGTGCTGGGCGAGGTGTCACAGCAAGTTTTGCCTTACAGCTGTCATCACCAAATCTATTACGGGCCACAACCGAGTACTCCGCATCGTCTTCAGCATCAACACAGTGAATCACCAATTGATAAAGACCCTTGTCGGTTATGAAAGTGTACTTTTTCTCATCATCACCAGGAACAATCTTCTGGCCAGATTTGTACCATGTAACACGAGGCTCAGGGTGCACAGTGATAGTCACACCAAAGCGAACATCTTCTCCGATGTAAGCTGCATGGTTGAACAAGGGCAGGGTGAACTCTGGTGGTTTCTGGAGCAGTCTTGCTGTGTCCACTCTACGTTTCACTTTCCTCACCACACGGGCTGTGAAGTACTCACGGTATGATCTGACTCCATTTACAAAGAGCTCTCCGTAGGCACTGTCCTCACCGTAATCATTGATAATCTTACATCTATAGGTGCCGTCATCTGCTTTAGTGACGCCCTTGATACATATGACAGCCAGACCATCCTCATAGTCGATTTCATACTTGTCACTTGCCTCTAGTTGACGCACACCGCAGTACCATGTTACCTCTGTGGCGCTGTCGTAGTTCTCAATGTTGCAAGCAAATTTGACATCTGCTCCCACATCCACCACTGTATGAATGATTTGACCACCGACTGGGCCATGTTCAAATGGTGCGATCTTTACTTTGGCGACTGTGACACCTCTCTGGGCTCTGATTGCACCGCCGCTAGCGACTCTTGCTCCTGCAACAACAGTGGCCCATTCTTTCTTTGCCATGGCCTGGTAGTATCTCTTATGCCTTGTGGTCGTTATTGCTGTGGCACTGAGTTCTTCTGTTGGCATCTTCAGCCAAGGATGTTCCAAAGCCTGGGCAGCAGTCATCCGGTGCTTGCGCTCCTTGGTGAGAAGGCGGTTGATAAAGTCTAATGCTTCAACAGTAGGCACCTTGAAGGTTTCGTCGTCGTAACTGTACTCAGCATTTGAGATGTTGTCAATCATCTGCTGATGAGTCTCGGCGGTAAATGGATTGAGTCCACTGAGAAGGACATAGACTAGAACACCAACTGGCCACATGTCAGTAACACTACTGACCATGTCATTCTGGTGGATCTCAGGAGCAGTGTACTCGGCTGTAGTGTACTGAACCTTGATCTGGTCCCCAGGAGTCAGGTGTCTTGCCTGTCCTAGCTCAATGATCTTGACTTTACTGCTCTTTCTTGTGGTGTACACAATGTTCTCAGGCCTGATGTCAAAGTGACCATAAACCTTGTCATGTAAGAACTCAAGAGCTTCACATATTTGTCTGATGTAGTTGGCGATTTCACGCTCATTCAGCTCGAAGTCGGCTGTGCCGAGGCGTTCAAAGATGTCTTGACCTGAGACAAAGTCATAGATCATGACTAATTCCTCAGTGCTGTCGAAGGACTCATGAAGACACAAGAAGTTGTTGTGTCTGGCTAGGTTCAGTGTTGCAATTTCTTTCTTGATGAATGCTTGATCTGCACCCCTCACCTTGACGAATTTGGCCATGTATGTCCTCTCAGAGCTGGTCTCAACACAACGGTGAACAATACCAAACTGGCCACGTCCCAGCTCCTCAGCAATCATGTACTTGGTATGCACATTCTTGGCACTTGAATGGGGAGCCTTTTGCTTGGGCACATCTCTGTCACTAACCTCGCTGTCATAGCCAAGGACTCTTGATTTATCCTCCTTTGTTGTAACGGGACCACTTGGTTCACATGGTTGACTTTGACCGAATTTGTTCTCGGCTATGACTCTGAACTGGTAGCTGGTTCCTCCGAACAGGTTGATGACGGTGTAGCGAGTATCACGAGCCTGGGCAACACGTTCCCATCTGTCAGCTGTTGTGGGACACTTCTCCACAACATAGCTGTTTACTCTGCTTCCACCATCATTAGCAGGTACTTGCCAACTCAGAGTGACTGAGTCTCTAGAAACATCACTTGCTTTGATACCACGTGGTGGGTCGGGCACGTCTGCAACATCCAGTTCAACTGTCTGTTGGTCAATGCCAAATCTGTTCTTTGCACAAACGATGTAGAAACCGGCATCCTTCCTATCAACTCCGTTGGGGAACACAAGCGATGTGAATGACCTTGTGACGATGACTTGGTAGTATCCGTTGTTATCGATGAGGTCTTGTCCCTTCTGCCAGGTGATGACAGGATCGGGTTTGCCACTGAATGGAATCTTGATATTCACAATCTCTCCACGGAGGGCAGGGATTGCCTCTTTGTCCTTCAGATTCTTGGGCAGGTTAATCTTGGCAGGGACTAGACAGAAAAAAAATATTTAACATCATTAGTACAAAAAAATAACTATTATGAATTGACTAATAATGTTCTTGATATGTGGAACAAATACATGTAATTGTATTCACACTATGTAAGTATTATTGAATACACATTTGTGATCTTACCTTCAACATCCAGAGAGACAGTGGTGCAGATGGATCCTCCCTGGTTGGTTGCTCTGATCTGGTAGACGGTAGAGTCTTCCTCATCAGCAGCAGAGATAACCAGTTGGTGATAGCCTCCCTTGAACTCTTGAATCTTCAGTTTCTTTCCGTCAGACTGGATCTCCTTGCCACGTCTGAACCATTTAATTACAGGCTTGGGTTGTCCTGTGATCTTGCAAACGAAGGTGGCGTTGCTCTTGTATTTGACACTCATATTCCTCAGTTCTTCTTTGAAGGCGGGAGCACGGACATCAACAGGCATCTTTGGAACGACTGGTTCAGATTCCACACTCCATTCACTCACTCCTCCAAGATTTTCACAGTTCACGCGGAAGATATATTCACATCCTTCAGTGAGGCGTTTGACAGAGAAGACTGTGGATTTGATTTCATCAGTAGTGACAGGTGTCCATTCGCCCTTCTTCTCCTTCTTCTCAAGGCAGTAGCTCTTGATCTTGGAGCCACCATCAATGAGTGGAGGCTTCCAGGACACGACACAGGAAACGTTGGTCACACCAGAAACCACTGGCAGCAGTGGTGGTGAAGGTTTATCTGTAAATATAACAGAATAACGTTAGTAAGGATCCAAAGCTTTGAACATCTCATATTTGTACAAATATATGATCATGTAACTATATTGTGAGACTCAACTTACCCATTGAACTCTTGATAAGGATGGGAGTAGGGATCTCCAGTTGCTCACTGTTACCATAACGATTTTGAGCATACACACGGAAGAAGTACCCAGCGTTTACAACGAGGTTGGCAATGCGGCAGTTTGTGCCTGTGATGGATGAGGACACGAGTGTCCAGTCATCACCCTCCTTGTCTTCACGCTTCTCCACAATGTAGTTTGTGATCATTGAGCCACCATCATCCTTTGGTGGTTTCCAGCTAATAATCACAGAGTTCTTCAACAGGGCATCAAGTACAATGGGACCTTCAGGCATTGCAGGTTTATCTGAAAACAATAAGTAAATTAGTCACATTGTAAAACGCATTGTAGATCGTAAACAATTTGTAGATTTGTGCTAATTCAATGTAAAAGTACCTTGGATTTCAACATTGATGACAGTATCAGCTCTGCCAAAGTGATTGTGCAGTCTGACTCTGTACTTTCCTCCATGTACCCTGCGTTGCACATTCTTGATCACAAGGTGAGTATAATGTTCTGTGTTTTCAATGCTGATATTCTCAGAAGCCACCACAGTTGTAGCTCCATAAAGCCACATGATCTTAGGCTCAGGGCGTCCGATGTAGGCAACATGTAGACGCAGAGTGGTGCCGCTTTCGGCATAGTAGGTATTCTTCAATGGGAAGTCAGGGTTGAACTGTGGAGCAGCTTCCAAAACCAGAACGCCACTGGTCTCTGCTTCACCTGCATCATTGATAGCCTTGCATGTGTATTCTCCTTCATCCTCTTGCTGGTCTGTCATAATGGTCAGTGAATGGTTACGGCCATCAGAGCTCATCTCATATTTACGAGACTCGATTATCTCCTTGCCAGATTTATACCATTTGATATCGGGAAGAGGTCTACCAATAATCTGGCATTTCATAATTCCTGGTTGGTATAATTTAGTGGTAGCTTCATCCATTTCTTTCCTCAGGCTTGGTTGAGTTCCAGCTGTTGGAAAAACAACAGTTAAATCATTTTTTGAATTGTATCACCTTACTTTCGCAAGGTATTATAAACAAGTAATAAATAAAGCTATTGTAGTGTTCATCCATACAATTGTGAAATAATGAATTGCTTCTGTCACTTACCACCCAGTTTCGTCTTGATGCATGTGGCTGTTCTGCGTGGTCTGCTGATTCCGGTCTCATTCTCAGCCATCACTCTGAACTCATACTCAGTGGCTTCGGCCAGACCAGTCATGGTGAACTTTTTCTCCTTGGTGCGTGTCTTGTTGCATTTCTTCCAGGTAGCCTCTGCAGACTTCCTGTATTCAACCCAGTAACCAAGGACCTCCTTTCCACCATCGCATTCTGGTGCCGCCCACTTGATGGCGACAGCATCCTTTGTGACAGTTACTGTGTCAATCTCGCCTGGTTGGCTTGGTTTGTCTGGAAGACCGAGCAGAGCAAATGTAAAAACATAGCATTTCAATGTATATTAATGTCATCAATCATGATGTGACATCAGACATGGTTATCTAAATTCCTAACTCACCGAATGGATCTTTGCATGTGACTGGTTCGGATGCAGGTCCTGGTTCGCTGTCTCCAATATCATTTTGAGCAATAACACGGAACTGGTATTCAGCGTCAGCAGTGAGTCCAGGGACGGTAAACTGGGTTGAAATGACCTTCTTCTCATGACGAACCCATGTCTCAGAGGACACTGCTTTGTACTCAACATAGTATCCGGTAATGGCAGAGCCACCATCATCCTTAGGTCTCGACCAAGACAGAGAGGCAGAGCTCTTAGTGACATCCATAACCTCTGGTGGGATGCTTGATGTCTCTGGGGGACCTGTTTTAATCAGAGAAAAAGCATGTCTTAGAGTATATATTTATATTATAAGTATACCATTTGCAGACTCATGTAATGACTAAGTTCAAAGAGGAATCAATAAAGTAATACTTACAGAGAGGAGTTTTCGGTACGAGGGGTTCTGTTGACTTCAGAGATCCACTGATACCGAATGTGTTTTCAGCTGTCACCTTGAAGTGATACTCTTGTCCCTCCTCAAGTCCCTTCACAACCAAAGATGTGTCCACCACCCTGGTGTCCACAGTGTACCAGGCTGTCTTGGGAACCTGCTGTCTCTCAACAATGTATCCAAGGATTTCAGAGCCACCGTCATCTGAAGGAGCCTTCCATGTCAACTTAACAGATTGTGCTTGGACGTCTTCGAATCCAAGTGGTCCCTCTGGAGCAGTCGGACGGCCAATAACCTTCACATTGATGTGAACGGTCTTCTTGCCACACCTGTTCTCAAGCAGCAGGTCATAAGTGCCAGAGTCGTCTCTTTCTGCGCCCTTGATTACCAGCTCAGTGCAGTCGTCATTGGAAGCGATCATTGCTCTCTCAGGCACATCAGCGCCTTCCTTTGTCCACTTGCATGTAGGGACTGGTTTACCCTTGATGGGTACTGAGAGTTTGACGACACTGCCATATCTGACGACAAAGACGTCCTTGTACTTGGCTTCCAGTTCATGATCAGGTTTTTCTGAAATTCAGAATGGTGAATGGTTAGAAATGTAATCAATTCTTTGTCACGTAACCAGAAAGTAAGCTGTGGAAATGGCAGTGTTTTTGCAGACGACTTTACCAAGCATTTCCGTCACGGTGACTGTTCCAGGGACCTCAGCGGGTTCTCCGGGTCCACCGGCGTTGCAAGCCATCACACGGAACTTGAACTCCTCTCCTTGGGGCATTTTGGTGAGTGTGTATTCACAGATCAGAGAAGGTGTTGTGTTACATTTGATCCAGGCGACTGAGCCTGCCTTCTGCATCTCAATCAGATAACCTGAGACCTTACATCCGCCTTCCTCATCAGGAGGACTCCAGGCCAGGGACACTGATGATTTTGTGGTGTCTGTGACTCTTGGGTTCTGGGGTGAGCCAGGTGGATCTGTGAGGGTGAACCAATAAATGAATATCCTTGTCTATATCTATCTCAATCTCCAATTATGTTAAATATGCTGGGTATACCAAACATTAGGAACACCTTCCTAATATTGAGTCCCCCCCCCCCCCATTTTGCCCTCAGAACCCATATACCTATGACAATTCGTCGAGGCATGTACTCTACAAGGTGTCAAAAATTCTCCATAGGGATGCTGACCGATGTTGACTCCAATGCTGCCCACAATTGTGTCAAGTTGGCTGGATGTCCTTTCGGTGGTGGACTATTCTTGATACACACAGGGAACTGTTGAGTGTGAAAAACCCAGCAGCGTTGCAGTTCTTGACACAAACCTGTGTGCCTGGCACCTACTACCATATCCCGTTCAAAGGCACTTAAATCTTTTGTGTTGCCCTTTCACCCTCTGAATGGCACACATACACAATCCATGTCTCAAGGTTTAAAAATCCTTCTTTAACCTGTCTCCTCCCCTTCATCTATACTGATTGAAGTGGATTTAACAAGTGACATCAATAAGGGATCATAGCTTTCACTTGTATTCACCTGGTCATGTCATGGAAAGAGCAGGTGTTCTTAATGTTTTGCATACTCAGTGTATTTAATGTCTTTATCTAATATTTATCCTAAATATCTGCATTATGACAGCGATTTAATGGAATTAAATCCAGTAAAGGGTACTTACCAACGGGATCAGTTGCCACTGCCGTTAAGGAGACAACACTTGGTTTGCCAACACCTCTGGCGTTGATTGCCGTTACTCTATGTTCATACTCAAGGCCTTCTATCAGACCTGTTGATCTGTATCTGGTCATGGTGACTGGGTTCTTGTTAGAACGCACCCATCTGTCAGATCGGACCTCCTTGCGCTCAATGATGTATCCAGACACCTCGGATCCACCATCATCCTCTGGTTCCAGCCATGCAATGGTCATGCCATCACGAGACATGTCAAATACTGTCGGTCTGCCTGGAGGTCCAGGGATGTCTGTAAACAAAAAACAAGATACATAGGGGGCTCTATTTTCAGCTGGCGTTAAGGTGGCGCTAGTGTCAAACGCACGCAGCAATTTTGCCATGTAAAAAATGTATCACTGGCATTTTCCCTAACGCCAGGTTCAGCAATTTACCTTTTCTTATATCAGCTCGCTTGCCCTCAGATGGGCGGGCTGGAAATATTAGAGGTGTCTCTTTAAAAACATGATCCAAAGTGCTAATTTCAGGCAGCACTGATAGGGATATTTAAGACCAACCAAAAGCTGGTTTTAGCGGTAATGCAGTTGGTTATGGGATGAATTTTGACAGCGGAAACGCAGCCTATCCAGCCGTGATGCACACTGCCCATATGCGCATGGAACAAGAGTAGCCTAATGTGCTTTTGGTGCCTGTATACTTAGTTATACATTTTGTTTTATTTCCCAATGCAATTGCGAAGTAGTCAAGACTGTTCATAAAGGTTTTCGCTCCTGAGACCGCTTGGAAATAAATCTTAATTACCAAAGCTTTATTAAAATATCAAGTTTGAGAGGAGTTAAACAGTGAGCTGACGTTCCCTTTTTATCTATGCATTGTAGGCAGGCCCACATTTTTTAGCCATGCAGGTCCTGTTTTGGACGTGCGTAAAACCCCCTCCATGATGTAGGCTACCTGTCAATGCCCACCATGAAACGAGAGATGAGAGCCTCTGTAAATACCGGTGAACCTTGTATTTAGAAGTGATCTGTAACCTGTAAAAATTGCTTGTTTTCCATTTCATTTGTTACAAACCCAAGCCCTCCCTTAGGCCTACTACCCAGGCCCTCCCTTAGGCCTACTACCCAGGCCCTCCCTTAGGCCTACTACCCAGGCCCTCCCTTAGGCCTACTACCCAAGCCCTCCCTTAGGCCTACTACCCAGGCCCTCCCTTAGGCCTACTACCCAGGCCCTCCCTTAGGCCTACTACCCAGGCCCTCCCTTAGGCCTACTACCCAGGCCCTCCCTTAGGCCTACTACCCAAGCCCTCCCTTAGGCCTACTACCCAAGCCCTCCCTTAGGCCTACTACCCAGGCCCTCCCTTAGGCCTACTACCCAAGCCCTCCCTTAGGCCTACTACCCAGGCCCTCCCTTAGGCCTACTACCCAAGCCCTCCCTTAGGCCTACTACCCAAGCCCTCCCTTAGGCCTACTACCCAAGCCCTCCCTTAGGCCTACTACCCAGGCCCTCCCTTAGGCCTACTACCCAGGCCCTCCCTTAGGCCTACTACCCAAGCCCTCCCTTAGGCCTACTACCCAAGCCCTCCCTTAGGCCTACTACCCAGGCCCTCCCTTAGGCCTACTACCCAAGCCCTCCCTTAGGCCTACTACCCAAGCCCTCCCTTAGGCCTACTACCCAAGCCCTCCCTTAGGCCTACTACCCAGGCCCTCCCTTAGGCCTACTACCCAAGCCCTCCCTTAGGCCTACTACCCAGGCCCTCCCTTAGGCCTACTACCCAAGCCCTCCCTTAGGCCTACTACCCAAGCCCTCCCTTAGGCCTACTACCCAGGCCCTCCCTTAGGCTTACTATAACAAAGTGTGTTTCTTTATTATCTTGCCGATTTTACGCTATCATTATATTTTACATGTATTTATTGTTGTTTAAAACAAATTGATTGCTTGTTTTTCGTTTAATTTTATTACACCCAAACTTAGAATGATTCACCTTCCTGGTATTATGGTGACAACGTCCATGGCGAGCTTGCAATGCAACTTCTTGAGATGTGTGAATGCGATCTGATCTGTAAGATGGTTCTGATTATGTTCATAAAACATAGGCCTATTTGGGAGCAGTATAAGGGTGAGTGGACATTCTCCTTTTCTATATATATTGGATCTTTGTCCAGCTACTGTGAAAAGTTTGAATGTGTGTAAATAAAACCCTCCATAGTCTGCGTTGTTTTAATATTATATGCCCACGGGGAAAAAATATGGTGGCTGTAAGTGACATAGCCTATTTAAAACAGGCTGTTGTTTTGTTTAGAATTTGATTATAATTATTTGTTCTCTTTTTAAGCCTTGTCAATAATTAATTTAATCTCGCTTAATGACAATGTTTGGCATGTCCATGCTCAGCCATAATGCAATTTACAGTAGGCCTAGGCCCTATATCAGTGTGGTTGCTGTAAGCCATTTAACACACTACAACAGACTAATATTGGAATTGTTGTTGATTCCAAGGCAATACATAAAATACTGTAAATACACAACTTGAAGCAACCACATTTCACCATTGAGCACGTTCTGATTTGCCAGTGAGGGGCCTAGCTTCGACACACCCAAAACCCAGCCCTTTCACGCCAACGCCAGCAAGTGCGCCGATAATTGTGATCGTGAAAATGGCAAAGATATTTCTGACACACCCATGAACCTATAGCGCTAACGCCTGCGCTTAGATTTACCATTGCTTTAGGTTTATTAAAATAGAGCCCAGGATATTCATTCCTGTTTCCTTCTGTTTTTTAAATAAAGAGCAACAACTCAAGTATGCTACATGATATAGTATAAAAACATGTCTTACTCGTTGCGCTCTTGCACATCACAACTTCAGACTGCAGCCAGTTACCAACGCCGTAGCGATTGACTGCTGCGACACGGAACATGTATTCATCTCCTTCTGTCAGTTTGACGAAGGTGAATGTTGGTCTACTGACAGAGTCAGACACTGGCAGCCATCCAGGACGGTGGGCTTCACGCTGCTCAACAACATATCCACTGACAGGGGCACCTCCGGTTCTCTCTGGAGGATCCCAGCTGATGGTCACTGAGGTGGCATCAACTCCATCGAACCTGACTGGTCCTTTAGGCTCATCAGGTTTGTCTGAAAACCCCCCAGAGAGGAATGGTATTGTCATTGTCTTATATTCATAACTTACTGTATGTGACGACCTCAGTTCGTGTTATGTTAGAAGGTACATACCAAGAATGATCACTTTAATGATCTCAGAGGTCTCTCCTGTGACGTTCTTCACTTCGAGAGTGTAGCTACCGCTGTCATTGATGGTTGTATCAAGCACGGTTAGCTTAGAGAACTTTCCAGTGGTCTGAATCTTCGTACGCTCAGTGATCTTCAGCTTCTGACCACGGAAGTACCATGAGCAAACTGGTGGGGGTCTACCGACTATTGGCAAGTGCAGCTCAAGTGGTTTACCAGCCAACACATTGACAAACTTCTGTGGGATGCTAGACAGATCAACCTTTGGCAGAACTGTAAAACAGAAAGATATGTTATGTAAAAATGTGCTTGAATAGTTGATAGGTTAGTTCAATTAGATATATATGAAGCATTTATGAAGTTTACACATTTCAAACCTCTTTGTTCTTGGACTGTTACGGCTGCAACAAGCTCCTTTGGTGCACTGGCTCCCCTGCTGTTAACAGCTCTTACTCTGAACATAAACTGGTCTTTCTCAGTCAAAGAAGTCATAGTGAACTCAAAGTCAGTTGTCTTCACTGTTGTCACCTTCATCCATTTGTCTGTGCCGAATTTGCAAGCTTCAATGATGTAGCCTGTGAGTCTGCTTCCACCGTCATGCTCTGGTTTATCCCATCCAAGTGTTACTGTGGTCTTGGTAATATCCATAACCTCCAGTGTCGCAGGGGGCATAGGCACCTCACACACCAAAATGACATCAGGGGTTTCACATGGCTCTCCCACACCGTACAGGTTTTCTGGGAGGACTCTGAAGTAATACAGCATTCCCTCGAAGAGTCCGTCGATTTTGTATGATGTCTTGCTGCATTTGGATGTCACTGTCTTGTAAGCTCTCATTGATGCTTCGCGTCTCTCAATGATGTAGTTATTCACTGGTGCTCCACCATCAACAGTAGGAGGATCCCATGCAATGGTAATGGAGTCCTTCTCAAGTTCCTTGATCTTAATTGGGCCGGTTGGACCAGGAGTATCTGAAAAGAGGAAGCACATTTAAGGTTAAAAACCCATATACCTATGACAGCATTCTATAACAAGTGGGTAAAGACTTACATTCGAAAAATCTTACCATAGACCTTGACAATAATGGTAGCTGTCTTTTCGCCAGTTTCATTCTTTGCCTCAATGGTATATTTGCCAGCATCATAGCGGTGCACTTTGTCAATAATGATTTGTGTGGAAGTTTTAGTGACTTCAATGAAGCCACGGTTGTTGAGGTCGACACCAGGTTTGCTCCAGGTAACTGCAGGGATTGGTCGTCCAGTGACCGTGGCAAAGAGACGAAGAGAACCTCCGGCTCTCAGGCAGATGGTCTTGGTCATATCATCATGAAGCTCAATATCAGGAGTTTCTGTGTTAAAAGGAAGGCAATTATTAATCTCACGGGAAACTAACAAAATGAATCAAAACAAATGAAGGAAAAATTGTGTAGGCTACAATTTTGTTTGTTTGTGGGAGGAATTTTAACTCATGGTTCATGGATTGAAGTTATACGGTGGAAATGCAGAATCATTCCTATTCCTTAGGCTAAGCTAATGCTCCTAACTCACCAATTTTCTCGATAACCTCGACTGCTGCGCAGGCTCTACTAAATTCACCGACTCCATTGAAGTTAACTGCAGCCACTCTGAAGCGGTACATCTTGCCAGTTGTAAGGCCAGTCACAACGTGTTCTGTGAGTCTCAGGTTCTTCTCATGGGCCTTAACCCACACACCTGTACCTTCCTCTTCCTCCTCCTCCTCCTCCTCCTCCTCATCGTCTTCCTCCTCCGACTCTTCCTCCACAAACACAACTGTTTTCTTGGCTCCTAGACTGGCTCCCTTCGAAACGACCTTCTCAGGTACCTTCTCAGGTTTTGGCTCAGGCGGCTTCTCAACTCCCTCCTCCTGTTGTTGCATCTCCAGAACGTAACCGATGATATCAGAACCTCCGTCCTCCAAGGGTCTGGTCCAAGCAAGGCTGACACTGTCCTTGGTAGTATCGATAATACGTGGAATTGTGGGAGGAGGAGGAGTACCTGAGGGACACACAATATTAACAGTCAGTAATACAAAATAAAATAAAAAGTTAACATACCTGCAGTGAAGCTGCTCAACATTTACATTACATTTCAGTCATTCAACAGACACTCCCATCAAGAGAGACCCACAGGAGCAATCAGGGACAAGCACCCCGCTCAATGGCACATCGACAGATCCCCCACCCAGCCGACTCGGGGACCCGAACCAGCGACCTCTCGGCCACTGGGCCCAACGCTCCCAACTGCCAGGCCACCCACCGCCCCCAACCATCCAAGAGCACCCCCCCCCCCCCCCTGGAAACCGCCCCTCAACCGCCCCTCTACCGCCCCTCTACCATCCAAGACCCCCCCCCACAGTCCCCCCTGAAATAAAACTCCTCGCACTCCAAACCCCCCCCATCTCCACCCATCCGAGCCAACATCCCAGTCCAACCCAACCAAACAACCACCCACCCGATGTGCCAATTATATTTATAAAAAGACAAGAACAAAGAAAAACAACAACAGGACAACAGTCAGTAACTTAACAGTATTACATTAACTTAGTTTAACTTCTTTAACAGTGCACTGGTAACATAGAATTTTGTGCAATAGATAAATTGTAGGACACTTACTTGTTGGCGTTCTGCAGACAGCATATAGAGACAGCTCACTGGGTTCACTCTCACCAGCCTTGTTGACAGCTGATACACGGAACTGGTAGATGTTGCCCTCCACAAGGCCAGTTATCTTGAAGCTTGTGTCCATAAGTGTTGCATCTCTGTTCACCTTGATCCATCTGGCACTCTTCTTTTCATGTTTCTCAATCAGATAACCAGTTATAGGACTGCCACCGTCGGTCTCTGATTTTAGCCATTCAATGCTAGCAAAATCTTTTCCTACAGCAAGAATCTCTGGTGTGCCAGGAGCAGATGGGACAGCTGTAATATGACAGAATAATTTATTGTTAGATTATCATCTCAATCTCAATCTTTTATTTGTATTTATTTATCCTTTATTTATTCAGCAGATCATCTTGAGATTACAAATCTATTTTCCAAATGACACCTGATTATATCATAGAATGCAATAACATATCATGTTGCAAGATAATATGAAAGATGGAAGATGTTCTACTTACTGAACATGTTTCTGGCAATGATAGGACCAGATTGCAGTGGAACGCCAGATCCATACTTGTTGGCGCCTCTCACGCGGAAGAGGTACTCATTGTTCTTGAACAGTCTGGTGATCTCACAGGTGTGTTCTTTGCACTCAGCTTCCATGATCACCCAGTTGAGTCTGTTGGTGTCGCGTCTCTCAACAATGTAATGTGTCACCGGGTCACCACCACTCTCCAGAGGGGGTTTCCAAGACACGGTGCATTTCTCTTCAGAAATATGGCTGATTGTGATTTTGCCGTCAGGAGCACCAGGTGTATCTGAAAGGAACACATTAATTTATGGTATGAGATCAAGGTAAGCCCCATTTGTTTCCAACTTTGTCATTTAATTTCTTTATTTACACTTACCAAGTACTTGCACGTTAACTTCGGCTGACTTGATGCCACTGGCGTTCTTCACAGTGAGAACGTACTTCCCGGTATCATCTCTGTCACAGAATTTGATAATGGCCATAGCACGTGTGTTGGTGTACTGCAGGGAATACTTTTCACACAGCTCCAGTTCCTTCTCTCCCTTGGCCCAGAACACTTTGGGGTCAGGTTTACCACCAATAGTAGCGTCCAGAACAAGGTCTGCGCCGGCTCTGATTGTAACCGTGTCTACCAGAAGTTTGCTGTCGAGGTCTGCCTTTGGAGGAGCTACGAAAATAAAAGAGAAAGAATCCGACTTAGTAAATGATAGTTGATTTCAATTTGGACATATAATTTAAAGTCAATATATTTAGAAGTATATATATCTTACTGTATTCTGCTTTGCATGTGACTGCGCCGGTTGACTCTGAAGGCATACTGAAAACTTGGTTGGAGTTCTTGGCAATGACTCGGAACTCGTAGACCTCTCCTTCACCAAGTGCAGTGATCGAGAAGTTATTTTCTGTGACATTGGTGTAGTTACACTTCAGCCAGCGACCTTCGCCAGTGATGGTGTATGGCTTGCGCTCAACAATGTAACCCACAATTGGGAAGCCACCATCGTCAAGTGGTGTAGACCATTTGATGGACACTGTAGATCTGCCCACCTCAGTTACTTCTGGTCTACCAGGAGGATCTAGACACAAGATTAATAGGAATCAGGAGTCTGCTTTCCTTAAACACATGTATTATGGACATGTAATAGTATCCCAAAGTTTTGGGGGGAAATCAGTACTTACCAACTGGATTTTGAGCCACCATAGGCTTGGATGCCTCGCTAGCTTTGCCAAGGCCACCACTGTTCATTGCAAAGACACGGAACTGGTACGAAAGGCCTTCAATAAGTCCATCTACACTGTAGTCGCATTCAAAGCATGGGATCTTGTTCTCCCTCACCCAAAGGATGTTGTTGCGTTCTTTCTTTTCAATCCAGTATCCAGTCACCTTGCTGCCACCATCATGGTATGGCTCCTCCCAGCGAATGTGGCAGGTGGTGGAAGCAACGTTGTATACAGAAGGTCTGGTTGGTGGACCAGGAGGACCTATTATCAACACAAACAATATCACTCAATTCAGTTTAAACTTTTCACTCTTAACTATTAACGTGTGAAAACACTAAACATTTGAAACATAGATTTCTCTTAACATATACTCACCGAATGGATTCTCAGCGACAATGGTCTCAGATTCAGTTGATTTGCTTGTGCCAAATCTGTTCTCAGCACTGACGCGGAAGGTGTATTGCATGTACTTTGTCAGATGTCCCACACTGAGGTTGGTGCGCTTCACACTGGAGTTGATGAGCGTCCAGGCAGTGGAGCCAGATTCACGCTTCTCAACGATGTAGTTGGTGATATCCGTTCCACCGTCATCCTCTGGTGCTGCCCAAGCAATCTCACATGATTCTGATGTTATGGATGAAACTTCAACGGGTTCAACGGGGGGACCAGGTCTTCCAATGACCTTGACAGTAACGAAGAACGTCTTGGATCCAGCAGAATTTTCCAGACTGAGGAAGTATCTGCCACCATCGCCCCTCATGGCGTCTCTGACAGACAGGGTTGTCCTGTCTTTGACAGTCTTGATTGTAACCCTTTCAGTGTCCTTCAGTCTCATCTCCTCCAGTTTCCAGATTACCTTCGGTGCTGGTCTACCAGTGATGGGAACATCGATGGTGAAGGTATTACCCACTTTACAGATGATCTCCTGGTTAGATATTTCACTGAGATCTGCAGTTGGTTCAATCTGTGGCTCTTTGATTACCACTGAGGATAGTGCTTCTCTTGGTAAGCTGCTGCCGGCATCGTTCTTTGCCTTAACGCGGAATTCATATTCTGCAGTCCTACATAACTCTAGAGTGATGCTCTCGTTCTTGGTCTCACCACCAATGACCCATTTATCTGTGGTCTTTGCCTTATGCTCAATGATGTATCCTGTGATACGACTACCACCGTCATGCTCGGGTTTGACCCATGAGAGTGTTGCTGTAGTGTCTGTGACGTCCACAACATCCAATCTCATTGGTGAAGAAGGCTCTGCAGTAGCAATAATGGGATCTATTGTCTCAAAAGGCTCGCCAATACCATACTGGTTCTCTCCTGAGACTCTGAAAAAGTAGGGAACACCTTCCAGAAGATCCTGGATATGTAAGGATAGCGCAGTGACCTTGCCACCGGATTGGTTCCAGGTACGACGACTTGCCTCACGCCTCTCTACGATGTAATGTTGAATGCGTGCTCCGCCTTCATTAGCTGGAGGTTCCCAAACCAGTGTCAGTGCTCCTCTGGACACTTCTGCAAATGCAATAGGTCCTGGAGGTCCAGGTGTATCCAACACCTTTACAATGAAATCAACTTCCCTTACGCCACTGCTGTTCTCCAGAGTAAGGGTGTATCTTCCAGAATCATATCTGGTACACTTTTCTATTGTCAGAGCAGTGTAGGTCTCTGTAGTAGTAATATCTGTCATAACACCAAGTTCTTCTTCATCTTCCTTACTCCATTTAACTGAAGGAGTTGGTTTTCCTTTGTAGGCTATACGGAGACAGACGGTGCCTCCCTTCTTCACAATGTGTGTTTGTTTGAAGGTAGCATCAATATCAACGTCAGGTTTTACGTGTCTGTCCACAGCCTGTACTGGCTCAGGAATCTCTTGCTCCTCTCCCTTTCCAATACTATTCTGGGCAGAAACACGAAGCAGGTAGTATGAACCAGTTTCCAAACCAGTTGCAACGTATTTTGTGTCATTGACCAGATCCTCATTGATTCTGATCCATTCTCTGGTATCCTCTTCTTTCTCTTCTTCCTCCTCCTCTTCATCTTCATCTTCTGAGCTGTCTACCACCTTCTTAGGTTTAGCTAGTATTTCTTTTAGTTCTTCCTCAGATACCTTGTGCAACTCAATGACGTATCCATAGATGGGACTGCCACCATCGTCTTTAGGCTTGGTCCATTCCAAACTGATAGTTGTATCTGTAGAGTCAGTTACATGAACCACAGATGAAGCGCATGCAATATCCTTTGGCTCGCTGGCTTTAATGGCCATTGAGATGTTACTGGGTGCGCCGATACCAGCGTTGTTTACTGCCATCACACGGAACTCGTACTCCATATCTTCAGTGAGATGATCCACCCGGTGTGCAGGCTCCACAATGGGCTTCTTTGACCTCACCTTGTCCCAGCGGACAGTCTTCTTCTCACGTTTTTCAACAATGTAGTACTGAATAGGATTGCCTCCATCAGATGTGGGAGCTTCCCATGCCAGTGTGATACTGTCTCCAGAAACTGCCGTGGAATCAGGTGTGCCAGGTGCTTCAGGAGTAGCTGTAGGAAAAGGGGGTAAATAATTATTAAGACATACATTTGGTAAAGTGGGCTGTTAAAAATGCCAAAATCATATTCAGACATGGGGCTGGTGTTAAGGCGGCTCTTGTGTCAAACGCATGTTAGTTAGCAATTTCGTCATGTAAAAACTGCCGCACTGGCATTTTCCAACCCTAACCCCAGTTTCTGCAATTTACCTGTCTTATATCAGCTCGCTTGCCCTCAGATGGACGGGGTGGAAATATTAGAGGTGCCTCTTTAAAAACATGATCCAAAGTGCTAATTTCAGGCAGCACTGATAGGGATATTTAAGACCAACCAAAAGCTGGTTTTAGCGGTAATGCAGTTGGTTATGGGATGAATTTTGACAGCGGAAACGCAGCCTATCCAGCCGTGATGCACACTGCCCATATGCGCATGGAACAAGAGTAGCCTAATGTGCTTTTGGTGCCTGTATACTTCGTATTTAGAAACATAAAAAACATGTGTTTTTCCCCATTTCCTTTTATTTGATTAAAAACCAAGCATAGCCTCAACGCAATCGTGAAGTAGTCAAGACTGTCGATAAAGGGTTTGGCTCCTGAGACCGCTTGGAAATAAATCTTAATCACCAAAGCTTTATTAAAATATCAAGTTTGAGAGGAGTTAAACAGTGAGCTGACATTCCCTTTTTATCTATGCATTGTAGGCAGGCCCACATTTTGGACTTGCTTAAATCCCCCTCCATGATGTAGGCTACCTGTCAATGCCCATCATGAAACGAGAGATGAGATCCTTCTGTAAATACAGGTGAACCTCGTATTTAGAAGTGACCTGTAACCTGTAAAAATGGCTTGTTTTCCATTTCATATGTTACAAACCCAAGCCCTCCCTTAGGCCTACTATAACAAAGGCTGTTCAACAGCAATGCCTGTCTTTTTTATCCTGGCGATTTTATGATATCATTACATTTATTTTCGTTAATTTTTATTACAACCAAACTTATTAGAATGATTCACCTTCCAGGCCTATTTGGGAGCAGTATAAGGGTGAGTGGACATTCTCCCTTTCTATATATATTGGATCTTTGTCCAGCTACTGTGAAAAGTTGGAATGTGCGTAAAACCCTCCATAGTCTGCGTTGTTTTAATATTATATGCCCACGAGGAGAAATTATGGTGGCTGTAAGTGTGACATAGCCTATTTAAAATAAGTTGTTGTTTCGTTTTGTTTAGAATTTGATTATAACTATTTGTTCTCTTTTTAGGCCTTATCAATAATTAATGTAATCTTGCTTATTGACAATGTTTGGCATGTCCATGCTCAGCTATAATGCAATTGACAGTAGGCCTGGCCCCTATATCAGTGTGAATGCTATTGAAGCCACGCAATTACTTAGAACAATGTGGACTGCAAATGGGTTCAAGTATGTGGCAGGGTCTACAGACAATCACAGACTACAAAGGGAAAACCAACCACGTCGCGGACACCGACGTCTTGCTCCCGGACAAGCTAAACACCTTCTTCGTCCGCTTTGAGGATAACACAGTACCACCAACGCAGCCCGCTACCAAGGACTGTGGGCTCTCCTTCTCTGTGGCCGACGTGAGTAAGACATTTAATCGTGTTAACCCTTGCAAGGCTGACCCCAGACGGCATCCCTAGCCGTGTCCTCAGAGCATGCGCAGACCAGCTGGCTGGAGTGTTAACGGACATATTCAATCTCTCCCTAGATCCACAGATGATGCAATCGCCATCGCACTGCACACTGCCCTATCCCATCTGGACAAGAGGAATACCTATGTTAGAATGCTGTTCATTGACTATAGATCAGAATTCAACACCATAGTACCCTCCAAGCTCATCATTAAGTGATGCCAGGAAAATAACCTCTCCCTCAATGTCGACAAAACAAAGGAGCTGATCGTGGACTTCAGGAAACAGCAGATGGAGCATGCCCCTATCCACATCTACGGGACTGCTGTGGAGCAGGTGGAAAGCTTCAAGTTCCTCGGTGTACACATCACTGACGATCTGAAATGGTCCACCCACAAAGACATGTGGTGAAGAAGGCGCAACAGCGCCTCTTCAACCTTAGGAGGCTGAAGAAATGTGTCTTGCACCTAAAACCCTCACAAACTTTTACAGATGCACAATTGAGAGCATCCTGTCGGCTATATCATTGCCTGGTACGGCAACTGCACCGCCCGCAACCACAGGGCTCTCCTGTGCTGTCCTGGTGCTGTCTGCCCAACATATAACTCCCGAGTGGCGCAGTGGTCTAAGGCACTGCATCGCAGTGCTAGCTGTGCCACTAGAGATCCTGGTTCGAATCCAGGCTCTGTTGTAGTCGGCCGCGACCGGGAGACCCATGGGGCGGCGCACAATTGGCCCAGCGTCGTCCAGGGTAGGGGAGGGAATGGCCGGCAGGGGATGTAGCTCAGTTGGTAGAGCATGGCGTTTGCAACGCCAGGGTTGTGGGTTCGATAAAATAATGTATGCGCTAACTGTAAGTCACTCTGGATAAGAGCGTCTGCTAAATGACTAAAATGTAAATGTAAATGTAAATATCACCTGGGGCAAACTACCTGCCCTCCAGGACACCTACAGCACCCGATTTCACAGGAAGGCCAAAAATATCATCAAGGACAACAACCACCCGAGCCACTGCCTGTTCACCCCGCTATCATCCAGAAGGCGAGGTCAGTACAGGTGCATCAAAGATGGGACAGAGATACTGAAAAACAGCTTGTATCTCAAGGCCATCAGACTGTTAAATAGCCATCAATAGGCGGCTTTCACCCAGTTACGTAACCCTGCACCTTAGAGGCTGCATATACATAGACTTGAAATCACTGGCCACTAATAATGGAACACTAGTCACTCTAATAATGTTTACATATTTTTGCTTTACTCATCTCATATGTATATACTGTATTCTATTCTACTGTATTTTAGTCTATGCCACTCCGACATTGCTCATCCTAATATTTATATATTCCTTAATTCTATTCTTTTACTTTTAGGTTGTGTGTATAGTGTGTGTTGTTGTGAATTGTTAGATATACTGCACTGTTGGAGCTAGAAACACAAGCATTTCGCTATACCCGCAATAACATCTGCTAAACGTGTATGTGACAAATAAAATTTGATTTGATTTGAGTTAACATATTTAGCAAAGATAGGTCTACATTTTGTTATTTCGTTTCTGTAAGCCATTTAACAAACTATAACGGGACTAACATTGGAATTGGAATTGATTCCAAGGCAATACATAAGACCGTAAATACACAACTTGAAGCAACCACATATTTCGCCATGGAGCATGTTCTGATTGGCCAGTGAGGGGCCTAGCCTCCACACACCCACAACTTCTTTATGAATCAAAACCAAGTCCTTTCCCGCCAACGCCAGCAAGTGCGCCGATAATTGTGATAGTGAAAATAGCAAAGATATTTCTGACACACCGCCTGCGCTTAGATTGACCATTGCGTTAGGTTTGTTAAAATAGAGCCCTTGGACTTACTGTATTGCATTTGTGCAATGATGGGACTTGAATCCAATGGTCGGCCGGTACCAAACCTGTTGACAGCAGAAACACGGAACTGGTACTCATTGGTCTTCATCAGCTTGGTGGCGTGGTATACTGTTTCTTTACAGCAATCCGAGACAAGTGCCCAAGAGATCTTAGAGGTCTCACGCTTCTCAACAATGTAGTGAGCGATGTCCGAGCAGCCGTCATTCTCCGGTGGATTCCATGTGAGGGTCACTTTTCCTTCAGAGATATCACTGAAAATGATAGGTCCCACCGGTTCTCCAGGAGTATCTAGATAAGAATAGAGGATCATAAACATTTGACATGTACAGTACAAGGCCGATCAACTATCTACAATGATGTCAACAAGATAAATCACAGTGCTATTTGAATGTTGTGACAGTAAAACGAAACCAACCATGGACTTGGACAATGATGTCCTCCTTCTTGGTTCCTTGGTTATTGGTGGCTTCCACTGTGTAAGTTCCTTTGTGACTGCGGTCAGCATCACGTACAAAGAGCATGCTTGATCCAGCAACTGTGGTGGTGTCCATCATCGACTTGGTGATTTGCACGCCGTCTCTGAACCACACAACCTTGGGCTGTGGCCGTCCAGTGATCGATACCTTCAGTCTCATATTGTCTCCTGCCTTGATTGTGAGTCCCTCAAAATACTCTGGGCCAAACTCAATGTTTGGAGAAGCTGGAAAGACAAAAGGTGAACATGTACATCATTAGTGTTTTATACAATGCAAAACATATTACATATTAATATTATCATGTCAAACGTATTATTATTATTATTTCAACATATAATGTATTCACTTACCACTTTCATCTCTGACCACGATGTATCCAGATGAGTTAGATGGGGGACTCATTACGCCAATAGCATTTCTTGCAATAATTCTGAACTCATAGCGTTCATTGCAAGCAAGACCAGTGACAGTAAACTGGGTGTCGTGGACATCAGTGAAGTTGCTCTTCAGCCAGCGGCCCTGTCCTTGGCGTTTCTCAACATTGTAGGCCACAATCTTGCTGCCTCCATCACGTTTGGGTGCGTCCCATTTCAGTGCGACAGAATTGCTGGTCACATCAGTGTAGTCAGGTTGACCAGGTGGATCTAAAAGAGGAACACATTCACTTTCACATGTTTGAATCACACGTGGACTAAGTCTGGGAATGTGCTTAAATCACTTGGTTTATACTTCCCTATTACATAAGATATTCATGGTACTTGCACTTTCATAGGCATTGGATTTCATACCATCTATGTGTTGATTGTAAGAATATGTACGTTAAAGTCGCAATCAGCAGTTGCGCTACATCCATTTTTGGACTTATAAATTAAAGATATGTACCCATTGATTCTTGAAGAATATAAATTATAAATGCCTCATGAGCTTAGTTCCCCACCAGAACCTAAAATATAAGCTTATTTTACTCCTTGCATCCATAGCTCTGTCTATGAATTTGAGTGTGGTTACATTTCTCAAGCCCCATCCCTCAGCTTTTTACAGAACCAGAGGCGGGGTGTCTGCTTTGTTATTGTTTCTACTGCTGATTGCCGCTTTAATGAAAGGGTATGCTGCACCCATTGCTGACCTGAAACTCACTGCCTTGTTCAGCCCGGGGATGAATAACAGTATACCATTATTAACAGTAAACCATGATTAGTTTCCATTTGAATAAGGACTTACCAACTGGAGAAACTGCCATGGTGGTGTTGCTTTCGTCACTCTTGCGGCTGAATCCAGCATCATTCTGTGCGTAGACTCTGAATTGATATTCCAGTCCTTCAATAAGGCCAAGGATTCTGTAGTCTGTTCCAGGGATAGCCACAGTGTTGACTTTCTGCCACATGACACTGTTCTTCTCCTTCTTCTCAACATGGTAGCCCTTGATTGGACAGCCGCCATTGAAGACGGGCAGCTCCCACTGAATGGTCATTCCGTCGTTGGTGACGTTGTACACAACAGGCTTTCCTGGTGGACCTGCAGGCCTGAACTGGTGTTTAGCGACGACGCTTGGTGACACCAGTGGCTCACTGACTCCATATATGTTCTCAGCACGCACTCTAAACTGATACTGTATTCCTTTGATCAAGTTGGGCACCTTGAATGTTGTGTCAGTGACACTAGAGCATGCCATCTTCCAGTCATTCTGAGATGTGTCGCGCTTCTCTACAGAGTAGCAAGTGATCTCTCCACCTCCGTAATCGTTTGGCTCCTCCCAGGATATTGTAACACTGTCTGCTCTGACCTCATCAAAGTTGATGGGTGCGACAGGCTTCGATGGTGGTCCGCGAGTTATGACAAAAACGTTGAAGGATTTCCTGTACACCCTGTTATCAAGAGTAAGTGTGTATTTCCCACCATGCTCTGGTCTCACATTCTTGATCATGAGAACAACTTTGTTGTCTGTTTTCCTGAAGCGTACTAGTTCGCTCTCCTTCAGTGGCATATTGTCCTTAAGCCAATATGTGGCAGGTCTGGGTTTACCCTTATAGGGCAACTCAATGTGTACATTATGGCCCACACGGACACTGATTTCCCCACCTGGATACTCATCCAGGTTGGCCTCTGGTGGGATGACAAAGTCCTTCACTTCAATTGGTCCAATTTCAGTGAAATCACCCTTTCCCTTCTCATTTCTGGCGGCAACTCTGAAATGCATTTGTGAGGTTTCTTTGAGTTTTGGTACTTCGTGTTCACATAGTTTGCTGCAGCCAGCGGCTGCCCAGTCCTCTTCATCCTTGAGTCTCTTCTCAATGACGTAGTCAGATATGATGCTTCCACCATCGTAATCAGGCTTTACCCACTGCAGTGTTACAGAGGTCTTTGAGGCATCCTTCATAGCAACTTCTTTGACTGGACCAGGAGTTTCTGTAGCTTTTACTGGTTCAACTGTGCTGCAAGGATCACCTATTCCAAATTCATTCTCTGCTGATACACGGAAGAAGAAGGATGTTTTCTCTGAGAGATCTTCAATGGTATAAAATTGTTCTGTGCATTTGGTTGTCACACTAGAGTAGGATCTCTTGGATGAGTCTCTCTTTTCAATGATGTAATTGGTAATATCAGCACCACCATCAAGTTCAGGTTCTTCCCAGCACATGGTTACTTTGCCACGAGTGACATCCTTCAACACCAGGTTCGTGCAGGCAGCTGGTGAGTCTTGAACCTTCACAGACAGCGTCATTGACTTTGGCTCTCCTACACCGTTTTCAATCTTCACAGTGTACTTTCCAGAGTCATTACGGCTGACTTCTGGAATAACAAGGGTTGATGTAATATCTGTGTGGTGGAATTCATATTTTGTATTATTGTCGATGTTCTCCTCTCCGAACATCCAAGTAGGACTAGGTGCAGGTCTGCCCTTGAGGGGCACTGTGATCTCCACATCCTGCTTGGCTTTTACGATGTAGTGAGTTCTCATGGCAACATCTGGATCGAAGATAGCTTCCTCTGTAAAAATCATTAAAAGATACATACTTTATTTACTGCCTTTTCACTACTAGGAAAAGGGAAGAAATCTTATCATGAAACAAAATGTCAATGTAGATGTAATGAAACCATGAGGTGTGTTAACTTACCCAGAATATCCTTAGCCTGAACAGGCTCTTTCATCTTAATGGCCTCTCCACGCCCTGCGATGTTGACTGCGGATACGCGGAAGTAGTAGTCAACATCTGGTGTTAGGCCGGACACAACGTACTCTGCTGTCCTCACTTCTCCCTTCTGGCTGATTACAACCCATTCTCCATCGTCTGCTTCTTCTTCTTCCTCCTCCTCTTCTTCTTCTTCTGATTCTTCTTTACGTGGTTTGCGTCGTAGACCTTCCACGTCCGTCAGCTGTTCAACAACGTAGCTGAGGATCTCACTGCCTCCGTCCCACTCTGGCTTGGCCCATCCAAGGGTGATAGATGTCTTGGTTGAGTCAACCACTTTTAGCTTAGTAGGTTCGTATGGTGGTTCTAATAAAGAAAATTTACATAATTTAGATATAGTTTTAATAGAGAAGTAAAGGTTATGGTTTTTACTTATTACATAAGTTAGATGGACGTTAAACATTTTTCCTTACCAACTGGATCAGCTGCTTTGTAGTAGTCAGACACATCTGAGAAGGGGCCCTCTCCGGCTTTGTTGATGGCACACACACGGTATTGATATTCATTGCCTTCTGTTAGGTTAAAGATAGTCGTAGTGGTGTTGTTAATCGGATCTTTCAAGACCTTTATCCAGCGAAGGCTCTTCTTGTCACGTCTCTCAAGGTAGTAGCCAGTTACTTGACTACCGCCATCCACACCTGGTTTGTCCCATACAACTACCATTGTTGATTTGGTTATAGTTGTTACCTCTGGTGTGGCAGGCTGTCCTGGGGTAACTGTGAAATTAATATAAAGAGTCGGTTAAGTAAAAAAAATACATCAGAAAACAGAATGTATGTCTTATAAGAAGACTTAATATGCATGTCAAGCTGATCATTTTGGGGAATGTCTGCTTTATATTTCAACAGATAAAACTTCTGTTTGCATGTTTCAAAATAGTGTTTTTTGCTACCACAATGTTATGGCCTGTTTTGTTTTACACTTACCAAATAGATTTTTGGCAACAACAGGCTCAGAGTCCAAGGGTTCTCCATTTCCGAACTTGTTGACACCCCTCACACGGAAAATGTACTCATTTCCTCGTACCAACTTCATGACAGCTATGTAGCACTCTTCTAGTCTCTCAGACACGGTAGACCATACCACTCTGCTGGTTTCACGTTTCTCCACAACGTAATGGGTGACCTTAGCACCACCCTCATCAGTGATTGGCTCCCACTTGAGCATGATCCTGTCTGCTGTGACTAACATAAACTGAATCAAGCCAGGAGGTGGTCCAGGTTTGTCTGGTGAAAAGGAGAAAACATTCAGTGCATTAATACATTATTGAACTCATAACAACATGTCTGTTGCAAATGAAAGTATGACACAATTACATGACATAAGCTAAATGACATGTAAAAAAATATACCTAGAACTTCCATCCTGATGGTGGCAGATGCCGAACCCAGAGCGTTCTTGATCTTTATTTCATATGTGCCAGTGTGGCTACGAGTTGCGTCCTTGATGAGAAGACCTGAGGAATCAGTGGTGCTCTCGATGGATAGTGTAGTGCTTGACACCATTTCTTTTCCATCCTTGTACCACTCAATTGTTGGCAGAGGCTTGGCAAGAATTCCCACTCTGATCTTAACCATGGATCCGGCTTTGTATTTCACAACATCTAAATACTCTGGAGGAAGATCGATTGCAGGGGCACCTGAACATGAGAAAAACAAAATATTAGCAACAAAATAGTAAATCAAATATCAACCAAATGACAGTTTCTTTACCCATTGAAAAGTAAAAAAAGCTCAACTCACCACATGAATCGACACAAGTGATTGGACCAACAACATCAGATGGATTGCTGATAGAACCGATTGCGTTCTTTGCGTAAACTCTGAACTCGTAGGATTCATCCTGGGTCAAGCCTGACATTGTGAAGTTCATCTCAATCACGTTAGTGAAGTTGGCCCTTGTCCATCTGCCATTAGGGCAGTCCCTCCTCTCCACCATGTATCCAGTGATCTTGCTGCCACCATCATAAGGCGGCCTAACCCAGGCCAGACTGATGGAGTTCTTTGTGATCTCTGAGACTCTTACAGCTGCCGGGGGCTCTGAAATACAAAATCAAATTGATCAGGAACAGTTTATGAGAAAAATAAAACACCATCCACAACAAATTCAGTGACCAAAAAACAAAAATAATCAAGAAGACATTTACCGCAGTTATCAATGGCGAGCACTTCTTCTGACGTTTTGCTGATTTTTCCGATACCAGCTGCATTTTCTGCGGTCACCTTGAATTCGTAGATGAGGCCAGGGCAGATGTTTGTTACTCTCAGCTGTGTTCCAATGATTGCTACTTTGTTGACCTTTTGCCACAGAATACTGCTTCTCTCTTTCATTTGCAGGTGGTAGCCCGTGACAGTGTTTCCTCCATCTATGACAGGCTCGTTCCAGTTGACTGTAATGCTCTCTCTTGAAGCCATGGTTACCCATGGTGTTGATGGAGGGCCAGGGAATGCTAGAATAAAAAATGTAATCCAGTAAATTTCAGTCTAATTCAAAGACACATTAAGATAGTGATTAAGATAGTGGGAATGGATGGTATACTAATAAATGATAGAGACACTTACTGTATGGAAGCTTCACTGTGATTGGTGGGGTGTCAATGTGGTCACTGATACCAAAGCGATTCTCTGCCTTGATTCTGAACTGATATTCCTCTCCTTTGGTAAGCTTGCTGGCCTTTATGGCACTTCTCGCAACCTGAGAGGACACTTCAGTCCAAGCAGGTGTGCTTGTTTCACGTCTCAGTACAACGTAGTTGGTAACTGGGCTGCCACCATCATACACAGGAGGAGCCCATTTGAGAGCCACTGTGGATTCAGTCACTTCGCCAACCTCAATAGGGCCAGTTGGAGGACCAGGTCTATCCAACACAACGATGTTGATGAACATCTTGGTGATACCACTTGTATTGGAGGCGATGATGTCATATCTGCCAGCATCACTTGCAATGCTCTCGTTCAGTTTGATGATCAGGCTTTCAGCAGTAACTTGAGTGACCAATCTCTTGGATGGTTTCAGAATAACGGTGTTTCTTGCTAGAATAACCTTTGCCAAAGGTTTGCTGGTCATAGGAAGCTCGAAGGTCAGATTTGATCCTGATCTCACATAGACAGTATTGCTGGGGTAGTTTTTCATGTCAAAATCTGGGGCCTCTGTAAAGCAAATAGTCACAGCATATACAATTAGATAATGATCAATTAACATACACGATTAGCCATGACAGATATACTGACTATTTATATAATGAAAAAGTCAAAATAAGAAGAGGTGAGTAGAAAACCTACCCAGTTGATCTTTCACTACAACAGGAATGATCATCTCTTTGGGTTCGCCGAGTCCAGCATGATTCTGAGCGCTAACTCTGAAGAAGTATTCACCATTCTCCTTCAAGTTTTTGATTTGGAAGGAAGTTGTGTTCACAAGAGTAACCTTCGCCCATTTGGGTTGTCCTTTCTCAAGTGCTTCGATGAAGTACTGAGTTACTCTGCTTCCACCATCGTGTTCTGGTCTCGTCCATCCGATTGTAACACTGTCCTTGGTTACCGCAATAGCCCCAAGCTTTTGAGGTGGACTTGGTTTTTCTGCAAATATTAAGAACAAAAGTTATGAACAATTAAGAATGTATGGGGTAATTTCTTTATGCAAGTATCATACAGATAACAAAATAACATACAAAGTAAAGAAATGACAAACCTGTAATCTTTGTTCCATTCTTGGGTATAGCAGCTACACCCACTCCGAATTCGTTTTCTCCCATGACTCTGAAGTAGTAGAAAGCTCCCTCTTGTAAATCTTTCACTTTGTAGGACAATGCGTGGCAGTTGTTGGTCACACACACCCATGCCTTTTTGCTGGCTTCACGTTTCTCAACATGGTAGGCCTTCACAGCATCACCTCCATCATTTTCTGGAGCTTCCCATGTAATGGTAGCAGTGTCTTTGGTGACGTCCTTAACCAATACATTAAGTGGTGGACCAGGAGAGTCAAGAACCTTTACAACTATTGGTAATGTTACTGGGTCTCCAATGCCATTCTCTAATGTTACAGTGTACTGTCCAGAGTCATTTCTTGTTGCCGTTTCAATTGTTAGTGAAGTGCAGCTTTGATTAGTTTCAATGGTTGCTCTTGCCTTGAGATCTACTTCCTCCTTGCTCCATTCTACTGAAGGTGCAGGTTTTCCCTTATATGGTACAGTCAGAGTGAATGAGTTGCCATGCTTGACAATCAATGTCTTGCGCATTTCTATGTCTACATCAAACATAGGCTCCACGGTTCTATCCATTGCTGCAATAGGCTCAGAAATTGGGCTTTGCTCGCTTTCACCAATCTTGTTTATTGCCTTAACAGCAAATTCATATTCTTCATCTGCTGTAAGTCCAGAGACGGTGAACTCTGTGCTCTTTATGTTCTGAATGGCCACTGTCCATTCCTCGTCCTTCAGTTTCTTATACTCCACACTGTATCCAAGGATTGGAGCTCCACCATCTTCTAGTGGCTTGTTCCAAATGATGGAGATAGAACTCTTGGTTGAATCAACAACTTTTGGTTTACTTGGTGGGTCTGGTTCGACCTGTTCATCTTCAGCCCTAAACGATGGGCATGCTTCACTTGGAGGACTCAAACCAGCAGCGTTTTCAGCAAACACGCGGAACACGTATTCATATCCTTTTCGTAGTTTAGTTGCTATGGTTGTCAATTCAGTCACAGGCTCTCTGTTCACACGGACCCAGAGTAGACCTGCCGTGTCGCGCCTTTCAATCACATATCCTGTAATTTCACTGCCTCCATCTGAAACAGGTTTCTGCCAGACAAGTGTCATCTCCTCACTGGATACCTCCGTGATCTCACAATTTGTGGGAGCAGATGGTTTTGTGAATGGATCAGCCACTTTGACAACCTCACTCTCAATGGCCTCACCAAGTCCATACTTATTGACGGCCGTGACCCTGAAGATGTATTCATTACCCTTGAGGAGATTTGTGACCTTGAAATTTGTCCTGTTCAGATCTCCGTTCACCACTGTCCAAGCAAGACGGCTTGTTTCACGTTTCTCAACAACGTAGTGTGTGATATCAGCGCCGCCTGCTTCTTGAGGAGGACCCCATGCTAAGGTGACGTCTTCTGCTGTAATGCCTGTAGTTGCCAGGGGGCCAGCGGGAGGTCCTGGCTTATCCAGGATCACAACGTCCACTGGTGTAGATACTGTTCCTGCAATGTTTTGCAGAGTCAAAGTATATTGTCCAGAATCACGCCTTATGCAGTCCTTCACAATTACTGAGGTGCTGGTATCTGTTGCAAGAATCTGAATTCTGGCCCTGAGCTCGATCTCCTTGTCGTCCTTTTTCCATGATGCAACTGGCAGTGGACGCCCAGCGATATCTGCATTGATTTTAAGAACATCTCCTGCTTTCACAACTACAACAGCTCTGTACTTCACATCCATCATGATACGTGGTGGATCCACATCATCCTTGACTGTGATTGAACCAGTGGAATAAGATGGGTCACTGAAGCATCCAGCAGCATTCTTTGCAATGACACGGAAGTCATACTGCTGGTCCTTGATCAGGCCTGTGACGTCATAGTAGGTTTCCACCACGTTGGTGAAGTTACACCTCATCCAGCGGCCTTCTGGGAGATCTTTGCGTTCAATAATGTAACCAGTAACCTTGGATCCACCATCGTACTCTGGCTTCGTCCAAGCGAGGGATACCGATGTTCTTGTGATACCTGTCACTGTTGGCTCGCCAGGGGGATCGCATGGATCTCTTGCAGAAACAGCCTCACATGCTTTGCTGCATTTTCCAATTCCAGCAATGTTTTCAGCGTAAACGCGGTATTCGTACCCGATGCCCTCTTCAATGCCAGTCACTTTGTATTCTGTATCTTTGATGAGACCTCTGTTCATCTTGTTCCAGATGATGCTGGTTCTCTCCTTTCGCTCCAAATGATATCCAAGAACTGTGCTTCCTCCGTCATTGACTGGCTCATTCCATGTGACAAGCATGTAAATCTTGGTTGCATGTGCCACTTTAGGAGTAGATGGTGGGCCAGGTAGCTTGAAGTTATACTGGGCTGTAATTCCACGGGAATCTGCATGTTGACTCTTTCCATAACGATTTACAGCATAGATACGGAACTGGTATTCAGCACCCTTTGTCAATCGGGAGGCTTTAATTGCTGTTGTTGCAACATTGGCTGAGACCATTTGCCAATCTGTTGCATTTGTATCTCTCTTCTCTACAATGTAGTTGTTGATGCAGCAGCCACCATCATACTCTGGTGGAACCCATGACAATGAAATACTGTCTGAAGTTACAGCAGTTGGTTTGATAGCAGTTGGTGGACCAGGTTTGTCAAGGACAATAATTCCAATCTCTGCTATTTTTATTCCACCTGGGTTTGCGGCAGTGATTTCATATTTTCCGACATGTTCTCTGCCTGCCTCCTTTATAATAATTTTGGATGAGGTCTTGGTATTCAGAATTGTCAATGAGCTTGTTTGCTTCAAAGGAAGGCCATGATGTTTCCATGCAATAACAGGTTTAGGTCGGCCCCTAACTGGGATTTCAACTGTAAGATCACCTCCAGCCTTCACACTGTAAGTGTTGAATAACACCTCAATTGAGGGTTCAATAGCAATGTCTTTTGTTGTCACAGGTAGACCAAGTTCCTTTGGTACACTCTTTCCCTTCTCGTTGATTGCAATGACTCTGAATGAATATGCGTCACCTGCTACTAGGTTTGCAATAGTTGCTTCCAGGATTTTGACTGTGCATGAAGCATTCCACTTCTGGGCACCCTTGTCATCCTTACCTTGCACCTCAACGTTGTAGCACATTACTTTGCTTCCACCATCATGAGCTGGCTTTTCCCAGGCAAGTGTTACACTGTTTTTCGTGAGATCCGTAACTCTGACATTTTGTGGTGGCATAGGCACTTCAGAAACTTTAATTGGGTTTTTGGTTTCAGCCATCAACCCAATGCCATACTCATTCACAGCACAGACACGGAAGTAGAAAATGCATCCCTCTGGCAACTCATCAATCTTGAAGGAATTAGATAAGCAGTTAGTTGTCACTGCAGTGTAAGCCTTTCTGGTGGATTCTCGCTTCTCCACAATGTAATTAGTTATTTTTGATCCACCGTCTGTGAGTGGTGTTTCCCAAACAAGATTCACAGAATCTTTTTTGATATCTTTGACCGCAAAGGCCTGTGGAGCACTTGGTGTGTCCAACACTCTGACATTGATAAGTGCTGATTTTTCACCAGTGTTATTCTCAAGGTTCAATGTGTATTTTCCACTGTCGAATCGGTTCACATTGTCAATTACAAGCATAGTGTATGAGCTTGTGGATTCTATCATGACACGTTCTGTCAGCTCGCCGTCCAGCTTTGCCCATTTAACTTCAGGTTCAGGTCTTCCTCTGATTGTGACAAACAGACGCAGAGATCCACCTGCACGAACAGAGACAACCTTCCTGAGGTTGGCATCCAGTTCAATCTCTGGTGCCTCAACTCTTTCTGCAGCAATCACAGTGCCATGGATATCTGCAGGCTCACCAACTCCCTCTGAATTGATAGCACAGACACGGAATTTGTATTCTAGTCCTGCCTTCAAGTCCTTAATAGTGAGGTGTGTCGCCTGGATGCCAGTTGGTGGTGTACATATGGTCCATTCATACTCCTTAGGAGGTTCTTCCTCCTCTTCTTCTGAATACTCCTCTTCTTCTGCTGCTGCTTCTTCTTTCCTCTTCTTTTCCTCTTCCATTGCTTTCCTCTCCTCTTCTGTCACCTTTCTCATTTCAACAATGTACCCTTTGATGTATGCTCCACCGTCGGAAGCGGGTTTGCCCCAAGTCAAGGACACAGTTGAGCTGGTGTGATCTGTCACCTTAGGATGGTGTGGTGGTCCAGGTGCTGTTGTAGCATTGCATGCTCTGTAGAACAGTGAGAGTTCGCTCAGATCTCCCACTCCAGCTTCGTTCTCTGCAGAAACACGATATTCATAGAAATGACCATCCAAAAGTCCAGTGACTTTGAAGTGTAGATCAGTCAATGGCTGCCGGTTGCATTTGGTCCACCTTACACCATCTTTGTCACGTTTCTCAAGATGGTAGCAGTCAATTTCTGCTCCACCGTTGTTATCTGGCTTTGACCATGATAGGACCATAGAATCCTTTGTTATTTGGCTTGCTTCAGGTGTTCCTGGTCCACTTGGAGGCTTGTATGGATTGCGTGCAGTTACTGCCTCACACTCCAAAGGATCACCAACGCCATATTTGTTCACAGCCCTAACCCTGAAGATATATTCGTTCAATTCCAGTAGGTTGATCACTTTGAAATTTGTTGCTTGAATATTTGCGTTAATCACAGTCCAGGATAACCGACTGGTCTCTCTCTTTTCCAGAATATAGTGAGTTATAGCTGCACCACCATCCAGAGAGGGATCAGTCCAGGATAGGAAGCATCTGTCGGCGGTCAATCCAGTGACTCTCAGTGGTCCAGTGGGTGCACTTGGTTTATCAAGGACCTTCACAGTGATTGGGATTGTCTTTACCCCACCGATATTGGTGAGACTGAGGTCATAGTTTCCACTATCTAACCTTGTGCAGTCCTTGATTGTTATAGCTGCACGTTTCTGTGTAGTTTTCACTTCAATTCGAAGAGCTTTGTCCATTTGCTTTCCTTCTTTCAACCATAAGACCTCAGGAGCGGGTTTGCCATAGATGTCAGCATCCAAAACTAAGTTATCCCCAGCATTAACAACAATGACATCCTTGTATTTAGGATCCATTGAGGCTCTTGGTGCTTCAATCTCATCTGTGGCAGTAATGGGTCCAGTGCTGTCAGAAGGCTCACTGAAAATACCAGCTGCATTTCTTGCAATCACTCTGAACTCATATTGTTCATTTTCTGTCAAGCCAGAGATGGTAAATTCTGTCTCAATGACATTGGTAAAGTTGGCTCTCATCCAGCGACCCTCAATGTTGGCTAGATCTCTTCGCTCCACAATATATCCAGTGATCTTACTGCCTCCATCATACAGTGGCTTAGTCCATTGAATCACAATGTGGTTCTTGGAGATAACAGTAGCCTCAGGGGTACCTGGTAGATCAACTGGATCTCGAGCAATGAACGATTCTGATATTTTGGATGCTCTGCCAATGCCAACAATGTTTTCAGCATAGACCCTGTATTCATATCCAATGTCCTCCTCAAGATTACATATCTTGAAAGAGGTATCAGCGATGAGGGCTTTGTTGAGTTTCGTCCACATAATGCTGGTTCTTTCTTTAGATTCAAGATGGTATCCAATAACCGTGCTGCCACCATCATTGACTGGCTCATTCCATTCAATAATCATTTGATCCTTTGTTGCAGATTTGATGTATGGAGTTCCGGGTGGTCCTGGGGATTTGTATGGATATTGCACCACAATTGGTTTTGTGTCCAAAGGAGTGCCCTTTCCATATCTATTCTCAGCACAGATTCTGAAACAGTACTCTGCGCCAGTTTTCAGCTTGGTTACTTTGATAGCTGTTCTAGCAAGCTGTGCATTCACACTTTGCCATGTTGTTTGTGTTGTATCTCGTCTTTCCACAGTGTAATGCTTTATTTGACATCCGCCTGTGTACTCTGGGGCTCCCCATGAAAGACTGACAGAGTTGTTGCTCACTTCAAGGACTTTAATGGGTCCGGTTGGTGGACCAGGTTTGTCAAGGATTGTGATTCCTATGTCTTCAGAGAATAAGCCAGCTGTGTTAGCTGCCGTAATGGTATACTTTCCAAAGTCGTCCTTACATGCCTCAGTAATTTTAATGGCAGCAGTTGTTGCTGTGTTTATCAAATTCACTCTTGTTGTTATTTTCAATGGCAGACCCTCTTTCTTCCAAACAATATGGGGTTTCGGCCTACCAAACACTGGGATTTCTACTATCAGATCGTCACCAGCTTTGACGGTGTAGGTGTTGAACATGAGTTTTAAGCTTGGTTCAATAGTCATGTCATTAGCAACAACTGGCATAGCCAGTGCTTTAGGCTCACTCTTTCCCTTCTCATTGTAAGCTATGATACGGATCAGATACTCCTGTCCAGCAGTAAGTCCGGTGACTGTGCCATGACAATCGCCCTTTGTGGATGTCGCAACACCCCATTTGTCCCCTCCCTTTTGCTGCATCTCAACTAGGTAACCAGTAATTCTGCTTCCACCATCATGCTCTGGTTTTTCCCATCTGAAAGATGCGCTGACTTTAGTAACATCAGTCAAGAAGATCTTTCCGACTGGAAGAGGCACCTCAGAGGCCTTTGATGCAAGCTTTGTTTCAGTAGACGATCCAATTCCATATTCGTTCTCAGCCATAACTCTGAAGTAATACATAGCCCCCTCAACAAGGTTTTCAACCTTGTAGGTTGTTTTGTTAACCTTAGTTGTTACATTTGCGAATGCTTTCCTGGTTGATTCACGTTTGTCAACAACATAATTCTTGATTTTCGCACCGCCATCAGTAAGAGGGGCATCCCAAACAAGAGTTATGGAGTCTTTCTTGATCTCTGTCAGTTTGAGATTCAGAGGGGCACCTGGTGTATCTAGCACTTTCACAGTTACAAATTCAGAAACGGTACCACTGCTGTTCTCCACAGTCACATTGTACTTTCCAGAATCACTTCTGTCACAAGAGTCAATGGAAAGCTGAGTATAGTTGAGACCTTTCTCAACCACTGCTTTCTCTTGCAATTCTTGTTCTTCCTCCACTTCTTCAACCTTTTTCAGTTTACACCACTTAATCTCTGGCGTTGGTCTGCCTTTGAATGGTACATTGATTCTCACAGATCCTCCAGCACGCACCACAATTCCTTTCCTCAATTCCGAGTCCAGTTGAATTTCTGGATCCTCTACCTTCTCCTCTGGTTTAGATGTTCCAGATACAGCTGCTGGTTCACCAACACCCAGTTTGTTGATAGCACAGACCTGGATCTGATATTCTTGACCTTCTGTAAGTTTTGTGATTTCGAATTTGTTGACCCGCAGGCCTGTTGGTGGAGTGCACATTGTCCATTCCTCCTCCTCAGCTTTGCAAATCTCTACAATGTATCCCTGGATAGGACAGCCGCCATCGTTGAGAGGCTTTCCCCATGTGACTGTGATTGAGCTCTTTGTGGTATCAATCACATGTGCATGTGTGGGTGCCCCAGGTTTGTACTTGGGATCACAGGCCTTAAAGTATGACGTTGGTAGACTTGGCACACCAACACCAGCTGCATTTTCAGCAGATACTCTAAACTCATATTCATGATCTGATGTCAGACCTATTACTCTGAAAGATAGGTCTGTGACCTTTTGCCTGTTGCATTTGGTCCATTTAACTCCAGCTCTGTCTTTCTTCTCAATGATGTAAGTAGTAATGTCACTTCCACCATCGGTCTCTGGTGCAGAGTAGCAGACAGTCATTGAATCCCGGGCAATGTTCGTTACATCATTAACATGTGGTGCTCCAGGGACAACAAATGGATTTTTCATTATTACTGCTGAAGACTCCACAGGTTCACCAACGCCATAACTGTTGATAGCCATGACACGGAAAATATACTCATTGCCCTCCAGCAGACTAGTTACTTTGTACACTGTGGTCTCACAGCTGTTAGAAATCATAGTCCAAGCAAGACGACTGGTTTCACGCCTCTCAATGAGGTAGTGTGTGATGTTGCTGCCTCCATCATGTAGTGGGGCACGCCATGACAGAGTACATTTGTCACAAGCGACTCCAGTGACATGGAGAGAACCAACAGGTGGTCCTGGTCTGTCTAGTACATTCACCTTGAATGGAACTGTCTCTGAGCCAGCAACATTTGTCAGTACAAGTTTGTAATTTCCACCGTCAACTCTGACAGAATCCTTCACAACTATCATTGCGACGCTTTCTGTATTTTTGATCTCCAATCTCATTGTATTCTTTTCAATTTCCACGTCATCCTTGAACCACTGGATTGTGGGTACTGGCTTTCCATGTACATCAGCATCAAGTTTGAATGTGTCTCCCGCATTGATGATGATCGTTTTGGTGAACGCAGGATCAATAGAATATCTTGGCGCTTCCACCTCATCGTTTGCTGTTATAGGTCCACTGTTATAAGATGGCTTGCTGAATGTTCCAACTGCATTCTTAGCAATGACTCTGAAGTCATATTGTGCATCAGCAGTTAGTCCAGTGGCAGTAAATCTGGTCTCAATAACGTTGGTAAAGTTTGCCTTCATCCAGCGTCCCTCTGGAAGGTCACGTTTCTCAACAACATAACCAGTAATCACACTGCCTCCATCATATTCTGGCTTTGTCCATTCAATGGTGATGGACTCTTTGTTTACAATGATAGCCTCTGGTGTGCCAGGAGGATCACATGGATCACGTGCAACGCAACCCTCTGAGATTTTGCTGCATCTGCCAATGCCAACGATATTTTCAGCATAAACTCTGAATTCATATTCAACAGCCTCCTCTAAGGGACCGGTTTTGTAGGTGGTGTCTTTAACGAGTGACTTGTTAAGCTTAGTCCAGAGGATGCTGTTTCTCTCTTTCCGTTCAAGGTGATAGCCAAGAACAGAACTGCCTCCATCTGCGACTGGTTCATGCCACTCCACAACCATATATTCCTTGGAGAGAGATGCAATGAATGGAGTGCCGGGTGGGCCAGGCTCTTTGTAAGGGTACTTTATAGTCACAGGATGTGAGTCCAAACCGTAACTCTTGCCATATCGATTTTGAGCAATGATTCTGAATTGATATTCTGCCCCAGTTTTCAGCCTTTGCACCTTGAGCGTAGTTCTTGCCACAGAGGCAGCAACATTCTCCCAAGTTGTGGTGGTTGTGTCTCTCTTCTGAACAATGTAATTTGAAATCTGGCAGCCACCAGAATGTTTTGGTGGACTCCAAGAAATAGTTGCAGTGTTAATAGTAACTTCATCAAACTTTACAGGTCCACTTGGTGGGCCAGGTTTATCAAGCGCAATGATTTCAATGGTTGCATTCTTTTCCCCAACTACATTAGTAACATTAATGCCATACATTCCGCCATCTTCTCCTGTAGCCTCTGTGATACTTAGAGTTGTGCTATCTGGTGTGTTAGTGATTTTAACCCTTGAGGTGTGGAGTAGGATTGATCCATCCTTTGTCCATTTAACTACTGGTTTAGGACGTCCTGCGATCGGGATTTCAACCTTGAAGTCTTTACCAACCCGAACACTGTAATTGCTAAATGTAGGTCTAACATCAGGCTCAATAACAAGGTCCTTTGCTGTCACTGGAAGTGCAAGTTCCCTTGGGTCACTCTTTCCTTTGTCATTGATGGCAAACACTCTGAACAGATATTCTTCACCCGGATTTAGATTGTTAACAACAGACTCCATTGCTCTGACAGTTGCAATGCCTGACCATTTCTCAGTGCCTTTAGGTTGTATCTCTAGCAGGTAATGAATTATTCTACTTCCACCATCATGCTCAGGCTTCTCCCAGGCAAGAGAGATGCTTGTCTTGGTTTGGTCAACAACACTCAGTTTTCGTGGGATTTGGGGTACCTCTGAGGCTTTGATGGGATCAACGGTTGCTGTAGGCAAGCCAACACCATGTTCGTTTTCAGCAAGGACTCTGAAATAGTAATTGCAACCCTCTTGAAGGTGTTCAACCTTGTATGTTAATTTGTGGCAGTTTGTCACCACAGCTGCATAGGCTTTCCTGGTGCTTTCCCGCTTCTCAACAATATAGTTTCTGATTTTAGCTCCTCCATCCAACACAGGGGCATCCCATGTAAGTGTCACTGATTCACCAGTGATATCTATCACTTTGAGGTTGCCTGGGGCACTAGGTGTGTCAAGAACTCTAACGCTGATTAAAGCAGATTTTTCACCACTGGCATTTTCTGCAGAAACAGTGTATTTTCCACTGTCAAATCTGTTGACATTGTCAATCACAAGGGATGTATAACTACTTGTCACTTCAACTTGTGCATTCTCCTTAATTGGACCTTCATCCTTTCCCCATTTGACTTCAGGTTGAGGTCGCCCTCTGATAGGAATGAACAATCTGAGGGAACATCCAGCCTTAATGTTCACAACCTTTCTCAGGTCTGGGTCAATGTCCAGATCTGGTTCCTCAATCCTCTCCTCGACAAGAATGATTCCAGAGACATCTGCATGTTCTCCAACTCCAAGCTTGTTGATAGCACAAACTCTGAACTTGTACAAATGCATTTCCTCCAATTTTCCAACTTCAAATCTTGTTTGTTTGATGCCACTTGGTGGAGTACAGATTGTCCACACCTCAGCAGGTTCTTCCTCTGCAGCTCCTTCTGCACTTCCTTCTTCTGCGGGTTCTGCCTTGGCAGGTGCTGCTTCTGCAGGTGCGGGTGCTGCTTCGGCGGGTGCTGCTTCGGCGGGTGCTGCTTCTGCGGGTGCTGCTTCGGCGGGTGCTGCCTCAGCTGCTCCTTCCACAGCGGGTGCTTCCTCTCCCTCAGCAGCTGGTGCCTTAGCGGCCGGTTCCACAACGATGGATTGCTTAGTGAGTGATGCAGGAGATGGCACTTCGCATTTCTCCACAATGTATCCTTGAATCTCACATCCTCCGTCATATATAGGTTTGCCCCATGACAGGAAAACTGAAGTTTTGCTTATGTCAGTTACTTTAGGATTAACTGGTGCACCTGGTCTGAAGATCGGATCCAAAGCCTTGTAGAAAACTGTTGGGGAGCTTGGCTCTCCAACTCCAGAGACATTCTCAGCCAGAACTCTAAATTCATAACTGTGACTTTCCATAAGTCCGGTGACTTTGTAGGTTAAGTCGGTAACTGTCTTCCTATTACATCTGGTCCATCTCACACCCTCCTTATCGTGCTTCTCAATAATGTATCCAATAATATCACTGCCACCATCATATCCAGGAGGCTCCCAGGTAATCACCACTGAATCCTTTTTGACATCGGAAACCTCCAACCTACTTGGTGCATCTGGGGGAATGAATGGGTCTTTGACAGTCACAGCGTTTGATTCCAGACCCACACTAAGTCCAAATTTGTTTACTGCCTGGACTTTGAAAATGTACTCATTTCCCTCCAAGAGTTTTGTAACCTTGAGATAATTTGACTCACACTTATTATCAACAACAGTCCAAACTAATCTGCTTGTCTCCCTTCTCTCTACGATGTAATGAGTGATTTCACTGCCGCCATCATATAGTGGTGATTTCCAAGCAAGGCAACATTGATCATTTGTGATGCCAGTGACAGAGATAGGACCTTGTGGTGCCCCAGGTTTATCCAGAACAACCACATTGATTTTCACTGACTTCTCGCCTCCTGGATTCTTTAGAAGTAAAGTGTACTTGCCTCCATCTTCAAGTTTAGCCTCTTTGACAGTCAACAAAGTGGTGCTGTCTGTATTTTTTATGTCTCTGGTGATGGTGTTTGCAAGGGGTGCCTCATGGCCACTCTTCATCCAGAGGATTTCAGGTATTGGACTACCATGAACATCGGCATCGATTTTGAAGCCATCTCCAGCATTAACATAAACAGTTTGTGTGAACTGTGGGTCAATGCTAATACGAGGAGGGTCAATTTCATCTTTAGCAGTAATTGGTCCAGTGCTGTATGAGGGAAGGCTGAATACACCTGCTGCGTTTCTTGCAATAACACGGAACTCATATTTCTGGTTCTCCACAAGGCTGGTCGCCACATACTCAGTTTCAATGATATTTGTGAAGTTGGTTTTGATCCAGCGGCCCTCTGGCAACTCTTTCTTCTCTACAATGTAGCCGGTGACTTTGGCACCACCATCATACTCTGGCTTTGTCCATGCAATTGTTACAGAATCCTTTGTTATCTTAGTAGCCTCAGGATCTCCGGGGGGATCGCAAGGATCTCTAGAAATGTGACCTTCGGAAAGTTTGCTAACTTTTCCTATTCCCACAATGTTTTCAGCGTAAACTCTGAATTCATATTCCTGTCCTGGTTCCAGGCCAGTGGTCTTGTAAGATGTATCCTGGAGAAGAGACTTATTGAGCTTTACCCAGAGAATACTGTTTCTCTCTTTGCGCTCAAGATGATACCCCAGCACAGTACTTCCACCATCATTAACAGGCTCATTCCACACAACTACCATGCTATCCTTTGTGGAAGATTGTACAGATGGTGTTCCTGGAGGGCCTGGTAATTTGAATGGATACTGAGCAACAACAGACCCTGAGGTCAGAGATGGGCCCTTTCCATACCTGTTCTGAGCTGTCACCCTGAACTGATGCTCTGAACCGTTTTTCAGCCTCGAAGCTTTAATCGTTGTTCTTGCATGATTTGGAGACACGACCAACCAAGTTTGTGTGGATGTGTCTCTCTTTTCTACAATGTAGCTGTTGATTGTTGCACCACCATCATACTCTGGTGGAGCCCAGGAGAAAAGCACGCTGTCAGTAGTAACAGCCTCAACTTTAATTGGGCCCTTTGGTGGTCCAGGTTTGTCAAGAACAACTACTGAGATGTATAAAGATGTATCCCCAGCAGTGTTTGCGAGTATGATCCGGTACTGACCAACATCTTCCCTGCATGCCTCTTTGATCTGAAGATTGATCACTTTATCTGATCCTCCAAAGTTAACTCTGGTGGTACGCTTCATAGGTACATTTTCCTTTATGAATGAAATAGTTGCTCGGGGACGAGCAATAAATGGAATCTGTACTGTCAAATCCTCTCCTGCTAGTACACTGAATGTGTTGAACAACATTTTAGCTGATGGGACAATCACAAGATCTTTAGCAATCACTGGCACACCAATTTGACGTGGATCACTTGTTCCTTTTTCATTTCTTGCTGCTACACGGAACATGTACTCTTCACCTGGTGTCAGTCCAGGGACAACTGCTTCTAATGTTTTGACAATAGAAGACTGGACCCATTTCACGGCACCTTTGCTCAGCATCTCAACAACATAGCATACCACTCTACTTCCTCCGTCATGCTCTGGTTTCTCCCAAGACAGGGTTGCACTAGTCTTGGTAACATCCACAAGGGTGATTTTGGCAGGAGGCTGTGGTTTTTCAGAAACTTTAACTGATTCACGGGTTTCAATTGGTAGGCCAATTCCATATTCATTTTCGGCTAAAACTCTGAAGTAGTAGTTACATCCCTCCTGCAGCTGGTCAACTTTCCAGGTGTTCTGATGACAGTTAGACTTTACAGTGGCATATGCTTTCCTTGTTGATTCACGTTTTTCAACAATGTAGTTCTTAATCTTTGCTCCACCGTCATTTACTGGATCATCCCAGATAAGAGTGACAGATTCTTTAGTGACGCTGTTGATCTTGAGATTTTGCGGGGCAGCTGGGGTATCTAGCACTCTGACATTCACAGTAGCTGTATTGGATCCATAACTGTTTTCTATTGTGAGCACGTACTTGCCACTGTCAAATCGGTTGACATTTTCCACCACCAGTGATGTGTAAGAAGTTGTGCTTTCAATGGTTGCTCTCGTAATAGGTTCACCATCTTCTTTGGTCCATTTTGCCTCGGGTGATGGTCTTCCTCTGATAGGTACAAAGAGTCTCAATGTGTTACAGGCTCTGATATTCACAACCTTCTTTAGCTCTGCATCCAGGTCAATTTCCGGTGGAAGCAGCCTGTCTTGGGCTCTCGGTGTGCCAGGAATAGTTGCTTCCTCTCCAATACCCTCACTGTTTACGGCAGAAACTTGAATCATGCACTCTTTGTCCTCCTCTAAGTTCATAAGGGTAAACGATGTACCCATTAGTCCTCCTGGCGGAGTAACAATTGTCCATTCCTCCTCCCCAGGAACGCAGGTCTCCACAATGTATCCTGTGATTTCAGAACCACCATCATAGTTTGGCTTGTTCCATGCAATCGTAATGGATGACTTGGTTGTGTCCACAACTCTTGGGTTGCCTGGAGGGCCTGGTTCGTAGAGGGTGTCAGTAGCCTTGTAGAAAGGACTTGAATTGCTTGGTACGCTTAATCCAGCTGCATTCTCTGCAAGAATTCTGAATTCATATTCATGTGTTACTAGAAGCCCTGTTACCTTGAACTGTAAGTCTTTTACTTTCTTCTTGTTGCATTTTACCCAGCGAAGACCAATCTTGTCTTTCCTTTCAATGTTATAGTTTGTGATTGGAGTTCCACCATCGTACTCAGGAGCCTTCCACATAAGAATCATTGAATCCTTAGTGATTATTGTTACTTCAGGATCCTTTGGAGGATCTGATGGCACCCATGGATTGTTTGCAATAGTTGGCGCAGATTCTAGAGGCTCTCCGACTCCATATTTGTTGACTGCCATTACTCTGAATATGTACTCATTTCCTTTGAGTAACTTGTTCACCTTGAATTGGGTGGCAGTTAAGCCTGAGGCCGAATTTGTCCATGCAAGTCTGCTTGATTCACGCTTTTCAATCACGTAATGGTCAATCTCTGCACCACCATCATCTGCGGGTGGAGCCCATTCCAAAATACAGTTGTCAGATGTGATATCTGACACCACCAGGGGTCCTCCAGGTGGACCCGGCCTGTCAAGAACTTTGACATTAAAGATATGCTTGGCAAACCCGCCAACATTTGTGGCAGTCAGAACAAATTCACCTCCATCTCTTCTTAACGAGTCTTTGTTAATCAGAGTTGTTGTTAAGTCAGTCATTTTAATTGTCAATTTCATCGTATTTTCAATGTCCATTCCACCCTTAGTCCACACCATGGATGGTAGTGGTTGGCCTGCAACATCTGCATCAAGTTTGAAGTTTTCCCCTGCTTTCAGTAGGATCACATCCTTGAATTTGGCATCAACCATGATTCGTGGTTCCACAATGTCATCTGTGCAGGTGATGGGATCCGATGGCTCAGATGGTTCACTTACTGAACCAGCTGCATTTCTGGCAAGTACACGGAATTCATAGGCCTCATTCTGAGTTAATCCACTTACAGTGAAAGTGGTCTCAATGATGTTTGTGAAGTTGGCCCTCATCCAACGACCAGCTGGCAAGTCTCTCTTCTCCACTACGTAGCCAGTAATCTTGAACCCACCATCATATTCAGGCTTTGTCCATTGAATTGTTACTATATTCTTGGAAACAAAGATTGGCTCTGGTTGACCTGGTGGATCCACTGGATCAAGGGCTAGCATTGCCTCTGAAGCTTTGCTTGGTTTACCAATTCCAGCCATGTTTTCAGCAGTGACACGGAATTCATATGCAACTCCATCTTCCAGTCCACTTGATTTGAATTGATTATCTTTCACCATGGATTTGCTGATCTTTTGCCAGAGGATGCTGCTTCTCTCTTTCCTCTCAATGTGATATCCAATGACTTCACTTCCACCATCAGAAACAGGTTCATTCCAGCCGATTGTCATTGTGTCTTTGGTAAAGGCCACAACCTTTGGAGTACTAGGTGGCCCAGGGGGTTTGAATGGATATGCAGCAACCACTGACTCTGAGATGATTGGTTGGCCAGCACCGTATCTGTTTTTAGCTTTGACTCGGAACTGGTATTCCGCACCAGTCTTCAGACGAGTAGCTTTAAATATTGTACGGATTACAGATGATGTCAATTCTACCCATGAGGTTCCTGTGGTTTCCCTTAATTCAACAATGTAATTGTTGATTGGTACACCTCCATCATTCTCAGGTGTTCCCCAAGAGATGACAGCATAGGTACGGGAGATTTCATCTATTTTTATTGGTCCCTTTGGAGGTCCAGGGACATCGTGCACTTTTACTATGATGGTATCTGTCACTGAGCCAACTATGTTCTTCCCTGTCATGGCATAATGTCCTGTGTCACTCCTTATGCATTCTGTTATATTCAGGATACTTGTGGTTGCAGTTCTTTCAGTGATTATTCTTGGGGTTATCTTGAGGTGCTGATTATCTTTCGTCCATGAAACAGTTGGTTTTGGACGTCCCATAACCGGTATCTCAACTTTAATCTCATCTCCTGCCCTGGCAATGACAATTTTCTGGCATATTCCACGCAGGTCAAATTCTGGCATTGTTATTGTTTCCTTGATAATAACAGGCTTGCTTTCACAAGGACCACTTCTTCCGGAGTGGTTTACAGCCATGACACGGAATATATACTGTTCATTTTCATTCAGGTTCTTCACTATGAAGTCCATAGTCTTGACAGTTGTCACATGGGACCACTGGTCTCCTCCCTTCTTTTGAGCTTCAAGGACATATCCAGTAACTCTACTACCACCATCATGTTTTGGCTTTGTCCATGCAAGACTGACAGAGGTCTTGGTGACATCTGTAGCATAAACACTCTCAGGGGGTGTTGGTGCTTGAGATGCTCGAATTGGATCTGCAGTCTCAACCGACTCGCCAATTCCATACTCATTTTCAGCCGATACTCTGAAGTAATATTCTGACCCTTCTGCTAGATCAGGAATTCTAACTGTGCTATTTGGACAAACTGATATTATGGTGGAATATGCTTTGCGTGTTGACTCTCTCTTTTCAATGATATAGTTTGTTATCTTTGAACCACCATCGATAAGCGGCAGTTCCCATTGAAGAGTGATGCTCTCTTTGTCGATGTGCTTTGACTTCAGATTAATTGGTGGTCCAGGTGAATCCAGAACTCTCACATTGACATGAGCAGTCTTCTCTCCTGCAGCATTTGTAAGGATCAAGTTGTATCTTCCTGCATCGTTTCTTGTGCAGTCAGGGATGACAAGCATAGTGTATGACTCTGTGCTGTCAATGTTAGCACGTCCTTTGAGTGGTGCGTCTTCGCCCTTCGTCCAGGCTACTTCAGGAGCTGGGCGTCCTTTAATGGGCACAAATATGCGGATGGAACATCCTGCCCTGACAACAAGGGTTCTTCTCAGCTCAACATCCAATTCAAGGTCTGGCTCTTCTTCACGTTCAATAATTTCAACCAGTTCTTCAGTTTGAGCTGGTTCACCAACTCCCTCTGCATTCATTGCACTGACTCTGAAGTGGTATTTTGCTCCCACTTCCAAGTTAGGAACAACAAATTCTGTAATTCTCAGTGGAGCAGTTGGTGTGTCCTTGAACCATTCCTGTTTTCCATCTTTTTTATGCTCAACGAAGTACCCTGTGACTTCAAGCCCGCCATCTTCAACTGGTTTCCCCCAGAAGAATGTTGCAGAAGTCTTTGTTGTATCTGTAATTCTTGGGTTGATTGGAGGTCCAGGTGCATCTAAAATAGTAATGAGTAATAGAAGTGATCAGTATATGATTAAAAGATAACATTAAAGGCAAATCCCTATATTTAACAATTCAATATTACAACAATAATGAGAGAGATTAGATATCTAAAAGTGAAATAAGTAAAGTGGAATGACTAAGTAAATTTGACTACATAAAAGCAACATATATGGATAGATGCCGATTTTTTAAAACTCACATTTAACAGTTTTGGTCGTAATAGATGATGATGGTTCACTTGGCTCTCCGAAGCCTGCTTTGTTCTCTGCAACCACCCTGAATTCATATTCAACTTTCTCTGTGAGTCCCGTTACTTCATATGAGAGTTCAGCAATGGACTTCTTCGCTGCCCTAACCCATCTCATGCCCTTTCTTTCTTTCTTTTCAACCATGTAGCCTGTGATGTCGGTACCACCATCATCAACCGGTCTTTTCCAGTTGATTTTGACATGGTGTCCTCCAATCTCTTCAATCTCTGGTTTTGATGGAGGACCAGGGGGACCTGCAAGCAAAGTATATCACAGTATTTAGAATGCATTAGTGAAAATATACATAACCATGTTTCATTATTCAATCCAACTAAATGAAACAAGTCAGTGTTACATACCAAATTGGTCCACCATCTTAGCTGGCCCAGACACTGCTGCTTCTCCAGGGCCATAGTGATTAACTGCCTTCACACGGAAGATGTATTCATTTCCCTGGATTAGCTTCTTGGCAATATAGTGGCAGTCAAGGACTTTTTCTGAAAGAATGGTCCAAAGGAGGCGGCTTGTTTCTCTCTTCTCCAGGGTGTAATATTTAACTGGCCATCCACCATCTTCAGTTGGTGGTGTCCATGTCAGGGTGACCTTCTCAGACGAAACTCCACTGACCTCAATAGGACCCGGAGCTGCGGGAACGTCCAAAACCTTCACTTTCACAACTTCTTCTGTGACACCAAATGGATTGCTGGCTGTAATTGTGTATTCTCCAGAATCCGATCTCCCGGCATATTTGACTGTCAATGTCGAGGATGTTGCAGTTGACTCAATCTGGCAGATATCTGAAGGCTTGAAATATTTTCCACCCTTAGACCACACTGATGTTGGCGGAGGTTTGCCTACAATGCTTGTTGCAGTTATGACGATGTGGTCACCCGCTCTGACTGTGAGTCCCTCCTTTACAGTGGAATCAATAGTGATGGTTGGCGCCTCTGTTGAATAAATCAATATAATATTTACCATCATGGTAGTAAACACACCACATTCTGTTAATTCATTTAATGATTAATAATATATATCTTACCGTATTCATCCTTGCACACAAGTGTATCAGTTTGTTCAGAGGGAGGGCTCAATGCTCCAGCTGCATTCTTTGCCCTGATTCTGAACTCAAACTTGCAGCCCTCCTGCAGCTCTTTCACAGTGTATGCTGTGTCCACAACATTCACATTGTTAGCCTTCTGCCAGATCTTGGAAGGCAAATCACGTTTTTCCACGATGTAGCCTGTCAGTCTGTGTCCACCATCGTACTTGGGCTCAGTCCACTGAAGTGTTACAGTGCTTCTTGTGATGCTGATCACATCAGGTTTGCCAGGGGCATCTGAAATAAAGACAAACAAGAAGGATGCTCAATGTGATTGTAAGACAAAACATCCCATGTTTATGTCACTGTTCACCATTTTCTGGTCTCATGATTTTCCCAGTGAAATTACAAAAACAAATTGCCAAGTGGACAAACTAGACACAATCCAATCTGGCCTATGGATGTCATGGGACACCTGAGTGAATGATTAACAATGAACCTTGAAAAAATATGCCACTTACCAATTGGATCCAAGGCAACATGCGCCTCTGTTGGTGGACTTGCTCTGCCAACACCGGCCAGATTCGTGGCCATGACTCTGAATTCATATTCCAGTCCTTCAGTTAAGCCGGTGACCTTGTGTTCCTTCATCTTAATGGCTCCCCCTGACCTCTTCCACAGCATGCTGTTCCTCTCCTTGAACTCAACATGGTAGCCTGAAATCACAAGGGTTCAAAGATTGTTATGATTGTTATCAGAATAATTTTTATTCGCCAAGTACATGTACCAGGAATTTGACATGGTGATGTTGTGCTAACATCCCCTTTCAATTAACCGAACACACTGACAGAATCTAGACAAATATACACAAAATCATTGACTTTATTACTTGACAATTCCCACAAGTATTAAGTCAGAAAACATAGAGCTGCTACTGTATGCTAAAAAATACACTTGTACTGTACCAGTAATTGGAGAGCCTCCGGTCTTCCTTGGGTCAGACCAGGCCAAGAATGATGAATCATGACGCATACTCATGATGACAGGTGCAGGTGGTGCCTCAGGTACATCTGGAAAGGAGCAATAACATTACAGTCAGTCAAGAATATCCAAATTACATCTGACGACTAAAACATAATCTATACAACTTCACTTACTGAATGGATGTTTGGCTACAATAGGCTCGGATTTGAGTCCTTCACTAGCACCATGCTTGTTCTGTGCACAGACTCTGAAGATGTATTCCGTCTCCTCATGAAGACCTGTCACTCTGAAGGTGGTAGTATTGGAAACTGCTTCAATATCGGTAGCAATGCTAACCCACATGTTGGTTACGGAATCCCTCTTCTCAAGAGTATAGTTGGTTATCTCTGATCCACCATCATCCTTAGGTGCAGTCCATCTCAGGGTGCACCCATCCGCAGTGACATCCTTAAACTTCATTGGTGCGACAGGCATTCCTGGTTTGCCAACCACCCTAATGAAGATGGTGGACTCCTTTACTCCAGAAATGTTTTTCAGTGTGACTGTGTACTTAGAGGCATCACTCCTCTGGCAGTCACGGATCAGGAGGGTAGTGTTAACTGCTGTGGATTCTGCACACACTCTTCCAGTATCGGTCAAATCCTCATCCTCGCCCTTCTTCCAGGAGCATTTAGGAGTAGGTTTGCCGTAGAGTGGGAGCTTGATGCGGACTATACTTCCCTCCTTTGCAATGTAGCACAGATTGGGAATGCCCCGCAAGTCAACTCCAGGATGAACTAGGAAAGACAGAGGAGGACAAGAATAGGGTTAATATCTGCTGGTGAAAAACAATGGTAGTGAGATAAATCGCAGACAGTTCATGAGGAGGAATTCCTTATGGGCCCTGGTCAAAAGTAGTGCACTATATAGGGAAAGGGGTGCCATTTGGGATGCAGATAAAGACTTACTGATCTGATCTTTAGCCACCACATCCAGCTCCTTGTACGGACTGTCACCGGAGTCATTTACTGCTTTGACTCTGTACTTATATTCTTTTCCTTCCACCAGATCCTTGGCACTGTACTGCATGTTCTTGGAACTCATCAACTCCTTCCAGTTGTCATCTCCATTCATAACCTCAAGCACATACACTATGATGCGGCTACCGCCATCACTGAGAGGTTTCTTCCATCCAAGGGTGCATCCTTGCTTTGTGATCAACAAGGGCTTGAAGTCCATGACCGGCCCAGGTTCCTCTGTAATATAAAATGAGATTAGAAGAACATTCTCTCCACACAAAACAATGTAGTTTATATTTTATATAATGCATGATCACTCACCAGAAGCTCTAACTGAATCTGCGGTTTCACACGCCTCACCAATGCCGTATTCATTCACAGCCTTGACTCTGAAACAGTATGATCTACCAGCCTCCAAATCAGGGATCTTGAGAGTGTTTTTGGCATAGTTATCCTTAACTAGAGACCAAGCTTTTCTCTCTGCATCACGCTTTTCAATAATGTAACTGGTCACTTCGCTTCCACCATCAATAAGAGGAGTATCCCAAAGGATCTTTGCACTGTCCTTTGTTGTCTCCTTTACCATGAGATTTACTGGTGGCCCAGGGGTATCTGTATGTCAGATCGATAAATACATAAATACATGAAGTATTACAGAATAAGCCATATTTATTTAAGATCTCATGAATCGAGTCGTAAATACAATCATTTATGCTTACCGTAGACCTTGACAACAATTGTATACATCTTCATTCCGCTGCGGCTTTCAAGACTCAGGATATATTTGCCCGCATCATATCTGTTGCAACTCTGGACTAACACCACAGTGTCAATGTCAGTGCTCTTGATGACGATGCCTTGTCTTTCCTTGATGTTGCTGTTCATTTTTGCCCAGATCACCTTGGGAGTGGGACGACCCTTTATTGTGGCGAAAAGCCTCATTTGGGACCCAGCACGGAGCTCCAGAACCTCCTTCAGGTCAGCACTGAGTTCTGCCTCAGGAGAAACTGAAATAAAAGCAAGAAAACTTGTTTCAATCTACACAATGTTGGGTGTGTACAAAGACCTAATTGTAAGCTCATTATAAACTTGAGTTAATAAATCTACATGGTGATAGAGGTGAGTTACTTACCCTTACTTTGTAAAGCATTTTGCGCACTAGAAAAGCTATGTATAAATCCAATCAATTATTATTATTATTATTATTATTCTTACATATGACCCTAAAGGTAGCCTTCAGTATTTTCATTCAATCGGGTTAGCATTCAAATGTTAGCATACCCAAAATGTCCTTTGCTACATGTTTGTCTGGCACTTCGCATGTTTCACTGAAGCCCACTTTGTTCACGGCAGACACACGCAGTTGATATTCAGATTTATCAATGAGGTTCTGAACAAGGTAGAATGTGTCTTGGAGGTTCTTGGGCACGTTGCATCTGATCCAGTCTGTGGCGTCTGTTCTCTTGCATTCAACAAGGTATCCCAGGATGTCACTGCCGCCGTTATTGGCTGGTTTAGTCCAGGTCAGGCTGATCGTGCTGCGGGTGACGTCAGTGACAATCGGGTTCACAGGTGGGCCAGGAGGATCTATTGAGGAGCACATTTATGTTATATAAAAGCTAATTATATATAAATATATATTTTAACATAATATACAATCTACAGAGGGCCACATTACTGTCAAAGGTACATATTATATAATAATTATATATGCCATTTAGCATAAGCTTTTATCCAAAGTGACTTACAGTCGTGTGCACACATTTTACATATGGGTGGTCTCCAGAATTGAACCCACTACTCTGGCGTTAAAAGCACCATGCTCTACCAACTGAGCTACGAAGGACCATTAAAAGTAAGTATAAAAAAGTATTAAAAGTATATACACTGGGTGTACAAAACATTAAGAATGCCTTCCTAATATTGAGTTGCACCCCCTTTTGCCCTCAGAACAGCCTTAATTCGTCGGGACATGGACTCTACAAGGTGTCAAAAGCGTTCCACAGGGATGCTGGCCCGTGTTGACTCCAATGCTTCCCACAGTTGTGTCAAGTTGGCTGGATGCCCTTTGGGTGGTGGACCATTCTTGATACACATGGGAAAATGTTGAACGTGAAAAACCCAGCAGCGTTGCAGTTCTTGACACAAACCGGTGCGCCTGGCACCTACTACCATACCCCGTTCAAAGTCACTTACATTTTTGTCTTGCCCATTAACCCTCTGAATGGCACACATACATAATCCATGTCACAATTGTCTCAAGGCTTCAAAGTCCTTCTTTAACCTGTCTCCTCCCCTTCATCTACACTGATTGAAGTGGATTTAACAAGTTGACATCAATAAGGGATCATAGCTTTCACCTGGATTCACCTGGTCAGTCTATGTCATGGAAAGAGTTCTTAATGTTTTGTACACTCAGTGTATATATTAAAAGTATATATATTAAATAAATATGAAGTATACATTTTAATATTAAAGTATATATAAATGTACATTTTATAGGTAGATATCAAGCTACATATTATAGGTGCATTGTCATCCAGAATGATTGTCATCCAGAATGATGTTGGGTAAATTGTTTTAATAAGTTTGGATACTTACTGATAGGATCGTGTGCTGAAGCAGCAGTGGATGGCTCACTGGGTTTGCCAAGGCCAGCCTCGTTCAGGGCAATTACTCTGAACTCATACTCTGCTCCCTCTGACAGACCAGCAACTTCCAGGGTTCTCTCTATCATTGCTTTCCTATTCAGTTTAGTCCAGTTGACTTCCTTGGTTCCCTTCTTCTCCACTATGTATCCTAAGATTGTTGACTTGCCATCATCGGCTGGTTCCTTCCAGCTAACGGTCATGTGCTCTTTGGTGATGTTTGTGATGACTGGTGCCTCACATGCCCCAGGCACAGCTAAAAAATAATCATACAAGTATTAAACCAACACAGTTCTAAAGGCATTCCACTGTGTGATAAACGTGTCTGTTAAAGTATTTACTGTATTAAAACTACTGCGTGAAAGTATATGAAGAAAGTAAATAGAAATCTTACTGAATGGATTCCTGGCATAGACAGGATCGGTCAAGATGGCTTCTCCGACCCCAAATCTGTTCTCTGCGCGGACGCGGAACTGGTACTCCCGTCCCTCGATCAGTTTCTTTGTGGTGAGTTCAAACACATCACCCTGGATATGGGCAGCGACCTGAGCCCATTCAGCTCTACTGGTCTCACGTTTGTCAACAATGTAGTTTGTGATGTCCGAGCCTCCATCGGCAAGAGGCGCCTCCCAACTAATCTGGACACTATTGGCAAACACGTCACCAAACTTGACAGAGACTGGTGGACCGGGGACATCTAAGAGGAAGAATACGTTTATGTTTATTGATAATAATAATGGTAATATTAGTTTTTTCAACTAGAAACATATCTTGAAATATATCTTTGTCTGGCTTTATACTTACCGAAAACCTTTAAGTTAATTTCTCCAGTTTTGGATCCACTTGCATTTTCTGCCAAAATAGTATACTCTCCTGTCTGTTCCTTTGTTACTCCAAGGAGCTCTATGCTGAAGAGTTGTCTCAACTGTGACATCTTCAACATCTCAGAAGCTCTCAACACTTCCTCTCCCCTCTTCCATGTAACCTTGGGCATGGGTTTTCCAAACACCTCTGCCTCAAGAAGTACATTTGCTCCAGCCTTCACAGGCTTAAGCCTCTTCATTGGGATTCCGATTTCTACTCTTGGTGGCACTGAAATGATCATTGAGACATGGTCAGAAATGCACTCAAATCCAATCAAATCCATGGTATATACATATATTTGCTTAATTTAGAGCTAACAATGTCAATGCAATATTCCTACCCTTCTCTGCAGAGACCAGAACTGGGTCTGTGATGTCTGATGCCCGGCTCATGTTGACAGCGGTCTTTGCGATGACTCTGAACTGGTACTCCATGTCTTCCTCCAGTCCAGTTGCAGTGTACTCTTCTCTGGGTACATTCTGACTGCTGGTGTTGCAACGGACCCATTTGTCTCCAGGGAGCCTCAGGGCCTCAACATAATATCCAATGATCTTGCTTCCACCGTCATTCTTTGGTCTAGTCCAGACCAAGGTGACTGCATTCTTGCTAACATCAAGAACCTCTGGTTTGCCTGGTGTGTCTGTGCAGGAATAAATCAAGTACACAATGTTTGCGGAAGAAGTCGTACAATTTAGGTATCAAAATAGGAAAAGAGGAATTAAAAATACACATACCAACTGGTGTCCTTGCTGTGACGAAGTCAGACTTCTTGCTTGGCTTACTCTGTCCAGCACGATTGATGGCAGATACTCTGAAGTTGTATTCCAAGCCCTCAATAAGGCCTGCGCAGGGATATTCCGTTGATCTGACAACCGAGTCGTTAGCCTTTACCCAAAGGAGGCTGTTCCTCTCTTTGCGTTCAATGTAGAAGCCAGTAACAGGGCTGCCACCATCGCTCTCAGGTCTGTCCCAGGCCACAAACATACAGTCCTTGTTGATCTTGGTGATGTGGCAGTTTAAAGGCTCACTGGGGACATCTATTGATAAAAACACATCAAATAAAAACACGTTTTAGATTAAGTAAACGATACAACAATACAACAGAGTTTTAGTAGGTTTTTGTGTGAAACCCACCGAAGGGGAATTTGGCAATCATCCTGTCTGATGTAAGGGGGTCTGAGATTCCATAGCGATTCTCAGAACGGACACGGAAGATGTATTCCTTTCCAGGGATGAGCTTTCCCAGTCTGCAGCCAGTCTTGCCACAGGACGATACAGCGTTTACCCAGTCGCCTCTGATCACGTCACACTTCTCCACTACGTAGTTTGTAATATGGCTTCCGCCATCTTCAATTGGTGCTTTCCAAGAGAGTGTGCAGGCATCAGCGTCAATGTCACTGATCTCAAATGGAGGCTCAGGCGCTCCGGGGATATCTGAAACATTAACATACAGTCGTTATCAGCATTCGCATCTAGCACAGTTTTCATTACAATAGTTTGAAAATAGAACTGACTAATGATTTTATGCAATTAAGATACAAACCTCTGATGATGATTTTAATATGCTGATCTACTTTAGCACAGCTGTTCTCAGCAACCAGACTGTATAGTCCACTGTCGGTTCTGGACACGTCTTTGATGATGAGCACACACATGTTTGCAGATTTGTGCACAGCAAGACGACTAGAGGAAACGACATTGTCCTCTCCTCGCATCCATGTGCAGGTTGGTGCTGGCTTTCCAGACACAAGAGCTTCCACCCTGAGTTTAGCTCCTGCTTTGGCAGACACAGTCTCGGCCATCATGATCTTGGGTTCCACTGAAAACCAAACAAAAATAGATGTTTTGTTAATTTACAGATTTGATGAAAAATAATTCCTAATCACACACAAAAATCACTATTCTATTATGTGTGGATATGTTGTGAATAACATTGATTGCAAAAAAAATTATTACATACGCATCTGTTCCTTGATCTCATAAGCGTCCCTAGTTTCAGTGTACGAACTGCGACCCATGATATTTCTTGCGGCCACCCGGAATCTGTACTTCATACCCTCCTTGAGTCCACTAACTGAAAGGGTTAAATGTTTAACAGTTGTGTATGCCATCCATTGTGGTTCTGGCTTCTCTTCCTCTGGTTCTTCAACCACCACAGGTGCAGGTACAGGAGGAGGAGCAGCTTCCTCTCCTTCTACTGGTTCTGCTGGTTCAACTGGTTCTGGTTCTGGTTTGGGTGGGATCAGCCCCAGGTATTCAACTATATAACCATCTATCTTAGCTCCTCCATCACCCAATGGTTTCAGCCATCCCAGAAGTGCACTGTTCTTTGTAATTTCCAATACATCAATCTGCGGGCATGGTTCAGGTTTGCCTGAGGAGAAGATAGCCAGCAAAATTTCGTCAACATTCAGACTTAAATAATTGAAGGCTAGGCATCTAGTGCATCTAATGAATGATCATTAGATCATGAATGAAGAGGTCAAACAAAAGGGTACTTACTGACAGGATCAGATGCCATGTAGGACTTTGGTGAGACCTTCGCAACTCCAGGACCATATTCATTCACAGCTGTGACTCTAAAGAAATACTCTGTGCCTGAAACAAGTTTCTTGACGTTGGTTTCAGTCTGTTCAATATTGTTTGCGACTGGTCCCCAGGTCTTGCGGTCAATTTCACGCTTCTCAATAATGTAATGGGTGACTGCACTGCCACCATTGTTCTCAGGCTGTGACCATGCCAGTTTGGCGGACGTCTGTTTAATATCTGTGGCATCCAGACCCACTACAGGCCCTGGGGTATCTGTTGAGGGGAATAAACGTATAATTACATTGACATTTTTATGGAGTACAACATATTATAAAATGATTGCCAGATATTCAAACTGCAAGCAGCAATAGAGCAATGCAGTAGTTCTGAGATGAGAGAAAACACACAACTTACCCAGTACTTTGACATTGACAAACACTGCCTTCTCCCCAGCTGGGCTGGACAGGGTCAGGGAGTATTTGCCTGAATCATCCCGTGTACTTTCAGGGATAACCAGGAAGGTCATTGTGTCAATGATGTCCACATGGCCCTTCCTGACAACGTTATCGATGCCCATTCTTCTCCAGGAGACTTTGGGTGCTGGTCTTCCCTTGATGGTTGCCACCAGTCGGATGGGACATCCGGCCCTGACTGTCAGACCCTCCTTCAGACTAGCATCCATGTCAATTTCAGGTGCCTCTGTTGGTCGAAGAAGGTGTAGATAGATGTATTAGTGTGATGATACACTAATGATCTTTCACACAATGTCATTAAACTGAAATATGCCACATTAAAAAAACGGTAGTACTATTTACTATTCACTGACTAAGTCGCTTGGGATAAGCGCGTCTGCTAAATGACAAAAAATGTGAATGTAAAATGTAAATGTATTTTAGGACTCACCAAGGATATCCTTCGGTTGCACGGGCATCGTAAGATCCGCCGTTAAGCTCATACCGCATTGATTTTGTGCAGAAACGCGGAATTCATACCATTCATGATCATCCAGACTGGAAACAGTGAATTCACACACAATCAGCTGGGCTGCGACATTACACCTCTTCCAGGCCGCATCCTTGTTGCCCTTAATCCTCATTTCCACCACATAACCAATGATAGGAGCTCCACCATCAGAAACAGGCTTTGTCCACTTCAGTGTTACCGAGGTCCTTGTACTGTCACCAACCTTCAGATTCGTTGGAGGGGCTGGGACATCTGAAAATGTCAAAACAAAATAAACAAACTGCATATTAACACAGATACTTTGGATATGCAAAGTGAATGTATGATTTTATAATATTTAGAACTGCTATACTGTACATACCAAGAGAATCTCTGGCGGCGAGTGATCTTGAGGGTTTGCTTGGTTCACCAAATCCGATTTCATTCTCAGCCCTGACGCGGAACTGATATTCATGATCACGCAGCAAACCGGTGACAGTCAGTTGGGTCGAATCAATGGAGTGCTTTGTGCAAGGAGACCATCGTACGGCAAATTCTTCTTTTTTCTCCAGAATATAACCAGAGATTTCCTTTCCACCGTTATTCTCAGGAGGGTTCCATGTAACGGTCATCTCCTCCTTGGAGATCTTGAAAACTTCTGGTGCTTCTGGAATGCCAGGTTTACTGAATTCGGTCCTTGCCACAATCGGTGTGCTCTCCACTGCAGGACCTGCCCCCATCTTGTTTTCTGCACGCACTCTGAATATATATTCATTTCCTTCTACAAGGCGGGTTACTTTAGCAGAGTTGGTGATCACAGCAGAAGAATGTATGGACCACACCATTCTCTTCTTCTCACACTTCTCTATGATGTAGTTATAAATTTCACATCCACCATCATCCTTTGGCATATCCCATGTCAACATGCACCTATCCACTGTAACACCATCTACAACTAGGTTGCTGATAGGACCAGGTCTATCAAGCACACACACATTCGCCCATCCAGTGGCTGTTCCAGCACTATTGGTAGCAGTGATGTTATATTTTCCAGTATCTCCACGCCTTGAGTTTGTCAACAGGAATTTAGAGAACTCTACACCTGCTTCTATTTGGAGCCTTGGGCTCTTGGTGATGTCCCCTGTGTCATTCTCCTTTGTCCACTTGACTTCCGGAGCTGGTTTTCCCTTGACATCAGCTTCAATTGGAATGGCGTCCCCAGCGTTAACCACTAGAGTCCATTGCAACTTCATCTTGATCTCTGGCACCACTAACTGTTCTTTAACCTCAACCTCAGCAGTTGTCACCCAGTTGCTCTCACCTCCTTCATTCTTTGTCTGTACCCTGAACTGGTAAATTTCGTTTTCAATGCACTTGTCTGCCATGAAGTAAGTTTCCTTAATTGCACCCTTGTGCAGTCTCTCCCATTCCTCTGCCACTTTAGGTTTCTTTTCAACATTGTAGCCCAGGTTACGGCTGCCACCATCATAGTCTGGCCTCTTCCATTTCAGGAAGACGAATGTCTTGCCGATCTCAGATATAATGAAGTCAATAGGATCACCAGGCTTCTCAATGGGATCAACAGCAAGGATGGCTGTTTTGGTCTCTGTTGAAGGTCCAGCACCAATTTTGTTCTCTGCACTCACACGGAAGAAGTATTCACAACCCTCCTGGAGTGGTGCCTTCATAAGGCGTTTGGTGCAATCATTTGATACCACTGTCCAATTCCTTTGACTAGGTTGACGGCACTCAATAATGTACTGTGTTATTTCAGTTCCTCCATTATCCTCTGGGTTCTCCCAGGAAACCATGCAGGATTCTTTTGTCACATAAGTGGTCTTCAGATTCTGACAGACGCCTGGAGTGTCAAGCACATTCACAATAATGGTAGCCTGTGCTTGACCACTGCTGTTTTTAGCAAGGATAGCATACTTTCCGTAGTCTTGCCTTACTGCGTCTGAAATCACCAGCTCAACCAGAGGGTAGTTGTTGTTCATCTCAGTACGCTTGTCTATGCCTAAAATCTTGGCATCCTTAGACCAAGTGATATCAGGATCTGGTCTACCTTTAACTCTAGTAACAAGGTTGATACTCTGTCCCACCCTAACTGTCAGAAGGTCACGGCAAGCAACATCAACTGTCAGCTCTGGGGGAACCAGAATGTCCTTGGCAAGGACTGTTTCTGAGAGCTCTGTAGGTTTTCCATCTCCAATAATATTGGAAGCGCTAATGCGGAACCTGTATTCCATGCCCTCAGTAAGTCCCATTGCTCTAAATGCGCACATCGGGATGAGATCCTTATGGACTTTCTCCCATTTGGCGCTGCTTGATTTCTGACATTCAACTATATAACCTAAGATGGGGCTGCCTCCATCTCTTGTTGGCTTGGTCCACACCAAGTCAGCATATGACTTGCTCCAGTCCCTCAGTTTAGGGTTTAATGGGGGTCCTGGCCTAGTAATAGGACGAGTGCACTTCACAGGATCTGATACAGGAGAGGGCTCACTGACGCCAGCAACGTTCTCAGCAAAGATTCTGAACTCGTAGCTGTTGTTCTCGAACAGACCGGATGCTCTGTATCGGAGATCCAATACAGGTGTCTTGTTGACACGGATCCATTTCCCTGTCATTTCTCTGCGCTCTACTACATAGCCACTGACTGGACTGCCACCATCAAATTCGGGCAGAGTCCATTCTATGGTCACAGCATTCTCTGTGATATCAGAGCAGGTTGGCTGGCCTGGTGGGCCAGGTGGATCAAACATATGTTTGGCAATAGTGGGAGGACTCTCAAGTCCAGCACCAATTCCCACCTTGTTTTCTGCACGGACACGCAGAATATATTCACGACCTTTCTCCAATCGAGAAATTTTTGCCTTTGTACCAGTGCATCCTGAGCACACAACTGACCATGGTTCCCAGGCCTTTTTGGTATCCTTTTTCTCAACAATATAACACGTCAATGGAGTGCCACCATCATCTTTAGGTGGTCTCCAGTTGATGACCATGTGGTCAGGGGTAACTTCAAGGATGTTGATAGGGCCAATGGGGGCACCTGGGACATCGAGCACAGTGACGTGCAGAGCAACAGTCTTGCTTCCAGCAGGGTTTGCCACGGTGAGGAGATACTCTCCAGTGTCACCTCTGACACACCCAGTGATGGTGAGAGATGTGTTCATGCCCTCAGTGTCAATCTTGACGTTGCCCTTTGTTGCCAGTTCCTTTCCGTCACTCACCCACTTGGCTGTGGGAGTGGGAATTCCTTTCATGACTGCTGGGAGTACGATAGTGCTTCCAGCCTTGACAATCAGACCCTCAATAAGCTTCACATCCACTGAAATTGTTGGTGGCACTGAAAAAGAAAACATAAGGTATCAATGTTAGACTTTGAGGCAGGTGGGCTGTCATCATTTACTAAAGATATGATAATTGGTGAAGGATTAAGTTTCCCCCTTAATATGTAAGCGCTTTGAGCGTCTAGAAAAGCTCTTTATAAATCCAGTCAATTATTTATTATTATTATTGATAAAATAAGTCTTACAGAGTTTCTCCTGGCAGGTTACAGGGACACTGGTGTCTGGACGGCTCACGCCAACAGCATTCTGGGACTTCACACGGAACCTGTATGTCTTTCCCTCCTCCAGTCCAGTGACATGGCTATGAGGATTAGTGACAGTCTTGAAGGTGACCCAGTCTTTTCCCTCTCCCTCCTGGTGTTCAACGATGAATCCAGTGATTTCACTTCCTCCGTCGCGGTCTGGCCAATCCCATTGGAGCCAGACTTCAGTCTTGTCTATGTCGATGTGATGCAGATTCTTTGGTGGACCGGGTGGATCTGAAAATCATTTACATTTTGAAAATCAAACGATTAATAGTAATAGATGGTTGATAAACATTTGGGAAATTGTCACTGAAGTGTTCAAACACTTATAGAATATAATTGTATTATCCATCCGAGGATGGCAAATATTTTTCTACCATCCTCCGATGGGCAATAACATTCTAATCTATTTTATCCCTTACAGAAAAAACACATGATTTCACATGAGGAAAATCATATGATTTCACGTGAAATTTCTCATGTGAAAACATGTGTTTTTGGAAAATTTCACATGTGATTAAAAAAATGAAGGTGTACTTTCATGTTATCACATGTTGCTTTACACGTTGTCACATGTTATCACATTAGATCAAGTGATCACGTGAAAACATGATTTTGGAACACTTCACATGTGATCACGTGAAATTCATGTGGTTTTTCCGTAAGGGTATTACATTCTATTCCATTCTTATTATCATCAGTACTCACAAAGAGGATCAACAGCCTTGATCGGCGTCTTAGTAATGATGTAGGCACTTCTGCCAAACTGGTTCTCAGCAGCAACACGGAACAGATACTGGATGCCTTCCATAAGATACAGAGCCATCAGACTAGGCTTCTTGTTTGATGCAGCGACTGGCACCCATTTCTCAGCCGCCACGTCTTTCTTTTCCACAACGTAGTGAGAGATGACAGCCCCTCCATCATCCTCAGGAACCTTCCAGGTCAGGTAGGCTGACTCACTGGTGATCTCAGAGATTTTCAGATCCCGAGGAGGTCCGGGTTTATCTAGATAAACATGCAAATATTAATCAATTAAATCAACACAACATGTTCCTTTTTTACTTATTGAAATCAATTATATGTCCCAACAAACAAGCCTAAAATCAACAGCAAACAGTACATTGAATTTTGTGTTGACTATGCATAATTAGAGCAACTTTTTGTTGGGATTTTTCTCAAATAAACAAACTTCGTATTAATTGTTCTCAGTTAAATGTAACATACCTAAGGTGAGCACTGCGCATGTAGCGGACTTCTTTCCAGCTGCATTTTCAATAGTGAGTGTGTAGTTGCCGCTGTCTGAGCGGACACAGTTGAGCATAACAAGTTTGCTGCCAGTGGCAGTGGCTGCAATGGTACAACGATCTGCGGGAACCTCTTCTCCATTCTTCTGCCATACTACAGTGGGAGGTGGCATGCCCTTGATCACTGAACTGAGAGTGATATTAGTTCCTACCATCGCAAGATGGTCACGGGACATATTGGCATCAAGCAGCAACTCTGGTTTCTCTGTATAGGGATAAAACATAATATATTATTGTACAAGTTGTACATAGAATTATTGATGATCATTTCCACATTGATATGAAGTTAATAATAAATATAAAATGAACTACTTACCCAGTCTGTCATGTACTTTCACTGTTTGCTTACAAGGGGCAGGCTCAGAGGGTCCAGCAGCATTCACAGTGAAGACCCTGATGTTGTACTCTGCTCCGTCTTCCAGGCCCTTTAGAACATAGTTGCATTCTGGACACTCTTCAGGAGTCTCATTTCCATTTGACCATTCTACTGCACCAACCTTCTGGTACTCAACAAGGTAACCAAAGATTTTGCCTTTGCCATCATGGCGAGGTAGCTGCCATTTCAGGCTTACGGTATCCTTGGTCTTGTCGATTGCCTCTGGCAGTACAGGGGGGCTGGGAGGAACTATACAGAGAGTAAATACATCAGTTACCAATCCTAACTTCATATAAATAATTTACAATAGACCAAATAGCTTATCAGGCTTTTTTAAATAGTTAATAGACTTACCAATTGGATCTTTGGCAAGAATTGTGTTTGATGGGGGACTAGGGTCACCAGTGCCGATTTCATTCTCTGCCATAACCCGGAATTGATATTGACAGCCTTCTATAAGGTCAAGCACCCTGAATTGAGTAGCTGGGTAGAGGGGTTCTCTGGTGGCACGAGACCATCTCTTTGCAGCTGGCTCCTTCTTCTCCAAGATGTAGTTAGTGATGGGCTTGCCGCCATCACGAGGTCTGCTCCAAAGCACAAGGCAGTTGTCAGCGTACACCTCCCTCACGTTGGGCATCTCTGGTGCCTCAGGCACTCCTGTAAAATACAGGATAACAAGTCACATTAGGAACAGCAACGATGGCACTCAAGTGGACAAAAAAAAAAAAGTAAATCATGTTGTTGTCCCAAATGGCACCCTATTCTCTGTATAGGCCAAGGCCCATAGGGTTCTGGTCAAAAGTAGTGCACTATGTAGGGAATAAGGTGCCATTTGAGACAAAACCTAAATAATGACAATCTATTGCAGTGATTACGTACTGAAGAGATCTTTGGCTCTCATCTCCTCTGAATCCAGTGGGTCACTGATTCCGTACATGTTCTCGGCACAGATTCTCATGATGTACTCTTTTCCCTCAATCAACCTGGGGATTTTGCATGTCAACTTCGTCGAAGCAGATGTTACAGTCCTCCAGACATCACTGTTGACGTCTCTCTGGTCAATGATGTAGTTGGACACGTCCACTCCGCCAGAATCAAGAGGAGGTTTCCAGGAGATCACCATAAACTCTCTGTGAACTTCATCAAAGATGACTGGACCCACTGGCGGTGTGGGGCGATCTGGAAAGGAAACCATAATGTGTTGGTCACTTTGGTTCATAATTTATGATAAAGGTTTGGTCACTTTGGTTCAAAACCTTAACTTTGGTTGATAAGCTATGATTTTTTTTTTTTTTTACATTAAGTAAACAAATAATATTAGGGGCCATAGATGGGAGATTTTCAGCTTGACTGAATGACAACTTACCTACAATGGTTACATTGCAAATGCCCTTACGAGAGCCGGTGCTGTTTTCAACCAGCACGCAGTATCTGCCGCTGTGCTCGCGCTTAGCTTTCATAAGGCCTAAAGTCATGGTGGTCAGTGAGTTCTTGAACTTGATGTGCTGATCTGCCTTCAGCTCTTCGTCATCTCTGTACCACATGATAGATGGAGAGGGCTTTCCGGTGTAGCGACCCTGGAGAGCCAGGCTCTCCCCAACACGGATGATGATCTTGTCACGGAAGTCAAGCTCAATGGTTGGGGGTTCTGAAAAAAATACATTTAATATCATTACTAACTGCCATTAGCAAAGATTTCAATTCAAAACATCCTCTGTTTTTGGTATTCTACAATCAAGTTTAATCAAAGTGATTTGGTAAAGTAGAAAACGGCGACCATCTCACCAAGTTCATCTTTGCAGGTGATTGGTTTGGTGCAGAACGATGGCTTGCTGGGCCCAATTTCATTCACAGCGCTAACTCTGAACTCATAGGTGTCCCCATCTCTCAGACCGTCGTAGGTGTATCTCCTCTCCATCAGTTTCTCCTTGGTCAGCCGTGTGAACTTGTCCTTGCCGATCATACGGGCCTCCAGGATGTACTTGGTGACCTCTGACCCTCCGTCAGACGCAGGAGGTTTCCATGTTAAGCTAATGTAGTCTCTATGAACCGCTGTTACTTCAAGTTCCTCTGGGCGGTCTGGAACGGCTGGGTAACACAACACAATAAGATGAGTCATTATCACATCACATAACATTTTTTAAATGTCATAATAAGAAAGGACATGTATTTATTTACAGAAAATGAAAAAAAAGTAATTATCTTTTTTTTATTTTTAGGGAGTGCTGAAAGAACCCATACTGGCAGTGGTACAATGTACTGTACATGTGCTTGAGAGGCAGCAGCTTAGACCGCTTGACCACCTCAGGCCAAGAAAAAGTCATCTAGATATAGTTATGTATGTAGACCAGACTTACTGATGGGATCCTTTATGATGATTTCACATGCAGTGTTAGCGAAGGGTCCAACTCCAATGGAGTTCTCAGCTGCAATTCTAAAGAAGTAAGCCTTTCCGTTCTGCAGCCCGTGGGCCACGGCAGTGTGTCTGGTGACTGTGTAGGACAGGGCAGTCCAGGCCTTCCTCTCCGCCTCGCGCTTCTCAATGACGTAGTTGGTGATGGCAGAACCACCATCATCCTCAGCACAGAACCAGGACAGCTTGCAGGAGTCACTAGTGAGGTTCTCTGCGGTGAAGGGTACGCCAACTGGACCAGGGACATCTGAGGAAGAACATGAAAGACTGTGAGACGTCTGTTCTATTTGTGGTAACATGCATGGTTGTTATGGAGCTGCTACAGGGACAGCAGAGAAAAACTAAATAAGTTGTGTACAAGAGATAATAACTTGTGGACACAAGAGTGTTTTTCCACATTACAATTTAAGTATCTAAGCTTGAGTATCACATACACTTCTTTAAGTGTCGTCCTGGTTCTGCATGTGTATGAGTTCCTATCTTACTTATTGATTCTTTCCAGTAATTTCTACATTCTTACCCAGGACATCAACAATGATAGACCTCTTCTTTTCTCCTCCTGAGTTGGCAGCAGTCAGAGTATAGACTCCTTGGTGTCTTCTGGTGCAGGGCTTGATGACCAGCGATGAGCTGATGGCGGTGGTCTCAACTACACCTTCTGGTGGTAGAACACCGTCATCGCGGCTCCATTTGATCTCTGGAGCAGGCTGGCCAGACACGAAGGCCAGGATGCGGATCACACCACCGGCATGGACTACCATCCTTTCCTTCACTGTGGCATCAAGGTCAACCTCAGGAGCAACTGTGATAGGCATAAAAACATCATATTATCATTCAATTTATCCCAAACAGATCAACTAGATCACAATTTCGGGGAACAGATGAAGAATTTAAAACCATGATATTATCATATATGGATATAAACAGGTCAATAAAGAAAGCAGGAAGAGGACATTGGTTTGTCGGTAGGTACATTTCAATGAAGTATGAATAGAGGATAATGATTAATCTATTAATCAATCTATTTATCCTAAAACAAGAGATCATAATTTCAAGAAGGATTAATTTAAGAAGTTAACTCACTTGTCCTGTCTTCAACCTTAATAGCGTCTGGAACTTCACCGGGTTCGCTGGGGCCTGCAGCATTCAACGCTGTCACTCTAAACTTGTAGAATCCACCTGTCTTCAATCCAGTAACGACCAACTTGGTGCTTCTGTGCTCCTTGTCTTTAGCCTGAAACAAAAACATATGTTATATAAAACTTGTGCACATACAGGTTACCGTATTTGGAAAAAAACATTCAAATTACAAAAACGATCATTATACTTACTTTAACCCATTTGTCTGTTCCATCCTCTGAGTATTCAACAATATATCCCGTGATCTTAGATCCACCATCCTTCAGGGGTGGGATCCAGACCAGATCCACTGATGACTTGGTCCAGTCTGTGACCTTTGGTGTTGGAGGTCCAGGGACGGCTTCACAATAAAATACAAACCATGTTTAAAACACTGAAATATGGTTGAAAAATCTGTGCAATAACCATTAAAAACAAAAACTAAGTTTTAAGTGAGAAGTAGGCATTGGTCTGAAGCCGAAAAAGCTATTCACATGAGCACCACAATGACTACTCCACCCATGCGTTAATCAAGGTTTTCCAGCACACAGCTTTGACCTAATACAGTAGCTATGTTGGTCTATTGTACTTCAAACAATGGCTGAATCTCAAACCGAACACTTCGAACCCACTGGGCACAGATGTCAATTCAATGTCTATTCCACGTTAGTTCAATGTAATTTCATTGAAATGACGTGGAAACAAGGTTGATTCAACCAGTGTGTGCCCAGTGGGAAGACTCAATCACTTGATATGCGGATTCACAAGTCAATCAAGTAAATCTCTAAAATAGCCTGAATAAGTCAACATAAATCAAGAAATCTTAAAAATAATAAAAAATAATTGCAGAGCTGGTCTTAGTCGCACATCTAGCAAAGGACTTTAGTGCTTGAAGGAGTGGTATTTCTGACATTTCAAAATGTACACGACAACTTGTCCATTAGCTAGCTAGCTATCTAGCTAGCTTAGCCTGAGCCAGCCACTTCATATGAAACTAAATTGAAGCTAACCACAGCTAGCTAGCAGCAGGCAGTCTACAACAAGCCAAATCAGCTGATGAAATCACTGGTGACCGATATACTTGCACATATTTTGTGCAGAAATGGAGAGATGTTGTTTTCTTTTTACAACTTTCTCCCTGTCTATCGGAGTTTGCATCTGTGTCACTCCCTGAGTGCACTGCCCATGTTTGATAGCTACTACAAGACTGGTTCCGGGAGAATGCACACAAATAGATTTTTTAATGTGGAATATTGGTAAGTGGCAGTTGGGAGGTCGAGTGTGCATCGTACAATACTTACAGATAGGATCTCTGGCGAAGATGGGGTCGGTGCACGCGCTAGGAGGTCCACATCCTGCTGCGTTGATAGCTGTGACCCGGAAGAGGTACTGTGACCCCTCAATGAGTCCAGTCACATTATGGGACACCTCGAGAGGCATGACCCGGATGGGGTCGCGCGTCACCCTGTTCCAGCGCTTAGAGGTGGTTTCCTTACGCTCCAGCCAATAGCCAATCACTGGACTGCCTCCATCGTCTTCTGGCTCTTCCCAGTTGACCATCATGGAATCATGGTCAACGGCTGAAATGGTTGGCTTTTCGCATTGGCCAGGAACAGCTTTAGAAAAAACAAACAAACACGAACTCTGTTAAACTTCACTTCAACATTTTCAGGTTTTTCATCAGACTTGTGTATTATGATGTGAATGATCACTGTAAAGCACTTTGTGACAACTACTAATGAAATAAATGCTTTCTACATACATGTGATTGACTGATTGACTGATGCAAATCCTTTTATGAAAACATGATATTTTGCTCTCTATACTTACCATAGAGTTTCCTGGCTTCTTCAGGTTCACTATCCAGAGGCTCTCCAACTCCGTATTTGTTCTGAGCACAAATTCGGAACACATACTCATGCCCTTCCATCAGGCCCTCCACCGTCCAGATACGCTCCTTGGGTTCGTTGGTCACAGGGATCCATGTCTTCCTGTTGGCTACACGCCTCTCAATGACGTAGTTGGTCACCTTGGAGCCACCGTCATCCTTAGGTGGCAGCCATGACAGGGTGATCTTCTCAGCATCGACCTCCTCAAACTTCACTGGACCGGATGGTGGTCCAGGACGTCCTGAAGAAAGGAAGCGATACCATTTGTTAAGTGAAATGAAAACTTTTAATAATGTAATTTGTTGATTTTCTTGGCTGTGAAAATATGATAACACCGTTGAAATTCAACATGTTTATTATGTAGGTCAGTCTGGATAAGAGCATCTGCTAAATGACTCAAATGTAAAGAAGAAGTTTACCCAAGACGTTGAGTCTCATCTCCTTGGAGGCCTTTCCTAGGCTGTTACTGGCTGTGATAGTGTAGAGGCCTGTATCTGAGCGCTTGCCCTGCTGGATCAGCAGTACACAGCTATCATCAGACACAATCTTGTTGATGTGCTCATCATATGCAACCTCAATCTTGTCTTCACCCTTGTGGGCTGGAGCCTTGAGCCAGGTGAGAGTGGGGAACGGACAGCCCCTGATCTTCGCCTTGATGCTGATATCAGCTCCTTGTTCAACCTCCATGAACTCCTCCAGGTCAATAGCAGGAGCACCTGAGAGACAAACAATGGCAACCATTTTAGAAAATTACTTATTTTCTTTTAGACACTTAACACCTTTTAACACCAGAGGCGTCATGCCCATAGGGGGCACAGGGGAATGTGACCCTCAGATTTGTCCTCTTAAAAAAAAAAGATATATATATATATACAGTACCAGTCAAAGGTTTGGACACACCTACTCATTCCATGGTTTTTCTTTATTTTTACTATTTTCTACATTGTAGAATAATAGTGAAGACATCATAACTATGAAATAACACATATGGAATCATGTAGTAACCAAAACAAATCAAAATATATTTTATATTTCAGATTCTTCAAAGTAGCCACCCTTTGCCTTGATGACAGCTTTGCACACTCTTGGCATTCTCACAACCAGCTTCATGAGGTAGTCACCTGGAATGCATTTCAATTAACAGGTGTGCCTTGTTAAAAGTTAATTTGTGGAATTTCTTTCCTTCTTAATATGTTTGAGACAATCAGTTGTGTTGTGACAAGGTAGGGTTGGTATACAGAAGATAGCCTTATTTGGTAAAAGACCAAGTCCATATTATGGCTAGAACAGCTCAAATAAGCAAAGAGAAACGACAGTCCATTATTACTTTAAGTCAATCCGGAAAATGTCAAGAGTCGCAAAAAACATCAAGGGCTATGATGAAACTGGCTCTCATGAGGACCGCCACAGGAAAGGAAGAGGATAAGTTAATTAGAGTTACCAGCCTCAGGAATGCTTAAATAAATGCTTCACAGAGTTCAAGTAACAGACACATCTCAACATCAACTGTTCAGAGGAAACTGCGTGAATCAGGCCATCATGGTTGAATTGCTGCAAAGAAACCACTACTAAAGGACACCAATAAGAAGAAGAGACTTGCTTTGGCCAAGAAACACGAGCAATGGATATTAGACCGGTGGAAATCTGTCCTTTGGTCTGATGAGTCCAAATTTGAGATTTCTGGTTCCAACTGCCTTGTCTTTGTGAGACGCAGAGTAGGTGAACGGATGATCTCCGCATGTGTGGTTCCCACCGTGAAGCATGGAGGAGGAGGTGTGATGGTGCTTTGCTGGTGACACTGTCAGTGATTTATTTACAATTCAAGGCACACTTAACCAGCATGGCTACCACAGAATTCTGCAGCGATACGCCATCCCATCTGGTTTGCGCTTAGTGGGACTATCATTTGTTTTTCAACAGGACAATGACCCAACACACCTCCAGGCTGTGTAAGGGCTATTTGACCAAGAAGGAGAGTGATGGAGTGCTGCATCAGATGACCTGGCCTCCACAATCACCCGCCCTCAACCCAATTGAGATAGCTTGGGATGAGTTGGACCGCAGAGTGAAGGAAAAGCAGCCAACAAGTACTCAGAATATGTAGGAACTCCTTCAAGACTGTTGGAAAAGCATTCCAGGTGAAGCTGGTTGAGAGAATACCAAGAGTGTGCAAAGCTGTCATCAAGGCAAAGGGTGGCTATTTGCAGAATCTCAAATATAAAATATATTTTGATTTCTTTAACACTTTTTTGGTTACTACATGATTCCATATGTGTTATTTCATAGTTATGATGTCTTCACTATTATTCTACAATGTAGAAAATAGTAAAAATAAAGACAAAAACCCTTGAATGAGTAGGTGTGTCCAAACGTTTGACTGGTACTGTATATATATACTGTAAATATATTTTTCTCTCTCTCTGTAATACTACTAGCAACCTAGTAATTTTATTAAGTCAGCTTTAGCTATACCAGATAAGTTCCCAAACTCATAACTAGCTACCAAGAAGCCATTTCAGGTAATTGATCAAGTTAGAGTACATAGTTAGACAAGCTATCTTAGCTGGCATGCCTGCTGGCAAGGTTGGTAGACTTTAGAAAAGCAAGCAATAACTAAAATGTACTGAATAAGACTCAAATTCCTTTAACTTTTACCCAGATTTCAACAGATATGCGGAGAAGCATATTTAGAGGATAGAGACAGATCAAGAGGTATGCTTAGATATGCAGAAAAATGTATATATGTTTTACATAGAATTAATCATAATGATTATGGCTCTAGATTGCAGAAAAAAAGCTGTATCAGGTGTTTGAAAAATGCTAAATTCTCCAATTTACGGTTGGGGGGCCTAGCCCCCCTCTGGACCACCCCCCAGGCATCCTCACGCACTTTGTGCCCCCTCAGATTTTTGGGGTGCATGACGCCCCTGCCTAACACTTTTAAATCACCTAACACATAACACCATAGAACAATGTATTTGTATTAATGAAGCAACCATCTACTTTATTTAAACGTACGTGTCTGGTCTTGGATGACGACTGGTCCAACGGTAGATGATGGTCTGCTGGGGCCGGCTTCATTCACGGCTTTGACACGGAACTCATACTCTTCTCCTTCAGTCAGGTCCTCAACCTTGAAGGTGAGGTCCTCAATATCACGTCTGTTGCACTGTCTCCAGGCCTGCTTCTGAGATCCACTACTGTCCCAGCACAGACGCTCAATAGTGTAGTGTGTCACTGGAGCTCCACCGTCATTCCTGGGTGGCTTCCAAGTCAGGGTGGCTGTGCCCTTAGTCACTTCTTGAATCTTCACCCTTGTGGGAGCATCAGGAGGATCTGAACAAAAATAATACAAGGAATGATTAGAAACTGCTGGTACAATAGAACAGGTGTGTTTGTTCTATAGAACAGGTTGGTTCTATGGATGAAGTGAATGTTGTTCGCTTACGGATAGGATCTCTAGCCTTTGAACGCTCAATGGTCTCAACTAGTGGTCCAAATCCAAAGCGGTTCTCCGCCCGGATACGGAACAGGTAATCCTGTCCCTCAATGAGGTCGGGCACAATAAAGGACTGGGCGGCACAGGCTGGGTTGCACTTGGTCCAAGCTTTTCCTTCCACAGTCTTCTTCTCAATGAAGTAACTCTTGACCCTCTCACCACCGTCACTATCTGGAGCCTTCCATGTAAGTCTACATGTGCCTCTTGTGATGTCTGTGACTTTGAGGTCTTTGGGTGGGCCAGGCAGATCTGAAAATAAGGTTTTGCTAATGGTTAGGAATCTTGTAAAAGACTTGGCCCATTTGTTTATCCAACTGTGTTATTTAGTTTTTACTTACCAAGGACATTGACTCTGACTTTCATGTTCTTGTGTCCAGCTGCGTTTTCCGCTGTGATGATGTAACGTCCGGCATGTTTGATGTGGCTCTCAGGGATGGTGATGACTGATGTTGTATCAGTTGACACGATCTGAGTAGAGACATTTACAAAATACACAACGATTAATACATGAGACTTGAAAACTACAAATAATTGTTTGGATGGAACAAAATAAAAGTCAAAAATGAGCTAACGCTTCAAAAAAGTGAACTATCCCTTTAAACAATAACAAAGCTCGGATTTCTATAGATTTCTCTATTGTATTTTTATAGATTCATTACCATTGAATCGATTGGAAGGATATGGATCTCATTCTTCTTCTCGGTCTCTGCTGTTCCATCCTTGAACTCCCATGTAACTTTAGGAGTGGGACGACCGGTGATAAGAGCTGGAATTTTAATGGTAGTTCCAGCTCTGCAGGACAACAGCTCATGGGCGCTGACCTCCAGAGTAATAGTTGGTTCAGCTGTGAAATAAAAAAGTACATCCGTATTGTATAGTAAAAAGTATAGTATAGTACATCAGTAAAACTCAAATCAACAAGCCAAACTCGCACATAATTAAATGATAATGCCAGAGAAGCCGGTGTTTGGAGGATATATTGCCACAGGTCTCGGGCCGGCAAACCGTGCCAAAATATCCTCCAAACACCGGCTTCGAAGGCATTATCACTTTTATACAACAGGTTACCAATATATTCAAATAATGATTGACATATTTTCATTAAAAACAGTTATTCATTCAATTTCATCCTTCCACATGACATAGTCCCGACACAAATCTAGGGTTGCTACCCAAGCCAGCTGGTCGTTCGTTCTATCAGTTCCGTTGACATACTGGCTGGCAACTTTCTTATCCTTTGTTTACTAGCTAGCCAACTACGACTAATTTACAATCAAGTCAAAAAAGTGCAGCCAGAATAACAGCAAAGTAGCTGCATTTTCAGTTGTTTAAGCTGTTTTCTAGTGACATTTATTTAGATACATCCATAACAATGAGCTAATGAGGCGAGATTTTGCCTGGCATAGAAAATGTGCTTACTCGTCAGGACACTGTTGTTAAGAGGAACTAGCCAACAACACAGCTAACACAACCCCTTCAAACTGAAGCTGGAAAGACTGCAAACTAGCTGCACTTCATTTCACCTTTTTTCAATTCGATTTCTTTGTATATATCCATAAAGATGATGACAGCTGATTCATGTTTTCGACTGGCTGAGAAACGTTGCCTGCCTGTCTGTCTCGTCCCAACTAGTTCATTACAATGGACAGCTGGAGATCGAATTTGAATATTGAAACAATGTTGCAAATGTCGGAGAGACAGACAGCAAGGTTTATACATACCTCCGCTGTTGAAAACTAAATGTTAGTCTAAAAGAAATGTGAGATAATGTCTAGAAGCTTTTTATAGTGGATATCAAGTTTATAAATTGCTTGGCTGGGCTAATGAAACAGTGAGTTGTGCAGTTAGATGGAACAGAGTAAACAGGCATTTTAACATCATAGATTTAGCCAGTGGTTACTTGTGGAATAGACACTGGCTGGAATGCGGTTTTAACCGATCATCATTCAGGATTAGACCCACCCGTTGTACAAATGTGTAATAATTACTCACTTCACTAGCATGAGTCCCAGTTCAGTTTGTGGTGTGACAATGGCATAGAAGTTGGCAAGGCAGCACAAAACAGAGTTGAGACTCAGGCTATCTATCACTTTACGGCTCTTACTTAAGATGTCCTGGACAGTGATGTCAGCAGAACGTGCGCTTGGTTCAGATTTGCCAGCAGCGTTGACTGCGGTGACTCTGAATCTGATCTTCTGGCCTTCTTTCAGGTCTGGAACGGTGATCTCTGTGGTAGGGTGCAGCTTCTCAGGGTCACTGACTCTCTTCCAATCCAGAGAGTCTGTGTCCTGAACCTCGACTATGTAGCCCTTGACTGGGCTGCCGCCATCTTTCTCTGGTGGGGTCCAGGTGAGAGTGACGCTGGTCTTGGTCTTGTCCTTAACCACTGGCATTCCTGGTGCACTAGGGGGATCTGAAAACAAGTCAATGCAAGTTTTACTCAAATGTAATTATGCATTTATTTAATCCTCATTCAAACAGAAAGTCCAGTTGAGGTCAGAAGATCTCTTTCCCAAGTTAAATCTGCCATTATAATGAATAATAATATAGTCTTCTTGACATACAGTGCATTCGGAAAGTCTTCAGACCTCTTGACTTTTTCCACATTTTGTTATGTTACAGCCTTATTCTAAAATGGATTAAATAGTCCCCCCCCCATCAATCTACACACAATACCCCATAATGACAAAGCAAAAACAGGTTTTTAATTTAAAAAATTGCTAAAAAATAAATAATGAAATATCACATTTACATAAGTATTCAGACCCTTTACTCAGTACTTTGTTGAAGCACATTTGGCAGAAATTATAGCCTCGATTCTTCTTGGGTATGACGCTACAAGCTTGGTACACCTGTATTTGGGGAGTTTCTCCCATTCTTCTCTGCAGATCCTCTCAAGCTCTGTCAAGTTGGATGGGGAGCGTTGCTGCACAGCTATTTTCAGGTCTCTCCAGAGATGTTAGATCGGGTTCAAGTTCGGGCTCTGGCTGGGCCACTCAAGGACATTCAGAGACTTGTCCCGAAGCCACTCCTGCGTTGTCTTGGCTGTGTGCTTAGGGTTGTTGTCCTGTTGGAAGGCGAACCTTTGCCCCAGTCTGAGGTCCTGAGCGCTCTGGAGCAGGTATTCATCAATGATCGCTCTGTACTTTGCTCCATTCATTTTTCCCTCGATCCTGACTAGTCTCCCAGTACCTGCCGCTGAAAAACATCCCCACAGCATGATGCTGCCACCACCATGCTTCACCGTAGGGATGGTGGCTGGTTTCCTCCAGACGTGACCCTTGGCATTCAGGCCAAAGAGTTCAATCTTGGTTTCATCAGACCAGATAATCTTGTTTCCCATGGTCTGAGAGTCCTTTAGGTGCCTTTTGGCAAACTCCAAGCGGGCTGTCATATGCCTTTTACTGAGGAGTGGTTTCCGTCTGGCCACTCTACCATAAAGGCCTGATTGTTGGAGTGCTGCAGAGATGGTTGTCCTTCTGGATGGTTCTCCCATCTCCACAGAGGAACTCTGGAGCTCTGTCAGAGCGACCATCGGGTTCTTGGTCACTTCCCTGACCAAGGCCCTTCTCCCCCGATTGCTCATTTTGGCCAGGCGGCCAGCTCTAGGAAGAGTCTTGGTGGTTCCAAACTTCTTCCATTTAAGAATGATGGAGGCCAATGTGTTCTTGGGGACCTTCAATACTGCAGAGATGTTTTGGTACGCTTCCCCAGATCTGTGCCTCGACACAATCCTGTCTCGGAGCTCTACGGACAAATTCCTTCGACCTCATGGCTTGGTTTTTGCTCTGATATGCACTGTCAACTTTGGGACCTTATATAGACAGGTGTGTGCCTTTCCAAATCATGTCCAATCAATTGAATTTACCACATGTGGACTCCATTCAAGTTGTAGAAACATCTCAAGGAGGATCAATTGAAACAGGATGCACCTGAGCTCAATTTCGAGTCTCATAGCAAAAGGTCTGAATATTTATGTAAATAAGGTATTTCAGGTTTCTAAAAACCTGTTTTCGCTTAGTCATTATGGGGTATTGTGTGTAGATTGATGAGGAAATGTTTTTATCTAATCAATTTTAGAATAAGGCTGTAATGTAACAAAATGTGGAAAAAGGGAAGGGGTCTGAATACCTTCCGAATGCACTGTAGCTATTCTACAACATCAGAGAAAGAGTACTGTACTTACTGCGTGGATCAACAGCGAATTGACATGGGGATGCCTCACTGGGAGGTCCGACTCCAGCAGCATTCTGAGCCCTCACTCTGAACTGGTACTCAGCCCCTTCATTAAGGCGGAGGACCGTGTATTCCAAACCCTTCACTGCAGGCTTGGTGACTGGAGCCCTGTTCACACGACCCCAGATCCCAGCTCCTCTCTCTCTTTTCTCCAGCCAGTATCCCTGAATGGAGGAGCCACCGTTCTGCAGTGGAGGCTCCCAGGTGATCGTCATGGTAGTGGAAGTTGCTGCGATGACCTTTGGTTTGCGAGGTGGACCAGGAAGACCGAATGGATCCTTGAGAACGACCTTCTCGGATTCACAACCGTCACTGATTCCAAACTTGTTCTCAGCTTTGATTTTGAATTGGTACTGGCCCATTCTGTCCATTTTGTACACCTAGAAGGAGTGATATCAATGCATTAGTAATCATTACCATCATATTATTATGAGTTAACTAACCATCCTATTGAAGGTGTAGGGTGAAGTTGCCCCTAGACGCTGATCTTCGGCCAGTTTTGCTAATGGTTAAGGTTAGGATTGGGGGAGGGGAAGCTTATCTGTACCAAGGGGAAACTTAACCCCAGAACCCACATTAAAGTAGTATTTGACTAGTTTTGATATTTAACAGGAATTTGGACTAACCCCATATCTCCTATCAATGATATTGCAGGTGAGCTGCTCAAAATCAGACTTCTTCCTACTGGCGTCCCTCCTTTCGATGATGTAGTTGGTGATCTCACTACCCCCGTCGTCCTCTGGGACCGCCCAAGTCAGATAGCAAGACTCAGCCTGGATGTCAGACACCACAATGTCACGTGGTGGCAGAGGGCGGTCTGTGAAGGCAAAGAAAACATTATGAGAATATACTAGCTATAATTTCTACTTATTTTAAAGACTCTAAATACTTATTTGAAAGGATCTATAATGACAATACCCAGATAAGTACCACCATTTCTTTAAAGCAGCAATCAGCAGTAAAAACAATAACAAAGCGAACTCCCCACCCCTTTTTCGGTAAAAAACTAAGGGATGGAGAAATGTAACCACTCATAGACGGAGCTATGGATGCAAGGACAGACCATCCATGATATCAAAATGATAGTTTTAACCATGTTTTGAGGCTATGTAGTGTTTCTTTACATTTACTTTGTTGACAAACTTTGGAGTAAACCATGTTTATATTTGGGTTATGATGGGGTAGGATAGTTGAACTAAGGTGATGAGGCATTTTTAAGTTATATTCTTCAAGAATCATACACTGAGTGTACAAAACATTAAGAACACCTTCCTAATATTGAGTTGCATTCCCCCTTGCCCTAAGAACAGCCTCAATTCGTCAGGGCATGGCCTCTACAAGGTGTCGAAAGCGTTCCACAGGGATGCTGACCCATGTTGACTCCAATGCTTCCCACAGTTGTGTTAAGTTGGCTTGATGTCCTTTGGGTGGTGGACCATTCTTGATACACACAGGAAACTGTTGAGCATGAAAAACTCAGCAGCGTTGCAGTTCTTTACACAAACCGGTGCGCCTGACACCTACTACCATACCACTACCATACCCCGTTCAAAGGCACTTAAATATTTTGTCTTGCCCATTCACCCTCTGAATGGCACACATACACAATCCATGTCTCAATTGTCTCAAGGCTTAAAAATCCTTCTTTAACCTGTCTCCTCCCCTTCATCTACACTGATTGAAATGGATTTAACAAGTGACATCAATAAGGGATCATAGCTTTCACCTGGATTCACCTGGTCAGTCTATGTCATGGAAAGAGCAGGTGTTCTTAATGTTTTGTACACTTAGTGTATCATTAATTTACCCCATTCACAAAAATGGTTCGCTCCTACAGACAGCGAGTCATGTGGCAGTGGCTTGCTATATAAAGCAGGCAGACAGGCATCGAGGCATTCACTTACAGTTTGATTGAACATTAGAATGGGCAAAACTAGTGACATAAGTGACTTTGATCGTGTTATGATCGCCGGTGCCAGGCGTGCCGGTTCCAGTATCTCAGAAACGGCCGGCCTCCTGGGCTTTTTAGGCTCGACAGTGTCTAGGGTTTACAGAGAATAGTGTGACAAAAAAACATCCAGTCAGCGGCAGTCCTGTGGGTGAAAACAGCTCGTTGATGAGAGAGGTCGAAGGAGAATGGCAAGAATCGTGCATGCTAACAGGCGGGCCACAAACAGGCAAATAATGGCGCACTACAACAGTGGAGTGCAGAACGGCATCTCAGAACGCACAACTCATCAGTCCTTGTCATGGGCTTTTGCAGCAGACGACCACTCCGGGTTCCACTCCTATCTGCTAAAAACAAGAAGAAGCGTCTCTAGTGGGCACGAGATCACCAACACTGGACAACTGAGGAGTGGAAAAACATTGCCTGGTCCGACAAATCCCAGTTCCGGTTGTGTCATGCTGATGGCAGAGTCAGTATTTGGCGTAAGCAGCATTAGTCCATGGCCCCATCGTACCTCGTGTCAACGGTACAGGCTGGTGGCGGTGGTGTAATGGTCTGGGGAATGTTTTCCTGGCAGACGTTAGGTCCCTTGGTACCAATTGAGCAATGTTTGAATGTCACACCTTGTAGAATCCATGCCCCACAAAGAATTCAGGCTATTCTGCAGGCAAAGGGGGGTCCGACCCAGTACTAGATGGACGTACCTAATGAACTGGCCACAGAGTGTAAGTCCAAATATGGATGTAGCAACTGCTGATTGCCCCGTTAAGACCTTTTGTAGCGCTGGCACACCTACGTACGTTTATATGAATATTATAATTATATGGTTATCACAGATCTGTTTGCTGAAAATGTTAATGATCGCTGAAAATGTTTACCTAGAACCTCCACATGGATGATGCGGTGTGCTTTGCCGTGGCAGTTGGTGGCAGCCAGTTTGTAGTCTCCTTTGTCTCCTCTGATAGTCTCAGGGATGCTGATCTTGGTGGTGCATTTGGTGCGGGCCACCTCCTCGAACTCCATCAGCAGTGTCTCAGTAGCCACGGGGATGACGACGCCGTCCTTAGACCACTGAACCTCTGGCATTGGCAGACCCACCACCTCAGCAGGGATCTCAATAGCCGCTCCCTTCCTCACAATGATTGTATCTCTCTTGAAATGCTCCAAGATTGAGATTTCGGGGGGAACTATAATAACACACGACACAAGGCATTTCGTTAAGATGAATACAAAAAAGCAGTTTACTGTGGTTGCTTTATTATCCAAGACAAATATATGGTTTATGGTAGGGTTTATAGAAGAGTGTAACATTACTTACTTTCATCATCCTGTATGTTAGCACTGATTGGTTTGGAGCGTTCGCCCTCTCCCACCTCAGTCACGGCAAACACACGGAACTGATACACGTGGTTCTCTGATAGGTTCTCCAATTTGATGTGTAAGTCTGTGCAGAGCTTGCGATTGGCCACGTCAAACTCAGTTCCATCTGCTCTCATCTTCTCAACATAGTAACCCGTGATTGGGCTGCCTCCATCGCTGCGAGGTGGCTCCCAAGCAAGAGCAATAGCAGTCGTCCACCTCTCGGTGTAGTGCAGTTTCAATGGTGGAGATGGAACAGCTGAAAGGAAGAGAGGAGTACATTTTCAGAATCATTTTTAGATGTTAAAATCTGTATATAAAAAGAAAGACACTCCAGCACATTGGGATCGTAGATTCTCCACAAACAATGTAATACGTCTTAGAACCAGATCAAATTCTAACATCTTTGAATGAGCTTTTTTTCCAATAACGCAATTTTCTTCATTTGTCATACCTTTGGGATCCGAAGCCAGAATATGCCCAATGTCCGTTGGGGCGCCATCACCGTACTTGTTCCTTGCGAAAACACGGAAATCATACTCTTCCTCTGAAAGCAAACCCTGAATGTCACACTTGCATGAAGCAGTCTCGATAGGTTGTCTGAATAGCTGCATCTTCGCATCCTTTCTCTCCACTACGTAGCCGATGACATCACTGCCACCGTTATCCAGAGGATCTGCCCAGCTCAAGCTGATGTTCTTCTTGGTGACATGAGTAGTCTTCAGATTAACCACAGGCCCAGGGACATCTAGTTACAACCACACAAAAGGGTCAAAATTAAGAGGATGAGAAATTTCAAGATAGGAGAACTATGGCCTGTATTCATAAAGTGTCTCAGAATAGTAGTGCTGATCTAGGATCAGTTTAGGCTTTTAGATTATAATGAACAAGATTGTATGGACAGTGGGATCCTAGATCAGCACTCCTCCTCTGATTGCTTGCACACTTACCCATGACGTCAACTCTAGTGACAGCAGACTTGGTTCCACTGCTGTTGGTTCCAGAGATCTGGTACTTTCCGTGATCGGTTCTCTTGGCGTACTTGATGAACAGAAGGCTGTTCTTTCCTTCTGTTTCGATCACAACATGCTCTTTGTCAGTTTCAGCCTCATCCTTCATCCATTTCACTTCTGGTTGTGGTCTGCCGATGGCGAACGCTGGCAGTCTCAGTGCCTCGCCGGCTTTGATGATGACTCCGTTCTTCACAGAGGCATCAAAGTCAACCACTGGGGGCTCTGGGGACATAGACATAGAAATGTTTGTTTCATGAGTACACTGTAGGTCAGTAAAAAAATAAAAAATCTTATATGACATATTTGCACCATATGAGCTGACTGGTTGAGCTAAATGGTTGAGCTGAATGATTGCACTATATGAGTTAACTGGCTTGTTATCTGGGGTCAACGCCGGGTTATTGTAAAGCACTATGTGACAACTGCTGATATAAAAAGGGCTTTATTACATTTGATTGATTGATTGATTGATAGATACCTTGAGGCTCCTTCACAGTGACTGGTTCAGTCATGCCAGGTGCTCCCGGTCCGGCGTCATTGACAGCAATAACACGGATGTAATAGTCAGCGCCCTCTGTCAGCCCAGTCACTGTGTACTTCAGCTCCTTGCATCTGAACTCTGTACTACGTTTCCATTCCTTCTCTCCAGCAAGAACACTCTCAACATGGTAGCCAAGGATATCTCCTCCTCCATTGTACAGGGGAGGAACCCAGGCGATATCAACTGTTGTCGCAGAGGTATCAAGAACTCTTGGAGTGGGTGGGCCAGGTGGCACTGTAGAGGCAGAAAGAGATAACGAGTCAATGCTTATAATATTGATGATAGTGTGTCAACTAAGGCATATAGATGCGAATCCTAACTTCCACTTATATAAAATTTTCACATAATCTACCATTGACATCAATGCTTGACTAAGTAATAAAAATAAATTGAAGTTAGGATTCCACCATAGATTGTAGTGTTGGTATCTATTCTATTCTTAGATAAACTTACAGATTGGATCCATAGCAATCTGGGGATCAGTTGGGACACTGAAGGGTCCGGGGCCAGCCAGATTCTCAGCACAGACTCTGAATATGTATACCAGGCCTTCCATAAGACCCTCAATCTTCACAGAGAGGGAATTGAGCAGGAAGCGGTTCACCCTAGTCCAGTGTTTGCTGTTGATTTCCTTCCTCTCAATCCAGTAGCCCAGGATGGGACTACCGTTGTCCTTGGGCTCATGCCAGGAGATGAACACACTGTTGGCAGTCACCTCTCCAATTCTGGGTGTGTTTGGAGCATCGGGTGGATCTTGAAAGTAGAGAAGGGGAAAAAGTAGAATAATGTTGTAATTGGCAGTTAATTACAAAAACAAACACTTTTACCAGTGATAGTAAAGGGAAAATACACATTTCAACAAACGTTTATAACTGATAGTAAAGGGAAAACAGAAATATAATTGCAGATATTTACCGAATTGGTTCTTGGCAACGAGTGGCTCAGAGAGACATGAAGGTCCACAGCCGAACTTGTTCTCAGCGGTAACACGGAAGATGTACTCCTTTCCTTCAATCAGTTTGGTAACAGGATAGTTGCAAACCTTGAGGGTTGAAGTTACCGTGATCCATCCGATATCTTCGTTCTTGTTGTCTTTCTTCTCAAGGATGTAGTTCAGGATCTCACTGCCACCATCGTCAAGAGGAGGGTCGAACTTGCAGATGACAGAGGTGTCCCTGATCTCCTCAAAGACAAAGTTCACTGGAGGACCAGGCTTATCTGTACAAATCATAGAAAAGAGAATGTCAAAACTGTTGTTGATGGCTTAGGAGAAAAATTATTAAGTAAGTATAGTTCTCAAAAATGCCTGAAAATAGATTGTGATGAGGACCATTGGCTTACCAAGGACGTTGACGTCACAGTATGCAGTTGCAACGCCATGAGAGTTCTCGACCTGGATGCAGAAGCGACCGTGGTCAGTTCTGATGGAGTCTCGCACCGTGATTGAGGTCTCGCCCTTCTTTACACCATAGGAAAGACGCTCATGGAGAGGGGTTACAAACACCTCAGGTTCTTCAGGTTCAACCTTGCCCCCCTTCTTCTTCTTCAGAATAGGCTGTACTGGCTTCTTCTCTGGTACCTTCTTGACGTCTTCATTGTTTCTGAGCCAGGTGACAGTTGGGTATGGGGCGCCAGAGATGTAGGCGTCCAGGCGGATCTCTTCTCCCTTCCTGATGCACAGGCCGGGCTGCAGGCGAGCATGGAGGGACACCTTGGGTTTTTCTGAAACAGACAACATAAAGGCTAAACCATATACATCGATTGAATAGAATGGGTGTCCCCATTCAAGTCAATGATGGCATAATGGGTAAACTGGTAGCCATTTTGAGTGTACCCATGTCAGGAAGTAAAAGCAGGAAATGTACCCTTCAATCTGTGCTGTGATTTGTTGAGTCAACTCAACTGAAATGATTGCATCACAAGACCAGGCAGCCATTGTGAGTGTACCCATGAGTTTACCAGTCACATTGCCAGGGTTAGAGCTTCCAAGCCTGTTCTATTCATTCTATTTTTATGGGTTAAACTACATGTTATTATTAGACGTACACTTCGGCCTGAATTCAGTCAGACATCCACATAGCGTGTTGGAGGTGTAACTGTGATATGAGCTGACCAATCAGTGAGCAGCTGCTCTTGTGTGTCACCAACCACTCCCTTCCTTATTATCCCTATACTGCATTAGAAGTTCAAAACAGCAATATAGTATAGGCTCTATCGATGACAGAGATAATGACAGGCTAATACATGTTTTCATGTTCATTTGGATGGGGGGATTTATAGCCTATCAGTCTAATCGAGGTGTAGACAATAGAACATCACGCATTAGTGTGTTTGAACTTGTAACGCAGCTGCATGAACTTCTAACGCGGATGCATGGGATTTGTCGGATATAAAGTTGGGTGTGGTTTTTGTTGAATCCAATGGCAGTTTCCACGATAAGGTAACAAGGAGCTGCTTGTGAATTTCACAGCTCTAACGCAGTTCCATCTCCGACACCGGTAAAACAACCGCTATGTGGGTGTTGTCTAGCACGGATCTGATAGAATCTAGCCATTGATCTTTCAAATTGGTGTACATCAGACGCTAATGAACTTCATGGAGTCCATTTGGAGCGCTTTTCAAGGACCCAAAAGGCGTTTTACAATACAGAACAAATAACAAACAAAAATGAAACAAACAATGTCAAAAAGGTAGCCATACCAATGGGAGCAGCGATCATGGTCAGTGGAGTGCTGCGAGATGGCTCACTGACTCCAGCAGCGTTCTCAGCGCGAACACGGAACTGATACTCTTTGCCTTCGTTCAGATCCTTCACCACATACGTGAAACCAGGCACCAGGGATGGGTTGATTCTCTGGAATCTATCACCATCCTTCTCAATGCTTTCCAGGATGTAGCCAGTGATGGCGCAACCCCCGTCAGACACTGGTGGTTTCCAGGTCAGTGTGATAGAGTTGTCGGTTGGATCATGAGCCTCAACATCAATGGGTGGATCTGGTTTCTCTGTAAATAACAAAACAGGAAAAATAACATCAATACATATCTCTGCAATCCATAATCCATGGAGCCTAGATGGGTTCATACATCCAACACATTCTCCTATATAATGCATTCCTGCTCCTTTAAAAAAGGTGGTGAAGAAACTATCAAGCAATTTTAACCAACTGTGAAAAGTTGGAAAGTGTTCCAGAACTCTTACGTTTCACTTCCATAGTGATGACAGGGTTGCGGAGCTCCAGGAATAGCCCAGAGCCGACCTTGTTGACGGCCTTGACCCGGAAGTGATACTCTTCGTTCAGCTTGAGATCGTTGACTTGGTAGGTCAGGATGTTTTCTCCTGACATCAGAGGCCTGAAAGTCTTATTAGAAGCCCCTCTACGCTCCAGAACGTAGTGGAGAATAGGAGTACCACCATCACTCTCTGGAGCCTCCCATGTCAGCTTGCAGGAGTTCTTAGTGATCTCATCCGCATTGATGTCCTTGCATTGGCCGGGCAGACCTGTGAATATAACGCAGAATATGCTATACAGTCTGTTTTAACACCAAATATTTTCACAGTGAAGAATTAAAGTGAAAACTTTATGTGAATCTTACCAATAACTTTAACGTTGATGATTCTGGTGGCTGTTCCGATCGCGTTCTCCAGAGTGACAGAGTATTCTCCAGCATCATCATGCACACACTTCATCACTTCCAGGTGGACGCTGTTGAGCTCACAAGTCATCAACAGTCTGTCGTCATTCTGTAACTTTGTGCCAGAGGCAGTATCTGTGTGGAATTTGCTCCAGACCATCTCTGGTTTGGGGATGGCCGTGTATGGGATGTTGATATGCAGCTTGTCACCCTCAACCACTACAATGTCTAGGGCCTCCATATCCATAGTAGGAATACCTTAGAGAGGGGATAAAGAGATGTATATTTTACTTCCCATTTATTTTCAATAAGTGGCATTACATTTATTTTCATTTGACACTTTGGGGTATGGTAAGTATGCTTACAGTCTGGATCCTTGGCAAAGACCTTCTCAGAAATGGCAGAAGGATCGCTGACACCAATAGAGTTGATGGCACGGACTCTCAGAACATATTGTTTCTCTGGCTTGATGCTTTCCTCTGCTTTGTATTTGAGCTCCTTGACTGGGCGAGTGTTGATTCTCATCCACTTCTCAGCTTTAGCCTCACGGAGCTCAACATGGTATCCTGTGATGGGGCTCCCTCCATTCTTCAATGGTACATTCCAGGTAATGTTGATATGCTCTCTGCTGGCACCAACTATGACCAAGTCAACAGGAGGAGATGGTGGACCTGGGAAGAAGAAGAAATACATTATTCATATTGGTTGCCTTTGAAAAGTAGTAGAAGGCACTCAACCAACGTGAGACGAGGTGTCTTGAGGTGTGAGCAAGAGTTGCACCTTTTCCTTCCTAATAGTGATTGCCTTTGCCATGCCAAGACAAAGTTATACTAAATAATCATACTACAGTATAACATGAATATACATTGAGAATGTAACAGACAACTCACTTGTAGCATCCTCAATGGTGACTACTTCTGTTGGTTCACTAGGGTGTCCAACACCAGCCTCATTCTCAGCACGGACCTGGAACTGAACCTCAGTGCCCTCATCCACATCTGTGACTTTGTAGGTGCACAGAGCGTCGGGAGTCTTTCCAGACTTCACCCAGCGGGTTCCAAGTTTCTCTTTCTTCTCAATGACGTACCTAGAAAGCAAATGGTATGTATTATTTTTAAACGGTTTAAAATTACTTAAATACAAAATCACTGTCATGACAAACATATAGACAATGTCACGACTTCCGCCGAAGTTGGTGCCTCTCCTTGTGCGGGCGGCTATCGGCGGTCGTCGTCACCGGCCTTCTAGCTGCCACCGATCTACGTTTCTGTTTTCCATTTGTTTTGTCTGTATTGTACACACCTGGTTCCCATCACGTTAATCTGGTTCCCTATTTAACCCTCTGGTTCCCTCATGGTGTTGTGCGTGATTGTTCTTTGTTTGGTGTTTATACTGCTGTGAGCTGATGTATTTCCCTGCGTGGAAATTAGATTTGTTGTTTTTCGAGTAAAGTTTGTCTATTACTCAGTTCTGTGTCCTGCGCCTGACTCCGTCCTACTGCTGCACACTGACACCTGACAGAATCACGCCCCACATATTGAGTCAGCAGGTGCACCCAATCCTCCGTTACCGGTGGAGGAGCGCATCCAGCAGCATGCGACGATGCTCCACAATCTGGGCACAGCCATGGATCGCGTGCTGCACACCATGGAGCGATGGGAGAGAGAGGGTTTTCCCACAACCCCATCAACTTCACCTCAACCCACACCGCTGTCCACCCCTCCGTTACCTGGACCCAGTGGAATTCGGCTCTCGCTCCCGAAGGCCTATGATGAGACGGCTTCCGGGTGCCAGGGGTTCCTGCTCCAGGTAGAGCTCTACCTGGCGACCGTCCACCCGGCTCCCTCGGGTTACGAGAGAGTGTCTGCCCTCGTCTCCTGTTTGTCGGGGAAAGCGCTGGAATGGGCCAACGCTGAATGGGGAGGGATAGACGCTACGTTGGTTCGCTACGAGGATTTCACCCGCCGTTTCCGGGCGGTCTTTGATCATCCGCCTGAGGGGAGAGCGGTGGGGGAACGCTTGTTCCATCTCAGACAGGGGAAGAGGAGCGCACAGGACTTCGCTCTGGACTTCAGGACCCTGGCTGCCAGCAGGGGATAGAATGAGAGGGCACTGATCGACCATTACCAGTGTAGTCTACGGGAGGACGTTCGTCGGGAGCTGGCCTGCAGGGACACCACACTTACACTCGACCAGCTGGTGGATTTATCCATCCGGCTGAATAGCCTGTTGGCCACCCGTGGACGTCCGGATCAGGGTCCGTCCATTCCATCTCCCAGCACCTCCGACCCTACCCCTATGGAGCTCGGAGGTGCTGCTCTAAGGGTGACGGGAGGGGGGGGCGTTTCCTGCACCAAGTGTGGCCGCAGAGGGCACACTGCTGGTCGGTGCTGGGGAGGTTCCCCAGGGAGGTGAGGCAGCAGGCAGGGCACTGGTGGATCATCCCAGGTGAGTAGGCACCGACTCACCCAGAGCTCCCTGTTGCGCACATGTATGTCTGTATAAAGTTTCCGGAGTTTTCCCCGCATTCCCAGCATAAGGCGCTAGTAGATTCAGGCGCAGCTGGGAACTTTATTGACCGTGCATTTGCACTTAGATTAGGGATCCCTATTGTTCCTGTTGATGTGCCCTTTCCTGTACATGCCTTAAATAGTCATCCTTTAGGATCGGGCCTGATTAGGGAGGTCACAGCTCCACTATGTATGATAACGCAGGAGGGTCATGAGGAGAGCATTAGTCTCTTCCTGATTGATTCTCCTGCGTTTCCTGTGGTGTTGGGGCTTCCCTGGTTGGCCCATCATGACCCCACTATTTCGTGGCAACAGAGGGCTCTGAAGGGATGGTCACGTCAGTGCTCAGGGAGGTGTGTAGGTGTTTCCGTAGGTGCAACTTCGGTGGAAAGTCCAAACCAGGTCTCCCCCATGCACATTCCCCCTGAATATGCCGATTTGGCTCTCACCTTCTGTAAAAAGAAGGCGACTCAATTACCACCCCATCGACGGGGGGATTGTGCGATAAATCTCCAGGTAGACGCAGCACTTCCCAGGAGTCACGTGTATCCTCTGTCACAGGAGGAGACGGCGGCTATGGAAACATATGTCTCCGAATCTCTGGGACAGGGATACATTTGGCCTTCCACTTCACCTGCCTCCTTGAGTTTCTTTTTTGTGAAGTAGAAGGATGGAGGTTTACGCCCGTGCATTGACTATCGGGGTATAAATCAGATCACGGTGAAGTTCAGTTACCCGTTGCCTCTCATAGCCAGTGTGACCGAGTCATTGCACGGGGCGCGCTTCTTCACAAAACTGGATCTCAGGAGCGCGTACAACCTGGTGCGTATCCGGGAGGGGGATGAGTGGAAGACGGCATTTAGTACCACCTCTGGGCACTATCAGTACCTCGTCATGCCGTACGGGTTGATGAATGCTCCATCAGTCTTCCAATCCTTTGTAGAAGAGATCTTCAGGGACCTGCACGGGCAGGGTGTAGTGGTGTATATAGATGACATTCTCATATACTCCGCTACACGCGCCGAGCATGTGTCCCTGGTGCGCAAGGTGCTTGGTCGACTGTTGGAGCATGATCTGTACGTCAAGGCTGAGAAATGTCTGTTCCTCCAACAGTCCGTCTCCTTTCTAGGGCACCGCCTGTCCGCATCAGGGGTGGAGATGGAGAATGACCGCATTTCAGCCGTGCGTAATTGGCCGACTCCAACCACGGTAAAGGAAGTGCAGCGGTTCTTAGGGTTTGCCAACTACTACCGGAGGTTTATCCGGGGCTTTGGTCAGGTAGCGGCTCCCATTACCTCCTTGCTGAAAGGGGGACCGGTGCGACTGCAGTGGTCAGCTGGGGCGGACAGGGCTTTTGGTCACCTGAAGGCTCTGTTTACTTCGGCTCCCGTGCTGGCTCATCCGGATCCCTCCTTAGCATTCATAGTAGAGGTGGACGTGTCCGAGGCTGGGATAGGAGCTGTGCTGTCTCAGCGCTCGGGTACGCCACCAAAGCTCCGCCCCTGTGCTTTCTTTTCGAAGAAGCTCAGCCCGGCGGAGCAAAACTATGATATGGGGGACCGGGAGCTGTTAGCTGTTGTCAAGGCTCTGAAGGCGTGGAGACATTGGCTTGAGGGGGCTAAACACCCTTTCCTCATTTTGACTGACCACCGCAATCTGGAGTCTCCACCCAGATCGTCCTGCGCCTCGTCCTCCGGGTCGTCCCCGAGGTCGGTGTCGCCGCACTGCTGGAGCCGCGCGTCAAGGGGGGGTACTGTCACGACATCCGCTGAAGTTGGTGCCTCTCCTTGTGCGGGTGGCTATCGGCGGTCGTCGTCACCGGCTTTCTAGCTGCCACCGATCTACGTTTCTGTTTTCCATTTGTTTTGTCTGTATTATACACACCTGGTTCCCATCACGTTAATTTGTTTCCCTATTTAACCCTCTGGTTCCCTCATGGTGTTGTGCGTGATTGTTCTTTGTTTGGTGTTTATACTGCTGTGAGCTGATGTATTTCCCTGCGTGGAAATTAGATTTGTTGTTTTTTGAGTAAAGTTCGTCTATTACTCAGTTCTGTGTCCTACGCCTGACTCCGTCCTACCGCTGCACACTGACACCTGACAGACAGTTACAAGTTTGTTATTCACTTACTTTGTAATGGGTCTCCCACCATTACTCTTTGGAGCTTCCCATTTCAGTTCAACGTGTCTCTTGGACACCTCCACAATAGTCAAGGCATAGGGTGGCCCAGGAGTGGCTGGAAGGAAAAAGATGAAAGCAAAGTTTATAAGTTGTAAGAACTACTCCATTGACTTTAATTCTCCATGTTTAAAGCTATTACACCAACAACAGAATGACTGAAGCGGGATAGGATAGAAACGTACTGAAAGTATCTTTAGCCAAAACAGAGTCTTCCAGTTCACAGTAATCACTCTGTCCTACTGCGTTCTCAGCAGCCACACGGAACACATAGAGAGAGCCCTCGTTCAGTGGAGTGACAGTGTACTTCAGCTCCTTCACAGTGGTGTCCACTGCAGTCCAGGTCTTACGCCTGACGTCCCTCTTCTCAACAACGTAGTTGGTGATTGGAGAGCCACCATCGTTGTCAGGAGCCTGCCACTTCAGGTCAGCGTTGATCTTTGTGATGTTGGTCACCTCAAGCCATTGAGGAGGTGATGGAGGATCTGTTGAATAGAAAAGGCATAATGAAGCTCATATAATTTCCAATTCCAAATATTAATCAAACTGGTATTGTCTCTCTAAGCCAGGAATCATCAACTAGATTCAGCCGCGGCTTGATTTTTTCTTGAGCGGATGGTCAGGGGGCCGGAACATAATTACAAATAATTTGGAGACTGCAATGTCACCGCAAGAAGACCAAACAGATATAATATTTCACTAAAACATAATAATTTCAAACCTTGCTTACATTTGTATATGATCACATATATCTCTCTATTATGCCTGGGAATACTTTGGAGCTGATTTGCTGATGTTTTTACAGTCTTTTATTTTTCATCAAACTAGGGGGGCCAAATAAAATCACCCATGATCAAATTCGGCCAGCGGGCCACCAGTTGGGGAACCCTGCTCTAAGCCTAATTGAGGGAGTTGAGCATCATGACTTACAGAGTCTTTCCTTGCAGACCACAGGATCGCTTGGGTCACTGGGCTCACTCTCTCCTGCGCAGTTGACGGCCTTGACTCTGAAGGAGTACTCCTGTTTCTCCATCAAACCCTTCAGGAAGTGCTCAGTCTGGGGCACATCCTCTGCTGCTCTGATCCATGCTTCGGTGCCAGTCTTCAGGAACTCAATGATGTAGCCCTCGATCTTGGCACCACCATCGTGCTCTGGCCTGGTCCATTGCAGGGAGGCAGATGTCTTAGCTATTTCTCTGATGAAGGGTTTGCCAGGAGCCCATGGAGGATCTGGAATACAAGTAAAATGACAAGTTTATGAAGATTTCTTATTTTGCATGTTTTCTTGAAATGATATAGTTATCTTTTTCATGTATGAAAAGAATATAACTAAATTATCTATATAACACAACATACCAATTGGATCCTTGACCAAGACTGGATCAGTCTCAGTGCTTGGTTTTCCTGGTCCTGCAAGATTCTCGGCCAAGACACGGAACCTGTACTTCTTCTTGGTAGGCAGGCCCTTCACCCTGAAATTAACGTATAGACATATTTGATAAGACTGTGGATATACACATACAAAATCGAAAAAAGGAAATATAATAGTTAACTATAGTATATTATATTATAGTATAATTATAGAACCTAAACAGGCCAACTGTACCTGAAGGTGATGTCCTTGATGGGCAGCTTGTTGCATCTGATCCATTTGTCATTTTCTGGGTCGAACCTCTCGATCCAGTACCCAGTGATAGGACTGCCACCATCCTCATCAGGTTCATACCATGTCAGAGTCAGAGAGTCCTTAGCAATATCAGAGGGCTGCAATCTGGATGGAGCACCAGGAGGATCTAAAAGACAACAGCAACACATATATAATGTCATAATAGAACAGAGGACTATGTTTAATTAATTACAGCATATAAAGTATATTACATTGACAACATAAATGTAAGATAGTAGATAACGTACCAAAGGAGTATTTGGCAATGATTGGCACATGCTCATTAGGGGCGCCGATGCCGTACTGGTTCTCAGCCTGCACTCTGAAGACGTATTCCTTCAGAGGGGTGAGTTTGGTGGCATTGAAGGTGGTTTGTTTCACAGTGGATGACAGTTTGGTCCACTCCTCTTTTTCGAAGGGTCTGAGCTCCACGATGTAGTTGGTGACGACAGAACCTCCGTCGTCTCTGGGAGGGTTCCAGGCCAGGTAGCAGGAGTGGTTGGTGATCTCAGAGATATCAAACGCAGCTGGAGGACCAGGCTTATCTATTGGGTGACATTAACATATTGTTATGAACATACATTTTTTTAAATATGGAAGAACATTAAAATAAATATTGATTAATTGTTCCAAAGTTGTAAATTAATTATATTTTTTCAGATGTATTATATTGACATTCAGATGTGTTGGTCATTACTGAGACGTGGTTAAGAAAGAGTGTTTTGAACACTGATGTTAGCCTTTCTGGTTATAACCTTCTGGTGGTGGAGTGGCAATCTTTACCAAGGAACACCTTCAGTGCTCGGTTGTCTCCACCAAGTCTGTCCCCAAACAATTTGATTTGCTGGTTTTAAACATTCAACTTTCAAATAGCTATTTGTTGACTGTTGCTAGGTGTCATCGTCAACCATCAGCACTGGCCTGTACCCTACCTGCCCGAAACTCTCTCCTGGCCCGTTACACTAAGTCTGAATTTGTCCTGCTAGGTGACCTAAACTGGGACATGCTTAAACCACCTGACCAAGTCATAAAGCAATGGGACTCCCTAAATCCTTCTCAGATTATTACCAATCCCACAAGGTATGACTCCAAACACCCAGAATAGGCTACTCCTTGATGTTATCCTCACAAATAATCCTGATAGGTATCAGTCTGGCGTTTTCTGTAATGACCTTAGTGATCACTGTTTTACAGCCTGTGTTCGTAATGGCTGCTCAGTGAAACGGCCTGTCCTGATTTGTCATAGACGCTTGCTAGAAAACGTAAATGAGCAAGCAAGCCTTCCTTCATGACCTGGCCTCTGTAAATTGGTATAGAATCAGCTTGATCCCCTCTGTCGAAGACGCTTGGACCTTCTTTTTTTTATATTTTCTGTGGTATTGTTAACAAACACGCCCCCATAAAGACAAATAGATATAGTATTTTCTGGGGGGGGATTGTGTTTTTACCGCTTTTTCTCCCCAATTTCGTGATATCCAATTGGTAGTTACAGCCTTGTCCCATTGCTGCAACTCCCGTACGGACTCGGGAGAGGCGAAGGTCGAGAGCCATGCGTCCTCCAAAACACGACACCGCCAAGCCGCACTGCTTCTTGACACACTAATCGTTTAACCCGGAAGCCAGCCGAAGCCAGCCGAAGCCAGCGTGCATGCGCCCGGCCGCCACAAGGAGTCGCTAGAGCGCGATGGGACAAGGACATCCCAGCCGGCCAAACCCTCCACTAACCCGGACGACGCTGGGCCAATTGTGCGCCGCCTCATGGGTCTCCTGATCACGGCCGGCCGTGACACAGCCCGGGATTGAACACGGATCTGTAGTGACGCCTCTAGCACTGCGTTGCAGTGCCTTAGACCACTGCGCCACTCGGGAGGCCCCAAAGAAAATGAGAATTAATAACAGGTTCAGCCCCTGGTTCGACCATGATCTAGCAGAGTTACTCCACCTCAAGAATTCCATTTGGCGAAAGGCTGGGCACATTCATACTCAGGCTGACAGGCTCTCGTTCAGGCAAATTAGAAATAAGTGCACTCAGGCTATCCGGAAGGCCAAAGTTAGTTACTTTAAGGAGCAGTTCTCTCTCCGTGGGTCTAACCCCAAGAAGTTCTGGAAAACGTTAAAGACCTAGAGAATATACCCTCCTCCTCACAGCTCCCCATGTCCCTTAATGTTGATGATGTGGCTGAACTCTTTAATTACCACTTCATTAAATCAGGATTCCTATCACTTTGTTTCCAATTGATCCCAACAGAGCCTCCAGAGATTGAACTGGACGTGCCAAACTAACTGATTCAGATGAACTTCCTACCCATGCTAGATTACGGAGATGTAATTTATAGATCGGCAGGTAAGGGTGCTCTCGAGCAGCTAGATGTTCTTTACCATTCGGCTATCAGATTAGCCACCAATGCTCTTTATAGAACACATCACTGCACTCTATACTCCTCTGTAAACTGGTCATCTCTATATACCTGTCGCAAGACCCACTGGGTGATGCTTATTTATAAAACCATCTTAGGCCTCACTCCCCCCTATCTGAGATACCTACTGCAGCCCTCATCCTCCACATACAACACCCGTTCTGCCAGTCTAATTCTGTTAAAGGTCCCCAAAGCACACACATCCCTGGGTCACTCCTTTTTTTAGTTCGCTGCAGCTAGCGACTGGAACAAGCTGCAAAAAACACTCAAACTGGACAGTTTTATCTTCATCTCTTCATTCAAAGACTCAATCATGGACACTCTTACTGACAGTTGTGGCTGCTTCACGTGATGTATTGTTGTCTCTACCTTCTTGCCTTTGTGCTGTTGTCTGTGCCCAATAATGTTTGTACCATGTTTTGTGCTGATACCATGTTGTGCTGCTGCCATGTTGTGTTGCTACCATGTTGTCATGTGGTGTTGCTACCATGCTGTGTTGTCATGTGTTGCTGCCATGCTATGCTGTTGTCTTAGGTCTCTCTTTATGTAGTGTTGTGGTGTCTCTCTTGTCGTGATGTGTGTTTTGTCCTATATTTTTATTTTTTATTCCAGCCCCCGTCCCCGCAGGAGGCCTTTTGCCTTTTAGTAGGCCGTCATTGTAAATAAGAATTTGTTCTTAACTGACTTGCCTAGTTAAATAAAGGTTAAATAAAAAAATTAAATAAAAAAATTAAATAGGGGAAAAAATATATCGTACCAAGAATGTTGACATCAACAGTTGCGGTAGCACGACCACTGCTGTTGACTGCCTCAATGATGTAGGTAGATGTGTCTTCTCTGACGGTTTTGGCGAAAGACAAAGTGGAGTTTCCCGTCTTGGTATTGATGGTGATGCGATCATCTCCCTTCAGGACCAGGTCAGCCTTGGTCCATTTTACCTTGGGTTCGGGCTTTCCAACAATATCAGCTGGAAGCTCAATCTTGGTTCCGGCTCTGGCTGTCAAACCAGCCAGCAACTTCACGTCCAGTTGAATCTCTGGAGGCTCTGTTGGGATCAATTGGAAACAAAGTGAGATTTCTGCAACAAACCAATGAGAGTTTGTAACTCAGGACACGTGTCTTTAGGTTTCAGAAAATAGCTATGTAAATCCTACGTATTATTATCATGATTATATACATTACCTTTAGGATCAACAGCCAGGATCTCATCTGTAGCCCTGCAGGGATTGCTGGCTCCCAGCCTGTTGACGGCCCTCACACGGTAGGCATACCACTGTCCCTCAATCAGACCTGTCACCTGGAATCTAAAGGGAACCAACAATCCAGTTAAACTGAGAAAATACGTATTCTCCCTTCCATTGTTAATAGAACATGATTAACTGTCAGTTTTAGTATTATTTAGTCACTGAAAAGATTCAGCATGGGGTTCAATTGCAAATTAAACACACTTCTGAAATAAATAAAAACTATCAGGAAATGTACATTATCCAGAAATCTAAATCTGATTGAATCTCAGGCTTAGTACAACACTAATTTAGAGTAACAATGATAGAGATTAGGATCTTACTTCAGCTCAGGCAGTGGGTCTCCACATGGCTCCCACTTGTCTGTGCCACGCTGGCATTTGTCTACAACGTAGCTCTTGATTGACGCTCCGCCGTCGTACTTGGGTGGCTCCCAGTACAGGAAGATGCCCTTTCCTGACTTGTCTCTCCATTTCAGGTTCTCAGGTGGATCCGGCACAGCTGTGAACAAACACATGGTTTACATTTTCCGATCGTGGTAGAGATTGTGTATGATTTAGTTTAAGTGTACAAAAACATTTGTTACTGTTATCAGTCTCTGAGAAGAATAAGTACTCACTGGCAGGGGAGGACACGTTGACTGGCTCGTCAATGTAGGCAGGCTCTCCTGGGCCACACTTGTTGATAGCAGTAACACTGAACAAATACTCTTTGCCTTCAATGACATCTGCCACAGTGAACTCCAGGTCCTGTACACCCATGCAAACCTGAAAAAGTAATCACAATATAAGTTAGTGATAGGATGAATGGAGAGCATATACATATAGACACATTTATTCCTTAGTGGTTATGGTTATAGGAACACTAATTTGTAATTCCAAGTGTACTCATAAGATATACCTTGACCCAGGTCTTGCGGGACACTTCCTTCTTTTCAATTTGGTAGCCAATAACTGGGCTTCCTCCGTCATGCTCTGGTGCCTCCCACATCAGGTGCACATGGTGTCTTGTCACCTCGGAAACCTTGAAGTCTTTGGGTGCACTTGGGGATGCTAAACAAAAATAGCAAATAATTAGTAAATACTGCCAGTTCTACAACATGGTGAGAGGGCTGTAACATATTATTTAAGTTGGTAACATGAAGACTAGTTGTTTTTTCATCACAAGGGTATCACTTACCAATAACATTTACTTCAATTTCTCCAAAGGCACTGGTAACATCATTCTCCAGGTGCAGAGTGTATGTGCCTTTGTCTGGACGCACACTTGGAGCAACTGTCAGTTCTGTGTAGGTGCTTCTTGTAACCATGGACACACGGTCACCAGCAGTGAGCTCTTTATCACCACAGCTCCACTTGGCGGTGGGTGTGGGATATCCAAGAAGAGGGACGCGGATAACAAGTGGATGAGGAACAATGACCTCCAGGCCATCCTTAAATCCACTGAGATCCATGGAAGGTCCAACTAAAACGAAAAAAAAACTATGTTTACAACCACATTACATGTTTGGATTTTGTATTTATTTTTTAAACCAAATTAAGTTCTAGTATCTGTTTTCTCAGTTTTAAGTTAACGTTGAATAACAACACACCATGACAATCGTCTGCCAAGAGCGGTCCAAGCTTATCAGCTGGATCTGAAACTCCGGCTGCGTTCTCTGCGCACACTCTGTAGTGGTACTTCATCCCCTGCTTCAGTCCAGATACCTAGGACAACAACAAAAGTCAATCAGTACAATGTAATGAGGCAGGGGAATCAATACAAATGACAATACAAATTGAACAGACTGGGAACAAGCAAATTTCACTGCTTGAAAAAAGAAAGTGGCAAATACCTTGTAGTTAAGGTCCTGACAGAGCCTGGCATTGCATCTGAGCCACTTGTCTGTTCCATCCTCACACTTCTGAATAATGTAGCCAGTGATCATGCTTCCTCCATTGCTGGCGGGGGTCTCCCATGTCAGCTGGACAGAGTTCTTGGTCTGGTCAGTGTAGTTGAAGTTCAATGGTGGGCTTGGTTTCTCTGTAATAGGAATGAATATTAATTTAAAAGTGTTCATTACATTTACATCATTTAGCAGACGCTCTTATCCAGAGCGACTGTTATCTATGCCACATAAACATTTTCAGTAGGTCAGAACAACATTATCTTGACTCACCAATGGGGTCCATGATCTTAACTGGATCGGTGGCAGCACTTGGTTTGCCAATGCCAGCCTTGTTTTCGGCTTTGACACGGAAGATGTATTCCTTATTCTCAACGACATCAGTGAGAGTGACTGTGCGGTCCTGAGCCTTGGCGATCATAGCCACCTCCCAGCTCACAGAGGTCCTGTCACGGAACTCAATGATGTAGGAGGTGATGTCAGATCCGCCATCAGACTTTGGTTTTTCCCAGGAGATGGTGGCTCCAAACCTGTTCACGATGCCAACCACAACGTCCTCAGGTGCCTCTGGCACATCTGAAGTAAAAACAGAGAGAAAGTTTTTTTTTAAAGCTGGTTATTTGTTATGCTTTTGATGCTATAATGGTCATAGGACATCACAGTACAGTTGTACTTAGTATTGAGAAAATTCATGCATTTGTAGATGTCAAGTATTGCTTACCAAACTTATTCTTGGCCTGGACAGCTTCGTCTGTCTCCACAGTGGGGCCACTGCCCACTCTGTTACGAGCACATACTCTGAAGAGGTACTTGTTGTCCCTCTGGAGACCGCTAACAGAGTATTCTGGAGCGTCAGCCCGGTCAGTGGCAAGAGTCCATGTCTTGCGCTTGATGTCACGCCTCTCCACCACGTATGCAACGATCTTGCTGCCACCATCACTCTCTGGCTCTTCCCAGGCCAGGCTGACCTCACCATCGGCGGTGTCAACCACTTTGAGGTTCTTCACAGGTCCAGGGACATCTAGAGATCACAAAAACATTAATGACCAAATTGTCAAGCATCCTGAAATATCTTACTACTGTAATCCATTAGATGATTTTCAAAAAGAGTAGCACCATGACAGTCCTAGACTTACCGATAACATCCAGATTGATGAATGCCTCTCCCTGTCCGTGTTTGTTCTTGATGACGATCTTGTACCTGCCCTGATCTGTCTTCTTGGGGCTCTTCAGCCTGTACTCTGTCTTGTCTGCGGAGGTGTCAATGTTCTGCACTGGCAGGCTAACGGTGTTGAAGAACCACTCAGCCTCTGCACGAGGATAGGCATCGTAGGGGATCGCCATGACGAAAGGCTTTCCAGCGTCTGTGACCAGGTTCTGATCAGTAGTCTTGATCTTTGGCACAGCTGTGATGGAAAATTACAAGTGTGAATACAAAACAACCGTTTACACAGAGAAGTGTTCAAGAGTTCAGGATGGTGACTCTGACATACCTGCCAGTTCCAGCTTGGCTCTGGCATCCTTCTCCTTGGCAACGACTCTGTACTCTCCCTGGTCACGAGGCCTGACCTCACACACCTGGAGTCTGTGGACCTTGCCCTCGCTCATCATCTGGTATTTGTCACCCTGGACGATGATCATGTTGTTCCTCATCCATTTGACCTCAACTCTGTCTTTGTTGAGCTCCACCTCGAACACAATATCTGAGCCTGGAGGCTCAAACACATCCTGAGGTGGTCTGACGATCTCAACTGGGGTCTCTGTGAGAAAGAACAACTTAATATGTCAGGATAACGAATCTCCCAAAGCTGTGATTGTGTATTAGAAAGTATTAGAAAATGAACTTACCTTCAACAAAGAGGCGGGCCCTGGATCGCCTGTCTTCCACGCTGCAGGCATATTCACACTCGTCGTCTGGTCTGCACTTCTTGATCTTGAGTTTGCAAATCCTGCCATCTTTCTCAAACGAGTATCTGTCAAAACATAAGCAAGATCACTTTTTCAGACCTTTCTGTTCAATTCTTATCAATTCTTATTCAACCTTATCAATACACAACCATTCAGTCAATGGGAAATTTGTACCTGGGTCCCTCTCTGATCTCACGACCATTCCTGTACCATTTAACGGCAGCCTTCTCTTTAGACAGCTTGCAAGTAAACTCAGCATCCTCAAACTCAGTGATTGTCTGGTCTTTGAGTGGTGTGGAGAAGTCAGTGGGAGCTTCGTTGAGGATCAGCTCGGCAGTGCACTTGTCATCACCAGCCATGGCGGTGTATTCACCCTCATCGTCCATGACGCAGTCCTTGATGGTTAGTGTGTGCTTATCTTTCTCCATACGGTACATGATGCGTTTGCTCATGGTGATCTCCTGACCAGCCTTCATCCATTTGATGGTGATATCAGGTCTGTTCACCTTGCAAGTGAAGCTGATGGTCTTCTTCTCTTGTGTCTCACAGTCCTCAAGAGGCTCAATAATCTTGAGCTTCTCCTCTGTGAATTCACATGATAGACAAGTTAGTTCATCAATAACATCTTACAGCATTTGTATCCAGCAAAATTAAATATGTTACTGTATTTACCTTGTACTTTGGCATTGGCATCGCTCTTGGCATGTTCACCACGGTGATTTGTCAATGTAATAGTATAAGTGGCTTCATCTGCCTTCTGAGCACCCTTGATCCTCAGAGAGAACACGTTGTCTTTCTGGATCATGACGAACTTGCTGCTCTCAAACATGGTCTCCTCATTCTTCAGCCACTTAGCTTTAGCTCCCTCAGTATTCACCTCACAGTTGAATACAATCTCCTGTCCTTCCTTCACTTGCGAATCCTTGATGGGTGTGATGATTCTGAGTTTCTCTGTTGAAAGAAAAATAACAGTGTCAGCATATCTATCGTTTTCTATTAGACACAGGAGACAGCAATAAACAAATTACGCAGTATTTTTACAAGTACCCACCAATGACAAACAAGTCAGCTGAGGCTTTGGTAGTGCCAATGAAGGCGACATAGCCTCCTTCATCATTTGGTGTACAATTCTTCACTATCAGTGCTCTTCTCTTGCCATCACAGACAACGTCATACTTGTCTCCAGATACAATCTCCTTGTCACCCTTGAGCCATTTGACTTCATAGGTGTCTTTGGAGACTGAGCAGACAAACTCAGCCTTTTCTCCCTCAACCACCTCGAGACTCTGAGGCCTGGCAATGAACTCAGCAGCCAGTTCTAGAAGATCAGAAAAAGCAAGATGAGTGGAGATGCATATAAATTGTACCAGCACCTTAACCTGAACTCAAACATATGCACATCATTTATATACTTTTAAGAATGTATATGTTTTCAATATACAGCTCATATCTGATTTCTTTACCATTCAGTTTCAGTGTTGCAGATGTCTTGGCGTTATGCAGTCTGCAGTTATACTCTCCAGCGTCCTCCATCTTGAGATCTTGGATAATGAAGATTCTCTTCCTTCCATCCATGACCTGTTCATATCTTCCTCCCTCTGGCAATTCCTGGTCTCCCTTCCACCAGGTGACCTCAGCGCTGACCTTTGACACTTCACAAATCATCTTCACACTGTCTGTTTCTGTTCCCTCCACGTTAGACAGGTTCTTGGTAAACTTAGCCTCTTCCTCTGCAAGGAGAAGATATTGTGACCAGTAAAATCAGTAGTTGATGGTATAGATATGAACCTCGTAGTAACTGAGAATAAAAACAAAGCCTTACCAATAACTGTCAGCATGCCAGAAGACTTGGAGGTCTTAGCGTCACATTCGTACTCTGCTTCATCATCGAAGACTGTCTTGGTGACCACAAGGATACGCTTGACACCATTGGCAATGATCTCGTATTTCTTTCCCTTTCTGATCTCGCTGCCATCCTTGTACCATTTGACCTGTTTGAACAGACAACAATATATCATCAGACTTCTTGTGCATGTAAACCAATGTTAATTAATTCCTCTGTTTTTTTGATTATTTTAAAGTATTTTCATTCATAATCACTTACCTTGGCATTCTCACGGGACACCTCACACTCAAATCTGGCATTTTCCCTTTCTTTGACCTCAACATCATGGAGTGGCTTAGAGAAGTCAACATGTGGAGCTGTAAGCAAAAAATATTCTGCTTGCAAATTCTGTTCATTTGCAATATTTATTTTTGTTGAATCATCATTTTACTTACGTTCAACATTCAGGAAAGCAGAGGTTTTGAATTCTTTAGCATCGCATGTATATGTCTTTGAGTCATCTAGAGTACAGCCATGAATGACGAGTCTTCTCTTTCGGCCATCAACAATAAGGTCATATTTCTTAGTTTTGCGGATCTCCTGTGTGTCTCTGAACCACCTGACCTCAGCGTTTTCCCTGGAGACTTCACACTCCAAAGTAGCAGTGGCCTCTTCCTCAACTGTCTGGTCCTCCAGAGGTTTGGTGAACTCAACTGGTGGCTCTGTAAAGCAGGAGACCATTATATTAGTTGTAATATAGTGCCTTCAGAAAGTATTCATACCACTTTACTTATTCCACATTTTGTTGTGTTACAACATGAATTTAAAATTGATTAAATATATGTTTTTCTCAACCATCTGCACACAATAACCCATAATGACAAAGTGAAAACATGTTTTTAGAATTTTTTGCATTTGTTTTGAAAATAAAATACAGAAATATCTAATTTACATAAGTATTCACAACCCTGAGTCAATACATGCTAGAATCACCTTTGGCGGCGATTACAGCTGTGAGTCTTTCTGGTAAGTCTCTAAGAGTTTTGCACACCTGGATTGTACAATATTTGCACATTATTATTTGTTAAATTCCTCAAGCTCTGTCAAGTTGGTTGTTGATCATTGCTAGACAGCCATTTTCAAGTCTTGCCATAGATTTTCAAGCCGATTTAAGTCAGAACTGTAACTAGGCCACTCAGGAACATTCAATGTCGTCTTGGTAAGCAACTCCAGTTTATATTTGGCCTTGTGTTTTAGGTTATTGTCCTGCTGAAAGGTGAATTTGTCTCCTAGTGTCTGTTGGAAAGCAGACTGAACCAGGTTTTCCTCTAGGATTTTGCCTATGCTTAGCTCTATTCCTTTTCATCCTGAAAAACTCCCTAGTCCTTGCTCATGACAAGCATACCCATACCATGATGCAGCCACCACCATGCTTGAAAATATGAAGAGTGGTACTCAGTGATGCGTTGTGTTGCATTTGCCCCAAACATAACGCTTTGTATTCAGGACATAAAGTGTATTTCTTTGCCATATTGTTTGCAGTTTTACTTTAGTGCCTTATTGCAAACAGGATGTATGTTTTGGAATATTTATATTCAGTACAGTCTTCCTTCTTTTCACTCTGTCATTTAGGTTAATATTGTGGAGTAACTACAATGTTGTTGATCCATCCTCAGTTTTCTCCTATCACAGCCATTAAACTCTGTAACTGTTTTAAAGTCACCATTGGCCTCATGGTGAAATCCCTGAGCGGTTTCCTTCCTCTCCGGCAACTGAGTGAGGAAGGACGGCTGTATCTTTGTAGTGACTGGGTGTATTGATAGACCATCCAAAGTGTAGTTAATAACTTCACCATGCTCAAAGGGATACTCAATGTCTGCTTTTTTTTTTTTCAATAGGTGCCCTTCTTTGTGAGGCATTGGAAAACCTCCCTGGTCTTTGTGATTGAATCTGTGTTTGAAATTCACTGCTCGACTGAGGGACCTTACAGATAATTTTATGTGTGGGATACAGAGATGAAGTAGTCATTCAAAAATCATGTTAAACACTATTATTGCAGACAGAGTGAGTCCATGCAATTTATAATGTGACTTGTTAAGCCATTTTTACTCCTGAACTTATCTAGGCTTGCCATAACAAAGGGGTTGAATACTTATTGACTCAAGACATTTCAGCTTTTCATTTTTAATTAATTTGTAATAATTTCGAAAAAAACAAACATAATTCCACTTTGACATTATGGGGTATTGTGTGTAGGCCAGTGACACAACATCTCAATTTAATCAATTTTAAATTCAGGCCGTAACACAATAAAATGTAGGAAAAAATCAAGGAGTGTGAATACTTTCTGAAGGCACTGTAGATAAATTAATTGCACCCACACTTATCTAGTTGATCCGCTTCCATTTGAAAAGATCTGCATATCATGCTTAACTAGACAAACAAATGTGTGCTAACATGTTTAATAACAAGGACCTCTCAGTTTCAGCAAGAGAGCTCTAGTGGTATGTCAGATAATCTCCATAATGATTAAACAGATATAACCTACCCCTGACAATGAGTTTGGCCTGGGTCTTGAAGTATTTTGCAGTGAGCCTGACTTCCCCAGCCTCTGTCAGCTTGACATTTCTGATAGTCAGGCTGTGTCCTCTGCCTTCTGCTCTGGTGACCACCTGAGGAAATAAAACAGTTTAGTTAGTACGTAAGCCTTGTCTGAGCCAGAACGGCCCATAGGGCAGGAGTCCATCTCCTGTGTCTGTAGATTGAAGCAGCTTTAAGTACACCACCTGGACACCAGTCAAACAGATTGATAACGCCTGATTAATTGTCTTGATTACATACATGTAACATGTTGTTAATTACATATTTTACATTTAAAACATACAGCTATGAAATATCACAGTGAAAGAGCAACACTTGGGTGGTGCACCAACTCTTGAAGCAGTTAAAAATAACTCAAGCAACGCTCACAGGAAAGAACAGTAACATGTTATCTCGCCACAGATAGTGCTGCACAATGACCTAAAGTGTCTACATCCTTATATGTATAAAATATGTTGGTGACAAAAATATGTACTTTTATTTCAGTTGTGATTATTATGAGTGAGGTAGGTGGGTTTTGAAGATATGTTATTATAATATAAAACATAGTTTAAAACCATATCAGTTGTAGAGCCGAAGGTAGAAACAAAACAAAAAAATCTCAACAATATATTAAAATCTAGATAAACAATCACAATACATCAAAACATGACCTACTAATGCAAAACATAGACATTAAGCAGATTAAGCAAATTTAAAGCTATCTTGGTCTTTAGCTTGGTAGGTCTTTATTTGTGTTTTAAATGAGGAAATGGAAGCTGCCTCCTTGACATGTGCAGGTAGAGTTACAAAGTCAATTATTAAGTATTGTAAAGTATTATACAGTAGTTTATGTGAATGTAAGTTGTACTGTACTTACCCTATCACTATGCTGTAAAGATGTGGAAAATATTTACTTAAAGTGATTGTTATGACTGCGGTAGTCATATCAATTTATTGGAAAAGAAATAAAGGGCTGAATAATATTGTAATATTTGTAAAGTCAATTATAAAGTATTGTAAAGTTGAATTTGCATACATCAATTCATAAAGAATATCTGCTTATGATTATACAGCAGTTTATGTGAATGTATATTCTGCAGTACTTACCCTTTCACCTAGCTCCATCTTGGTGCTTCCCAAGAACCATTCTACAGCGATTCCTTCATAAGTAAGTTCACAGTCGAAGGTGGCGGTCTCTCCGGCAGTAACAGTAACATCCTTGAGAGGCCGCATAAGCCCGATACTCCGCGCTTCAGATTGAGGAGAAGACATGGTTAGTTGACTGACTCATAAGAAAAAAGTCCTTATTTTACCAGACATCTTTGTATTCCAATTCTTAACAGGCAGATTCTCTTTGGGTCCCTAAACCACCAGGACAACTAAGGGCTCGAGGTAAAACTTGAGTTATCATGGACTGGCCTAGTTATTTGCATTTAGAGTGTCTTTGCACTGTGAATGTTGTAGCTCTACCAATCACAATCACTGACCACCCACTCTAGATAAGGCATGGGGCTTCTAAAATAGCCACAACACCTGATTGGACAGCAGCTCTCCCTTGCTGAGCTTTAGTATCTTTTGCCGTCAAGTCAACTAGCAAAATGGTGGAGTGCAACTTGCACTACCAAAATGTACTACTTGCCATACAAAAAGTTACTTGTCAGAGAAAAGCTATAATATTTAGTCAAAACTAAACTGTTTGTGTGTATGTTGTGTTATAAGATTATCACCTTTAACTCTAAGCTGAGCATTGGATTTAGCATTGGCAGCCTGGAAGTCGACACCTCCGGCCTGATCCATGCGAACGTTGTATAGGATAAGGACATGCTTTGTACCCTCCTCCTTAATCTCACAGTCCTGAAAACACAGATCACAGAAACATCAGTCACTACACGATACAACCAAATAAATGGTCTTGTTTACATAGGATATTTCAAATAAAGCAAATCCGTAATTTCAGTCAATACCACTTACAGGAGACTGATGAAGGGCCTCTCCTTTGAGTTTCCAGTGACCATGGACATCCTCGGCAGAGATCTCGGTCTCAAACTTGGCAATTTCAGTTTCTGTCACTTCCACGCTGTACAGTGGACGGACAACCTTAATATCACGCTCCTCAATGTCCAGCCTGGCTGTGGTTTTGTCAGAACCACAATCGCAGGTGTACTCTCCAATGTTGCCCTTCTCTGCTTTCTTCACTGTCAGCATACGCCTCTTTCCATCGGTTTTAATGATCAGATTCTTGCTAGGCATGATCTCCTGGCCGTCCTTGAACCATTTCACCTCAGCAGAGGTCTTGCTAAGTTCACAAACCAGCATCACTTCGTCCTTCTCAACGGCAGTGTAGTCTTGCAGTTTTGTGACGAAGTAAGGTTCTCCCTCTGTCAAGCACAAAGAAGAAATTATGAGGAAATGTAAAGTTATGTTTAACTGCAGGCTTTATGTGAATTAAATGACCCAAATTAAATGACACTACAGTTCAAATCAATAGCTTACCAAGAACAGTGAGCATGGCCTCAGAGCTCTTGCCCAAGGCTTCAACTTTGATCATGGATGTGTCATCAATGGACACCTGCTTGAAGGTCAAGGTGTGCATTTTGCCATTGTCTGACATGTGCACAACCTTGCTGGGGTGCAGACGCACGTCGTTCTTGTACCAGACGACCGAGATCTTGTCATGTGACAGTTCAATACTGAACTCTGCTGTTTCACGCTCCTTGACTGTGACATCCTTGATGGGCTTGACAAACTCAAGGCGTATACCTTATAACAAATAAATCACAATTTCATTAATACAATCTCAAATATTTGTCTTTATTTATGATTTAATTATATAAAAACTTCCATGATCTCAGTAATTACCTTGGATAACTAGTTTTCCTGTGGTCCTCTTGTCCTCAGCCTCAAATATGTATTTAGCTTCATCCTCATATGCAGCCTTTTTGACCACAAGAGTGTGTATCTTTCCCTCATGGATAATCTCAAACTTGTCATCATTTTCCAACTCCTGAGATCCCTTGAGCCAACGGAAGGTCTTGGTTGGTCTTGAAATCTCAACCTCAAATCTTCCCTCATCTTTCTCATACACTTGCACATCACTCAAAGGTGTGATAAAGGTCAGTGGCAGTTCTGGAATTAAAAAAATTGCCAAAATATTATAGTAGATTGAATATCAGTAGTTGTATTATGTCAATGGTGAAAATGTGAATATAGAGTAAAAATGAGAAAATAGATCAGAAATATAAATGTTACCTTTCACTTTCAGGTTGGCTGTACACTTCGCATTGGCAGCTGTGAATCCAACCTCTCCTGTCTGGGAGACCTTGCAGTTGTACAATGTCAAAGTGTGCTTAGCACCATCCTCAATGATTTCAATATCTGGGGAAGGTGAAAGTGTTTCTCCCTTCAGTTTCCACTGGCCATGGACATCATCTTCAGAGATTTCCACTTCAAAACGAGCGGTCTCGCCATCGAAGAGCTCAACACCATACATTGGCCGAGATACCTTGATATCACGAGCTGCAATTGAAGAGGGAAAATAAGGTAATTAATAGAATCAAGAAAACAAAAACAATCTTTACTATTCGATTTTGTGATTGTAAAAATGTATTGACTTACCTTCAATGCTAATGGTTGCCATGGTCTTGTCCGTACCACAATCACATAGGTATTGTCCCTTATCTTTTCCTTCCACTTTCTTGATGGACAACATTCTTTTGTTGCCCTCAGCCCTCATGGTTACCATCTTAGAGGCCTTAATTTCAGTCTCATTATGGTACCACCTCACAGAGACATCTTTGCTGAGTTCACAGTCCAGAGTGACCTCGTCCTTCTCGACTGCGGTGAAATCCTGCAACTTCACTGTGAAGTGGGCGTCACCCTCTGGAACAGGAAAAGGTTTAATCAATTGCTGTAGATCAAATAACAATAACACTCTCGAATGATGCCTTCTCTCCATGTTGCATAGCATAGAAGAACGATGTAGAAAACAAGAGATGAACAAAGAGCCATGAAGAGAAGGAAGAGCATGAAAGAAAGAGGTACAGAGTAGGGTTTACCTAGCACCGTCAAGTTTGCTGTTGAGGGAATTCCTTTAGCCTCTGCCTTAATCTGGCAGGTATCATCTAGGGTCAACTCCTTGATTTCTAAGGTGTGTTTCTTTCCTTCAAAATGGATGAGCACGGTCCTGCTCACATGGAGTTTGATTTCATTTTTGTACCATGTCAGGGGTACCTTCTCATGAGAGAGCTCAACCTCAAACCGAGCTGTTTCACCTTCCTTGGTAGTTTGGTCCTTTAGTGGTGTTACGAATTTGAGCCTCATACCTATAATATATTAGTTGAGTGCATAACAGTGTTACTGTCTTTGCCCACTTAACAGTCTTGTTGCCCAGTAAGATAATTAATCAATAAAGAATTAAGATGACAACATACTAAAAACAGCTTATATCTAACAAAAAGTCAGATCAAAGATTCAGCACCATGTAAAACAGAAGCGTTAACTGAGAATCGTTTCAGCCGGTACTTACCCTCCACAGTCAACTGGGCTGTTGACTTTTTGCCCAAGACTTCAATAGTGTATTGTCCCTCATCATCAAATTCACAGTTGTTTATGACCAATATATGTTTCTTTCCATCATCAATAATGTCATATTTATCGCCTGTCGACAGGATGTCTGACCCCTTTAACCACATGACTTTAGGCACATCCCTTGTGATAGTACACTCAAACGTAGCCTGTTTCTTTTCAGGTACAGACACATCCTTCAAGGGGACTGTGAAGTCCATTTCCATTTCTAGGAGGTACGAATAAGGATTAAGTATGAATGACAGCATTATCGATCTTCCTTAGGATCACAGAGACATTACGAACACATACAGTATATGACAGTATATATTGTTAATTTTTGACACTTTCTTACCTGTGACTGTGAGCACCCCACTCGTGATAGCATTCAGAGCTTGATAAGACACTTCACCACACTGGTCAAGCTGAACATTTTTCAGAGTGAGGAAACGTTTCTGGCCCTCAGATTTGATTTCAACCATCTAAAAATGTAAATACAATTTGAACAAAAGTGTAAATACATCAACATTTAAACAAGTACTGCATATTTCCAATCATTATGGTTAGAATCCAGAAAAATATTACAGTCAAATTATAGGTCTTACCGGTGATCTTTGCAGGACTTGCCCTTTAAGTTTCCATTCTCCAGCCACATCCTCTTCAGATATTTCAGTTTCAAACGTAACCTCATCTTTCTCAACAACCTCCATACTGGAGATAGGCTTCAAGATCTGAGCTTCACGTTCTGTAAAAGTATCAAAAGGATTCACTTCATGTAGATAGCCTTAGGGGACATAACATACAAGTGCAGACCGTAACATAACAAAGAATGTACGTAACATAACATAGAATGTGCAACCAACCTCCAAGAGTCAGGTTAGCTGTGTATCTGCGGCCTTCAACCTCCATGGCATATTGCCCAATATCATCAGGTGATGCTTTCTTAACTGTGAGAGTCAGTTCTTTGCCTTCTTTCTTGACCTCAATCTTGTCAGTGGGATCATTAGGAATCTCCTTGTCGCCATGGAACCACTTCCAGTTAGGGGTTTCTTTGAAGAGCTCACACTTGAAAGTGGCAGTGGCCTTGGGTTTCACATGCTGATCTCTCAATGGTTTCACCAACCAGTCTCTGACAATTTCTGTAAAATAAAAATAAAAATATATTGAAAGAATGGCTCCTTCTCAGGTAGCCAAGACACAACAAACATAAGAAGACAGGCACTGGACTACAACCCACATATAAAAACAAAGAAGGGAAAGCCAAAGACCAACTAGAGATGGTCCACATTAACTGAATAAAGTGGGGGTCTCCTGGCAAGAGGCAAAAGCCCTCACACAGAAAAGAGTGAGGTGGAGACCTACAGTGGACCTCTTATGCTCCCAAGGGGGGGGGGGGGGGATACATTATGTAGAATGGTTAATATGAATTGCTACTAAAATAATTAGTGCATTTGTTTACTAACAAATATAGATATTCTGTACATACCAATGATTTTGACATCTGTTTTAGTCCTGATGTCATCACACTCGCAAGCGTAAATGCCAGCGTCGTCATCTCCTGTATCCTGGATTGTAACGGCATGCTGCATTCCAATGATATTGATGGCCACTTTTCCTGGGATGTTTTTAAGAGGCACACCACTCTTCTTCCAGACCACATCTCTCTCTTTGTTCAACTCACAGGTCAGGTACATAGGCTGACCCTTGAGGACCGACATACCATCCTCTTCCAGAGTCTTTACCCACTTCACAGGCAATTCTATGAGGAAAGAAAGTCATATTCTAAAAGCTTACATTACATATTACTTATCTTTAAGTAATCAAAGAGGTTGTAAAGAAGTAAAGAGGTTCGTTACACAAAACAAATATGTATGGACTTGGAATAAGTACCTTCTACTATCAGTTTGGCGGTTGTTGTCTTTTCCTTGTTGCCCAGCTTGGCAACACAAGTATATTCACCAGTGTCAGAAACTTGCACATCAATGATTAGCAGTTTGCGATCTTTGCCATCAGAGTAGAACTTGTGTTTTGGGCTCTCTCTTATGTTGGCGCCATCTTTCATCCATGTAGTAATTGCAGTAGAAGGCGAAACCTCACACTCAAACGTAGCAGAAGCGCCGACTGATTCAGCCTCCTGTAACACTATGTCTTTGAGTGGTCTCGTAAACTTCAGCGGAACTGCTTTGAGCTGGAATCCAAAAGGATTAGCATCTGGGGGTTTGTCTCCTCCAGCACCGGGTTTCAGTCCTCTACCCCTGCCACCACCAGGTGAGGGGGTTTGCTTAGCTGAAATTGGAAAAATGTAAATGCATGATAAGTTGAACAACACTACTTTTGCTAAGACGTTTTGTTTTATTTTTAAGAACTGTATTTTTTTCAGTACATGGACATTAACATACAACAACGATAGAAACCTCTCATGGACATGTTGCCAAGGGCAAAAAACAAGTGGCCTTACCGTATTTCCCAAAGAGGATGAAGAGTATTAAGCAAGTTAACAACACGATAAAACACTACTATATGGACTATACAGACGTAATATACGGACTCAAACATTCAAGCACGTTTAACATTTAAACAAAATACATAGTTTTCATATTCAATAAGATAAGATTGATATGATTACAAAAACCCATATAAGGATATAGATTAAAGTCATGATATGTCTTTATCACACACATATTACCAACATGCATGTTTTTGTTTATTCTCACCTTGAATGCCTCTACCTCTACCTCTACCAGCAGCTTCCTCTTTTGGTTTCCCATCTGAGTAAAGACAATTGTATGACTTTCTCATTAAGAAATAAAATATATGACTACAACTGGCAAAATGGTTGGATATTACACAGAACACTGTGAAAGATGTGAAAGATGAATGGATACAAAATCGAGCACCATGGGCAAGATTATTGGACATGAGAAGATGGCATGGACATAGAGAATTGAACAAAATGCCAGAAATTGACATGGAGAGCTTGAACACGCTGTAATGGATGTGTACAAGACAATGGAGACAAATGTTGGTACAGATAGACAATGGACACAAATGACTGACTTTGATACCTGGACTACACAAAATGAAGACATTAAGATGAGAAGATGAAAACATTAAGATGGACATGGTTGGACAACACAGAGTGAGGACATGGACATGGTTGGACAACAAGGAGTGAGGACATGGACATGGTTGGACTACACAGAATGAGGACAAGACGTGAGATAAAAAAGATGGACATGGATGGAGATAATGAAAGATGGATGGCTAGATTAATGGATGAATGGAGGATGGATCAGGTGAGACACTTCTTGAGCCATCAGTGGTACATTTCAGCAGCCATAATCTCACCTCTGCTGGCACCTGGCATTCCAGGGGTCTCACGAGCATCACCTTCCAAAGGTTCCTCTCCCCAGTCTTCTGTGGATCCAGAACTATCTCGGGGGACAAGTTCCCATCCCCAACCTTCATTGTCAGATTCCAGCTCCTCCTCTGGCTCCTCCTCAAAGACTTCCTCCTCCAGCTGAGTCGAAATCTTTCGTAACTGTACAGGGGACAGCTCTTTCATTGCTGACACCTTCTCTTTAACAGTTTGATGTGGTGCCTCCTCTTCTGGTGATATTTTCTTTGGAACCTTTTTTAGGGTAACACCTTCAAATGAATCTTTAGGTGAAACCTGTCTAGGCAGCCTTTTGGTCCTTTCTGCACTAGGCTTCCTCTCCATAGTAATTTTCTCAATTTCTTTTGGCTTTGGTTTTTCAACCCTAGGTGAAGGAGTCTTTTTCAGTTCCACCATTTTCTTAAGTGTCTCTTCATGCTTTAAGGGGTTGTCTTTTTCTTCGTCCTCTGGTTCTTTTGGCACAAGCTCCACCTTTTTTAACTGTACTGGCTTGTCCTCTTGAGGACTCTTTTCAATTTTCTTTACAGGTACTGGTTTTGGAGGACTTGGCTTTTGTTGAGTTTTTTCAACCTCTTTCTTCTTCTCAGGCTCCTTCTCAGGCTTCACAGCTTCAGCTTTTGGTGACTTAGAAAATGGCTTCAATTTAACTTCTTCCTTCTCTTGCTCCAGTGGAGGAATTCTCTTCACCTTTGTCAGTGTTTTGTCAGACTCTTCGACTTGTTCACCTTCAGGAACTTTGGCCACTGGTTTAGATCTGTCTACCTGTGGCTCTTTCGTATCCTTTGAGATGGCTTCAGGTTTCTTCATAGGAGCAGAAACAGATTCTTTAAATGCTTCATCTCTTTGTGGTCTCTCACTTCTATCGTAATCAGCTCTGGATTCACTGTCTTTCTTGTCTTTCACTGGCTCAACAGTTCCCGGTTTAGCAGGTTTTTCAAATGGTTTTAGCTTGACAGTTTCTTGCTCTTTCTCCTCTGATGGCAATTTCGATACCTTCTTTAGAGATAAACTAGGTTGGTCAGGTGATTCTTCCTTCAGCAACTTTGGTGTTTTCTTCAAACCCATCTTCTCCTCTACTTGGACATCTTTGGGAACCTTTTGGGATTTTTTCAGGTGAGCTAATGTATCCTCAGTAGAATATTTTGATTCAACTTCTTCAGGTTTGTGAAACGCCACCTGTTCAGATGGCTTCTTATCGTATACTGAGGTTCTCTCAGCTATTTCTGTTGTTTCAAACATAAACTCCTTTCTATCGTAACTTTCAGCAACTATGGTCCTTGAGGCTACCTGAGTCGGAACCTCTGGTTCTATTATCCCTTCTTCTGAAGGTATCTGTGGAACCTTTTTCAGCTTAATGATATCCTGCTCTTCCTCAGTGTCCTTTGCAATTCTGGTCACTTTCTTCAAAGTTGGAATGTCAAGTTTTTCTTCCTTCAGAATAGGAATTCGACCCTTTTTCTTAATAATAGTTGGCACCGCAGTTGTTTTTGCTAAAGTAGTACGATTTTGTATAAGACAGAGAGCACCGACCAACAATTATTCATTTGCATCACAAAACAACAAAGGACTCAAATATTAAACATTTTACAGCAATACTGTACACACCACACTCACTCGACAACAAAATATTTATGACAGTTCACGGGACATATTTTCAAACAGACAAGTTAAACAGACATTTTCCCAAGTAAAGTAAAAACAGGTACAGTGGCTTGCGAAAGTATTCACCCCCTTGGCATTTTTCCTATTTTGTTGCCTTACAACCTGGAATTAAAATAGATTTTTTGGGGGTTTGTATCATTTGATTTACACAACATGCCTACCACTTTGAAGATGAAAAATATTATTTTTTGTGAAACAAACAAGAAATAAGACAAATAAATTGAAAACCTGAGCATGCATAACTATTCAGTCAATACTTTGTAGAGCTACCTTTTGCAGCAATTACAGCTTCAAGTCTCTTGGGGTATGTCTCTATAAGCTTGGCACATCTAGCCACTGGGATTTCTTCCCATTCTTAAAGGCAAAACTGCTCCAGCTCCTTCAAGTTGGATGGGTTCCGCTGGTGTACAGCAATCTTTATGTCATACCACAGATTATCAATTGGATTGAGGTCTGGGCTTTGACTAGGCCATTCCAAGACATTTAAATGTTTCCCCTTAAACCACTCAAGTGTTGCTTTAGCAGTATGCTTAGGGTCATTGTCCTGCTGGAAGGTGAACCTCCGTCCCAGTCTCAAATCTCTGGAAGACTGAAACAGGTTTCCCTCAAGGATTTCCCTGTATTTAGCGCCATCCATCATTCCTTCAATTCTGACCAGTTTCCCAGTCTCTGCCGATGAAAACATCCCCACAGCATGATTCTGCCACCACCATGCTCTTCTGTGGGGATGGTATTCTCGGGGTGATGAGAGGTGTTGGGTTTGCGCCAGACATAGAGTTTTGCTTGATGGCCAAAAAGCTCCATTTTAGTCTCATCTGGCCAGAGTACCTTCTTCCATATGGCTTTTGGCGAACACCAAACGTGTTTGCTTATTGTTTTCTTTAAGCAATGGCTTTTTTCTGGCCACTCTTCCATAAAGCCCAGCTCTGTGGAGTGTACGGCTTAAAGTGGTCCTATGGACAGATACTCCAATCTACGCTGTGGAGCTTTGCAGCTCCTTCAGGGTTATCTTTGGTCTCTTTGTTGCGTCTCTGATTAATGCCCTCCTTGCCTGGTCCGTGAGTTTGGTGGGTAGCCCTCTCTTGGCAGGTTTGTTGTGGTGCCATATTCTTTCCATTTTTTTTATAATGGATTTAATGGTGCTCCGTGGGATGTTCACAGTTTCAGATTTTTTTTTATAACCCAACCCTGATCTGTACTTCTCCACAACTTTGTCCCTGACCTGTTTGAAGAGCTCCTTGGTCTTCATGGTGCCGCTTGCTTGGTGGTGCCCCTTGCTTAGTGGTGTTGCAGACTCTGGGGCCTTTCAGAACAGGTGTTAATATACTGAGATCATGTGACAGATCATGTGACACTTAGATTTCTGAAGGTAATTGGTTGCACCAGATCTTATTTAGGGGCTTCATAGCAAAGAGGGTGAATACATATGCACGCACCACCTTTCCGTTATTTATTTTATGAATTTTTTTAAACAAGTTATTTTTTTCATTTCACTTCACCAATTTGGACTATTTTGTGTATGTCCATTAAATTACAGGTTGTAATGCAACAAAATAGGAAAAATGCCAAGGGGGATGAATACCTTTACAAGGCACTGTATCTATCATGTATTTAAATTAGTAATTCATTGATCAAATGATAAAGCTATCTTTTAATGTTTGATCACTTAATCTATTTACTGTCTATGTTTTACATTAATAGGTAAAAAATAATTAACAAATAAAACAATATAATGCTTTGATATATTGTCATTGTGTTCTACCCTTTGATGTATTGTTGAAATCTTACCTTTGCCTGCTCCCCCTGGTGCTGTTACAGGGCCCTTATCTGTAGGAATGTAGGAATGTAAGATTCCAGTTAAGTTATAGAATAAAATAATATTGTAAGGGATTTGGGAAAGTGCCCATAGTTCAGCCATAAGTTTGTGCCTACTCACTAGGATAGGATGTGATAAACTGTCTTATAAGAGGGGAAAATGTACTTCGACACACAGTAATTAACACTGTACGTTACACACTATACATATACACTATACATACATTGGACGTTACCCATGTCATTAAGATTGTACACATCTCTTACAGCCACATACATCAAACATTTACTATGTACATATATACACTACAAGAAGCAGGGGTATCAATATTTGGGTTAGAGGAAGAAATGTGCCATGCAATATGTTGACTTTTGATGATTTGAGCAATGTATTCCTTTTCACTTTGGTGAAGACTTTTTGTAATATAATGACTTTGTAGCAGGTATGTAAGTACAGTCAGTTGCATGCGACTTACCCCTATTGCCTATATTTTCTGAGAAAAGAGTACTGCATGTACAGCGTAACTATGTTAGTTATTACAATAGTAGAGTGTAGAAGTGTCTTTATTCTAGGAGTACACACAGTTAATGAAGGAGTACACACTTCAAGTGAGTAGGTAGCATGAGATAGTGACAAACAGATAAACCACTAACGAGGTTTAAAAAAATGCTGTAGCAACGTTTCTAAAATTAGGTTTCTAAGTGCCAGTGTAAAATACATACAGGTGTGTTCACACATACTACCTAAGTGCAGCATGTGTGAGGCTCACATGCTCATAAGAACCTGTCAATAAGAGCAAACAGACATTTGAAGAACACACCATGAATGACAGAAACAAAAGAGACTACCTTCAGGGGATGAAGCACTAGGTGAAAAAGGTGAAGGCGTTTTCATCGGTGGGGAGGATCTCTTTTCAGCTGGTGACATTTTAAATACAAGTATGCCAAGGTCATAATCAGGACAATCAAGAGTGTTTGAGCTAAGATTTGCTCAACAAATACAAACATCTAAAAGAGCAGATAGACATTAAGAAAAAACTCAATTGAAACAAACATCAGAAACACTACCTTCAGTAGGAGACACTGTTTCTACAAGAGGAGCAGGTGAAGGCTTTGGTATCTGAGGTGGTGGGGAGGCTTTCTTCTGCACTGGTGTCACTTTAAATACAAGTATGCCAAGGTCACAATCAAGACCTGACTACTTGAGCTAAGAGTTGTTAAACAAACACAAACATTGACAGAACATAACATGAATGACAAAAACATAAGAGACTACCTTCAGGGGGAGAAACCTTCTCCACATGGGGAGCATCTGAAGGCTTTGGCTTCGGTGCAGAGATTTTCTTGTCTGGTGTCACTTTAAATACAAGTACCCCAAGGTCACAGTCAAGAACTGACCACTTTGGCCAAAGACTCATTGAAGAAACACTGAAAGAGCAGACTGACATTTGAGGAAAACAACATGCATGACACAAACACACTACCTTCAGGGGATGAGACTTTTTCTACATAGGGAGCAGGTGAAGGCTTTGGTGTTGGGGGAGAGATTTTCTTCTCCTCTGGTGGCACTTTAAATACAAGTACGCCAATGTCACAATCAAGAAAAAACTATTTTCACTAAGGTTTCTTTAAGATTTGTAAACAGACACTGACACAATGAAACATGTCAAAAGGATCCATATTGAGACAGATTGAAGAAGATTGAGACATGAAACATTAAGGACGACACTTAGGAAACACAATACAACAAGAAGATGTAAGAGTTTAGTTTTTGATGAAGACGTAAGAGTCCCTTTTAGTACCTTGTGGAGGAGTGGTATTATCTGTAATTGAAACAGGGACCACTTCAGGGGCGACCCTTTGGTCTGGTCAAGTATTATGCAATATTTAGACAATAAGAAGATTTTGTCATGACAATATACAGTCCAACAAGGAAAGACGTAAGAAGTATACACAAAGACAGACAGACAATATATAAGAGTGAGGCCCTCAGATCAAATACCTTTGTGAGGTGTTGGAGGCTCAACTCTCTCTTCTTCTTCTTCCTTTTGTTTGATTGTCTTCTGTGATATTTTAGTTTTATACGGGATGTCATCTTCCTTAGGTGAAACAGCTTTCTTAGGTGGAATGACTTCTACCTTAGGTGAAACATATTTCTTATATGCATTGGCTTCTTCCTCAGGTAAGACAGCTTTCTTAGAAGGAATGGCTTCTACCTTAGGTGAGACAGCTTTCCTTTGAGGAATAACCTTTTTACTTAAGATAGCTTCTTTCTTAGTGGTAGGAGTAGCTGATTTCTTTGGTGGAACCACTGTCGCTGGGTCAATGTGTCTAACAGTATCTCTTTTTGTTGCATCTTCTTCTTTCTTTGCAACAATAGCTTGAATTGGTTGATCATCCATTTTCTTTATAGGAACGTCTTCCCTTACTATCTCAGTTTGTTGTATATCTTCCTCTTCTAAATAAATATAATCCCTTACATTTATCTGAGTCAATTCCTCTTCTCTCTCATATATCATAGCTTTGTCTCCATATGATACCTCTTCTCTGAAACTAACTTCCTCTGCCAGGGATATCTTCTCAATGAAGCCTGTTGTCTGTGAAACTTCGTGCCGTGCTTCAGTCACAGGATCCCTCTTCACCGAAACGTCTTGCCTCGCTTCAGTTACTGAAGCATTCATAACTGCAACTTCTTGCTGAACTTCAGTCACTGAATCTCTCTTCTGTAAAACTTTTAGCCTCTTTTTAGTCATTGAATCTAC